GCTCCCACCAAGACTGCTCCCACCACCACCACCACCACCACCACCACCACCACCACTCCTCCTCCGGCTCCAGCGCCTCTGCTCAGTGATAAAATCCTCATTAATCTCCAACAACTGCTCCGTCTGCACCCGAATACTCTCCAACGTCCCCTCAAGCGTCATAGGAGCTTGCCTCCACTTCGAAGGCGAGGAGGGCGAAAACGTGGTCGAGTTCCTGGGGCTGAAGGCGGCGGAGGAGGTGAAAGGGTCGAAGGATGATGAGTCTTGGGGATGTGAGTGGGAGAGGGGTGAGGCGTGGTGCGAGTGATTCGGACGTGAGGGTGTGGTGGGGGCTGGTTGCCTTGGCTCAGCTGTAGGTTCCCGTGGGCTTTGCATGTCTCGGTCCTGCATTCGAGGCGAGAGGGACTTCTGTTGATCTTCATCAACGCCGTTCGGTACAACAGAGGCGCCTTGGCTTTTCCGGAGCTCAACCAATTCCTCACTAGCCCTCTCCAATAACATCTCAAGCTCCGCGTTTCGCTTCTCCAATTCATGCCTCTTAGGTCGATGTGTAGCCTGCAAATGTCCCCCAGCCGACTTCTTCGCCTTCTCCGCACCAGGCGTAGGCGAAGCGACGAAAGCATAATCCTTCTCCTCTTCACTAGCGTATGCCAGAGGCGTTTCAGCAAGCTGGGGTAAGTCCTCCGCACCTTGTTCGTCAGCCGCGTCGATATGCTCGGCCGCCGTAGGCTCAGGCGCGGGCGCGGGCGAGACAACCTCGTGATTAACGAAAACGTGACTCAGTCCCTTCCCACGAGCAGGAGTCTCAGGCACAACCTCCTTACTATCCTCCATCTCCCTCGATTGCAGGCCGACAGGCACATGCAAAGCCTCCCTAAGCATCTCAGCATGCTCCGCCTCCAACCTCGCCAACGCAACCTCATGCACACGATCCCTCTCCCTACCCGATTCCTCCGCTCGCCGCGAAGCCGCCTCCTCGATCTCGGCGATCTGCTGGGCATGCTTGTCCATGACGGCTTGCACGTTATGCTCATGCTGATCAGACAGGGACTGAGATAGGCCCCTGAGGGTGGTCTCATGCTCCACCCTCACGGCCTCGAGCTCAGCTTTCAGATTCTCGATCGCACCCTCATACTTCTTTGCCTGTGCAGTAGTCTGGGTCTCAAGCTCCTGAACCATCTGCCTCAAACCAGCATTAACCGCCCTCTCCCTCTCCAGTTCCCCCTCCAACCCCTCGTCCCCAGAAGCAATCTCAGCAAGAGTCCTAGCCAGCGCCTCCTTCTCCCCCTCCACAGCCTCAAGCCTCTCCTGCCAAACCTTCTCCCCAACCGCATATTTCTCACTCGTCTCATAGTTCAAAATCTTATGCTTCCCAACCAATTCCTCGATTTCCTTCCCATGCTCGGCCTTCAGTGAGTCCAGAGCTCGAGTATGTTCGGCGTCCTTCTCAGCGCCGATAGCGTCTTCTACTGTAGTTCTAGCAGCCTCCTCGGCATGTTGATCGCGCAAGCTCGTGAGCTCCTCGTTGTGCTTCTGTTTCTGGGTATCCAGTAATCTAGTATATTCGGTCCTGAGAGCCTCAAGGCCACGACTGTGCTCTGCCTCTTTCTCAGCCGCCTTTGCGCCGTCCTCTGTACTCTTGGCGGTCACCGCAGCATGTCGATTGCGCAAGCTCGAAAGCTCCACCTCGTGCTCTCGCCTCTGTTCTTCCATGGCTTCGACGTGCTCAGCTTTGAGCGAGTCCAGCGCTCGAGTATATCCAGCCTCCTTCTCCGCAGCAGTGTCGTCTTCTGCTGTATTTCTGGCAGCCTCATCGGCATACCGATCCCTCAACCTCCCAAGCTCCTCCTCAAACTCTCCCCTCCGCTCATCCATCGCTTTGACGTGCTCAGCCTCCTTCTCCACAACCCCAGCCTTCGCACTATCCAGCAACTGTCGTAACGCGCCCATTTCCCCTTCGAGGCTCTCCAGCGCAGAAGCAGCACTACTCCTTGCCTCCTCAGTCTCAGCCAGACTCCGCTCAAGCCCCTCAGCACGGCCCAGCTTCCGCTCAACCTCACTTCGACTCTGCTCACTCTCACGACGCAGACCCTCGACTTCAGGCCGGAGGTCCTGGACCTCGACCAACAGCGCCTCGATCTTCTGCTTCGCCTCGTGCTTGGATACCCGCTCTTCCTCCAATTTCTGGCGCAAGTGCTCAACTTCCCGCTCAAGACCTGCCTTGCCCTGCTCAGCCGTATCTGTCGCGACATGCGCACTCTTCAGGTCTTCCGTACTCTGCTCCGCCTCCTGCCGGGACCCCTCCAACTCAGCCATAAGCTCATCGATCCTTTCCTGCTTCCCCTCCAAATCCTCCGATGTCTTCGCCCTTACCCCCTCCAGCTCCGTCCGGAAAGCCTCGACATTATCCCGTAGACTACGCAACTGCTCCGCTGACTCATCTTTATCCCTCATAGCCGCATCAAGCTGTTCCTGCAACGTCTCAGCACTCTCCTGCGCCTGCTCACCCACCTCCTCGAGCTCCTTAGCTCTCTTCCTCTCCTCATCCTTCGCCGCCACAGCCTCATCGGCCCTCTTCTTCACCTGCGCACTACCGCGCTCCAACTTCCTGACTAGCAATCTCAGCTTCTCGACCTCAGCATTAGCAGCACTACCCCTCCCCTCACTCTCAGCCTTCGACTCCCTCAACTCCTTCACCTGCTTTTGCAAATCCTCAGCCACCTGACTCCCATCCGCACCCTCCTGCTGCAACTTCTCCAGCTTCTCCCGCAGAGCATTAACAATCCCATCGTGCTCATGCCGCGACGTCTCGAATTCCTGCAGCTCTTCCTGATGTAACCGCTGCAATTCCTCCAGCTCAAACCGCAGATCCGCGGTGATCTTCTCCTCGGATTCGCGGTGCGAGTTGTGCTCAGCGAGCATGGTTGCTCCTTCATCTCTCTGCTTCTCCAGATCCGCCTCCAGCCGGGCGATCGTGTCCGTGGACTTCGCCACTGCCTCTCTCTCCCTCTGCAACGCCTCCTCGTGCCGCTTCCGCATGCCCGCTGCTTCTTTCTTCAGTTTTCTACTAGCCTCCTCCGCCTTCGCAGCAGCTGATCTCAACCTCTCCATATCGGGCTCCATCCCCTCCCTCGCCTCTTCCACCGCAACCCCAATCCTCTCCGCCTCCCCCGCCTTCTCTTGCACAGCTTCCTCCAACCTCACCCTCTCAACCTCCAATTCCTTCTTCAGCCTCTCCTGTGCCCTCTGCGCCTCCTTCTTCTCCTTACTCTGTTTCGCCACATCCTCATTCAACTTGAGCTGACACCGCTCAATCTCCTGCCTCAGGTCACTGATCACAGTCCCAAGCTTCCCCTTATCCTCGTCCTTTTTCTGGATCTTCTGTTGTAACTCTTGTTCGCTCTGCGATGCTCGTTGCTTGCTTTCGCGTAGGGCGGACTCTACCGCTTCTATCCTGGTCTCAACACCTACGAGATGGGAGGAGGCTCGTCGTTGGCTGTCTAGCTCGGATCTTAAAGTCTTTAATTCCTTGGCATGATGATCTTCCAGAGAAGTCAAAGCAGCCTTGTGCGACGACTTGATCGACTCAATCTCCTGCAGATGCTGACTTCGTAGTATGACCTTCAGCTCTCGCTCCTTCTTCTCCGTCGCCTCGACGATAGCTTGTGGTTTGATGACTGGACTCTTCGAAGCTGCCTCGGTCAATATCTTGTTCCGCCGCTCTAGCTTTCCAATCTCCGACTTCAGGTCAGCGATCTCGGTGGCCATGACATCCCGTCTTGTGCTCTCCCTCAGCAAGTTCGAAAGCACCTCCATCTCTCGCATGCTCTGCTGCTGCTCGTTCATGGGAGGCATCGGGGCCGTCATGGGTCGGTTAGGTAGCACGGCTGACTGTGTGCGGGAGTGTCGCGGTATCCACTTGGGTCGACCTTCATTGTCGGAGAGTGCTTGAGGCTTCAGCGCAGGAGTCGACGAGTTCATGGATCGGATCTCTAGCTTCGGAGGGTGCTTGCCTTCGCCTGGCATCTGTGATGAGATGCTCGGGATATCGGCGAGATCCTCAGGCTCCTCGGGTATGGCATCTCGCGAGATTGGCCGGGCCACACTAGCGGCGCTCTTGTTCGAAGCAGCAGCAGCAGGAGAGAGTGGAGGCTTGGCGGGGCGAGATGGTGGAGGCCGAGCTGTGGTCGGTGTCTGGGTGGCTCTTGCCCGATCAGTGGCTGGACTGGCAAGAGATGCACGTGAGGTGGCCAAAGGTCGTTTGGGTGGAACGGAAGTCGCGCTGCCGCCTACCGTCGTCCGTCTCGTCTTGTCTGTCGCGGGCTCGGATGGTCGTGTCGCCCTCGCACTCGGTCCACTCGATCCGACGGTAGATGAGTGAGGCGAGCGTGTAGACAAGTCATTGCTGCGCACACTCGCTACATCATCCACCTCCCGTCCAGCGTTCTTCCTCGCCGACGCAATCGGTCGGGTGGGCGGTTTACTTATGGTACTGCCAGTAGCTCGGGTCGACAACGTGCTCGGTCGCGTGGTCTTGGCGACATTCGCATCCTTCTCCGCCAACCTCTTTGCATCTACCGTTCGTTTCTCCATTCTCCTTTTCCTTTACACTTTCCCTTTACTCTTTCACACCTCAGCAGTCCTCGTGATCCCTTGCATTAAGCTTATTTCAACCTCTGTCTCTTCACATGTGCATCTGCATAGCCATCTGCACCTTCCATGAATCTATCCAAAACACGCCCAAGCACCCCAGGTTCCAGGTTGTTTGTGCACTCGTTTCCTTTCCTGGTCTGGCCGCCGATCAGGGAAAGCACGCCGCGGCATGACGTGCATATCCCGACATTTCTCCCATGACTTTCCACGAGGAAGCTGCGTCAGAAACATGTGACATCGAACGAGTATACCAGCAGCACCGCCACCATGACAGACGTACGGGCAATGCTACGCGCCGAACGCGCCACTCGCGGACCGGAACCGGCAGGCAAGAAGAGAAAGGCAGCGGGAATCTCCACGAGCTCGCCGGCAGAGAGCAGGAAGCGCGTCAAGTCGGGTGATGAACAACCGCAGGCACAGGCACCTGCCAAGGACACAGCCGTGGAAGGGGAAGTGGAAGTGGAACGAGAAGACATAGCAACGCCGGCAGAAGCAACAAGCATACCAGACCCCCAACCAGACCCCACAGAAGCCGACCTCGAAGCCTTCGACCGCGAACTAGCCGCCCTCGAAGCCAGCCACAACTCCACTACCAACACCACCCAGCAACCGACATACAACGGCGCGACTATATCAGCAGGCCCCCTAACAGCCGAACAAATCGCCGCTCAAGCAAGGGAAGAACAGAGCTTGCAGCGTGGGAAACGCGACGAGGAGATCGAGGCCGAGAGGGAGGATGCGGAGGAGAATCTGCGGGAGGAGATGGAGGAGATGAGGAGTTTGGAGGAGAGGGTTAGACGGTTGAGGGAAAGGAGGGAGGCTGTTAGGGGGGGTGGAGTTAGTGGTGAGAGGGGTGGTGGGGAGGGTGGTGGGATTGTAGGGGGTAAGGTGGAAGGGTTGGTAAGGGATGGTGAGGATGAGGAAGAGGGAGAAGAACTCGAGGACGATTATGAGGAAGAAGATGAGTGGCACTTCGGCGGGAGCTGAGAACCTTGGGCATCCTGGGACTTTAAGATGACCACAACATAAAGGATCAATCAATCAATCCTTCACAGCAGGTAGGAATCTATCGAGCGCCTCCGCCCCTCGCACCGCCATGCACACATGCACCGGCACACACACCCCAAGCCCCTTCCCACTACCATCATCACCACCACCACCACTACTCGCAACCAGGCCTCTTGCCCTTGACAACACACTCAAATTCCGAAACATCCTCAGCACCTCCCTAAGCGTCATCTCCGCCTGCCTCACACTCCCCTCGTCAACCGCACCCGAAGGCCGGACCTGGATCGTCCAGTACAGACTCACGCCAATGGAGGGAAGATGGTCGGAAGATGCTTCGGAGAGGTCGCTATTACCGCGCTTGAACAGGGCGCCTGAGCAGAGTGGTGAGGGGTTCTGCTGCTTTGAAAGCTGGTGCGTGAGGGACTGCGATGTTGTAGCCGAAAAAAGGACGGCCCATGTCTCGTCCGTGAGGTCGATGAGATGAGCGTCCGGGTCCGTGTCGCCACTAGCAGCTGGGGTGGATTCGCTGGGTGCAGGAGTAGGCGGCAGGTTACCCAGCCCGCTTGGATCAGGCGAAACAGTCATAGTGGTACCCTGTGGCGTCGAGCCGGGCGTCAGAAACCCAGCACCAGCCACAGAACATAGCATAGCCTCATCAGTGGCGCCCGACTGTCCGGGAGGCGAAAGCCGCAACACGGGCTCCAAATCCACCCCCAACAACGTAACCGAGAAAGCCTGCAGCCTCCTGCCCCCCTCCACCAACCCCCTCCAAACCCCACTAACCCCCTGCCCCACACTCCCTACCCCAACGATGAAAACTCTCCACGTAACACCCCTGGTCCCCATAACCCCCTCCACCCTCTCCCAAACCTCCCCCACCACCTCCTTAAACGACCGCCCACAAAGCGGGAAAGAGACACTATTCCCATACCGGCCCATATTATCGCTCCAAGCGGCAGTCAACCAGAACCCATCTCCACTCACCGCATACGCGAGATGCAGGCAGGAACCCTCGTGTAGAAGATCCGCCGGTGTTTCGGAAGCGAGGTGGAAAGCTATACGTTTCGGGGTCGGGCTGGCGAGTTCGAAGAGCGGGGCGGAGTAATTCGGTAGTGCGGAGCCCGTCGTATCACTAGGTTCGAACGACGGGTTCGGTGGACAACGATCATAGACCTCTTGTGCTAAGGCGGCGGTTTGCTTGGCGTCTAGTAATACCACACTATCCGGTGCGGCTAGGAGGTCGATAGGCAGGATCTGGAGCACGATATCGCTCGGTGGGTGTTGATTACGGGAACGTGGGACCGTTTTCCTGTAAGTCTGGTAGAGTAGCCAGAAACAGGCGCAGAGGTGATGGATGAGTTCCGGATGGTGACGGAAGGGGTTGATGATGTAGATTACAAAGGTCCGGTCCGGCTCGGCGAAGGCGGTGTTTGCCATGAAGGTCGCCAGGGTCGTGCAGGCTTCGCTGTAGCATTGCATAGCCGCTTCGAGACTATGCTCGTCATCGTCTCCTAGATCCACAGGTACGAGGCCATCGACGTAATCCCCTAATGCGGCTTCTTCTTCATCACCACCATTATTACTAGTGTGCCTGTGCGAGCCTAGCTTACACTCTTCGTACGCTGTACCTAGCGCGCTAAGGAAAGTCTCCGCCAGACTCTGCACGTCTTCGTTCCCGGGGAAGACGCAGAAGGCGCGGATGTCTTTTGTCCCGTTAATGGGTGCGAGGCTGAGAGTGTCCCAGAATTGGAGGGCGAGGGGGAGCATTTCGTACTTGTCCGCGCCGCGCTGGACGCGGATGTAGGGCGGTGGGATGGCGACGATGTCCGGGCCGAGGTTCGTGGTATCGGGGCGTGGGGGTGGAGGACGGGGTTGACCGGGTCGGGGGGTGGCGGGAGTGGGGGTGTTGCGGGTTATGGGTTCTCGTGCTAGGGCTAGGCTGGCGATGTCGGTTGATGTCATAGACGGGAGGAAGTGAGAAAGTGCCTGGTCGACAAGGGTTTGCAGCGCATTGCCCGTGGCGGCGGCGTTGGAACGCGAGACGCTGAGCATGTCGATCGCCTCAACGATACTGGTGGTGCAAGTCACAGCTTGCTCGGCGACGAGTTGAGCAACAAAAACCAAATCCATCTTCGACAGAAGGAGAACTTCCTCGACCGAGCCAAGAGTTTCGTGTCCATGATTCTGGGTTGTATGCTTTGGCAAGAGTCCAGGACTTCTGTTCGACAGCAAGCGATCGAGTATGGCTCGCATCTCCGCAGGATCATGGTGGCCCTTGACATGGGACTGTGCGTCATCCACACGTAGCAAAAGTGCTACCTCGTCCCGCCGCCCGTTGGCCTCGAAGTCGGACCGCTTGCGCTTCTTGCTGGACCATGGGGCTTTCGGCGGCACATCGATATCGCTGGGACTCGAGGCTGATTCCGAACCACCGTCTTCACTCTCGCTACGTTCTTCGTTATATTCATGTGGTATCGAGACTTCGTTGTCGGAAGTCTTCAAACGTTCCTGGTAGGAGTCAGGTTTCGTGCTTGCCGAGCTAGTTCGCTGGTTGCCCGCTGGGTCTGGGGTAGGTCCATAAAGCTCGGAAAACCTACGTCCTATGTTCAGGTCTTCTTTGAACGTAATTGCGTCGAATCTGCTTGTCTTACGCTGATGTGTCGCACCGCTATCGTGGCTCACGCTCGCAGGGATGGGTGGAGGCAGCAGGCATTCCTTGATGGCGAAGGGGCTGAGCGGCTTCACCGTTGAATCGGGCTGATCGGGAAACATCTCATCGATAGTATCAATGATGGGACCCATCGTGGTGAACGACTCGTCGACCTTCTCGACAACTAGTGACACGTCTCCCAAAGCTTGGTTATCAGTCGGATGCTCACTGGGGTCAGCCATAACCATCGATACGTCACCTCCTTCAACTTCGTCCTCATGAGGCTGAATATCCTCGACACCTCCGTCCTCAGCCACATGCTCTTCCACATCATCATCGACGGGGACAAGATCTGCACCGTCCTCCTCATTGAAGAAGTCGAAGTCGGCATCTCCTATCTCGCCACTACCAAAGTCCATTTCTCCTCCCATATCACCAAATAGATCATTCGAGGAATCCTCTGCATTGAACGTTGGAGCCTGGTCAGAGGTCGAAGACGCTCTAAGATCGACAGTCTGATCTTCCATCGTCATGCTGAAATCCTGCGCAGCCGGGCCAGAGTCGCCGGATGGGTTGTCAACAGCCATTGCATCTGAGCTATGTTGTTGTGATGATAGCTGACCTGGCACTATGCCGTCTGGTGGAGTGGGGTAGATACCACTGGCCGCCGCTTGCTGTTCGGCATTCCGTAGCGTGAAGGGTGGCGAGGTAACGGCCACGCTGTCGTGGTCGGGAAGTGTAGATGTTGGTTGAGCAGCAGATTCGAATGCCGTAGCCGTATCTATTTGCTGCTCCCGTGAAGCAGCATTCTTACACCAATCCTCTGCCACTTCGAAAGGATGCTTGAAGGCGGCTTCCTCTTCGCTGGGAATGAAGAACTGTTTCCAGTCTGTGTCATCAATCGCCGCTCGGACACCACGACGCGGCTCAAAGCACAACTTCGCTGGCCACTCGATGCTCGCATAAGGGCGATCGATTAGCTGGAGCTTCATCCAGTCTTCTTCTTCAGAAATGCTGATGCCATGAGCGAGGAAATGTTCGGTGGCGAGAGCTCGCCATTGCTCATCACTAGCGTGCATGCTGGCCTGGTCATTGTCACGATCTAATCTCGCACGACATCCAATTGGCGCAAGAGTGAGTAGGGGTCGTCCGTCAGAGGCTGTCGATGGATTCATTCTCTGCAGATCCGAGGGCGCAGTGTTGGTTGCTATGCTCAGCTTGCCATCGTCCGCAATTCGCATTGACAGCCGCAGTAAGAGATACTCTTCCTCAGTATCTGTGAACAGCCAGGTCCTGGGACTCATCTTCGTGATATTGCCGGTCTGATTTAGCGTGTGCGACACAGCACCCTCGATTGCTTCAAGCAAAATGTCCTCAGCCATTGACTCGGAAGGAGCACCCGTCTTCTGGAATGCATCTAATGTTCCGCGTTCATCGAGAACCCAGCCATCATCGCGTATAGATGCTGACTCTCTGTCTTCGACCAAACCAAATACCCATAATTTGGCGCCTGTGAAGGCACATAATGTCCCAAATACTCGTAGTCCTTTCACCAGCTCCTCCACAAGATAATGGTCGGTATCATGTGATTTATGGGTGTAGCTCGTCGCCGGCGTCTTCCATATGTCATCTATGTGCTGCACATTGGTCTTGCAGCTCTTGAAGAAGTCCATCCTATCCCTATCACCGGCTCATCATGATATGCTCGGATGATAGAATCGTCGTTGTAGGCCTGAGCTGGACGGTGATATTCTGAACATTGGTTGGCCTAGTGTCTAATACAATGCGTGGTCGTGTAGGGTATCGATGCCAAGAGGTAGAGGAGTGTAACAGCAGCGACATATTTGAGCATTGCTTGCGTTCTGGTCTTGCTGGACCCGAGACGGGGAAACAGTAGCCGGCGAGCCTTTCTTCCGAAGCATAGCGCTAGTGAAGTAAGCTTAATGTTTCTCCAGATCTTAGCGCCGATCGGCTCAGTCGCAAAAAGTTCAGTGACATGTGCTCGCTCCACCTGAATCTTCCCAAGCACTCACACCAGCCATGAAGCTCTCCAACCAGTCGACGGTGCCGGTGTATACTATTGCCGGTGCTTCTACTGCTCGACCTTTACCGGAATGGCTCGCAAGGAAACGACGGCGAAGTCTGAAACGTGATCCGGAATATGCGAATCGCATCGAGCTGCTACAGGACTTCGAATTCGAAGAAGCCAGCGCATGTGTGCGGGTCAGTGAAGATGGCGAGTGGGCTATGAGTACAGGTATGCAGTAATACCATTCCGGCAGACCACAAGTAGACTGATCGCTGACAGTATGACCTGGCAGGTACATACAAACCACAAATACATACCCATTATCTACCACATCTCGCCCTCTCTTATGCTCGGCATACCGACACCGTGAACCAAACCTTCATACTATTATCTAGCGACTACACAAAATCACTACATCTGCAGTGCGATCGATCGTTGGAATTTCACACAGCTGGTGGCGTGCATTACAGGACGAGGCTACCACGCTACGGCCGAGACTTGCAGTACAACAGACGAACGGCTGAGGCTCTCATACCCGCTGTAGGTGTCAACGCGGACGGCAATGGAGAAGTGTATAGGCTTAATTTGGAGCTTGGCCGATATATGAAGAGCTATGAACTCGACGTTGGTGGCGATGATCTCGAATCGATGGGTGGAGGAGCACTACAAGGTGGCATCAGAACGGGTGCGGTCAACTGTGCCGCGATCGCCGAGGAGTCGCATGGTCTGATGGCGTTTGGGACGTCACTCGGCACTGTAGAGCTTTGGGATGCGCGATCACGAAATCGTATCAGTGCTCTTGGGCCACCCAACTCTTTGGTCAACTCGGACTTCGATCCTGAGATCGATGCTCGACCTCAGATCACGGCGCTCGAATTCCATCGATCTGGCCTCGGACTTGCCACGGGAAGTAGCAATGGCATTATTCACACATACGACCTACGATCACCTGTCCCTCTGCTACGAAAGGACCAAGGGTACGATTATCCTATTCAAACCCTCAAATATCTGGCACCATCATCACGATCTTCGAACAGCTCAGATAACCTTATCATGAGTGCTGACAAACGTGCAATAAAACTTTGGAACTCCGAGACTGGTGATCATTGGACGTCCATTGAGCCTGCGGTGGATCTGAACTGTGTGGAGTGGGTGCCAGATTCTGGTATGCTTCTGACTGCGAACGAAGGCAGGCAGCAGCATGCATTCTTCATACCACAACTTGGTCCTGCTCCACGATGGTGTGCCTTCTTAGACAATCTAGTCGAAGAAATGGCCGAGGATAATGATGAACCGAATGCATTTTCAGCCCGTTCTGGCGCTGGTGAGGTGTACGACAACTACAAGTTCTTGGACATGAAGCAGCTTCGTGACCTTTCCCTTGACCATTTGATCGGCCAGACGAGTCTACTGCGACCATATATGCACGGTTACTTTGTTGCTCAGAATCTGTACGAGCAGGCGAAACTGCTGGCGAATCCAGATGTGGCAGTGGAACAGCGACAGAAGAGCATACAGGATCGCATCAACAAGGAACGGGAAAGTCGCATTCGTGGAAACAAGAAGGTGGCTGTCAAGGTCAATCGCAGGCTTGCAGAGAGTCTTGCAGCTCGTGAAGAGGCCAACGAGCGACGAAAGGCCGAGAGAGTGCTCCGACAAGGAGGCGATGAGGCTCAAGCTGTCGAGCAAGCAGACACAACGATGGAAGATGAGGTTGAAGCAAGCACAGCTGAGCCAACGAAGGCTAAGGCTGAGCGACTACTCGACGACTCTCGTTTCACGCGGCTATTCGAAAGCGAAGACTTCGCCATCGATGAAACAAGTCGCGAATTCACCATGCACAACCCCTCCACGAAAACCACAGCCGCCGAGCCAGCACCACGGAAACGCGGCCTCACAGCCGTAGAACAAGACGCCCTAGACGACCGACAAGGTTCAAGCAACGAAGAAGACAGCGACGACGAAGATGAAGCAGCCGACGAAGCGGCCCTCCGAGCCCGCCACCAAGCCCGTCGCCGCGGCAACGAAGAAAGCGAAGATCCACGCAAACGCATCGGAAGCTCGAGCTACAAACAGGCTGGGAAGACCAGGAATCCACAGATGCGTGTCAGTTCGTCCAACACTGCGTTCAAGAAGCGGAATGAACAGGGCAGTAGATCTTTCGGCGATATGGCTAGCTCATTGCCCGCGAGAGATCGCAATACTGGTGCTGCTGGTGGGCAGGTGGGAAGGAATGGTGTTGTGGGTGAGAAGGAGGTCACGTTTGCGCCGGCGTCGGGTCAGAAGAAGCAGAGGCCGCAGAAGGATGTCAACGCTGATGTGGGGCGGAATAGGGCGAGAGGGAAGGAGAGGCGGAGTGCTAGTGGGAATGTTTTTAGGAAGATGTAGAGGGGGGTTGGTGGAGATGTATGGATTATTGTGGCGACGCAAAGCAAAGCTCTAGCTCTCGCAATGTGGCTGAGTCAGCGGCCGTAGGCGACAGTCGAACTTTGGAAATCGAGCTGGTTTCATTCTACACTCGAAATCACCACACTCTAACAGCTTCGTCAGACATCCGCAATGCTGCGAATAGAGCATGGTTGGCGTCCCCGGCAAATCAAAAGGTTGCGCCACCTGCAGACGCCGAAAGGTGAAGGTACGTGAAGATTGCAACATCTCATATACGCGCACACCGTCTGACCAGGCAGCTGTAGTGTGATCTTTCCCTCCCTGCTTGCGGCAGATGTATGCGAGCGGGACTGGACTGTGAGGGCTATGAGAGGTTTCCTGTGTTCATCGTCAGGACTGCCGATGGGTTGCGGAGACGATCGAGGCTGGAGGAGGTCAAGACTCAACAAGTTCAGCAGAAGCAAGTCCATCCGTCATCTGTTGTAGAGAACATCAATATTTCTCCACGTAATGCCATCGGAATCATGACTTCGCAGTCCTATTTGACAGCTGGCTATCGGATCTGGTTCATCGGGATCCTCAGCGGAGCACCACATGTCAAACAAGGACTACTCTTGCCTTCGTTCTGGTTGAAGCCTATCTTGAGCCAGCCTTCTTCGTCTTTGCTACTGCAAGAAGCCGTTCTGGCTGTGGCTATCAAGCATACGGGAGAAGCGTATCACGATGATCATTTGCGAGGGAATGGCATGCTGATGTATGGGCGGGTGCTGTCTGCCTTCAGATCTATGCTTGTTCAACCAAAGGTCCGCTTGGACGAGAATATGCTGGCTACTGCGGGTCTTCTGATTTTATACGAGGTGAGGATGAACCCCAATGCTGAGCCCTGCTTCATAGCTGATTCGAAGTTTGTGTAGCTACTCGATCAGGCCGATCCAGGTTGCGATGGCTGGCACGCTCATGTATCTGGTCTTGCCGCCTTAGTCGAACAAAGAGGACCACATTGTTACGAAACGCCATTAGCCAGAGATCTACTGGAACATACTCGTCACCAGATGGTGGGTTAATTTCCACGCCTTAAAAAATGGTCAAGGACTTAAGGCTGATATGCTTAGATGGTGCAAGGTCTGGTATACCGACAACGTTCCTTTCTGTGCGAGTCACAATGGATGGAGCTACCATGGAGATTTATGGGCAAGAGCTTTGAACAGCTTGTTTACGATCAAGGACTGCTCCTTGGTGAGATCTTCGAATCCATCGACATCTCGACGTCCGACTCAAAGACCTCCATTGGCCCATCCTTATTCTTAGACCGTTGCCTTCACATCATAAAGCAGACTCAGAACCTACACCAGCAGATCTACCAGCCCATCATGATCGATCGCTCGACTGCCACCGGATCTGCGGTATCGTCCAATGCAGAGAAGAACGATGGGCATACACTTCTCCTCCTCGTCACAAATCTGGGGATACAACTAGGTGCATACGTAACCGCACGTCGAATTCTGTCAACTTGCAACAGCAGCCCCGGGCGAAAGCATAGTTACGACCTGCCCCAAGATCGCGACTCAAAATCCAAGTTAGTTCAGAACGCTACCCTGCTCGTCGACCTAGCGTCGAGATATTTTGCGACGCAGCGGGGTCCGACAGGGGTTGCTAAGCTCGTCTTCGCTTTGCGACAAGCTCGACCTGTGCTTCTGGATAATTCCGTGGCATGGCAAGAGTGTGGAAGGCTTATTGATAGGTTGGGTGGCGATAGGTGGCGGCTTGGGCAACAGGTCGATATCGTGGCTACGACAGGAGGAGGGGCTTGTGGGAGTTTGCAAAGTGGATAGGCCTCTGTATACGTAGTTACTAGAAACGATTGTAAGGTATGGGCCATCCATGGATTGCGTTCAGAGTGGAAGTGATGTGCTTGCCTGTTTTTATGAAGCTTCGCGATGCCTCTCTTGAGACCTAGAGCACGACTCCTGCACTATACGAATCCAGCATTGATGCCCATGTTGTGGATTGATAAGATCTATATCCCAGACGATGGAATAGGTGACCTGAAAGGACGCCGATATTGTTCTTGAGGAGTCCAGTTCTTCGTTGTCACCCAGTGCGAACTTTACCCCGACCCTAGTTCCGACATCAACCTCACTCGTCAGAGTGGCCAACTTTTGTGCGATCAACGACATCCAACACCAAGATCGTCAGAAGGACAATTGATCACAACGACTGTTGAGCCATGGTCATCCGTCACCACACGGACGCCATGGCGCCAGAACCCACCGGCCAACATCACATCTACACCGGCCGCATAATCCACAGCAAAACCCCCACGGAACTCCAAATCCTCCAACACGGCTCCATCGGCGTCCTCTCCGACGGCACCATAGCATTCCTCCACGACCAGGCCATCTCTCCTGACGACCTTAGAACAAAATACGCCAACGTAGGCTTCTCCCACGCCTCCATAACAATCCTCCCACGCCCCCAATTCCTCTTCCCAGGTTTAATAGACACCCATCTCCACGCCCCACAATGGCCGAACCTAGCCCTAGGAATGGATTCGACGCTCAAGGACTGGATAGAAACCTATACCGATCCGATGGAAGCCTCGTACCATGACACGGAGAAAGCTAAGCGGGTATATCGCGATGTAGTGAAGACGACGTTGAGACTAGGTAGTACGACGGTGGCGTATAACACTACTATGCATGTTGCCGCTACTAACATCCTGACTGATTGTGTGTTGAGGGAGGGACAGAGAGCGATAGTGGGGAAAATGTGCGTGACTACTGGGTCGACAAACGAGAATTGGGAGGCATCTACGCGGGAGTCGTTGAAGGGGTCCGAGGAGTGTGTGCGGTATGTTCGGAAGATGGATCCGGAGGGGAGGTTGGTGAGGCCTTGTGTTCAACCGAGAGGTGGACCGTATTGTCCCCCTGATCTGATGAGAGGGTTGGGAGAGCAGGTGGGGAGGTGGGAGGGGTGTCATGTGGAGGCGCATATGTGTGAGACGGAGGCGGATATAGGTATGTACATCCTCAACCAAAACGCTGTCGAACCCGGAATTTTAGAGAAGCTCATCTCAATTTTATTATTGTAGAGCGAACGCTGGAGCTACATAAGGGTTTTGCTTGCTACAGCGACATGTACCGCGCCCATGGCCTTCTAGCAAACCGCACCATCCTAGCCCACTGCATCCACCTCCAACCAAAGGACATCCAGAACATCGTCGAGACGAAGGCGGGGATAGCCCACAACCCAAATAGCAACACCTGTCTCCGCGACGGCATCTGTCACGTCCGCGACCTCCTGGACTCTGGGATCAAAGTCGGTCTGGGCACGGATTGCTCGGCGGGGTACATGCCGAGTATCCACTCGGCGATGCGGTCGGCGTCGGATGTGTCGCGGCATCTCGCTATGCGGACGGGGGAGGAGAGGTATGTGCTCAAGTTTGAGGAGTTGGTTTATCTGGCTACGATGGGAGGGGCGAATGTTTTGGATATGGAGGAGGAGGTGGGGGGGTTTGGGGTGGGGAAGAGATTTGATGCGTTGGTTGTTGATGTGAGGGATGTGGTTGGGGTGGACGAGTCTTTGTGGGAGGGGGAGGCGGAAGGGGATGCGGAGGCGTTGGTGAGGAAGTGGGTGTTTTGTGGGGATGATGGGAGTATTAGGAAGGTGTTTGTGGATGGGAAGGTGGTTGCGGGACAGGATGTTGCCTAGAGCAGGAGGTTATTCTGCTTAACAAGACTCCGCAAAGGCAAACTTTCAAGTCATCTAGATGTTGTTGGTAGTCCGGGTTCTGCGTGTTTATCCATGCTGCTTGGATTGATGGTCGTTGTTGGGGAAGTACCATGCTGTCCGGTACTGCTGCCCTCCTCTAAATCTTACCCTAATCGTGTCCCCAAGGTCAGCGCTACAATCACTTAATCTAGTGATAGTGTACTCGTAGAAGAGCAGTAATGTTGACGCAGGGGAAGAAGTGAAGATGGTGGCGGAGTGGAGGGCGAAATGAGGCTCAATTCAGGCGATGACGCAGCAGCACACGACGATGTCTCCCACGAGGCGCATACTTTGGAAGCTGTACCACCATTTATTATTCAATCTGTCTGCCTACGCCCATCTGACGTTCACTTATACCAAGCCACAGTAGAGGGACGAGGTGAAATCATGTTTCGAGCTGCCTCAAACCCCATGGACGATGCTATCGGTATGTAGTAGCAGCTACAGCGGCAGCCTCGCACGTGAATACAGCTCGGTACTAACACCCACCACCACCACAGTCAAGGCGACAGATGAGAACCTCACGAGCGAGAACTGGGAGTACATACTTGACGTCTGCGACCGAGTGTCGACCACCCCGGCCGGACCACAACATGCCATCTCCGCCCTCATCAAGCGCCTGGCACATCGAAACGCCAATGTGCAGCTGTATACCCTCGAGCTCGCGAATGCCCTGTCGCAGAACTGTGGCGCCCCGCTGCATCGCGAGTTGGCGTCCAAAGCATTCACAGACAGTCTGCTAAGGCTGGCAGGCGACAGGAATACGCATGGCCAGGTCAAGCAGAAAGTGGTGGAGCGCATGGAGAATTGGACGGAGGAGTTCAGGAACAGTCCCGATCTTGGCATTATGGAGCAGGCGTATGGACGGTTGAGGACACAGCAGCCGGGACTACAGGCACCGAGCAAGCCAGTCAAGCAGCAGATTAGTCACGAGGACAGACGGAAAGAGGAAGAGGAGTTGCAGATGGCCTTGGCGTTGAGTGTACAGGACAAGGCAGCAGCGGCGTCTAGTCCACCGCCGGCGAAGAATGGCGACAACCAGCAGACTCCACAAGCACAACCTGCAGCGCCGCAGGGCACCACAGCCGCGACGGTGAGCAGGGTACGAGCACTCTATGACTTTGCACCGTCCGAGGCCGGCGAGCTAGCCTTCGCCAAGGGTGATATCATCGCGGTGCTGGAGTCGGTATATAAAGATTGGTGGAAGGGTAGCTTGAAAGGACAGACCGGCATCTTCCCACTCAACTATGTTGAAAAGCTACCAGATCCGACGAAAGAGGAATTAGAGCGTGATGCGCAGATGGAGGCGGAGGTGTTTGGCGAGATCAAGAATGTCGAGAAGCTGTTGGCGTTGCTCAGTGTGGGTGAGGGTCGCAGTAGGAGAGGCGTGCGGGAAGAGGAGGAGATTAGTGATTTGTATCAGCGGACATTGAGTATCAGGCCGAAGCTCATTGAGCTGATTGGGAAGTACTCGCAGAAGAAGGGTGAGTTGGAAGTGCGATCTGAACGCGGGTGCATTGCTGACTTTCTATCGTAGATGAATTCACACAGCTAAATGAGAAGTTCATCAAGGCACGCCGTGACTACGAGCATCTGCTTGAGGACTCGATGAAAGCACCGCAACAATATCAGCAGTATCCCGTCAGGTCGCGACAGCCAATGTACCCGCCCCAGCAACAACCACCCTATGGCGGGCCACAACAAGGTCTACCGCAAGGTTATCCTCCTCAGAACGCACCCGCTCAAGGCTATCCGCCGCAAGCACCCTTTGCCGCGCAGAGCCAGCAGCATCTGCCACCACAGCAAGACCCACAACGCTTCTACTCACCCGCACCACCAAACGAAGCACCGGCCCAACATCAACCCGGATATGGAAATCCCTACCCACCACAGGACGGCCCACCCACAGCACAACCAATCAGCGCAGGCCCAGCCCCCTTCCACTTCATCCCAGGCGGCCTCCAAGCCCCACCACCGCAACAACAGCAGCAGCAGCAGCAACAACAACAACTCTCCCCCCAAGACCACACCATCCGCCGCAAACCTAGCCCGCAAGGCCTCCAACCACCCCACCACCTCAGCCCCACCAACGAACCCTACAGCGCCCAACAACAAATGCCCTTCCAAGGCCAGATCCGTCCGGAGAGCATCCACACCCTCAACAGCGGGAACCCGCAAGAACTCGCCACGAGTGGTTATGAGAGTCCGGTGGATAATCGGCATAGTTATCCGCCGGCTCATCAGATGCAGGGGGTAATGCTGCCACCGCCGCAACAACAACAGGTACAGCCTTATCCTCATGACCCTTACGGTGGGCAGCAACAAGCACCACCCCCACCACACCAACAAGCACCCCCACCACCACTCCAACTCCAACAGCAACCCCTCCACAACCACAACGACCGCGACAACCTCCCCTCCCGCCAACGAACCCAAAGCTTCGAATCCCCCACCTCCCTCTACTCCCAACACCAACATCAGCACCCGTCACAGCAGGGTGACAACCCGCCATACTCTGCCGGAGGCGCCGTCCAGTCCGGGATGCCACCACAGCAGCCTTCGGGTCCACCGCCGGGGGTGCCGAGTAGTCCGCAATTTGCCGGTCCGCCACCAGTAGTCGTGCAGCAGCAGCAGTCGGGGGGGTATCAGGCGTATCAGCCTTTTGGGGCCGGTGGGCCACCACAGCTGCAGGGGCAGCAGCAGCAGCAGCAGCAATATCCGGTTGGTGGTGGGGGCGGCGGTGGTGGGGTGGGAGATCCGGGGGATTTCTATAGGTAGTCGATTCGATTTCGATCTGATCTGATTTGACTCGATCAAGTTATGAGCAGATTCCTTCGTCGACACTCGGAAAAAGTGTGGACTTTTTGCGTTTTGAGTGAGGACGTGGGTGGTCGTCAACGAATGCACTTTTTCTGTGGTCAGCTCTGCCTTTGTATAAATAGGAAAGCTATAACCCGCGACTTTGTAAGAGGATGCAGGCAAGACCAGTGCTTTTTCCCGATCCCAAGGGTCTCCGATGTTTCGGGTTTCACCGGCAAGCTGGGTTTGTTGGAGTTGGAAGATGATGTAGGTACAATTGTATAGAGTGCGGGTAGCGTCTATCGATGCGCACTGTAGGAAAACAAATGCCTCCTCCCATTGACATCAACATCAACATCAACATCAACATTAGCATAGCGAGTAAGCTGGACGAAAGTAAGAAGACGCAGAAGACGCCGATGCTCAAGCCCTTCGCTCGTCCATGCCGTTCTCACTCCTCCTCCTCTCCCCCCCTTTCCCTCTCCCCTCCTGCATGTATCCGATCTACAACCCCTCCACATGATCCACCCCCTCCTGCGCATCCATCTCCAGCACCCGCATCCAGAAAAACAACCCTTCCTAAGACTTTTGCTGGTTACTCTGCAAATACTGATAGGCGAAGAAGGCCAACGCGGCTCCCACAAGGACGATCGCATAGACGCCGATGCCTAATCCTGCGGCATCGGTGGAGGATTTCGGGGCGGAGGAGCTCGTTGTGGAGGTTTTCGGGGCCGGGTCGCCTGCCTGTGATCGTGAGGCGAAAGAAGTGGTTAGTTGGGTATGTACTTCCATATCGGGTTGGTAGGGGGACGGATATAAGACGGACCTCTCGCTTGAGATTCCCAATCAGCAGACCCTCGAGGATCTCACGCGCCTCGTCGCTGTGGCCGACGTCTTCAAAGGCCTCGGTGGCATCTTGGCCGCCGACGTCGAGGAGGACTTCTTCGCCACCTCTGCGTTCACAATCACGTGTCAGTATGAATCCTACAACAGCAATATAGTTGCGCCCTTTCTGCTGCTCTTCCCATGGGCCACCTGATTTCCACATCCGGATATAGGGAGTTGCTGGGAGGAGGAGAGAGGCAAGACCTACGGATGCTCATCCACGAAACTGCTGGTATTGTAGACCTTGTCGTGAATCACCATATACACGTCCTTCTTGGACGTATGCTCCGAGACGTCCGAGTAGGTGAATTCCTTCGTTTCCGACATCTTCCTATACTTTCTTTACTCTCCCAGGGTCCGGGCTATGGGGATTGCTCGCGGGTGTCGGCGTTACCGAGGTCGGCGTATTAGATGCTGTACGTAGGTATCGTTCGTCTGTTCGTCTGATCGTTTGACCGGTGATTAATGTGGGTATGTACGAGTCGTAGGTTACGAGCAAGTGCGGTAAGCTGTCAATCAATGCAGGATCAACGGTTGGTTGGTGGGCTGTCGGTTCCCATCCCGCACCGCTTTCACAAGCCGGAAACTTATTTCCCTGCTCAGAACAGAGTTGAGAGTAAAAGGTGGGGCCCGACACGTGATTACGGGGTCCCGACTTTGACACCCGTGTGAAGTGAAGCTCGGTAAGGCCTAGAGTTCATCGGCAGGAACGGATGGCAGAGAAAAAGACGAAAGATGTATCGGATAAAAGAATACAAGCCTCTCGCAAACCTTCCCAGCAACGAAAAGGGCGGGCTGAGTGAGTACACAAACACACCTAGAACCTCTTCCCAAAACGAGAAAAAGAGCAGTCAAGCCTAGGACTATATATGCCAATGCCAAAATGTCCGTTCGGTGGTAAGAATGTTCGAAAGAAGCAGATCGGTCGACTCGTAAAAAGGAAAACGCCATGCCACTCCCGCTCGGAACGTCTCACTCATCGCTTTCACCATTCGCCCTAGACCGTTACACATGACTCCATTCGCTTTCCCATCGCGCGCTCTATTCCTTTCCTCTATCGTTTCCTTCCCTGCCCTTCACCGCCGCCACCCAACAGCCCACAGCACCTCTCCAGACCTCCTCATCCTCTGCGCTGCCGGACCCGAATCGCCTCGCGAGACCTGAACGAGCCGGTAGTGGTACGGCATCAGATGTCCAGTCCAGTCCAGACGGTGCGACGACTCCCCCGAGAGATCTAGATCGAAGCAGCTCCAGAGCTACTGCTGAACTCGTCAGGTCCGCTCTCGTTCGCAAACGTCCCTCTATCCCTAATAATAGTCGTCTTCTCTCAATCTGAGCGAAAAGGTGAAGACCAGCTCAGTTCCCCTTATTCCGCCTCTCCTCCGCCCGCGCAACCCTTGCAGCGCGAACAAGCGGACTAAGAGTAGCCAAGGGCTCAGCCGTCTGTATAAAAGCGTGCTTGTAGAGATGAGAGTCAGCACACACATGGCCTCCACAAAAGCATATAGAGGAACCTCTCACCTTCAACAAATCATGCGCACTAGCCCTCTTCTCCGGATCGACCTTGAGGGCGAAATGTAAGAAATCCTTAAACACCGGACTCAAATTATGTTCCTCTTTAATCGTCGGCGTGCCATTCGTGGCGATCAGATACAACGCCCTCAACGGCGACTCAGTCAGATACGGCGGCTCCCCCTCAATCATCTCAATCGCCATGATGCCCAAGGACCAAATATCGATTTTCCGGCCATACTCCTTCCTTGTCACAACTTCAGGGGCCATCCAGTACGGTGTTCCGACCATAGTCGTGCGCTTCATATGACTCTCGTTTATCTGAGCGCAGAAGCCGAAATCAGTGAGTTTAATATTGCCGTCCAGACTGAGAAGGATATTATCGGATTTGATATCGCGATGGATGACGCCCTTGGAATGCAAGAACTGCAAGCCATGCAACGTCTCCCGCGACACGGCCGAGATCTGGCCTTCGGACATCATGTTAAAAGTGACAACGTCGGTCAGACTGCCGCCCTCCATGTACTCCATCACCACCCACAGATCGCCTCGGACGAGGAAACTGTCCATGAAGTTTACGATGTTCTTGTGCTTGCTGTCGCGCATGACCATGATTTCGTTGATGATCAGGTCTTTCTTTGGCTGCTGCTCCAGGTTCATCTGCTTGATGGCGACGCATTTATTCGTGCCGACCTCGTAGGCGGTGTAGACCCCTCCGGATGCGCCCTGCCCGATCTTCACAAGGTTCCTATACTTCTTCGTCGGGTCCTGGGGGCTGCAGATGTGTTGTAGTTTGCTGATGATTTCGGCGTTGGTGATGGATTGTCGTGGTCGGTTCCGAGGCCTGGGTGCTGGTCCCATCTTCGAGTCCGGCTGTATCTGTCTCTGATCCGGCATGGGTGGAGCTTGCTGGACTTGTGGTGCGACGTTCTGCTGCTTCTGTGATACTGATCGATCCAGACTTTGCTGCTTTAATGCTTGTTGAGCGGCCTTCATGGCTTGCTCTTGTTGTTGCTGGTACTGGTGGGGAGAGCTGACAGGAGATGATTGTTGATACTGCTGTGCCGGGCCTGTATTGGCTCTACTTCTGCTTTGAGAGGATGGTGAGACTTCGCTGACTGCGGGTGGAGCATAACGCACAGGAGGCAGACCATCATCTGTACCAGCTCGTTCTCTTTGCGAACTCGGCACACCTGGTGCAGCTCGCTGTGGCATCATGTTCGGCGCACCGGGCGCTTTGGGTGCTGGTCGTAGCGGAAGCATGTTGTTGCCATTTGCTTGTGCGGGAGTGCCTCCAGGAGTCATCAGGCCAAGTCCTTGCATTCCTTTGGGTACTGGAGGCGGCGCTCGTGGGTTTTCAAAGCTCTCGCCTTCATTCTTAGGGAAGCGCGGACTTGCTGGAGGACTCAGTACTTGACCATATGCTCCGCCAGGGCTGACACCACCTGGCGATACTCCTTGCGGCGCCAGCCCCATTTGCGGACTATCCGCGGCGTGTGCGTGGTCGAATTTGTGATAGGCGTAGTCATCACTGCCCCGATCGTTGTTTTCGTTGTAGAATGTAACGACATCAATGATAGCCTGTGGGTTCTTCTTTTGCTCCTGCTCGGTAATGCCATTGGCTTGCAATGTTCTCTGCCACTCCTTAGGTAGGCCCTAGGATATTATTAGTATCGCGTATGAAGTGGATAGTCAGAAGAAGCAAAGACGATGGTGAAACCGCATCTAGCAGGATCGTCCGCATTGCAACCAGATGACAGGATATCTTGACATATATGTGGATTGAACTCACAGTGAACTCGCCAGTCTCTTGATCATATCCAACATGCGTCACATGCACAGGATTCTCCGGAGCAGATATCGCAGGTCTCCGCGGCGACGATAAGTTGAAGAAGCTCGAGAACCCACTTTTCTTCTTCAGCACCTTACTATCCTTCGCTTCATCACTATACCTCTGTCGCGGATTTACCAGCCCACTCAACCCACTCCTCTGCTGCGGAATATCGTCCATCTTCCTACCGGTGGCCACCAAGCTCTGCGACAGCCTCACAGCCGGATTGGCGGCGGCTAGATGAGTGCCGTGTGTGCTACTACTGGGTCGCGGTGTTGGTCGTGTGGGCGCAATGATGGGGTCCGGTATTTGTGAGAGGGTGCGGGTGGTGGATGGGAGGGCGGACTGAGGTTGCGCAGACCCACTATCGATGGAGTAAGGGACGGAGTTGAAGCTGTTGATGACGGCCGCGCTGTCGAAGCGGGAGCCAAGGAGATCGGTCGAGCTCTTTTCCGTTACGGAGAAGCGAGGATGGTGGTTGGAAGTGTATGCTTTGCTGTTCTGGCTTGCCGCGGCCCAACCTGCGTCCAATGTCGGGCTCCGGCTGTGCACCGGCGATAGGGCGTGGGCGCTGTACCGATTGTGGATGTGAGCAGAAGGGGCACTGCGGAGGATGTGTTGTTTGGGTTGGCTATCGTCGCTGGGGGTGGAGGTCAAGGTAGCCGGTGGTGCTCGTTTGGTCAGGCGGCGTCGGTCGTTGGCGTGGGATTGTCTATCGGTTGGCACTTCGCTCATGGCGCCCGCGCGCTCACGTGCATTGCTCGTGCCGTCCTTCACACGCTATGGCGCAATATGTCGGTAGAGAAGTGGGCAGGCCGAGCTGTAGCATATACGGTCGATACAGAAGCCTTGTTATTAGTCAAATGTCAAAGCAGGCATATCAGATACGCGTTTGCGAAGCTGGACGAGCCGGTTCTTCCAACTCAAAGTTGGCGGCGGCAGCGCTGACCCGCCCCTCTCCCACGCGACGTTGGCAAGCCTTAAAGCCACATGCACGCCGGACCACAACCCTACGCATTGATTTTATCCTAAACAAACTATCACTGCCATTCGATGGCCCTACATGATCGCTCGTACACACAACAGCACGCGAGTAGAGCATCGAATTTGAAGTGATGGTAGGACGTCCATACCACGTGCTGGACTCCAATAATGAAGGAGGGGTCTGCCCAAAGTCTACCGGGATCAGTTCAATCACGTTTTCCCGTTTGCGAGCCGCTGAGCACCTCGTCTCTCGCGCAAGCGTGGACCGCCTCATCCTGCAGCATATGATTCGGCCGTCATACAGCCACCCACCGGATGCCAGTCCTGGTCCTGGTCCATGTGCAGCGACCTCTGTTATAGCTATGCCATGTCGTCCCTGATGCAGAGGTACCGGAACGTCCATTCAAAGGGAAACAAGCAATCCTGCATCTACTTGGATCATGAGGATCTTATGCACGGATAAGTTGGCTCGATATCTTCGTTAGCGGCACTTTCCAATCTTGATCCTTCATCTCGAAGGCGGTCACAGCACTCCGATCAGCCATGTCAATTGCGCTGCTGCCTCCGCCTCTTTCTTGACGATATCCAGAACCATTGCTTATCAGCACCGCCCTCACTCGATATTACAGTCTCATAGCTGGTCTGAGACTCAGACTCGCATTGCCGCCATCTCGTCCTTATGGAAAGACACACTTGGACATCGCAATCCACCATAGTGACTCCTGGGTCCGCCCCGATTGCCCCCAATGCTTGGTCGCTGATGTCTCTGACTGCGTACAGACCTAATTAGGTTATAGAACGTCGCAAACTCTGTGCGTATGTTCGCCAAGATCTATAAGACGACCGACAATAGACTTCTGCTCCTCGTGTGAGTGGCCGGGATGAAGATGAACCGTATGAGCCCGTCACCTTTCCCGCCACGTGCAAGTCGGCTTCCACCGCTGAAGCTCGATAAGTGTCCTCTAGTCTGACCGGCTGCTCGGGGATATAAGTCTCTACGACACATTCGACGAACGCTACATCAGGATCTGCTCGGATCGCAGCCAGAGTCGCATCGTGATGTCGAAAGCCGAATAGTACAGAACGTCCATAATGTTGTCGAAGACTTTGCTCGTATGTGTGTCAAGATCGACGGCGTGGCCGACAGTCGCCTTGTGCTGTCCATAATCGACGTGTGGGCGCAGGGAAAACGACATACCCACCAGGGTCTTTGCGTTCCTCCGCGAGGTCGACGTGGTATAACGGAGCTTAGTGAGGGTCTGTCCAGGGCGCGGTAAGGTCAAGGAGCTTGAAGGTGGGCAACTGACGGTAACGATATATGTGTGTTGCGATGATATCATGGATCTTGACAATATATGCTGCCCACAATGCCAGTAAAAGAGTAGCAAGAGCTGCTATCTCTGCCAGTCTTCGATACATCTCACTGAGGTCGTTGCTTGATCTTTCGTCTTCGCTCAGCCTGTATCATACTCTGAAGGTGACGGTGAACAGATGTTCTCAAGCCAAGTCATGTCAATTGTAGTTGCAGCTGGATACGTGTCCATGTGAAAACCCATCGATGCTTTGGAGAATAGATCATTTAACACTGCAGGTACCCATGGAAAATGATACGATACGGATCAAATGCAGCCGGATCATGGGTTTCGGATCCCATCATACATTCGACGAGCATGGTGGTTGAACGATGTTCATGTGCGAAAAGTGATACATTACGTTTCCGACGGCTGCTCGCTTAGAACTACTAACGGGAACTATTACTGCGCAAAGCGGAAGTGTCTGCCTGCAGTAGGGCTATTTGAGACTGTTCATCACCAGATATCTACTGCACATCGTCATCTTACAGGAAAACACACACGTATTGGCCGCCTGTACCTCACCATCGATGCTTGGTTACAGCTTATTAGCACAACATCTCCGCGATGCTCCGATGTATTGCAGAGAAGACGCATCTGAAGCCTTCGTGGATACGTCCACGATCTGTGTAGTCTCTCTTGCAGCGGAGGTGGAAAACGGCAGCTACACTTTTATGACCAAGACATGCCAAGTACGTCTGCAGGCATGTAGGGTTCTGGACACGGTGCCAAGGACTCGCGGAATAGAAACCTCGTAACCTCCTTGTATGCTTGTATGCGCGGGGCTGCGCGAGCTGCGTGATACCAAGAGAACGGGTAGACAGTCGGTAGGTGCGACGCGAGGTTCCACGTGTGTTGGATGTGCTCATAAGGCTTTGCTCTCCTGACTTTGCAGAGTCCCTCACATCTCGGCTGCATACTGCTAAAGAGCTCATCTCGACGGCGCCAGTGGATCTGAAGTTACTATGACGGCCTTCGATACCTCGCCCGATCCTGCGGACTGGGAGAAGCACACCAACGCGCGCGAAGAGACCGTCCACGAAGCTGCGGATCGCGGACATGCAGCCACTGACAGGTGAGTGTCTTGTGATGTTGTTCGGGCAATACCTACTCATACGGCAGCGCAGATATGGCAACGCGCTCGTACACTTTGATCCTGCTGCTGAGCGGAAGTTGAGATGGAAGATCGATCTGTACATCATACCTACGATCTCACTTCTATATTTGTTCGCATTCATCGATAGGGCAAATATTGGTCAGCTTCATCCAACATCACTGTAGACATATTGACTAACAAGTGAGTAGGAAATGCAAAGATTGCTGGCTTCGATCGTGATCTCAAGCTCAAAGGTTATGGTAAGATATCATCGACAAGCCCGTCCCGCCGAATGCTAATCTCGCTCAAGACTACAACATTATCCTCAGCATCTTCTATGTTTCCTACATCATCTTCGAGATCCCGGCCAACATGCTGTGCAAGAAGCTTGGACCTGGCTGGTTTATCCCGACTACCAGTTTGCTATTCGGTATCTGCAGCTTTGGCACGGCCTTTGTCAAGACTCGAGCTCAGGCATGCGGCGTGAGGTTCCTGCTTGGCATCTTCGAGGCTGGCATGTTGCCTGGAGTATGCATCTTTTGGAGAATCCACCGGAGTGTCACTCGTGCTGACGTATGTCTAGATCGCCTACTACTTGAGCCGCTGGTATCGCAGGAGTGAACTCGCTTTCCGCTTGTCGCTGTACATTGTCATGGCGCCCCTCGCAGGAGCCTTTGGTGGCCTCATCGCATCCGGGATCCTCACCCGGGACAGTATTGGCAGCCTCAGAACGTGGCGCATGATCTTTGTGGTTGAGGGTAGGCGATTTGACTCCCCATGGCTTGAGACTGTGGGAACTAAGCTGACGGCCCACACAGGTATCATCACGTGCGGTCTAGCTCTAATTTCCTTCTTGACGTTGACGGATCGGCCGGCAACCGCTCGATGGCTGTCCCAAGAAGAGCGCGATCTTGCGATTGCTCGGGTGAAGTCTGAGCGTGTTGGCGTGACAGAAGTCCTGGACGAGATCGATACTGCGAAGACCTTGCGTGGAATCTTCAAGTGAGTCTCGTCTGATCGGATCCTCTAATTGTATGTTTTACTGACGTCTTCATCCAGTCCCGTGACACTTGGGACATCCCTCATCTTCCTTCTCGACAATGTCACCGTGCAAGGCTTGGCTTTCTTCCTTCCAACCATCATTCGCACCATCTACCCGAAGAATACTGTGGTCTACCAGCAACTACGCACAGTCCCGCCATATATGTAAGTACCATAAACCGGACCCCTGTGCGAGACATCGATGGGTGCATACTGATACCCCTTGCAGTATTGGCGGCTTCTTCACCGTACTGTTCTGCTTCATCTCCTGGCGCATTGATCGAAGGCAGATCATCTTTATCGCTTCTGCGCCGTTAGTCATGATTGGTAATACTCGGTTCTGGGACCATAGGCCGAAGTGACACTCAGCTAACCATTGTTCAGGCTACATCATGTTCCTCGCCTCGGAAGAAGCACTTACTCGCTACGGCGCGACATTCCTCATCACAGCCGGTGCCTTCTCGTATGGCGCTCTATGTAACGCTCAGGTCTCAGCCAACGTCGTCACCGATACTGCTCGTGCGTCAGCAATCGGGACGAACGTCATGTTCGGCAACATCGGCGGGCTTATCAGTACCTGGGCATTCTTGCCTTTCGATGCACCTAACTACCACATTGGCAATGGTCTCAATCTTGCAACCAGCAGCGCAATGTTCCTTGTCAGTATACTGGTCCTTTTCTGGATGAAGTGGAACAACAAGGTCAGGGAGAGTAAGGACGTCGATGCTGAGCTGGCCAAAGTGGAGACGAGGACGATGCAGGATCTCGACTGGAAGCATCCGTCTTTCAGGTGGCGGCCGTGAGTCACAGCTACCCAAGGTGAGGCTTCCGGCAGTGGGAAAGAGGCACGCTGATAATGCTCGGCGTCAATCTTTTCTTTTACAAATAACAAGCCAACTGTTCTCTAGGAGATGACGATTGAACCCCCATAATGGCGTACCATGGAACAGTTTCAACTCGAGCCGACTGCTAGTCCCAACAGCTTTGCAAGTGTAATGAAGCCTTCCTCGTGCTCTTCGATGACCAAATCAGCTATATCCTCGTGCTGTAGCTCGGGGTTCTTCTCCTCCAATGGCCTGTTGAGATATATGGTGCGAAACCTACAGGCCTTTGCTCCTTGCAAATCGCCCAGATGTGCAGCTACAAGCGCGCTTTCGTCGGGTCTCACACCAAGTCTCTCGCTCGCGCCAAGATAGACCTTCGGATTCGGCTTGAAGGAGTCGAACATGTCAGCGGAAAACACATGAGTAAAGGGGATTTTGCTGTGGGCGACCAGGGACTGCAGCAAGTCGTTATAGGTATTTCTCAGGGCCACCATGGTGGCTTTACTGTTCAGTAGACTCAGACCACGACAGGTGTCAGGCCATGGAGGTAGGCGGTGCCAGACACGGCCAAGATGGTCCAGCTGTACGTCGTAGAATAGAGAGCCTTTTTCGGCTTGACCCTTTTTGTTCAGTTTGATGAGGCCACGACCTGCCAGTAGCGTGCGTAAGGACTCGATGCGTCGTAGATCAACCTCTCTCCAATCCACGCTACCGTGCTTCGCCTTGCTTTCCCTGATGAAATCGTCCTTGGATTCGTTCCATTTCTGCTTGACAATCAATCCTTCCCGCTAGCAGATCTCTTGTCACTATATGCTCACTCACCCCGCCAAGCTCGAACCACTGCTCGTACGTCTGGGAGAATTAGCTCATGTTCCGACCCTCGCCTGAGTTGACGAGTTGACCAGATTGTACCATCTGCGTCGCTTTCGTACGGACTTCACTATCGATCAAAGACAGGCCTTGCTCGTCAAGTGCGTCTTTAGCAGCAAGCCACAGTTCATCTGCTACTGGTTCCCGCTGCACCACAGATGTGCCAAATACGTCGAAGAAAAGGAGACGCAGATGTGGTAGAGATGCCATGCTTGGTGCTTTGATGGTATTGTGGAGGGCAACGCGAAGCTTGACGAGAACGGCATCATTCGAGTGAGCATACGAACAGCTTTATATCGGTCCATCCCGGACGAGTCCAGGTTGGCCACGCGCTACAACAGCCTCCTTGTACTGTTATGTCCTACGCAGATTATGAGAGATCGCCTGGAGTATCTCGGCTGTCGGCAAGCAGCCCTAGGCATGATTGATGCCAGCACGCCATCTCCATCCTCTCCTGCTGCCGCCGGCCGCGGGTCAATCGATAGACGAGAGCCCATTATGTAGCTTCCTCGGCATGCGCTACATCATCATTCATTCGTATATCAGCAGTGTGCATAGAAGATGGCAGTTGATCAGCAACGTGCAGCCACAAATGGTCCCAACGAGGCAACAACCAAGAAAAGGCTAATTCTGAATGCCTTCGTCAAGACATGTATACCTCGCCATGGAAAGATCCGTTCAGTCCTAAGCTGATCGATAACAGGCTCTGGCCATCAGAGTCCTGGTCTATGGCGCCACCTAGAGGACGAATCGACCAACTTCAATTCTGTAAAGCATTGGACCGATCTAGCTAAGCTGCTCGAGGATGGCCACTTCCGTGGCATGTTCATAGCGGATGTGCTTGGTGGATATGATGTGTACGGAGGCCCAAAGAACCTTGCATCGGCGATCAAGTCAGGAGCACAATGGCCTGTGAACGAGCCGCTAGCTATGGTTTCAGCCATGGCAGCAGCAACCAAGAGTATAGGCTTCGGCGTGACTGTCTCGACCAGCTACGAGCAGCCGTACCATTTAGCTCGTCGTCTGAGTACTCTGGACCATCTCACAGGAGGAATGAGAGTAAGTGTTATCAAAGCCCGTCAAAGCTGATCAGGCTAGGTAGAGTTGGCTGGAACGTCGTTGCAGGGTACCTTGACTCCGCAGCCCGCAACCTCACAAACGGAAAGCCACAAGCAGACCATGATGAGCGCTATGCTGTTTGTGAGGAGTACATGGATGTTGTATACAAGCTTTGGAACTCCTCATGGCGGACCGACGCTGTCGAACTGAACCGTAAGACCGGGGTCTATACCGATCCTACGCTTGTACGAGAGATTAATCACCAGGGCAAATACTTCCAGATTCCTGGTCCACACTTCTGTCAGTACTCACCGCAGCCGACACCAGTCATTATGCAAGCAGGCACTAGTCGAGCTGGAAAAATCTTTGCCTCCAAGCATGGGGAGGCTATATTCGTGTCTGCACATAGTCCGACCGCTGTTGCGAAAAGTATCGCAGACATCCGCCAACAAGCTGCCGAACGTGGTCGTGATCCGGCCTCCATCAAATTTCTAGCGAAGTTCTGCCCTATCCTTGGTCGTACGCAGGAAGAGGCAGAAGACAAATACAAGGACTATCTGAAGTATGGCGACTACGACGGCGCTCTAGCACTTTTCGGGGGTTGGACTGGCGTTGATATGGCGCCTTATGCTGAGGACGAAGAGCTACGGTATGTTGACAGCAATGCTATAAAGTCGTACATCGAAGACCTGATTAAAGTTGCGCCTGACATCAACGGTGGTAAGTGGACCAAGCGGACACTGGCAGAGCATATCATGGTAGGGGGCCTGGGAGCCACGAGCATCGGCACTCCCGAGACGGTCGCGGATGAAATGGAGCGATGGGTTCGAGAAGGTGATGTGGATGGGTTCAATATTGTACGTTCACCCACACGCCTTACACAAATATCATGGCTAACCGTCTTAGGCGTACGCTGTCTTCCCTGCCACGTTCAGGGACACAATTGACATGCTCGGACCGGAGCTTCAAAGACGTCGTATTTTCTGGCATGATTTCCACGTTCCTGGTGGCACGTATCGATAGAATCTATACGAGTTGCAAGGGCAGCATGAACCACTACATGACCATCCGGCAGCCGCGATGATATGGAGGGCACCGACTTCCGACGAGAATGCAGGTTATAAGAATCTACCAAACGGCGCAGCAAATGGACACGTCCGCTATGAGCATACAGACGAGCAACTGGACCCCATGACCATGCAACTTGGCTGAAACTGTCTGTCCTTAATTGCTTGTGAACACATATAAGCGCTTCTAGCGGCGAAATTGCTGGCGGCTGCTTTGGCCCATCATGACCATGCTTCACTCGTTGCGTTCACCATATAACAAACATGCATCAATTCTGGACGACAAGCTTCTCAAGATCTTTGACCTCGTTATCGTCACGCCTCAGCTTCACCCTCCAAGCCGGCAGCTCGACCACCTTCTCGTCATGCCAGAACACCACCTCGTTGATCGGCAGACCGGCATAACTCGCCACATCAACATCCGTGTTGCAGAAGTCGTCCCATACTTTTTCCTTCCCAGTTCGTTCTGAGACGATTAACAATCGCCAGATCTCTCCTCCTTGTGTGGTTTCGTTCTTGTAGAGCAGGGTCGGCTGAAGTTGTGCATGCCAGGATTCGCCAGACTTCACGCCAGCAAACGCTGGTAGAAGAGTGTCGAAGACGTCCGTAGAATTCGAGATGAAGGTCTCCAGGGTCAACCCTAGCGACGAATGTGCCGCAAATGTGACAGATGAGTTCAGATGCGGTGGCTCAATGGCAGTGTATGAGCCTGTGTATGCAGACTCCACATCATCCCAAATTGCAGCTTCTGCGGCGCGGACGAGTGGCACGCTGACAGCTTCTTGGATCTGTTCGAGGATAAGGTTGCTTCCACCCACGAGGATGGTGAGACCAAGACCATACTCTGGCATCAGTGATATGCGGGAAAAGTACATTGGCACACCTCCTGCCTTCGTTACAAAGGTCACTGGCCTCATGGTCTCCTCAAGGATCTGGACCGTTCGAAAGATCTCCCAAGGCATTCCGTAGAAGTTCTGCAGATTTGTGCCCCAGCTTGCTGGCATGAACCAATTGACTCCAGTGGCAAGTGCGTTGTAATGAGTCAAGACGTAGCGGCAGTAAGCGCTCATGTCAGTGGAACTGCTGTAAATCCCTCCCGTAGGATTGTGAATCCCCTCATCTACATCCCAGAAGTACCCCCCCACTGGCAAGACAGCATTCTCATCTGAAGGCTTGCTGAGAGTAGTCGATGACATGTTCAAGGGCTTGAAGATTGCTAGATCCATGTACTCCTCATATGGCAAGCCAGTGACGTTCTGCAGAACGAGGCCAAGAAGCTCGAAGGCGACATTACTATAAGTGCTCTTCTGGTTCGGCGCAAATAGTGGTTGTTTCTTCAAGAAGTATTCTAGTAGCTGTGTGCGATTACAGGGTTTATGGTCGTTGTACTCGTAGCAGTCCGGCAGACCTTTTGTATCCACCGGTGGTAGGCCCAGCTTGGTAGGATCAGAGACCTCGCTGAAGATGTCAGCCTGGTCCATCTCGCGGGGTATGCCAGACAGTTGACTGGCTAGGCTGCGAAGAGTGATATCTTTCCATGGTATGGAACCACTGTCAGGAACAGATAGCTCGGGGATATACTGGTTCACAGGGCTGTCTAAGCTGAGATTCCCAGCAGCATGCTGATACAGGATTCCAAGGACAGTAAAGGTCTTGGTCATGGATGCTATGCGGTACTGGCTTTGACCGCTGACATGAGTAGTCCCAGGGCGGGTTTCGTTGTGCTCACGAGCAGTATGGTAATACGTCCATAACGTTTCCGTCTGCGACGTGACTTCGACGGAGAAAGATGTGGTATTGTATCGGCTGTTCGATGCCAAATCCGTAAGAGTAGATTCAATGCTGTCCAAGACAGGATCGAGCGCGTGAGCATTGTCACGCCAGGAGGGAACTGGAAAAGCAGGTGACGAATCGAAGCAGGTTGCAAATGTACCTGAAATAAGACATGAAACTGCGATCAGCTGCTTCATCATGATGGGACTGTATACACGACGTCGTCCAAGTAGCTTTCCAGGTCGTTTGTTTTGTATGCCCGCACTGCGACGCGTATGGATGTATGCCAGCAGGCAACCATTTGGTAGGCTCATGCACCTTCCTGATCGAGCAATGTGGGACATCAACCTCCCCGCTCATGCGGACAGATCTCATACGAACGACAAATAAGTACGGTCAAAAGGTTATTATCACTCGAGCAAGTCTGCAGGCTAAAGTCATTGATGATAGATCGATCACCATCGATATTAGACATTATGCTATTGTTATATATGAATCGTGAAGATTGACACAAGATTGTAATAAAAGCTTCAAGTCAGCCCTTGCCTCGTCCTACGCCCTCTCCTGAGCATTCGCCACCGCTCTGCAAACCCTATACTGTCCTGTCTCATCCTTCCCTCCCCCAGGCTTTCCAGAGTCTTGTCGTCGACAGTATGACACGGCATGCAGGTATCCGCTCTTTGTCGCGGGCCAGCCACTTGCGGGTCCGGGAAACACAGCCATGCAATTGGTGCAATGAGCAATATGAACACTGCGAAAAGATACATGAGGTTTCCGATCGCAGGTGAGTTTAGCGAGGGTAGGTGGCCATGTGCAAAGCTCAACTTTGTGCCCTGCACCGCCACAGCACCAAGCTTGCCGCATGCAGCAGCGATACCATAGCATGTGCATCGGTAGCGTGTCGGGAAGATCTCGGCTGGAATGATGAAGAGTAGCGTGTTTGGTCCATATGCGAACAGAAACTGGATGATAGCGTAGAAAATGATTAGCACAATATGTGCCGGCTTGTGGAAAGTGTGTGGGAACACTACTGCAGTTGCCAGCAGCACCAACCCCAACAAAATGCTCGTCCAGATTAGGGTAAAGCGCCGGTTTATGAACTGTATCTGGTATGTGATAAGACTCGAACCAATGATCGACCAGATGGAGACCGTGACAATGGCCTCGATGGCGTTCCATTTGAGCGCGGAGAATATGGACTCTCCGCAGTACAATTGCCATGAATCCTGATCAGTCGTGGTACAGACGGGGCCATTAGTCCATAGCTTGGAGAGAGTGCCGGGGTTGTTGAAGCCAAGGCCATAGAAGACATACTATACAATGTCAGTCGCAATCTAAAGCTAGCAGGTTGGCATTACAGGATATGACACACATCTAGGAGGAACCAGCAGATGCTAGCGCCAGCCAAGTAGCGCCAGTTTCCACCGATGCTCTGCTGCTCAGAATCTTGATGTTCAAGAAAATAGCGCTTCAGCTCTGCCCTTTGAACTGCGTGAGCTTCACTTCATCTTCGTCAAACTGATCGTCCGCGGCAGCAAGTTGCTCATCTGGGTCATGTATTCCCGTGGTTTGCTGGCGGTCATCTGGCATTGAATTGGCAGCCCTGGCGGCAAGATTCATCTGGTCCTCAGCAGCTACGGAAGATCGGCGCGCCCTGACCAGTGGTTCTTGTCTCAACTCGCCGATTCTCAGCATTTCCGCTTCCGGATCCGATTGCCTGGTGCCGCGACGCTGCGTCCCTCTGCAAGGCCGATCGTGGTTACCAAGCTGCACATCTGTCAGATAGATCGGCAGCTCAGTCGGTGGTGGGATAGTCCCATGCCGTTCTCTTCCCCAAGCCATTCGCTGCCGTCCAAATGCATTGATGGCGCGCGAGTTTGATCTACTGTTGGCAAGGGAGAGGTCACGTATGCCCTTCCTAGTGTTTCTGATAGCTCGCCTAGCATCAATCTCGACGTCGTAGATGTAGCGACCAGATTCAGGTAGCAAAAACCTGAACGAGAACGCAATCAGCGCCGGCAGGGCACCGACTGCCGTGACAATTCGCCAGAGTATGTCGATGCCGATTCGACTTTTGCCGCCCGGGTCGTCACCCGTGCTGTCCAGGCTATACTGGTATTGAAGCCCATTAAGCACTGCGAGGCCAACTCCATATGCGCAAAATTGTCCAAGTGGCTGCATCAAGAAAACAGCACTTAGCATCTTGGCGCGGTGCTGCCGTGAGCTCCATTCGACGGCAATACACGCACTCAAAGGATACTCAGCTCCTGACGCCTGTCAGTGAATGAGACATATTTTATTTGAACCACTTACCTATGCCTATCCCCAATACAAATCGCCAGCACATCAGTAGAGCCTTCACAGACATGGAGTGTGTCCTCCCATCCGGCGAGAAGCCAGGTCCACATATTGCAAGACCCAAGGTACTGGATATGACAATGACTAGCTCGACACCGTAAAGGCGCTGGCGGCCATAGCGATCAGTGTTTTGAAACCTGCAATTCTAAGAGCGAAAGTTTTGCAACCACGACAGGTCAAAACAACGGTTGTACTGAGCCATACATATAAAGCGTTCATCGTAGCCTTCCAGTTATGCAAAGCCGCAGCCTTATCACTCGCAAGTCTCATCTCGAAGCGAGCGGCATATTCTGAAGTGCTGAGTCGGACCACCAGTATTGAAAGGGGCGTACTGCGCAGCCGTGAGATCCACAGTAGCTGTTCGTGCCAACGACCTATTATCGAGTCCAGCCGCCACTGTATGTAGATCGAAACCGGTCTTATGGTCCCGATCGATGAGGCCGCACGGCTGAAGCTCTGAAATTCAGTCGACGGCAGGCGTGGTGGCTGCGCCGCCCTCGTTTCGTGGCATGGTGCGGGCGTCAGACATGCATGCAAAGGCAGGCTGTGTTGGTACCTTGGCCCGCGACGAGCTCTGCTCTGCCGACTTGCCGAGTGATCGCACTCACACGCACTCCAAGATCATAGCCCGTCGGTCTGTAGACATCGCATCCTCATCGACTTTATCTGTCGTCTGGGTCGAGTTCTCGCGGACTTCCCGTTGGTGAAGGCGTTGTTGTAGCTGGTCCAAGGGTCCGTGTGCTTGTTGTTCCGGGACGGGAGTCGGGGACGAAACATCCCGATGGCGGTCGCACCTGGGTTTTCAATCACAGAACTCGTTCAAGTTCTTTACAGATGCAAGGACATATATCGAGCCTTCTGCAGCAAGGACGATAGCGCGGCTGTGCGCCTAACAGTGTTCGGCGAGGAGCTCGATCGTGTGGAAGAGGAGCTACGATTCGATGATCAGATATTCAGCTGGACCGGCCAGCACTATCCAGGGTTGAAGGCCTTCGACTCTAATCTCAAGGCGTATCTGAAATTCCTCGACAACAACTTGTCAATATTCAACAAAGCCTACATTCGCAACCCTGGCGGCGCACTGCGCACGTTGCTGACAGCATTCGACGATGAACTCCCCCAATACAGAGATAGGTTGAGTTACGACCGCCAAGAGTTCTGCAGCTACAAGCTCAGAGTCTTACTCGAGCATTCATTCAGACGATCAGAGCAGCCTGATGCGCCTGCTGGCCATGATGTTTTCCAGAGACCAGCGTCGTCGATGTGCCGACCAGCACAGGCTTTCACCCTACCGCCACCTGACCCAAGCACGGAGCTTGTCTTGATACTCAATTAGTACAAACGTCGTGTCAACTCTCAAGCAGACCATGCTGGCAGTATAGAGTCACTCAACAACCGCTTTTGGTCATGTTATTCTCAAATATGCCAACAGAATGGACTACCCGATGATTTCCCGGTGCCTGTGATACCGCTTGACGATCTGCAGAAGTACTTGGACAGCGCCAGGCAGAGTTATGCTCTGCAGAGTTCTGTTCGTACGTTGCGATCTAGATCGGACGTAGAAGTGCTCCAGTCTCGTTTCTGCCAGGTCAATATCCTGGTAGGGCTGGACGACCCCATTTGCGCAGTTCAGTATCTCATGCTGGGACGGACGTGTCGCTTCGTCAACGCACAGAAGCAGACGCTATTCGAACACTATCTCCGAGACCGCGATCATTGTTTCTCACGTTTCAACGTCGACAGGAAGCCACTGACTCTCGGCTTCCTGGACGGACAACAAATCACCAATTACCCGGCCACTACGCAGCCCGAGTACAAATTCTACGATAAAGGAGCCTACGAGCAGTTCCAAATCGACATAGAACAAAAGGCTTTGCTGCTGGAGTCTCGCATAATCTCCATGAAATCTGAGTCTTTGAAGGAGTCGACTGGAAATGCGATCAACTTTTGTGCTAAACTCTGAAAGAGCAACGATAATACGCCTGAGCCTTGGCTGACTTTCCCAGCTATGTTCCAAAGGTGGATGAAAGTATGGATTGTCCCGTTGCGGTGGTTCAACGACCTTGCCATACCTGCACAGGACTCTAGTAGAGAGATTACTATGCAGTTGGCAACGCCTCCGGACTCTCCGGTACCAGCAGGACAGCGACGAGATAGTCTGAGCCGGAAGACAAGATCAATCAGTCTCTATCCACGGCGCTCTTCTGTCAGCAGTAATAAGAGTGATACTAACAGCCTGGCATCATTCACCTCATCCCAACCGGCCGGATCCTACGCTCCACAAGGTTGGATTGAAAAGGTCGGCTACCTTAAGATTACCTTCGAAACCCCAGAAGGGCGAATAGCATTTGTGGAAAGCTTCCGACAGCTACGCCAGGTACTGAGGCCAAACCATCGAAATACGTGGAGTACTGCCGCATCTTCTACCGTAGGCAGTCCTTATATCCAAGCTTCGGACTGTAGCTTGCAGACATCTGCGTCAACGATTACGACGACTTCGCCTGCTACTAGTCCTTCGTTGACAGGTCACAGCCCGGCACTGTCTATTTCGCGAGTACCCGTCGGCAGCCGTTCGATGGCCCAAGGACCAAGTCCTCGCCCTCCTCGCGATGAGCATGAGGTCCGGAGTCATATGCAGACTCTTGATCTGCGTACAGCGACGGGCTTAGTACCACTTGAGGCGGTCATGGATGAGGACGAGGTCGAGCATATCTAGTCTACTCACGATTGACGACATATCCATCATCGAGCGCAAGATCGGGATATTCGAGTACTGCAATGTGCATTCTCCTGTTTCACAACTCGTTGAGGGTACACAGGAGGACGGAACTCACATTCGTTGGTGCAACCTTGTGGGGATCCGCCTCGTGATAGACGATAGGCTACGGTATATTCTTGACGTAATATTAGATCACTGACTTAATGCACCGATGGTATAGCGGCGATGCACGAGATAATGCCATTGCGGTGGTTAATGTATGCAGCATTGAGTCTCGGCCTTGGCGAATCTTACGGAAGTGCCTACGTTGCAAAACTGCCGTGCTTTCCCTACTTTCACTTTAGAAAGACATGTACCCACCTCTCGAAGAAATGGCATGAGGGAGGGTGTTGTCGATATCGTCAGTAGCGCAACTAAGTTGCATTCTGACGGGGCTACCGCTTCATCCCGACAAAGATCTTTGGCCGAGCTTGGCCATCTTGCGGCCAGAACGGATGTGAGCTGATCAATCCGAAGAGGAAGAACAGCATGGTGATTAGAGCATGGTTCGACACGCGCAAGTAGTCACACAGCGAACTCCTTCGTCCTATTGTTTATGCATGGAGCACCAAGGGACGAACATCCTCATGACTGGAGACAACGACCCAGGGCTCGCGCCACAGATATAGACGAGTGCAGGCGCTGAAACATGCACGCTTGACTTTTCACGACGTACGAAGGATGATTGTCGGGAGCAAGAAGAAGAGGATGCCAGAGTGCGGTAGATTGCAGATTATGAATGACTTCAGGCGGGCCCGCATGCGGTCCCTTCAAGACTCGTCAGTTCTTGGCAATGTTGCTTCCTGTTTGAGGATGCTTTTCTTCTTGCATGATACTGCTGGGTTCCCTGATGGTGTCGGCTAGACGACACTCGGTTGTAAACTATCACCGCTCACGAAATACACCATTCGGCATCGTCAGCGACGCCACGCTGTCCACCGAACCCGAGGCATCTCCCACCGAATAGCTCGCCAGTCGGCCATATGTGAGCTCGAAAGGGACTCGTAGCGTGCCAAAATCATAGAACTCTTCGCCGTCCAATTGCGCATCTACGATTAGCGCCGTCTCGTCCTGGAGAGATCTCTTGTCGATGATGGCGAATAGCTCGAAGTCAATGTCCGCGCCATTGCGCCGCAGCTCCTGCAATAGAGCTGCACATTCCTGGGACGTCTTGTCCTTGAAGGGTGAAGCTGGGTCACTAGAAGTGTTGTGACCGTGCTCGGATTGCTCATTGTACTGTATTGTTAAGCTATCGACAAAGACTAGGAAGATTTGCATGGCGTTTCCGTTTCCGTAATCTTGTGCTCGTTGTAGCAGACGATCTTTGACCTAACAGCACAGCCATTGGTTGATTGTGGGAGTGATGAGCATGACGTACTTTGGACTCACTTCGGCGCTGACGTCTGCAGCACAGCAGATCGGAATGAGACGTCCGCTGTCGTCGTGAGTTAAGCGCTGTGCGGTCATCGTGTGCAGTGGTGATCTGCCAGCAAGGTTTATTTTTCAAACTGCCGTGCCTTCCCCACTTTGTTCCAACGACGAACCCACTTCTCGAAACAGTGACTTGTGGGCCTCTCAGATATATAACTACGTGCTGCTCATACCAGCAGTAACTTGGTCCCTCGTAGAAGATCGGTATGTAAGAGATAGTCGCAAAGGTGTCAGCGTCCAGCTCCGCCGTCACATTGAACTTCTGCTCAACTCCTCGTCCGGAACATGGCGCCTCCGACAGCAGTAATCACTGGTGCATCTTCGGGCATAGGCCTAGCACTGACCAAACACCTATTATCGCTTGGCTGGTGTGTCGCAATGGCTGATATCAACCCACCACAAGAGGATCTTGGAAATAGAACACTCTACGTGAGAACCGACGTAACATCCTGGTCACAGCAAGCATCTCTTTTCGATGAAGCGTATAAGTGGCAAGGTCGTCTGGACTTCTTCGCAGCCAACGCTGGCATCGACGATCGAGACGACATCTTCAATTCGATATCCTCTGACAAACCACCAAAGCAGCCGAACATGATGTGCTTCGATGTCAACCTCGTGGGACAGTATTACGGTATCAAGCTCGCAGCCCATTACATGAGTCTCGACAGCACAGCCGGGAAGGCGAAGCGTGGTGGCAAGATCGTGGTTACTTCATCCGGTGCCGGCATCTATCCAAGTCCCTTTGCGCCGCAGTATGCAGCCTCGAAACATGCTCTTGTCGGGCTGGTGCGATCACTAGCACCTATTTCGGCGCCAGTGGTACAGAACTCCCTGGAGGCCACGTATATCCGTTGATTCTGCTAACATGTCGACAGTAAGTCGACACTCCTCCCATCCCGATTGGCTCCTACTTCGAGACCTTTCCAAGCAGCGCTAGGACCCGCTGTACACAAGACATGGAAACCGAGATAAACGGAGTCACCTGTTGCTATCTCGCTCTTGCCCGAGAGAACGAGCTGACGTGTCCTCCCCAAAATTCTAGGAATATCAGAATCAACGCCATATGCCCAGCACTCGTACGCACCGGCCTCGCGCCTCCAGGACTACTCGAGCAGTTCAAGGATGAGCAGTTAACACCCATGGAGACAATGCTCCGCTGCTTCTCCACTCTAGCAGACTTCGAGAACGTCGGAAAAGCGGACTGGGTGGAGAGCGGCAAGAACGGCGAGACGGTCGAGGGTAATCTCACAGACCTGATCTGGCATCAACCGCCTCAGCCGCCACCTGAGAAGTCCTATCAAGACGAAGAAGGACAGAAGGCGTGGGCGAAAATCTATCATGAGAGAAACAGGAAGTTTGCTGAGGCGGACTGGGAGAGCGAGAAGCAGGTGTAGCTCGGAAATAGACTGGGTACTAGTTTCGCCCCTTACTTGTAAAACCACATCATTCGTGACTACTGACTTGGCGTGAGTATCTGAAAGCAGAATGAGTCGATTTAGCATCAGCGACGTAGGTATGGGCATCTCATAATTCATCCCCTTGGTCATCCTCCTCATCAACGACCTCAAGCCCTTCTCCCCACCGTCCCGCACCAGCCGCCACATCACCACCACCATCCTCCTCATTCTCCTTCCCCAAAGGATACCCCTTAGTCCAAACTGGAATTCCACCAATCCACCCCTCCACTTCCTTCCCCGCCTCCTCCGCCAAGCCAACCAAATACTCCTTCAACCCCGCCGCACACACCAAAATCTCGGTGACATTATAGCCATTCAAGCACCCCCCACGCGGACAATACTGCCGAAAGATCTTCTCATACACATCCGCACCCGCATACCGCGCCAAACCTTCCGCAAGCGCCGCAAGATGCACGTTCGACCATACCAGCATCCGTGCCTTCTCTACATCGGCGGGAGGAGGTCCGATGCGTGGGCAGAAGACAGCCTCGCGCGTGAATGGCGCGCCGTCTTGATCGTACTCGACCCGCGGCTCTGGCATACGTAGATGTTGGCGTTTCTGTCTTGGCACGATGCCGCCTTCTGCACAGAGACGTTCAATATGAAGTTGCTTCCATTTGCGCCGGGCGGTTTTGACGCGTTCTTCTTGTCTGGCTTCTACCGCTGCTCGTTGGGCGGCTAGTGCGCGGTCTTCTGCGGCGCGTTGGCTCCGGATTAGAGTAATTTCTTCTCGCTCGCGACGGACGAGTTGTAGTGTGAGTGCTTTGTCGATGGGCTTGAGTTTCGCGACTATACTGTCGACGGGTTGGACGATGCTGAGGTGGGTGCCTGGACGAGCTTTGAAGTCTTTTGCGCCGATGCCTAGGTTGATGGTCATTCTGATAAAGTTCCTGATGTCTCTGAGGCGTTCGAGGGTAAGTGATTCGCGAGAACCGGCATCTGCTTTCTCGTAGTCCTTGACCATGCGCCATAGAAGTTTTACGAGCTGCGGGAAGAGGTTGGCATATATGTTTTTGCAACGCACTTCGTTCTCAAGATCCGGTGCTTCGCCATGCACAGTAGTGTACAGTGCACGGACTTGATCTGAGAGATCATCAACGTTGACCTCTGCTTCAGGTTGCGTCAAGTCGTCCTCCAAATACTCGTCGCACAAATCGAAAACGGCCTTCACAGCATGATCTCTGAGTTTGATCGTTCGTGCAGGCTGAGGTTCGCCCTCTCTTACCCACACTCCTATCTCGGCGACAGCGTTGCGAACAATCTTGAGTGCACGCCACATGCCATAGAGACGACGGCCAGGGGCTTGCGCACCTTTTGCTTCGGGTTCGTCTCCCTCTCCGTATCTCATTGATGCACTGCCACTGGCGGTGTCCGCAAGTGTCTGCTTCTGTCGCTTAGCAGAGGTATTCGCAGCAGATGCACTGCCCTGGCTTTGAACCCATTCCCGCTTTCGCTTCTGTGGACTCTTTTCCGGGCTTGAGGCAGCAAGATCATTGGCCGTCGTACTACGACCAAACAGCTCGCTAGGTCGCGCCTTGTCTATCACTACCCTAGGTGCGGACCTGACCTTTCGCACGGTGGTCGGAGCAAGCAAGTCGTTGTCATCATCATCTTCGTCCTCGCCTCCAGCATCGGCATCACCTTCATCATCCGCTACGACGCCTTCGCCCTGCTCTCCAAGGGACAGAAGTGAAGCATCTTCTGCCTCTTTCCTCGCAGCTTCGCTGTCGCGTGCCTTTCGAGGGCGGCCTGGCTTTTCAATACTGCGAGGATCAGGTGGACGACTGCTTGCTTTGTCCTCGGCTTCCTGTTTGCGTGTTTCAGCCCGCTCGTCAAGCTTTTGCTTCCTGGCACGCCTTGCCTCACGCTCTTGTCTATTCTCCTCGGCGATACGTGCTGCACGTGATGTGGAAGCACTCTCTCCATCTTCGTCTGCAGCGGTCGAAAGGCGCGACCCAGCGCTTGTTCTATTCTTCTTTGGTCGCAAGGTGGTCACATCAAGCTGCGAAGCTGTCGCAGGCTTTCGAGGTGATCGCCGTGGTTGTGGCTTTGCTGTAGGGTTGTCTTCTATCTCGTGTGCTATCCCGTCAATCTGATTGTGCATCGAATCTTGCAGGTGTTGCATTTGCTGCGCATACTCCTCAGCCTCCCCGTCCAGCTCCTCTGCCTCCTGCACTACCGCTTCTGCAGGCGTCCAGCTGGCCTCAGCCTGCCTCCGTGAGCGTCTTGGACTGCTCAGACCCTCATCTGCGTCTCTCTCCGCACCAAACACGGTCGCGTCCACCTGCCTCTGCGTTGCTTCGTAAGACTCTTCGCGTGTAGGCACGCGTGCAGCCTTCACGGCAGCCTGCTTCTGTTTCTTGGTAGGTGAAAACTCCCTCAAACTCTTCAGATCCTTCCGTGGGAGGCGTAGAGTGGCTCTAAGCGGTGACGGGTTGAAGTCATATTCATCTGGTCGGACCTGCTTCTCTCCGCCTATGCGTCTTTGTGCTGTCGCTGCCTGTGTCGTACTACGCCTGGAACCCAAAGGGTTGAAAGGTGCCGAAGGTCTCTTCAGCTTGCCCGTACTCTTTCGCGGTGATCGCTGGGCCTGGTGCTCAATCGTGACGGCCTGCGCCGATTGATCTGTCTCCTCACGCGACTGATTCGCGCCCATGGTCGCTCTCGTGCTCGACCTCCGGATCTCTACTCGTGCACTTGGGCGTGGCACATCTTTCTCTGGTGAAGACGGGTCCGGGAGATCGCTTGCTAGGTGCTGTATTTGCGGACTATGCACCATTGTGTCATCCACCTCATCTTCCTCTGAGCTCTCTGAGTAGTCATCGGCATGACGCGCCGGTGTCTTTGGCGTCTTGACTGCCGATTTCTTCGCCATATTCGCTTGAAGTTAACGATCGAGATGTCTTTCTTTTCGTGGTCCTGCGACTCTGGTGAAGCTTCACGATATCATCGAAGAGATCGCGTGCCGTTGCTCTGGTTACGCACGCGCTAGTATCGTGAATGGGTCTGTGCGAGCACTTTAACAGAAGAAGGCACATGTTAAGAAGCCCTCTTCTCTTTCACGACATATATATCTGGAACCGACGATGACATGACAAAATGACGACCAGTGCACAAGCCCCGAAAGCAATGCGCCTGGAGCTTCTGCCGCCAAGTACAGCACATACCTTCACGACACCATCGAAAAGAATTAACGACGGCAACGACCTTTCTTTCTTCTTGTCATCTACCGCATATCGCGATCTGACAGTATGGATCCTACAACTCAACCGCTCCATGTTCCCAATTTCTAAGGATGGGAAGGACGAAATATGCAGTCTTCTCTCGCCACCATCATCCTCTTCCAGCATCACAAGCGTTCAATCAATATTAAAAGCTCTGACGAATCTACTGGAGAAAGCACCACCAAGTACAGGGCCACGAAGATTCGGCAACGTAGCCTTCCGCGACTGGTTCAACCTTGTCGAGCAAGATATCGAATCTCTCGTCAGTACACACCTGTCCAGTATCTTCCAAATATATGTCAGCGACGACCACGAACGGTCAAACGAGCTGGTCAACGAATTACGATCCTACCTAATAGGCTCCTTCGGTAGCCCACAGCGCCTCGACTACGGTACTGGCCACGAATTATCCTTCCTTGCCTTCTTGGGCTGTCTCTGGAAACTCGACTTCTTCCAGGATGGCGAAGAAAGGACAATAGTATCAAGTCTCATCCAGCCATACCTTATCCTCATACGCAGACTAATCCTAACATACACCCTCGAGCCCGCCGGTTCCCATGGCGTCTGGGGACTAGACGACCACAGCTTCGCCCCTTACATCTTCGGCTCTGCACAACTAGGGCCAGCCATCGACCCAGAAGATTGGAGCAAACCAGTACCGACAGAAGGCTCCCACCACTCTGCCCCTTCACCCGCTTCTGTCACCAAGAAAGACGTCGTCAGGGACTATGAGGGGAGTAACATGTACTTCTCCGCCATCCAATTCATCTACGACGTCAAGAAAGGTCCCTTTTGGGAACACTCACCTGTATTATACGATATCAGCGGCTTGAAGGACGGGTGGGGAAAGATCAACAAGGGCATGTTGAAAATGTATGCGGCGGAGGTATTGGGCAAATTCCCGGTAGTGCAGCATTTCCCCTTCGGTAGTCTTTTTAAGTGGGAGGCGGATCCAGATGCGGTTGCGCAGACTGGGAGCGTACATGCGCAACAGCAGCCAGTGTCGAAGGATGTGCCTATACCTCCACCTGGTGGTAGTGGAGGTGTTGGTGTTGGTGTGGGGACTGCTGCGCCATGGGCGAAGTCGAGTGGAGGTAGTACGCAGGCATTCGCGACGTCATTGATGCCTGCTAGTACTGGCATACCTTCTACCAGAGCACCGTGGGCTGGAAGTGCGGGCGCGACAACATCGATGTCTCCACCAGGGGGCGTGAGGAGGTCTGCTGCTACTACTCTGGGACGAAATCCGGAAATACCCAGACCACTTGAGCGGCCTAGATGATATAAGGTCTGTCTTCCTCGATCTTTACATTCAGCAAGTGAGCCTTATGCCACGTCGGTTCTCATGTCGATGTCATTGTTGGCGATGCATATACTCTACACGCGAGGCCGTTGCTTCGGTAGTTCATCTGCGTGTCAAACGGCCGCTGCCGCTGCAGCCAAGAATAGCATCATCTTTAAGCTTCATTAATGTACCGAATGCCCCACCGCCCATGTCTACAACGTTCCAGCTATAACAGACGGTGTTGACGTACCCGCAATGTAACAGACGTTGAGCGTAGCGTTATCGAAAGCCCTGTCCAGACGCAATTGCGTTTCAACACGACCTGTTCGGTCTGTACTAGGACTTTTGCGCAGTCATGCGCGGCGCCTGCCGCAGCTGATGCTTGCATCCTTCACCTCTTGTCTGCTCAGCTCAGGCACACCTCATTTCGGTGCATGCACTCTTTCGTTCTGGGAAGCCGCTTGTCGTGCTTGTGCCATCGTCAAACGTATCGATAGCGTCTGCATGGCCTACCGGGAGCAAGGGCTCGCTGCCTTGACTGGGTGAAACGTACTTGACGGAGGATCACCCACCTGCACATTCCATTATTGTACCGTAGGCTACCTACTGCGGCTTCTTATTACCTTGGCGATTACGGTGCTTTCGTGCTGGTCTGTTACTGCTACTACTATACGCCCTTACGTCCGGCGAGCCCGAATCTCACCCAGCGTCTGTGGAGCTGAAACAATTGGACTGACAGATGGGTGAGGGACTGTGATTGGAGTACGCGCGATCGAGTGTATCTTTGCGACAAAGGTGCGGCAAGCCGAGGGACGTCCTCGAATACTGGACTGGACCAAAGACATCTCTGGACGAACTATTGGAGAGGGCGGGGATTTGGTACGGATCTCGAGCTTAATGCGCCCTCAGTGTCTGGGTTGAACCGTTGGAGCGCCTGTCTGGAATGATTTGACAGGTAGGTTCAATATTGTGGTCGCCTTACCTCATCCCTACCGTACCCTACCCTCACCTCCAATTTAGCTACGTTATTTATACATATACGCACCACTACCACCATCCCATGGTTTGGGTAGACCGGTGGCGTGACAGCATTGCTGCTCTTTCTCTTTTCCCACCACACCATCATCATCATGCGATTCACCGAAGATATCAATTATCCTCCTCCTCCCTATATGTACTCCTGCACGATCGAGGCGGATGCTAAGGTTTGGCAGAAGAAGGACGGCGGTATGGAGTCGATTAAGAAGGCCTTCCGGTCGATGTTTGGGCGGAAGAAGCGAGAGCAGATGGAATCGAGGATGTCGACGACAACGACCAAGGTGAAGAGTCCGAGGAGTCAAGCCACCGAGTCGGCAAGGGCAGATCCGCTACCGCCCACGCATCCGCTTGTTAGTCGACGGGAGGCCGAGAAGAGGTTATCATCTGTTCCGCAGGGTCGGAGAGACTTAGGGGTAACTGGGTACCGCGCTTCTGTACCAGCAGCAGCAGCTTCAGATACATTGGCTATTGCGCAGGAGAACATACATCCAGCTATCAGAAACTCGCCTCCAAGGATGGAAGGGAATTTCGTAGGGTCAGCGATCACAAGCGATAGAAGAGAATCACGAGCTCCTGCTCCTCCGCCCAAGGACGAGGGTGTCGCGGAGGCTGTGATAGCTGCGCCACCAGAGGCAGCAGCAGCAGCTGCTGCTGCTGCTCCAGCAGGTCAGTGGATCTATTTGGTCGAGTTAGTCCCGTGTCGCTAACAGACTGGACAGTGAGTGAAGCACAACCAGTACACATAGAGTCAACTGGTGAACCGGAAGTAGAGCCACAGAGCAAGGCCGAAGAACCCCCAACATCAATGGAACCCGTCGAGCCATTGAACATCGTGAAGACAGCCAATCCTGCTGCAGTCGCAGACACAGATCCAGCCGAGCAGACGACAACCATCGAGCCCTCGAAAGAAAACGTCAAGCCGAATGGTACACCAGCACTAGCCCTCTACTCGGACGATAAGATGTTGGTGGATGAAGAGCACCCGCCACCAGCTATCAAGCCCATCAAAGCTGCGCCCGGCATGAGCGCGACATCTGGACCGCTGGAGGACTTTCCTGAGGGTGAATTCCGTTGAAATGTATTTGGATTTTCGAAAAGCAAAGTGCTAAGATTCATGATGTATTGTTATCGACGGTCCGAGTCGATGTTGGGTATCACAGCCGCATAGAGGCTGGGGCTGGTATAGCAGCCTATAGGATCAATCGATTCCAAATAGACGGAGCCTGAGTATATGGCCTCGTAGAAGTTCACAGGAACTAGGGTCGAGAGGGATCGTGTCTTGAGCATCACGGGGCATGGGTATGGCGAGCATGGAGATAGATTATACCCATTTGGTTTGGCTTGGAATCGCGTTTGAATGTCGGTGGGCACAATGCATATTGCAGAAATACACAGAGCATCACCTTGTCTCTGCACATATCATGTGAACGATCTTGCAACTCTTACATCTTGAATTGTGAAGATCATCGAGCCGCATGTATGCAAGATCTAGCCCCACATCTCCCGCTGTCGGAGCGATGGCGCGATCGGGCTGGGAAAAAGTTGAAGATCCTCTCGCGGTGGCGGCTTTGTGGTTTTTCTCAATACTGCTTTTGACCACAACGAGTTTTAGCATCTACAAGACCGAAGATGCACCTCCAAACCTCCGAGGGCTCAGGCCCGCAAGTCACGCCCTTTGGCGTCGACACCGAAATCTCGTACAAGCCGAAGTCGACTGCCCTCCCCTTTGGCCAGGACATTGCACTCTCGGAAGTCTCTGGGCCTACTTACTTGACTGCCCAGACACTCGTCCAGCAAGTCGCCTACGCTCTGTCCGACAAGCTATTTTCTTACTCACCTGAAACGTTCGACCTCGATATTGCGGCCAAGTCATGGCAGTGGGCTGGCGAGAAAAATGCTCACGGCGAGGTGACGGGTGTGCAGGCAATGCAGACTCGTCTCGGTGCCGGAAATATCGCATTGGGATATATGTTTTCACCGGACTTCGATCTGAGCAAACGCAATGTCCCGCAGAGCATCATTGCGAGCTCGGCTAGTCTTCAGCATCTTCGTCCGGCATTGGATCAGCTGAGTCTGCTGTACGATGTCGCGAACCCTACTGCTTTGCAAATCGCCGCTGTGGACTATGCGGCTGCTACCAAGAGTGGCCTCGTGACAGATTACTGCAATCCTTTCGCATTAGCCGAGGAATTGGGCATGGGTATGGTTGGGAGCAGGAGTGCGTTTGAGGTGCAGCATATGAGTTTGTTGTCCACACTCATGGCCAGCGTGGTGCCGAGTATGCATGTCTATGATGGTATCACTGTTGGCAGAGAGACTACGAGAGTGGTGGATGTGCTCAATGTGGCTGGGTTGAAGAGAACGTATGATGCTGTCTTGGATGTTATCAAGGAGGATCTGGTATCGAAGAGGCTGACGGCTGAGGGCAAGTTGTCTAAGCTGATGATGGCCTTCAACGCCGAGTTGGGCACGGAGTACAAGTGCTTTGAATATCACGGCCACGCCAACCCAACTGCGGTCATGGTGGTCTTCGGCACGGTCGAGGCCAGCTTGTCCGCTCAGGTCGCCGACGCACTGGCACAGCAGGGCGTGGCCGTCGGAGTCATCAATGTCCGAGTCTATCGGCCGTTTGCAGAGGAAGAGTTTCTGGAAGCACTCGCACCATCCATTCAGCAGATTACTGTCCTTGGTCAGGTCAAGGATCAAGCTGGTGTAACGGACAGCAGTATCACCAGCAGCCTTTACGCTGATGTGGTCGCTGCTGTATCGTTCCAAAGCTTGTCTGGAAGTGGCAAGGAGCCAAACGTGTACGACATCAAGTACGCACGCGAGACGGTCTGGACTGTGGCTAAGATGGAGGCACTTCTTCGCCAGCTGGGCAGCAAGCAAGGCGAGAGCGCTGAGCAATTCCCGGCGCTGCAGCTTACGGGCTCAGAGACGAAGCAATACAGCTTCTGGGACGTCGACGCCAATCAGAGCGCCACCGCACCACTTATGTTAGCTGAGCTGCTCTCGAACAACAGCTCCTTGAATGTCACTGCGCGCAGTGGACGCGATAATCTTGTACAAGGAGGCGTCGTCCGCACAGACCTAAGATGCTCGCCAAAGAGCATTGAGTCTGCTTACAGTGTCAAGGAAGCCGACGTGGCTGTGATCGCAGAGCAGAAGTTGTTGAAGGACTATTCTGTGCTAGCTGGCTTGAAGGAGGGTGGCACTCTGCTTCTCGTATCGCCTAACTGGAAGGAAGAGGATGTTGAGAAGAATCTCACTACACCAGCCAGGAAGGCTATCGCTTCGCGGAAGATCAACTTGTTTGTCCTCGACCCAGCTGCAAGCGCTAAGACTACTGAGCAGCCCGAGTTGCAGAGCTATCTTCTACAGCTCGCTTTCTTGAAGATTGCTCAGCCAAGCGTATACGAGACTGGGTTGAAGAAGTTGCAGGCTAGTGGCGATGATCTCGACACACTTGCGAAAGATCTTGATGCGGCATTGAAGAACGTTGAGATTCCAGAGAGCTGGCTCACGCTTGAGCCCGAGGAGAATGTGCCAATCGCACAATCCGACGACCTCAACTACAACAGCTTCTCCGACTTTCAGCTCGACGAGCTTGAGGCACCAACGTTCCTGCGCAAGTGGTCCACAGCAGCGAAGGGTCTTGCTTTCAAGGAGGCCTACGGGACCGCTACAGCTCTCCGCCCAGATCTAGGAATCAAGACGGCTGTCGTCACAGTCATGGAACATCGCCGACTCACGTCACCAGACTATGACCGCAACATCTTCCACATCGAGTTCGACCTTGGCACTACAGGTCTCAAGTACGAGATCGGTGAGGCTTTGGGCATCCATGCTGAGAACGACAAGGAAGAAGTTGAGGAGTTCATCAAGTGGTATGGTCTTGACGCTGGCGAGATCGTGGAAGTTCCCACGCGTGATGATACCTCCATCCTGGAGAACCGAACGGTATACCAAGCCCTAATGCAGAACGTCGACATCTTCGGTCGACCACCAAAGCGTTTCTACGAAGCACTCTCCGATTTCGCGAGCGATGAGAGGGAGAAGCAGAATCTACTTTTACTCGGTACAGGTGGCAACCAGGAATCTGTCGTGGAGTTCAAGCGCCGCGCCGAAGTCGACACCGTCACCTTCGCTGACATCTTACTCGAATACCCCTCCGCCCACCCTTCCTTCCACGACATTGTCCGCATCGTTAACCCAATGAAACGTCGCGAGTACTCTGTCGCATCTTCGCAGAAGGTGACGCCGAACAGCATCTCCCTCCTTATCGTCACAGTCAACTGGGTCGATCCCAAGGGACGCGATCGCTTTGGTCAAGCTACACGATACCTCGACACCCTACCCCTCGGCGCCAAAGTCACAGTCTCTATCAAGCCATCGGTCATGAAATTGCCGCCTAAGACTACAGCGCCAATCATCATGGCTGGTCTCGGAACAGGTCTTGCACCCTTCCGCGCTTTTGTGCAGGAACGGGCGTGGCAGAAGGAGCAGGGGATGCCTATCGGCGATGTATTCCTGTACATGGGCTCCCGTCATCAGAAGGAAGAATATCTCTACGGTGAAGAATGGGAGGCGTATCGAGACGCCGGCATCATCACCCTTCTTGGTCGCGCTTTCTCGCGTGATCAGCCGCAGAAGATATACATCCAAGATCGCATGCGGGAGACGTTGACGGAGATCCGGAGGGCTTATTTGAAGGAGGAGGGGGCGTTTTATCTCTGTGGCCCTACGTGGCCGGTGCCGGATGTTACCAATGTGCTTGAGGAGGCTGTTGTGGTGGAGTCGTTGGCGGAGGGGAAGAAGAAGGATGGGCAGAAGGAGATTGAGAGGTTCAAGGAGGAGGGGAGGTATGTGCTTGAGGTTTATTAGATGGTGGTTGCGTTTGAGGAACGAGGGATTTAGACTTTGCTTGTATATATGCCATATAGTGCTTGTCTTCAGCATTTGGCCATGTTATCGTGACATCTTTTGCACCTTCGTTTCATGGGCTTTCATAGTCTGACTTGTGAGAGGTGTATGGTTCTGTCGTCAGTGTTTGCAATTGACTCTCGGGCACGCCTCGGTTTGGTCGACGAGCGATGACGTTCATTGTTTCTCCAGGTTCACCTTGCATCAACACTTCTACAGAAACCGCCCTTCAGCACTCTGGATTGAGCAAACATCAGCCAAACATGTCGTCTTTCCTCCGCCGCCAGCTTGTAGCCGCCAGACCTCACACTGTCAGCAGACACGTCGTTACAAGAAGACAATTCGCCGTCTCAAGCCAGCAATCAGCTCGCAAAGATGGGCAGGACAAGGACTCCTTGAACCCTCAGCCAAACGAGTATTCGAAGAGTGGATCAGACGATGCGGCTGCATTAGGAGACACAGCCTTCGACCCGAGCAACACATCTCCGGAGGGTCAACACGAGGCTAGTAAACAGCAGAGTGGCGGTGCTAGTGGGCAGGGTGCTGGTGTATGTATCGCCTCCATTAACACCACATTCCTGGATGGATCGATTAAAGAGAGGGTCATGATAAAGAAGGCGAATATTCCGTGGCCAAGATACTGAACTGACATGTTTTATTTTGATTGTAGGGCGATCCACTAGAAGTCTCACCAGCGAACAAAGAGATCTCGGGCCATCGACCACAGGGTCAGAAGGAACATGAGGGGAGTTCGTCGCAGTCGGGACAGGGTCCTAGTTCGAGAGAGAGGACGAGTGGGGGTGGTGGGGGGCCGAAGGCGGGTGGAGGGAAGTATGGCGGTGGGAGTGCGAATTAGAAGTATTAGCCATATTTGTAAGATGGAGCACGAGTGGCTCAGGGGGGGTTTGTACATAATGCTGGTAACGAAAGATGTGATCACACCATACAGACACTAGCTGGACGGTGCTCACGAGTTGACTGGATACGTTCAAAAGCCTTCGAACATCTACCAGAATACAGCAAGCTGAATGCATCTGAGCTACCCTTCGATCGGCGTGAGCACGACTCCCATAACGCCAGCTCATCCCAGTCTCGTTTCAGGCTTGGGTCTATTGAGCCACTTGACGGCCTTCCCAGAGTATCATATCGCATGCTGAAAACAAAAGAGATACGAGACCAGCCGGGCCCTTGCCTGCCATCCTTCCCATACCATACCAGCTTCGTGCACATCCCATCGTCAACTTCATCCTCATCGCCTCGACCTCCACCCTTGGAATCCTCAATACCCATTAGTCCTCGGCACCATTCCAATGAAATACTCATGTCCCACAGCCTGCTTCGCCGATATCCTCCCTGCCGGATCATAGACCAACAAACTCTCCAACAAATCCAGTCCCTCCTCCCCCAACACCTTACTCCCCTCCGCACTCACCAAATTCTCATCCTGCTTCCTCTCCCACTTGGGAAAACTCGCCTTGAAGTCCGGAAAGCTCGTCACACCGGGCCAGTCCAACTCTGTCGGTGTTCCCAATACACGGAAAATCTTGAAAATCTCGTCGATCTCGCTGTCGCCGGGAAAGAGCGGTTTCCGTGTCGCCATTTCGGCGAAGATGCAGCCGACGCTCCACATATCCACTCCTGTGCTATATTGGCGTCCACCGAGAAGGATCTCAGGGGCGCGGTACCAGAGGGTGACGACCTCGTGGGTGTAAGTTCGGAGAGGGACACCGAAGGCACGGGCGAGGCCGAAGTCGGCGAGTTTGAGGTTCCCTTCTTTGTCGATCAGGAGGTTCTGAGGTTTGAGGTCACGGTGGAGGATGCGGTGGGCGTGGCAGTAGCGGGTTCCTTGCACGAGTTGGTAGGTGAATTTCTTGACCTACAGATATGGATTCTGATTAGCGTGACCGGTGTATATTGGTATGAGGGAGAGCGGGGAGCATCGCACCATCTCTGGTCCAAGACCCATGTGGCCTAATCTGCCGTCCATGACACCTTCGGGCAAGGGCTTGCCTCGTCCTCCTTGTGAGACGGGGAGGGCTTCCATGTACTTCTTCAGATCCAGATCCAGGTACTCGAATACGAGGTATAGCTTGTGACCGTCCGCGTGCACGATATTGAATAGCTTGACGATGTTGGGATCGCTCATCTCTTTCAGCAGACTGATTTCACGTATCGCGGTTGATGGTACCCCCTCGTCTTCAGCTTCTAGGCGAATCTTCTTGAGAGCTACGATGCGTTGGTCGGGGGTGGTGAGATCTCGAGCCTTGTACACCACGCCGTATGTGCCCTCCCCGATCTTCTCCATCTTCTGGTAATTCTCCATTGTGGACATGTTGGCGTGCTTGGTCCGGGTTTAGCTGGATGTGTTAATGTCGGCAGGTGAGAGTGGGAAGGCGTAGATCCCTTCGGTGTCTTCCTTCAGCACATGGACAGGTTGTGTTTTGTGGCTCACGAGTTCAGCTCGAGAGTGGTCTGTTTGTAGGTTGCTTTCCTACGCATCAACAAATACAGAAACGCGGGCCGGGCACGCGTTGCAGTGAAACCTTGCCGGCTGCCGAAGTTGGAATCCCTGTCCCTGTGCCACGAGCCCTATGCGTTATTCACGTGCAGCAGTAAAGATATATTCTGACTACTTCCACTTCTTGTCGTCGATGTTCGAGCAGAGAGGCGATGGCCTTACATGTGCTTTGCTCACCTCGACCATTCTGAGGAAGGAACATGTGACGGAGCGAGACCTGCTAAGAAGATTGAGGTCTAGATGCAGGTCACATGAGAGCGCGATAAGTACGCGACAAGCAGTCGCTTGAACGAGTAGAATATTAGTATGGCATCAAGCAGAGGCAAAGGCAAGACGCCAGCGACGCCAACCAGGGCGATGCCGTCACGTCCTTCGACTCGTGCCACACGTGGTCGCAAAACTATGGACACCACTCCAGATGTCTACCAAGACATGCTTATAGAAGCAGCCGTGACCAACCCTGAGCCATTTGACGATCGACCACTCAAGCGGAGGAGAATCGCTGGCCCTTCTGGACCATTTGCGACTCGCCATAAGGATGAAGTAAAGCAGCCGCTGAACACGAGTGGCAATCATTCAACTTCGATCTTAAGCCGTAAAGCAGGACTTCAGACCATTGATGCTTCTGACGACGATGATGACGAGAGTGACTTCGGCTTCGAGGACGTCGATCTTGGTCAGCCAGATGGAGGTACTTCATCAGCCGCTGAAGACGATGCGATTGGTGACGTGACCATCTCCCTCGAGAAGAATAGCACTCCGAAACCACATGCTAGCAAGACCAAACGCAAGCCCGCTTCGTCAGTTGAGAAAGCGCATCGGCTACTGGTCCATAAAGCGCACTTCCTATGTCTGCTTGGCCACTGCATCTATGCCAACAGCTGGTGCAATGACGAGGCAGCGCAGAGTAATCTGAAGTCGATAATGAGTCCAAAGACGAAAGCTTACCTGCGTGACAACCCCGACAAGTCCCAATTTGATAGGAACCGGATGTTTGTAGAAGGTCTGGAGCAGGTTTCGGAAGCATTTCGAGGTGCATTTAGTGTCACCGCTTCTGGTATGCGGAAGGCGAGCTGGGTGACTGATGGATCTGCTGACGAAGACCGCTCTGACATCGAGCCCATGGATCGTGCAGACTTCATTCGTGCAGCCAAGCGACGTGAGGGCTCGCAGGATACAGGTGCCCAGCTATTCTGTGCTTTGCTGAGAAGTATTCGAGTCGTAGCACGACTAGTCTGCTCGCTGCAGACTCTGCCAATTAATCCCACAGCCACGAAGACTACTCCGGTCAGACCGGTCAAGCGCATTATTTATGCTTCTGATGCTGCTTCAGCAGACGACCATACTGCTAGCGATGGTAGTACCGATGACATGGGTGTCAAGACTTCCAGCAGGCTTTCGAAAATACCCTCTGCACGCCGCCGACTTGGTCAGCCTGGTTTTGCCAAGGCAGCGGACCCAGCTATTACACCACAGCAGAAGAAGAAGTCGGTACGCACACTTGCATATCCAGTCTTCTGGGTAGAAGTCTTCAACGCCGCTGTTCAGAAATGGGTCACTGTTGATTGCGTGGTCACTGGCACGGTCAACAAGCCGGGCAAACTTGAGCCACCATCTTCGTACGATCTGAATCAGCTGAGCTACGCTATCGCTTTCGAAGAAGATGGTTCGGCACGAGATGTGACGAGACGATATGCTAAAGCCTTCAATGCCAAGACTCGTAGGCAGCGTGTGGAGGCAACGCAGAATGGAGCAGCATGGATGAAGAAGGCTTTGCGGGTTTTCCGTCGCAAAGGCGCTGCATTGGACCGCGATCAAGTTGAGGATGCTGAACTAGCCGCTAAAGAGGCTAGGGAGGGTCTGCCAAGTAACGTACAAGACTTCAAAGATCATCCATACTACGCACTCGAACGACATCTCAGGCGCCACGAAGTCATCTTCCCGAAACGTGAAGCTGGAAAGGTAAATGCTGGCACAGCTGCTAAACCTCGAATGGAAGCCGTATTCAGACGACAAGATGTCCACGTTTGTCGGAGTGCAGATAAGTGGTTCAGACTTGGTAGGGAGATGAAGGCGGGAGAGCAGCCACTGAAACATGTGGTTTCTCGTAGAGTGGCAAGAGCAAAGTCCATTACTGAAGAAGAGGATGAAGCGGCGGGGCAGAAGACGACTGCGTTGTATGCTGCTTACCAGACCGCGCTTTATAGTCCACCACCTGTGATACGTGGCAAGGTCCCGAGAAACGGATTCGGGAATCTGGATATTTACGTTCCGTCCATGGTCCCTGCTGGTGGTGCGCATATCAGACATCCACTCACGCAACAAGCGGCCAAAATTTTACGTGTGGACTTTGCTGACGCAGTCACGGGTTTCAAGTTCAAGGGCCGTCAAGGTACAGCTGTTATCGAGGGCGCGATTGTGGCGGAGCAGTTCGCCGACTCTGTAAGGAATGTCATCGAGAGCCTGGAGTGGGAGGCTGAAGAAGAGAAGTGTAAGCAGCGGAGTCTGGTTGCGCTTAGGCTTTGGGCTAGGATGTTGAAAGGGTTGAGGATTCAAGAGAGGGTGAAGTCTTACCGACGACCTGGAGAAGGTGGTGGCGAGGCTGATGGGGCTGATGATGCTGAGGAGCGACAGGAAAAGGATGAGAATGATATTACTGTTGTGATACCGCATCTGGAAGAGGATTCGCCACTTTGGACTGCCGGCAGGTATAGTGTTCGTGAGCTTGTTGCGCCTAAGCAAAGTTCGGCTAAGAAGAAGCGGAAGCAGTATGACAGCGATGAGGACGTCGGCGAAGCCGGTGACTTTAACGCGCAGATATCGGAGACAGCCAATGCCGGGTCGACTGCTGCTAGGCGCGCAACTCGCAGTAGCCGGCGACGTGTGGTAGATGATCAGGATGATGACGTTGAGGGAGCGGGTGGTGGGTTCTTGCCTGATGCTGATGAGTCTGACGATGATAGCGGAGGGTTTGTGCCTGAAGGAGGTGGAGATGAAGATGATGAAGGCGGTGGTTTCTTGGTAGGGAGCGACTCAGAAGGTGGGAGACTCGCGGCCGAGGACGAGAAGAGGCCTTATCAGCATGAACATGAGCACCAGGAGCACGATCATGCGAGCAGTCAGGATGACGGAGGAGGTGGTGGCGGGTTCATGGTCGACGCCGCCCAGAAAGATATTACTGACGACAGTCCTGGTGGTGGCTTTCTGCCTGAAGACAATGAGATCGAACAACCAGATGCCGCAAGTCCTCGCGATCTCAAGCTCCTGCCAACCACTATGACGGATACCATACCCACGAAAAGTGCGGATATGAAGGAGATGCCTTCTGACAGATTTGGTATAAGCACGCCGGAGACTCATGTGGGCGAGAATTCATCTATGGACAAATTATTAGAACACCACCGGGCGTTAACCGATGCACAATCAGCCCCCGAACCAGTCGAGGGAGGCAAGACTGATGCGCAAGCCATGGAGGTGGATGGCCATAGTGATGAGGGCTCCTTGCTCTCACATGACCCGGAAGATGAGGATGCTGAGCCGGACTGGTTGGAAAGCGATTAGAGGATGCTTTTGCCACTCAAGCTATCATGGACAGACGATGAGTCGACGAGCATAGTGCATATGTAGGCTTTGATAGCGGTGCCTCGAAACAAGTCGATTGAGTTGTGAATTGGGTTTCCGTGCTGTGGCTCTTGTCCCTATATATATCTCCTGAGCGTCCCGTGCTCGTTTACACCTAACACTGATCCACGAAGTCCTCCCTATGTGCAACAGTTCCATCTTTACCGGGAATCTCTTTCGGCCGTACTGATGTGCACCGGCTGTGAGTGTGCTCACGTCAAGCAGCTGCTCCCCGCACAAGATGAGGCGCAAGGCTAAGTATACCCGACATTTGCCTATGGTGACGACGATGCCAGGCACGAAAGGCTGTTCTTGAAAATTGACTTCTGCAACAAAGTCACAGCGTCTTACAGAACAGTCTACACAACGTGTGGCAATTTCCAGCGTATCGAATTATAGGACCTTCGGATTGACACAAATATGAGAGCGGTACGATTCCACGACCGAGGCGATGTGCGTGTAGAAGAGATCCCGGAGCCGAAGCTCGAAGACGAGAGGGACGTTATCGTCGATGTGCACTGGGGTGGTATATGTGGTAGTGATCTGGTTGGTATACCAGCGGACTTACCTAGCACGAAATGCTTCACTGACCCACCATACAAACAGCACGAATACATAGCCGGCCCAATGGTGATCCCCAAACCAGGCCACCCACACGCAGTAACAGGCGACACTCTGCCTATAGTGCTATGCCACGAGTTCTGCGGGAAGATTGCTGGTCCCGTGCCTGCTGGCCGGAAAGCAGCAGACGGTCAGGAACTCAAGGAAGGGATGCCGGTGATGGTGGACCCGCGAGTGAATTGCCAAAACTGTCATTCCTGTATCCAGCTTCGATCGAGCAATATTTGTCCGTCTTGGGGGTTCCATGGATTATCTGGAGGCGGCGGTGGGTTCGCCGAGAAGTGCGCTGTCAGGGCTAACATGTGCTATCCTCTACCCGAAAGTGTTGATCTGAGGAATGCAGCACTCATTGAGCCTTTAGCTGTTGGCAGGAGAGCGTTGACGCAGTGCCAATTTGCTGCTTCGAAGTGGTCGAAGAAGTCCGTGTTGATTCTCGGTGGTGGGCCAGTCGGCATCGCAGTGATCTTCAATCTGTTGGCTTTTGGTGTCGATGCGGACAGGATTTTCTGTTCTGAGCCTACTGCTTTGCGGCAGGAGCAATGCAAGAAGCTGATCAAAGCTGTCTTCAACCCTAGAGACGTCGAGGTGCCAGATGAGTGTCGAAAGGCGACTCGAGGCGAAGGTGTTGATGTAGCATTCGACTGTGCTGGAGTCGCACCCGGTATGAAGGATGGCATGAATGCACTCAGGAGGCAGGGCACGTATATGAATGTCGCTGGATGGGAAACAGCTTTTGAGCTGCCAATGCAATGGTTCATGATGAAGGAGATTGTGGTGAGAACGATCATGGCATATAATAATGACGATTTTGCAGAGACCGTGAAAGATTATGTGGATGGTGGGTACTTGCCATTCGAAGGTTGTCTGAAGGATTCAAGCTGACCTGATGCTAGGCAAGTTCAAGGGCGCTGAGATGATGGTTACCGCCAGGATCGGATTGGATGATGTGCCCAAAAAAGGTTTTGAAGCTTTGGTGAACAACAAGGACGCACATGTCAAGATTCTAGCCACACCGAAGAGAGAGCTTCTCGAATAGTGGAGGCGGGGTACTGACTGTGTCGTCAAGAGCCAATGCAGTGAACAATGGCATGCTTCGCGGTGCTAGCGATGGTAACCATCTCGAGTGACGGTTCGATAGTGCACTGCTTTTGGGCAAGTTTGTCCACTACAGTAGTGGAGAGATCACAAGTCTTCTATCGTCCTGAGTTTCATGGCCAGTATGTTTGTTCTTAACGTTCAAATTTCGGATGGTCTTGCGCAGGCTGATGTCGAACAAACGAAAGGACTTGGCAATATTTGCAATGTACCTCGTTGTGGCGGTCTGACGAGAGCGGTCCGGAGGGCTTTGCAGGTGATCCTTGGTCGCCTTCGTCTTCGTAATGCACGCCTCGAGCGAAGACAGGGTTTGGTTTTGAATGTGAGCGAGGTCAGTATGTTTCCTCTGGTGGTGTCGATTTCTACACAGAATCTTAGACATAGTCGCCGACAGTGCTAGATGCCTTCACGATAGCTCCATGCAGAAGCCCGCAATGCAGTGACTACTTTAATCTCATGACCAGGCTGTTGTGACACAATCAAGGTGTACGGAGTTACATGTGTTGCGACGAACACAGCAGAAAGCAGATCCAGGGAGCCGAGCAGTCAGCCAATCTCGGGCTCATCATGCCATGCTGACACCGTTTACTGGATCAGGCCCAGCCGAAGTTCGAGACTTGTTTGATTGCGTCGCTGGGCGGTGTTGAAACAAATGGGCTTGGTCGTCGTGTTGAATCTCACGCTGTCCATCAGTCGCAGGCTAGGCTGTTGCTGTATAAACAATTGCTCGGCGAAGCAGCATGTATTAGCGACAGAGTTCGATCTATCGGGACATTCGCGCCATGCCGGTATTTGTTAGCAACGCGATTCATGCCGCGGGATGCCATGGGACAGAGGAGAGCCGATCAGTAGTGGTGCGCATGGTTGGTGGAGTTCTTTTCGATTGTGGTGAGTCTTCCAAGACGTCCGTAAGAATATCTATATCTTGCATATGCTCTTCGCGTGCTTGTAGGGCTTGATGGAGACTGCAAGACCGCCCTCCAAGACCACCAAGCCACGCGAACGAGAGATCGTGAAATTGCAACTCCACAAACATGACCTGACACGGTCCTGGTAAATCTGCAAGTGGATGATGATTTGCTCGATGGGCACGCCACAGCCGCGACCTGCATCTCCACCGACGAGCTAAAACGTGGTAGCGCACAGCAGATCCTTGCCACCGTCCAACATTAGCATCAGCCTTAACCCTTCCGAGCGACTGCACACTCTCCTGTTCACGAAACCGGCTGCGCAGACACGCTGAGGCCGGAACGCCTACCTGTTGTGTGTCCGTTGTAGGCATGGTTCGTGATGCCCATTTCGCCAGCGCGGTCCCGTTGCGCTGAGTGAAGAGCACCGCACGGACACGACAAGGCGCTGGCTCGGCATGGTCAGGAGAAGTGATGGAGCCTAGGAGTGTCTCGGCGTTGATTGCTTGCTTTAAGATCGCCTGCCATCCTGTTTTGCTATACTGAACCTTCTTAGCACTCTTCCAGGAATCATTTAGGATCTCTTCCATTTCGTCACTCGTTCAAAACCAAGTTCTTCTTTCTAATCGCCACAGTCTGTTCATCTACAAGACCATCTGCCTAATCAACCCACTACAACAAAACCACAACAGTCGATATGCGCTCCTTCATTGCCGTCGCAGCTCTCGCTGCCTTCGCTTACGCCGCTCCTGAGCCAATCTTCGGCCAGAGCAAGAACGTCGCTCGTGACGATGGTTCCTGCATGAGCTCTGCCGATGCCGACCAGGTTGCCATCAACTTCCAGAACTTGATCTCCAACTACAGCAGCTCCCTCGCTGAGGCCTCTCTCACCACTGGCTTCCAGGACTACTCCGACTCCGTCACCTCCCTGATCGATGCCGGCTGCACTGGTCCCCAGCCAGTAAGTAATCTTGCGAAATGGGTACATAATGAATGCAGAATCATACTAACAGCAACTCCAGCTCGGCTCCGTCACCTTCGCCTCCCGCGATGCCTTCATCGCCGGCCAAGGCTCCCAGCCAAACATCCCCTTCGAGCGCTTGAACTTGTGGTACGGATGCGACGCTGTCTTCCTCCGCTGGCGCACGACTATCGCCCCTGGCGCACCTGAGTTCGTCACCGGCATCATCGTCCTCGAGACCACCCAAGCCGCAGCTGGCTCCGAGAACGCCTGGTTGATCAACACCGTCTACTCCGAGTTCAACAGCGGTGCATGGCTCGTCGACCTTGGCACCTTCGTGCCATCCAACTGCACCAACCCCAGCCGCCGTCTCCTCCGCAACTAAGCGTCTCGTTCGCGTTAGACGACAATGGCATATGCAACCTAGACATCTGAGTCGTCTCACACAGACTCGTGGCCACTCGGCTGTCTAGCATGGCATCAGCAAAGTACATTTCACGGTAGAAGGAAGGGAAGCGATGGATGGTCTCTGGCGTATGCGCGAACTTAATCAATCTTATGGTGGTATTTGTACATTCTGCAACTCAGGTTCCAAACATACAGGGTCATGTCTAGGCGAGCTGCTCCTGAGATACCAACAATGGCATACTGTTCGATTTTCGGGTTCGATCACTTATCTAAAAGCGACAATGACGCTTATGGCTTGATGTGATACCTATATGTCTATATTAACAATACAATTTGACCTTGTGCTCATCAATACCACTCGCTTATCTAGCATATGTGCTTCAACAAAGTCCTTGCTCTGCCCGAGCCAGCAACCAACGTCAATCACTAAACGTTAACTGATACTGCCTGTCCTAGCCGTGGTGGGTCAATATAGAGCGCATGGCTGAAGCATGGGCGTGTTCCCACGCGCACTACTGTCAACCTATGTTCAGAGTAACAATGGCGAATGCCATTAGTGGCATGCTTGTACCATATCCGTCACTCAGACACACCCGACCACGTGCAGTCTTGGAGCTACCGTTCGAGCCATGGCGATATTATTCTGGTACGGTACCAGGAAACTGTGACGAGACAAGACCAAAACTCGATACGGCTGAATGCGTGCCTAGCAATGGACGTTCAAAGTATCGTTCTAGCTCTAGTCTACACATCCTGCAACACATTCTGCCAGGACCACAGACCTCGACTTTCCACACGCCCAATGCAGATGCCACTATCGCCAACGCACGCGGAGATCCTCAAAACGCCACCGCATCAAAGATACAAGCACACCGATATTTAATACTTGATATCCACCGTCGTGACGTCCTCGATGAAATGCTTCTCACGGTAGCCCCTTGTGAACCACAGGAACCAAGGGACGACGTAAGTCTTGATGGTGTGGCCCACCCAACCGGCATCGGAGACAGTGCTGACGACGTTCTTGGACTCGTCGAACGCGATCTCGATGCGCTTCTTTCGGAGGGCCTCATAGGCCTCGAATGGCTCTCGCAGGTTGTTGCCAGGACGGCCCTTTTCAATCCATCGGGTGAGGCAGCGGGAGAAGAGGACGGTGTCTTCGAAGACGATACCAGTGGACTCTCCCTGAGGAGGCATGGCGTGCTATTGTCAAAGTTAGCACACTCGATTTCGAAACTCATAAAGACGATTGGGACTTACAGCAGCATCACCAAGCAACATCACACGGTCCGTCGACCACTTGCCGTGCTTGCTCAAAGTGTACACAGGCCAGAGGAAGAAGTCTTGAGCCTTCTCGATCAATGGAACAATGCAAGGGATCTTGGAGTCACCGAATCGCTCAAGGAGCTGATTGCGAACCTTCTCAGCATCTGCACCGACTGACTTCCACCCGTCTCTTGACCCCACATCCTCGACTTGCATCAGACCACCAACGTAGATAGAGTCCATCTTCGAGCTGTGGTATGAGGTGAGAAGCATACCACGTCGAGCAAAGTTGATGGCTGTGCACTCGAAATGGACGGGGAAGTCAGGACCAACGTGAGCGAAGCCGAAAGCGTTGGCCACACCAGAGTACGAAGCCTTGCGCTCTGGCTCGACGTGCTTCAGGCGAGTGACGGAGTGGATGCCGTCACAACCCATCAAAAGCTCACCAGATGCTGACCCGCCATCCTCGAAGTGAATTGTGACCTTGTCCGGCTGCTCGTCGATCTTGACCGTCCTCTTGCCACAAGTCATTGTAATGTTCTCCTGAGCGTCCACAGCCGCCAAGACAGCCTTGAGAGCATCACCGCGAGTGATACGCAGAGCCTTGAAAGGCGGGTTTCCAATACCCTTTCCGTCTGGTCCTGAGAAGCTCGATTCCGCGAGCTTGCCAGAGTAGACATCGAAGACCTCTAGGTAGTCAATGATCTTGCCGTAGTCGCGCTCTTGCATGATCGGGTAAGCACCCAGGTGGTCCAGCATGCGGAGGGCATTGGGGGTGAGGTTGACGGCGCCGCCGATGACCGCGGGTTCTGGTCGGATCTCGTAGATGTCGATCTTGGGGACTTGCCCCTTGGGTGCAAACTTCGTCAAGGCGAGGGCAGTGGTGAGACCAGCGATACCGCCTCCAAGGATGATGACCTTGAGGCCATCTGGTGATGCTGGAGCCATGGTTTCTGTTGTTGATATCGATCAAAAGTCAATCGATGGAACGAACAATGCAACAAGAAGTGGACGCAAAGTGCCTGACAAGACTGTCTCCCCTACCTATTATCTAGCTAAGAGGCTGTGATAAAAAGTGTCCCGCTCGAGTAGTCTCACCAGCTTCCTGCGCCTTGACCTTGCGCTGTTCCCCGAATAGGTGCGGCCGGATGGCGCTACGGATTGTTGCTCACCAACGGGATTCTGCCAATAAATAATCTTATCAACCTCCTTTCTGGTACAGTGCGATGCACTACGGGGCCTGTTGATACCGGAGGCCGATGAGCAGGCCTTCTGCTGTTTCTCACATCGGCCGAGCAAGAATTCGTGGTCCGTGGATGACAGAGGGCTGAGATCGATGAATGCTAAAAATACTTTCACGATATGTATGTCACGAGTCACCACAGCTTCTTTTCTAAGTGCTTACAGCACTACATCGCCAACATCGTGCTTCCATGTGTAGACGATACTCTAGTATCAGCATCCGGACTTGGCAACATGGACCAATGTATAACAGCTTCACCTTGAAGGCGGGTTTTTTGAGCCGCACATGTGACTCGATCCCCAGGGCCTCTTGGATGGGGACGTATGCAGCGACAATAAAACGCACAATTCGACCAGTGGCAATGACATATTCTGCATTCAAACCATAACGGTGCAGCTACCTAGCTAAACACGAATATGCCAGTCTCCCTGCAAGCTCGGTGATGCAAGCTCAACATAACTTACCAACTCATCTTGTCTAAGCATTGCCTTCTCGATCGGTTGCCACTTGTTGCGAAGCTTCTGTATATTGCCATGCGCATAGTCCACTACGAGCCCTTGATAATTTGTGTCAGCTTGGACAGCAGGATCCAGCTGCAAGAAGTCCTTGACAGCTTTGACGACATACCAACCGGTTATTTTCTGGACCTCATACTCCATCGTCTGCTCGTCCACTCAAGGCGAATTGGTGCCACGATCGGGCATGGGACACACTAATATGACGGAATTTTTTACCACTGTTCCGGGGTTCCAACCAGCGGCGATAGCTTCGTTCTTCAATTTCTGGAGCATGGTGTCCTTGATCATGGCTTCTTCTGCATCTGTCACTGTTGCACACGCAGGTATGCCGCCAGGCCCTCGCGACTCTTTCGGTATGTTGTAAGCCTGGATCATCCAGTATGCCATTGCGTCGACGTGAGCACAGAAAGCCTTAATTCCGTTGATGTGGAAGTAAATACCTATACAGTAAATGCAGTCGTAAGTTCCAATACATGAAATCCTGTCAAACTCTGGGTTCGTCTCGTCTGGAGTGGGATTTGGATTAGTACTGAAGTCGAATGTGCCTCCACGACCCTCCCTCACATAGTAGAAATATCGCAATGCCGTTACGCCAGTCGTAATCGCCATCTCCACTACTGAGATGGTACAATGTTGTCTTCACGACCGTATACATTGGCCGGCACACTTGAGATCTTGATCCATCTCTTATCGACAAAACATTGTACAAAGCACAACGTGCAGCAGTGATCAACGAGACTGCAAGGCAAGATAGTTTGACTCTTTGTTCTATTCGTAATACTCACAGGTTTGCCTTTGGCTTCAGGTTGATGTTGATGTGGATCGTCTTCGGCTGCACATACTCGCTCAGCGCCTCCTTACCACTTTCACGACCAATACCACTCTGCTTGAAGCCGCCGAACGGCGTCTGGACAGATGTGGAGAAAGCAGAGTTGATGCCGACTGTGCCTGCTTCGATCTTGCTTGCGACTCGCAGAGCTCGGCCAATGTCGGCTGTGTAGAGGGTAGCTGTAGAAATGGTCAGCCATGCCAAGATTGGTGGAAGCTTCGTGCCGACTTACATCCTAGCCCATAGGTAGTGTCATTAGCGAGCTCGATGGCTTCCTCTTCGGTCTTGAAGGTGCGGAGCACGATCACAGGACCAAAGATCTCGTCGGTGAACACTTTGCTCTTCACATCAGGCTTCAGGATTATGGTCGGCTGCACAAAAGTGCCCTTGTCTCCTTTCCGACTACCGCCGGTGAGATACTCACTAGAGGAATGTCAGCGTACGCTTCTCTGGCAGCGTCTTTTCGCACTTACAGTCCTTCCTTACGGCCCTCGTCCAGGAAGCTCATGACTCGCTCGAACTGCTTCTTGTCTGCCAGAGGACCGAACATAGTTTCCTTGAGCGACGGGTCTCCCATTTTCTCACCTGCCTTCTCAAAGGCTACTTTTATGGCTTCGATGAACTTGGGAGCTATGCCCTCTTGCACGAGCACGCGGGAAGCGGCGAAACAGATCTGACCAGAGTTACGGAGGAAAGCATCGCTGTTGTTTGCTACAGCGTTGTCCAGATCGGCATCGTCGAAGATGAGGGCCGGTGACTTTCCACCCAGCTCAAGCGAGACATGCTTCAGGTTTGACTTCGCGGAGGCTGCCATGACTGCTCGTCCAGCTGTGGCGGATCCAGTGAAAGCGATCTTGGCGATCTGCATATGGTTGGCAAGTAACGATCCTGTTGATCCCGCGCCGCTGACGATGTTGATAACGCCTGGTGGGAAACCAGCCTCGTTGACGAGATCGCCGTATGCTGCGAGAGACAGCGGCGACTTCTCGGACGACTTTAGGATAAACGTGTTGCCAGTAGCCATGGCAGGACCCATCTTCCATGCTGCCAGAACGTGGCTACCATTCCACGCGCATATCCCAGCACAGACGCCCAGGGGCTCGTACTGCACAATCTTGTACGTACCGTCAGCTTCTGGACTGAAAGATTCCCCTGCAACCTTGCCCGCATAACCAGCATAGTATCGCCAGATACCCACTGCGCCTGCCACGAAAGCTTTCGCCACAGAGATTGGTTGTCCCATGGCGGCCGACTCTAGCTTACCAAGACGCTCGGCGTTTTGCTCCAGAAGGTCGGCAAACTTCAACATGATCGCTGCTCGTTTGGCTGCTGCTGTGTCTCGCCATGCTGGGAAGGCTGCTTTGGCTGCTCGGACAGCACTGTCGACTTCTGCTTCGCCAGCTATTTGTACTTTGTCGCTTACTAGGGAGTCATCGCTGTGGCACTGTTAAGTAACGTCTGATGGCAGTATTCACATGCAGAACGGACCTCGGACTGTGGATGGTAATTGTCTCGCCGCTTGAGGAAGGCACGTACTTCAGAACCATCAGCAACAAGATGCTCCCTCGACGTATCGGTACTTACTTCGCCGTTGATGAACAGGTTTGTTTGCATCGACATCCTGGCCGTCTTTGTATGTATATGCTGGTAAAGATACAGTATAGAAGCAATTAGAAATCTACTTACCTCCTACTCACAGAGTACATGTGACGGAAAAGGTTGCCGAGGACATGGTGAGCTCGAGGAGAGCAGCCCCGCACGTTGCTCAAGTCTCGCTATGAGTTGTACCTCGAAACTCCATGTTGCATACAGCCGTACCTAAGCCATAGACATAATCGGAGGTACCAGGGAGTGGCAGAAATACATCGTTGGCCAGTTCAGCAAACGGAACAGCCACTTGCCGATCGTGATACGCATCGTTTGACGAATTTTTTCACGACGAACCCCAATCAAGGTGTCTGCAGCCATGGTCGCCGTCCATGGAGGCCGATATTGTGGAGGTAAGATATTGAGGAGCATATTTGTGCATCCTGGAGCTGTTTGATGGTCGTGGCAGCCGTCGAAGGATCTTAACGTATTGTTCATGTGTTGGAGGAGGTCTGTTTTAATGAGTCCAGTTCAGCCGTTCGGATGCGGCCTTGGCACGTCATGGAACAAATGAGCTTAAGTCTTTATCACACAAGCTCATCACAAACCAAAAGGTGCATGTTATTCACACAACTGTATGGAAATCCCATTAATGTCATAGATCTTTATCCGGTGGGAGCGATGGAATACTCTGAGAAGCCACGAGGCATTGTGCCTCGCATCATCACATACATGGAGGTGCTGGCAACATCACCAGAGCCAACTTACTTCCACCCGCCTACCAGACCTTCCGCAAAGCACTGCTGGCGATCCTCGATGATGCTTATCAATCGTTGACCAAGCGAGATGCTGCTGCGATCGATGTAGCGACCCATGCCGTAATGCTATTGGAGAACAATCCACTGTTCAACGCTGGCCACGGAGCGGTCTTTACCTCAATAGAAACACACGAGCTCGAGGCTTCCGTGATGGTAAGTAAAGGCTCTCGTAAAAGGGGTGTAGGCGCGATGAGAGTCACCAAGGCCAAGAATCCCATCCTGTTAGCCAAGGAAATGTTGCTGCGAGGTGAAGAGGACGATGGAGGAGGTGCAGGACCGCATGTGCAGATCGCTGGTGAGACATGTGATAAGCTTGCAAGTCAGTGGGGCTTGGATCTCGTAGAGCCAGATTACTTCTGGACAAGGAAGAGGTGGGACGAACATCGAAGAGGTTTGGACCTATCTCACGACGATGAGACGTACCAAAACCACAGGCGTGCTGCACAGGAGAATTCTGAAGACACTGGTCTACCAAAGAGTGGTTTTGACAATCCTGGCTGGGATGGGCAAGAATATCTGCCACAAGGAACAGTTGGTTGCGTAGTCCTCGACAGTAGCGGCACAATATGTGTAGCAACTTCCACAGGGGGAATTACAAACAAGCTGCCGGGTCGTATCGGTGACACGCCTACGCTGGGCGCTGGCTTCTGGGCGGAGCAATGGTATCAACATGTCACCAGCATATCCGCAGATCACCAATCGGGCTTCCTGTCATCGATGGCAGACTGTTTCCCAAGCATGAGAGGCTATGTGCCGCTACCACATGTGCAACCGCCAGTCCCACGAGCCGTTGGCATGTCGGGAACAGGTAATGGTGACTCATTTCTACGGCTAAGCGCGATCAGAACCGCTGCTGCTATGGCTCGTTTCTCGTGTGACAGTACCCAGCGTTGTGGTACGATGCCACTACAAACAGCTGTGAGTGCCGTCGCCGGACCACACGGCGCTCTGCAGCAGTCTGCCGAAGATCGATGGCACAAGACTGGAGAAGGTGAGGGTGGTATCATCGGCATTGACTTTGAAGACGGCAAAGGACATATTGTGGCGGATTTCAATTGCGGTGGTATGTTCAGGGTGTGGATCGACGACCATGGAAGACACCGCATGGCTGTCTTTAGAGAAGAGCTACCGTGACACTGAGTAGATCAGCCCAGAAGGAGTGTAGCAGATAGCCTCGTTGCGTCCCTTGATGCTCAACTCTTGAAAAGATGCACTCAACCGTTATGCCATCTGAGAGGAACCAAGTACCCGAATCAGTCCTTGGTCCAAACCTTGAAGGCGTTCGATGGCGCACATGTGAGTCGCGAGATGTGGCCCCGTACTCTACGTCCAACACTACAACGGTGGCAACTAGATTGGCAATCGTGCTCAAGGATACAAGGACACAGATGTAACACCGACTTAGATTTCGCCGCTTGTCTTCGCCCTCTAGGTCCCGTCAGAGATGATGCAGTCTCCCGGGATCTGGCATAGTGTAACCTTGACTATACAAACGGCGATATACCGACAAAAGAACTCTTACGCCCCATCTCCTCCTATGTTACGTCATGCTCGTCTTATATATCAGCTTACATGTATCTATCGTCTGCTGTCCATCTGATCTAAAGGTGAATTACTGATCGCCCCGATCCTGGATGATGCAAATTTGATGAAGCGTGACAGTACGGCATATGCTCAAGGCTATGTCGGTCGTGGTCTCTCGATCACTAACAATTTGTCTGATGACTGGTGGCTGGATCGGCTTGACCATGTCCCCAAGGCTTCGCAGGTCGTTGGGCACTCATTTTAGTTGAGCTGTGACATTGGTCATCTCTACAGAGCGCCGTATGTGTGCCAGGTGACGCCGTCTGCAAATAACAGCTGGAACACGTGGCGTGCGAGCTTCACCCTGCATCTGTGCTGGTCGTCTTGCGAAGCGCTGATTTCTTGATGGGATGCAGTAGCATAGCAGGCAGACACATCAGACCATGCTCCTCCTCCCACACGGACGAACCAGGGCCTTCGTGAGCGAGACCCATCCAACGATGGTAGAGTTGCGGACCAAACTCAGTCGTCCAATACCAGGTGGATCCGCGAAAGTTCTTTTCCTGATTGACTACAGTATCCAACGAACCTCCCACCCGTCCATTTGCACCGGCATTGAATGTTGTCTCCAACTGCTCAGCCGACCATTGCTGCTCGAAGTACATGGGATGTGGTGCATACACAATCTTCAGACCTGCATGATGTGCTGCTGTCGCCGGCCACATCTCAGACACCATACTGCGACCCGCAACGTTCTCTTCGTGCATGATTTGGAGTAGGCGTTTCGAAAGTCGCACATTCGTGCCTACCGAGGCCAATCGAGGACTCAGCCACGACGGGCGAAGGTCATAATTGTAGGTATGATCTCTGTAGGGCCACATTGTTCCGGCAACGTCGAATAATGGTAGCAGTGTGATCAGATCAGTCTCTTCAGGCGATCTTATGTCTGTTGAGGTAGCATGAGCGTCGTCGATATACTCTTCATTCAGATCGTGGCAGACACTCAGGGCCGCAGAATCATGGAAGGGCCGCTCCGGACATGGCACATGGAATCGTTGGTTTTGATGCCATGTATCATCCGCTAATTGCTTGTCTGCCCACTGACCAGTTTTCTGGAAGAAATCATGGCGGCCTGTATACCGAACATCCATTTCCCAGTTCCATAGCATTTTGTACTGTGCATTCCGCTGAGAGAAAAGCTGCAGAGCCATGAACATGTGGTAGTAGACCCTGTACAGAGAAGTGAGAACAATTTCTACCAAACCACAAGTGGCTGACCTACTCATGGTCTCCGACCAGTGGATACGCTCCTTGGGTGTCGTTGTAAGTCCACAGATGAGTCATAGAAGCGAACTCGTTCGGCACAAGATTTCGGATGATTTGCTCCGAAGTGTTCGTGTTGAAGAGGCTGACATTATGGATGTGCATCAGTATGGTGACATCGAAGGCGGGTCGCCCATCCCCGTCGGTAAGATCGGAGAGATCTTCTTGCATCTTCCGAAGGTTCTGGACATCGTCATCGTCCCAGTCGAAGCCTTCCCAGGCACGAAAGACAATGGCAGATCGAGCACCATCAGGAATTACGCGTCCCTTCACTACGTCGTGATCATGTGGGGAATCATGTGTAGTAGTACGTCGAACATGCGCGTCTCTAGCCTTGTGACGAGAGACCCTGGTCATACATGAGTGAGCGTATGTGCCCAGTACTTCATGACTACCTAAGGCCGGAGATGGGAAGGCTGCGATGGTCAGTCTGATAGCATGATTGCCGAGACGAGCATGACTTACCCGGACAATCAATAAGGGCCGACTGATTCCCTTGATCTAGCGTTTCCTGAGCACAATCTCTCGCTCCTTGATACAAAGATGAATCTTTCGGTAGATGGCGCCATGGCTGGTCCAGAGACTTAAGCCAGATCCGCTTGTAGGCATACTGACTGAGGACCGTTTGCCGTAGCGGGGACAGCAGGATCGCTGTCAGAGTAATGACAATAACGATCAAGAGTGGGCCAGAACAGAGGCGAAAGTGTCGTGATCCTCGATCGAAGCCACGGCTCGGTGAAGGGAGAAGCGGCAACGTGAAAGTCCTCATATCATCTTCTCCAAAAGATCGCGGCGATCACATCTCATAGAAGCCGGAACGCAAAGGAGAGGGTATAGAAGTCCGATTGATACAGTAAGAGAGCACAGAAGAACGTCGGACGTTTGCTTTGCCTAGAGACAAGGCCGCCGCGGGAGCGCAGCAGGCATCCCAGTACCTTCCTTGGCCAAAGCATAACAAGACTCCTACTAGGCAACCGAGCCCAATAATACCATGGTACATATCTTCAACGTGAGTCGATGCTGAAAGGCACAGCCACGCCCGAAGGAGCCAGACACCTCACCGCCGCCGCTGCATTGCGCTGATCGTATGCGTGCGTGCGGCGCGTCGTCATCGAATGAGATGAAATGAACTGCCCAGTCGGTCCCGCGGACGTTGCACGAAAGCTTTTACGATGGAGCAAGAAGGAGGCATTGATCGGGTCCTGCCGCGCGTTCTGCGCAAGGATTATGATGGAGAGGGAAAGTTGGTCGTGTGAGCTTCGACGACAGCTGAACTATTACATTATGTCCGTGAGCATGAGTTCTCCATTAAGTTGCCCTCCTCTATCAAGGTCACAAGGGTGTATGGCTGGCAAAGACCAGGCCAGTTTCATTGAGATTTTCATTGATGTTATAAGGGGACGAGAAAGAGCTGTCACATTATCCGCTGCATAATAAAGTACTGTTCCTCAAGCAACAATACCGAGCTACAGCAGAGAGAGGGCATACCATCCATCACAAATCACACATACAGGTCGTTTGTCTGCGGTCAAACAACGCCATCACCTTGCTTCCAAACCTCCTCAACCATTCCCCCAGCCTTCAACCAAGGCAAAAACCTCTTCTCCTCCAACAACCCCAACACCCTCCAAGCAACAACCAGCCTCCTCCCCACCATCGCCTTGACCCCACCCTCATTAACAAGCCAAGCCTCATGCGCATGTTCAGTCCTTACTTTGGACCTCCCATTTCCAATTTTCTCCTTACAAGCCACCAGATCCCTCCAAAAAGCTTGGAAGAAGCGACGCTTGAGCAACAGGTAAGCGGAGCAGGGAAGTTTGAGATCGGACGCTATGAAGCGCTCTGCTGGTTCGATGGCGAGGAGGTAGCGGTCGTGCTCGAGATCTAGGTGTTCGGATTTGCCGTTGTGGGAGAAGTAGAGGTCTTTGCTACCTTCCAGCCGAGCGAGCGCGGTATCTGGATCCGAGATTGAGGGACTGTAATCCGTAAGAGCGTGAGCCGCGAGATGGTCTGGGTGGTGTGCGTGCTCTACTGCTTTGAGGAAGGCTTCACGTAGTAAGACGTAGAGACTGCCGTGGGGTTGGGTATGCGCTTCCAGTGCCTTGGGCCTAGATTGCATACACGAGAAAGCCTCAAGTTTGCGAAGGAATGCCGAAGCAGAGAGAATCGTGTAGAACCAACGAATATGGCTGTCGTTCTTGCTTATAATTGCGGCAAGACTGACGGGCTTCCTCGGATTGCCGTCGACGTGGACGGCGTCCACCAGTAGCACCATGTGGGCCGGCTGGCTGGGATCAAGTAGATGCAGCTCCTGCGTGTCCAGCCTGAGCAAGTCCCTCGGAGGCAGTCCTTCAGCGACGAAGGTTTCGACAAGGCATTCTTTGAGCTTCAGGCATGCTATAAGTGGCTGGGTGACTCTGAAGATATGAATGTCGGTGCGATAGGAATTCCGGTCGACGAATTGGAAGTCTGGCGTCTTACACTCGTCGGAATTGAGATCGATACCGTTGTGGAAATGCGCAGGATTTGGCTGTGCCTTCCGTGCTGTTCTGGCTTGAGTGTGCTCCGATGGAGTAGCGTTTGGGAAAGGTGGCGTAGCTCTTGCAGAGTCTTGCGGCGAATGTGAGCGCGAGCGATATGAAGCCTCTTCTCCATCTGGGAAGAGACTGCGTGGTATCGCGGGACGCCATCTTGTTGCCTTCGGCTTGCGTCCTGTGCCACGAGAAGTCTGCAACTCAGTAACTTCCAAGACGTCGTCAGCAAGAGGCGAGAAGTCGCGCCGCTTCTTGGTTTGCCGTTTCGCTGGACGCTCAGGGCCGGGGGACTGAGACATCGCGTCTCGGTCAGGCGAGCCCTGCCAAGAGCGGTTGTATTGGCCGCCACCTCGCTCATATGTTGGTGGTAAAGCTGAGAATGATCTGGACACCGGAGCGGCAACACCTGGTTGCTGCGCAGCGCACATCAGACCAGGATAAAGCGCTTCGAGCTGAGGAGCATGGTTGCTATCCACGATGTTCGGACGGCGTGACGGCGGTATCCAGCCGGCACCAGTTGCTGGTTGGCTGAAGACAGGTAGAGCAGCCCACGGTATAGCATTAGGTGCACCAGAGGTATCAGGCTGCCGAGAGGTGACATACATAGGCGCTGTAGGAGCCGCGCGCTGCTGTTGCTGCTGCTGCTGCTGATATGCCATATCGTCAAGCTGAGGAGGGATATATACCGCAAGAGAGCTAGACTGAGTAAGAGATATAGAAAGAGAGCACAACTTACGAAAGTGTCAAGATGTCTCCAGCGTGTGTACCTCATGCGCCTGAAGTCGCGAAGCCGTGACGTTCGTTCGTGGAAAGCTGACTGTTGAAGCAGAGGCTAGCGTCACTCGTTCCTTCCGCAAACATAAAAGTGTAAGGTCTTTTCAGGCACCAGCCCACGTGACCCTTTCTCGACGCCTCGCTGATGCATCACTGTATAATACATACCCCGTCAATTCACACCATTCCACCCTCACTCACATCCAACCCTAATGTACACCCGCAGCAGGTGCCCCCTCAGGCCGATTCTCGGCGTTCGTAGCCGCACTCGTGGTACCGGGCTCACTCTCCTCCTTCTTCCCCAACCCATGCTCCTTCAACAGCGCATCGATCTCATCCGCCGCCCACAAATGATGATAGATCGTGCCCTCCTTCGTCTTCCCCACCGTCGCAAACTCCAGCTTCTCGCTTGTGAGAGTCGTGCTATCCATAGTCTTGCTCAGCACCTTGACCGCCAACTCACAAGCCTGATTCAGATTACACTCCTCGTTGTAATCCTGCTTCAGCAAAGACTGCGCACTCGCATTGTTCGCTCCCACGCTCGTAGCCTTCCAGCCGCCGTAGTTTCCGGAGGGGTTAGACTGGTAGAGCTGGAACTGGCGTTGCGGATCCCAGCCGGCGTAGATGAAGGAGACGCCGAAGGGGCGTAGACCACCGTGTTGTGTATAGCCTTGCTTCAGGTCGCAGAGGCGGCGGACGAGCTGTTCGCAGGGGATGTCGGTATTATAGGTGAGGAGATAGCGTTGAGCGGCTTGGCGGGCGTAATTGATGAGTATGTTCGCGTCGGCTGTCATGCCTGCTACTGCGCAGATCATATTGCTATTACATCCATCATCAGTAGGTTGTCATCTTTGTTTGTATGTGTAGTGCTTGACGAACTCATTGAGTATGTACAGCTTCTCAGCGCTCGTATCTTGCTCGAGGAGCTTGCTTGTGACTTTCCGCTCTGCTGCTAGGACGATGCCGTCGGTTGCTAATATGCCTAGAGCTGTGCCGGCGTGCGAGATGGCTTCCAGTGCGTATTCGACTTGGTAGAGGCGGCCTTCAGGCGAGAAGATGGTTGTGCGGGAGTCGTAGCGACGAGCCATGTTTGCGGCTTATCTTCTGTAGTATTGTGTGTAGCGAAGTCCCGATCTTAATGGAACTGTTTTTGTATTGTTGAAGAGCGTTGTATTGGTCGCGAGCTCTCGTTGATAGTCTACGAGAGCTCACCCAAGGCAGAGCTCGAACGCGTGCAAGCCTGGAAGAACTTCGGCAGATTCACTGCTTCGCCAAAATTCAAGCTCCAGCACTACAAGTAGATTGACTTGTCCACACACGTACGGACGATGGAGTCGCCTGCCAAGCGACTGAGGCCTTCGCCGGCAGGTGGAGATGACTTTGTGTCATTTGCAGAAGAAGATGGTGCTGGTGTGGAACGATATGGCTACGGCAACGAAAACGAGCAGCAACTCGGTGCTCCCACGCCAGATCACGAGCACCACAGGCACAATGGGCTGCACAGAGACGCACGTTTCGATCGCCGAAATGCGGAAGATCGTCCCAAATCAAAACATGCTCTACCTGGATACGAACCATGGATACTGGTGAAGACCAAACTTGGCCGACGCTTTGTGCACAATCAGAAGACCAAAGAGAGCTTCTGGTATGTGCCCAAGGACGTCTGGCCCGCCGTTAAAGAATTCGATGCGTGGGAGAAGCAGCAAAAGGAGAAGGCGGAGAATGCTCGTTGGGCGGAGGAGGAGCTGAAGAAGATGCGGGAAAGCAGCAAGGTCGAAGAGATCAATGCCAAGGCTAATGCTGAGGAGGGAACGAGCAGACGACGGCGAAGCGAAAGTCTGCAGAGGGAGGATGAGGAAGCTATGATGGCTGAGTTGGCTGCTGAGGCGGAGCGTGCTGAGGAGCAGGATGTGAAGGAGGTGGTCGAAGTGGTGGAGCACGAGGTGGGTGATGTGGGTTATGATAGTGACGGTAGTTATGAGTATGTGGAGGTCACGGACGATGAGGGTGCGGTCAATGAGATAGATGGTGACGATGCTGAAGGTCAGGGCGAGGTTGTGCCCCACGATGAACCTGAGGAGGAAGCTCCTGTCGAGTTCGGTGAGGATGATATAGCTTGGCAGTTGGCAGCCATGGGAAAGGAATATGGTCTTGACCCGGAGGAGTACGGTGATGCTGATCTTGAGGACGGTATGGAGGACTATGAGACAGACGACCAAGGTCTCGCCATCTCGGACGAGGATGCCGCAAATCTGTTCCGAGATCTCCTGGACGACTACCACATCTCACCCTTCACACCCTGGGACAAACTGATATCCGACGAAAGCGAAGCCAGCATCCTCAACGACGATCGCTACACAGTACTACCCAACATGCGCGCACGAAAAGAAGTCTGGGACGTCTGGACCCGCGACAAGGCTGCTCAGATCAAAGAAGAACGAGCAAAGATGGAGAAGCTCGATCCCAGAATCCCGTACCTGGCTTTCTTAGCCGAGAAGGCGAATCCAAAGCTATACTGGCCCGAGTTCAAGCGGAAATTCAAGCGAGAGCCTGAGTTGAACGACCGAAAGCTGAGTGACAAGGATCGCGAGAAGTTGTATCGCGACCATATCAACCGCCTGAAGCTGCAGGAAAGCACGCGGAAAGCGGACTTGCTCACACTGCTCAAGACCGTACCCTTGCGAGAACTCAACAGCTTCTCTACACTCGACACCCTACCACAACCCCTTCTCTCGCACCTCCACTTCATCTCCCTACTAGCACCAACCAGAGATCAGATCGTAAGATCGCATATCAGATCGCTGCCTGCTGCACCTGCTCCTGATGACTTGACGGACGATGCGAAGGCTGAGGCCGAGCGCAACCTTGCCGAGAAGCAGAGGCGAGAGGCTGCTCTAGCGCAGAGGCAGAGGGTCGTGGAGGAGGACAGGAGGCGGACGGAGAAGGAGGAGAGATATGCGAGGGGGCAGTTGAGGGATGGGGAGAGGGAGTTGGAGAGGGTTACTTTGGGATCGAGGAGAGGATGAAATGAAGAATTGATGAGGTATGCTTGTTGCACTATCTACGCCGCCTTTCTGTCATGTGAAAGTGACAAGCACGTGATACTTACTCACCGAGCTTCCGTACCTTCCCATTTCGCTAGCGCGGACCTTAGCTAGCTGTGGCAATGTACGGCACTTTCCAGCACTTTCTCGAAGAGCAAGCAACACATATACACTCGTATCATCGAATAGTTGTTCAACCGCTTTCACAACACACAGCCGCACATATCATGGCCTGCTCACGTTGCGGGAGGGCTTCCGCAGTCAATTGTGAGAAGTGTGCAGAAGGGCTGGAGCAGAACGGCGAACCTTCTCAGATCTTGTACTGCGGACGACAGTGCCTGGAAGCCGACAAGAAGGCTCATGCGAGCGACTGCGGATTGAGGATTGACCGCTTGCAGCTCTTCCGCGCCGGCAAGCTGGTCCAGGATGCCTTTCTCCAGAGTCGCGAACAACCCTTTGATCTCTGCATCGAGTCGGTGAAGAAGAATGGTCACCGGTTGATCATGAAGGAACCCAAGGTTTACAAGAAGAATGGACCAATCTACTTCGAGTTCCCGAACGAGATGTTCGACAATGAGCGCGACAAGAAGGCTATGTTGACCTGGATGACTTGCAGCGATGGCCTGGCGCAAATGTTCAACCTCTTAGAGGCTGCCGTCCAGGGTACGTGCTCTGCCTACAACGTCTTGAAGCAGAACGCTGACTCTATTAGGTCTGTTCACCAAAGCTTCGGAAGTGTGTCTTCAGCTGCGGGCGGAGCTAGCACGAATTGATGACGGGTCGAACTGGAGACTCCGGTGGTCCAATGGTGGATGAAGAACAACAACATGTGCTCTTCGCCGTCACGCTTAGAGATGGTGCATGCTATGCCGTCGATCCCACCGGACCTCAGCTCGGCTAGATGCGACAGGTGTTGCTATGGGATCAATACAAGAAGCATCTTATCTCAACCGTAAGGCCGTTCGGCTCCCGAAAGACTGCCTTCTTCGCACGAGCGTACCAGAATCCGCATTTCTTTATGGAGGCGAGTCGCCTTGCTGTGCTCCTGACGAAGGAGAAGATGCACTAGGACTTTGATGAGAGTGTTGCGCAGTGGCGCAAGAAGAGCGCGACTTCAATGCGCGATGTCCTACGTGTAACGCAGGCCGAGTATGAGGCTTACAGTCACCACTTGCTTGCTTTCCTCGGGGAGGAAATGGTGGCCAAGCGCTCCAGGCGGGGACAGGTCGTCAAAGCACGTGAGGCGGTACCTCAGGGCATGCGAACGTCGATCGCGGACAAGAAGGACGCAAAGGCTGGGAGTACCAACAAGGAAGTTAAGCAAGGGTCGGCGAAAGGTAGCGTGAAGAAGAAGAAGTCGCGGCAGACGCAGCCAGAAGAGGATTAAGTGGCGAAGAAGATGGCCAAGGGTATGATGAAGCTTGCTGCTTTAGACCTGTTGTGAAGCTCAATCTCGGTTATCGAGTTACGAGCAGGCTGATAGTACGGGCATCAGGGAAAAGTATCTGGTCAAGGGATACATGCACAGGCTTATCCATCATGGTCGATGTCTTCTTGGCACAATTTGGGCACTCGTATGTCAAGACTACTTCGTTGGGGCCTGAACACTGAGTCCAACCATCACCCACATCCTGCGACCCACATCTACCCTCTTGTATTTGCATGAATGTCGGTACCCTCCCATTCGTTTGTCGTCGCTGCCTTTGACAATGTCGAATTGCGCTACGGAACAGAGACCCAAAAAACAGCAAACGGAGACTCTCCAGCACGTATAGTCAGCCGTGTATCTGCAATGTTCCCATGAACTGCCCAGCGCCAGTCTGTCGATGATCATGGGCTCCTTCGGATCCGCCGCCTGTGTATCCTGCGGCAAGCCAGGTCCACTTAGGTGCAACCATATTGACCGAGATGGACAAGTCTCCAGCACACATTACTGCAGCAAAGCCTGCCAGGCGAGCGACTGGTCTGCCCACAAAAAAAGCATGCATCGAGGCCAGACAACGAAAGCGATTTTACAGAGCTGGCTCGCTCTTCCAACAGATGCTATATATCTTCCGTGAAGCCGGCTTCGAGCATCGGTACCACAAAGTCGAGAAGACGAAAGGAGGAATCCTGCATGTCTACAAGGGACTCTCACCGGACGACAAAATTCCGACCCGCTTCCCAGAGCGCATGATCTCCGATGAGCGCGACAAACACGCTTTGCTAGCCTATCACGCTTGCAACGACCCGGTGACTTATCTGTACGACCTTATGGTGAAGGTCTTCAGAGGTGAGCTTGCGCTTGTGCAATAACGTTGGGCGTCGTGGCGACTGGCACACTGTCCAGGCACACTCGGATCGATCAGGGAAGCACATATCGAAGTCCATGAGGATCTGGAGCGAGTCGTAGAGCACATGGTTCCAGAGGATGGTGAAGCACAATCAGTCGTCGATAGCTCCGACGAGGAGGGATTGATCTACCAGCATCAGATCGTCATTCCCAAGTTGAAGAACGGCGAAAGATACGTCCTCGACGCCGCGGGTGCTCAGTACGGTCAATACCGCGCGGTAATGCCATACGAGTCGTATGATCAAAGCTTCGTCAAAGAGAACATTGCAACACTCAAGTTCGGCTCCTTGTTGGCGAAGCTGCGAGCCGCGATAGCATTAGCGACTGCCCGTGATGCGGCTAATGATGTCAGATTAGCTTTTGTAGAATTCATGATGGGAGAGGCGGTGGCTCGCATCGTGAAGGAGTGGGAGGCCTCTGCCGGTAGCACGATCTGCGAGATGCTGGATGAGCCGCACACGTCGTACTTGGCTTCGAGCACGGCACTGCTAGACTTCGCTCGCAGCGGACTGATCAGATATGTTCATGATAGTGAGCTCGATGGCACGTTCCACTTCGTCCCACCAGAAGGTATCGCCTAAAGAAGGACTGATCACAATGGCATGGGGTAGAGACACGCTATCTCAACAGTGTATGATGTAGTGCACCTCAACTCGAGGCTAACCTCAGAGGATTGGGTGGGATGTAAGAACGTAGATTAGTCGGCGCTGATCAATTCATATCCCGGTGCCCAGTTTCGTCTTGCCATAGGCCCCTCCCATTTTCTTCCGCTCTTCCAGTGCCGTCTTGTAGGGTGGTGCGGTAGGAGGCTGCACTGGGTCTAGACTCACGTGCCCCTCTGGTAATTTGTGACTCGCATCCGCATCAAAAGAACTCAGGTCACCGCACGCCAGGAAGGGCGCGATCCAGCGAATGTCACCGTCGGTATGTTGTGGCTCTGAACCCACGATCAGCTCGATGATGCCGTCGTCTCTGGTTATGCGTGAACGTTCCGTTGATAACGCCAGGTCTTTATCACCATTCTGTTGTAGCGTGTTCCGCGCGCCGAGAGGACTGTCGAGACTTGCTCTGAAGCATCTAGGTGGTCGGAAATCTGTGCAGACGATGAAGGCCTCAACACTGCTGGCCCTACTGCTTCTCGGTTTCGATACTGTCACACCCTCGAAAACAACTTTGAGCTGAGCGTAGAGCAGATCCACATCTTTGCCACGGAAGATCTTCGCGACGAACTTGCCACCTGGCTTCAGGACACAAAGTGCAAGATTGAGAGCAGCCCACAGTAGTTGTGATTGCACATATATGTCGAGATCGTGCAAACCAGTGACATCCGGTGCACCATCCGAAAGTACCAGGTCTACAGGATGTGAAGCCTCGATTGATGTTGACATAGGGTCGTAGCTTGGATCCAAAGCTTTGAGCAAAAGTGGAATGGTCGATGGATGAGTGATATCTGCTTTGAGACATGTAATGCCCTCCAGCGGCGACATTGGCTGCAAGTCTATGGCCACGATTTTGACATCTTTTCTTGGCTTGCTCGAAGGAGGAGCGCAAAGCCCAGAGCGATATTCTTCCGGTAGACTTCCAGCTTCCCGCAGACGACGCAATTCCTGATATCGCTTGTCTTCCCAAGCTGCTCTGCCCACGGTCTGACCTTGAATCAAGATACGCGAGAGCACTTGTGACCAACTGCCAGGAGCTGCACAAAGATCCACGACTCGAGTGACATCCCCGAAAAGATTGAATTCTTCATCCAGCTGTAGTAATTTGAATGCGGATCGTGCTCGCCAACCTTGCTCCTTAGCGAGGCGGTAGTACGCATCGCGTTTGTCCTTGGACGACTTGCCCATGATGGCCACGCACGACAATGATGTTGCTGCTCGATTAGTGAGACTGCACCGAAGTCTGATCAATCCTCGCGAACTTCGAGCTCGTAGTATAGTTGCTTCATCAGGTTAGCTCAAGACGGAACCCACCAATCAGGGGCTGATGAAGGCTGGTTGCTCTTGCTCTGGTCCACGCTGCCGCAGGAGATGATGTTGTCGACAATGCAATAACAAGTGCCCTTTCAGTACGTAACCTACCGGTGAGTCAGCATAGAACTGGAGTATTCCGGAATACAAGAGGCCAAGTACGACTCGTCACCTACTCGAACACGATCAGGACTGCTATCAATTTCTTGAGCACAAATTTCTACTCTAGCACTCGAAATGTCTCTCGACTTTGGACTAAAAGACGTTCACGTCCTCATCACGGGAGCAGCAGGCGGCATTGGACTAGAAGCGGTACGGACCTTCCGACAACTGGGGGCTCGCGTTACGGCTCACTACAACTCGAGCAATGGAGAACTGGCCAACGTCGAAGGAATAGTGACAATACAAGCCGACGTCCGAGATGAAACATCCGTCAACACATTGCTCAGTGAAGCAGCACAGCAGAATGGAGGTCCTGTCAGCTGTCTTGTCGTCAACCACGGCATATGGCCAAGCAACAACACCCCTATCGTAGACATGGAGTTGAGCCAGTGGCAAAACACGATGGCGGTGGATCTCAATGGTCCATTCCTTCTCGTCAAGGCCTACCTGAAGGCTTTACGCGCCGCTTCGCAATCTTCCAGGGATGTCGTCAGCAACAGTGTTATCTTTGTTGGAAGTACAGCAGGCAAGTTTGGTGAAGCGAACCACGGCGACTACTCTGCTGCAAAGTCAGCGCTCATGTACGGCCTGACGGTCACGCTAAAGAATGAAATCGTATCTATCGCGCCTCAAGGGAGAGTCAACACCATATCTCCTGGTTGGGTTGCGACACCCATGGCCATGGAGACGCTGAAGGACAAAGCTTTCGTCGAAAGAGCGCTGGCTACTACGCCGCTACAGAAGGTCGCCACGCCAGCAGACATTGCGAGGCAGCTTGCAGTCATTGCGAGTCCTACCCTCAGCGGACACGTGAATGGGCAGAATATTATGGTTGATGGTGGTATGGAGGGTCGACTGTTGTTTCCCCCGCGATCGTAGTCGGATACACTACTGGGAAGGACATTTGATGAATGCTCATTGTGTTGTAGACCAGGGAAATTGCTGGGACCCTTTCTCTTCATAGAGAGATTAGTGTCTCTTTCTGCGATCTTGGAGTAAGCAGCACATGGCGTTTAGTCTGATGTGTAGGATGGTGCGGGCTGTAGTTGGTGGTAATAATGCGGAACGACGGCGCACGCGCGTCAAGCGCATGAGGTACCTCGATTGTCACGCCAGAGGAAGAGCGTAACGGGTTAGGACGGCAAAGCAACCAGAAGAGGTAGCGAAGTTGTGAAGAACGATTCCGCTCTGCGCCGGATTGTGGCAGTGTTTTCATGCGCGATAGAATCCTGTATCGGAAAGTGGAACATGATCGAGTATCATGCTTGGCACAAATCTCGCCACCAATCTCGTTGCAAGCTGACAAGTATTCCCACGATGGGGCATAACCTGAACAACAGCCTGAAGACCTCGATTTGTTTTACGAGTATCTACAGGAAGGCAATGTAGTCCGTAGTGGAGGAGGAGAACCCGCTGCAAGCCATTTGGCCGGCTGCACACATGCGCAGCACCACGCTAGAGCGCTTCGGTGTGGGATTCGATAGTCCTTGGCATCCAGCTCTCATCTCCCTCGTGTCTTCTTACAACACCAAACTCCAAGACTCGGAGGCAAGACAGTGATTTTGGTCGCCCATATCTGAAGTCGCCGGCCATTCTACGGCCACTGCCCCTCGTGGTGGTGTGTCAGGCCCGTCTGCTCCTCGACCATTCCACAACTCATCCTTCTGGCGTACAGAGGCACAGCAAGGCGTTCCGGATGAGCGACAACATAGAGATACCCACGCGCATTTTATCTGGCTCGGATACCTGTTATTGATTCATTCTATTCACATACTTTACCCTTCGACACCGGACGAGGACTTTTCACGGTGACCAGGGTACATTCGACTCTCCGTGGCCTGCTGGACCAAAAATCCCTCACTCGCATATCCCGCAAAGGCGGTCTTTTCACTGGTCACTTTGACCAGGTATGGTGATCAAAGCGGATGGCACAAAATGGGCATGCCAGTCATGTCTCAAAGGCCACCGTGTGAGTGGTTGCACGCATACTGGTATGTCATCGTTGACTCTATGTCGTCTTTACATATGCTGACTATAGTCTAGATCGTGAACTTACTCTCGTACCGAAGAAAGGAAGACCTGTCACACAATGCCAGCACTGCCGTAGCGAACGCAAGAAGAGGTCGGCCCACGTCAGCTGCGAGTGTGGCGAGGGTAGCGACAAAGCTCACCATTCGAAAGAGAAGTGCATCCATCTTCGCGAGGCTGAGGAACGAGCCAGGTCAGGCAGCCAGGATGAATGTGTACACGACAAGCATGCTCTAGCCGTCGTGGCTGAAGAACAAGGCTGCTGCTGTCCCCATGGAGGCAAGTGTACCTGCGCTCTCACGAAGAAGTATGTTGATAGCGACGGCGACGTAACGCCGCCTCATGGCCCGGCCGTCAAGCCTCGACTCGAGACGACGAAGTCCGACGGCTCGATCACGGTGTTTCAGAACGGTCATCACAAGCCCGTCCACCGTAAGAACCACCTGGCACACGAATGCGGTATGCCTTACAAAGTGTCGATGTCTCGTGCCAAGACCGACCACGGCGTCGTAGCCAAAGCTCGTCGTTCGGTCGACAGCCTCGCCCTCGACAACAACATGGATGTCACCCCATCTGCATTCATGCCACAGACCAGTGCGCCTTTCAACACCGAGCGTCGCATGTCGAAGTCTGAGCAGCACTCGCCAAAGATCTTCCCCAAGGACCCCAGCTATCTTGGGTTTAGCAATGCAGATCTTGCGTCCATTGACTTCAGCACCCTCAGGCCCGTGCAGACCAACCAGAGCATACAGTCACTGTCCGGCGACATGTACAATTTCACCCCTATTGAGCCCTTGTCTGCTGTCGCCGATAGCGCATTCGACCCGTGGTCGTCAGTGCCATCGGCAGACTCTGCAGTCATGCCTGACAATAATCCTTTTGGTGTCTGGCCAACCAACCCTGATGTGAACGGGTTGGCTCAGCCGGCGTTGACCGCTGCTTCGTCTGGAACGCAGTCCGAGATTGATGAGATCCCAATCGACGAGGAGGCTTTCACCTTCGGCATGCCAAGCATCCACGAAGACGCTGGGACTTTCAGCTTTGACGCCGTTTCTGGCCTGCCTGGTACACCAAATTACAACCGCCACAGTCTGCCTGCCAACTTCCTGAAGAACATCACGCCGAGCCCAGACTGGCCTTTCGACCTCAACGCCACTAGCAGTCAGCAGTCCACAAGTAATGCTCAAAATGCCACATTTGACGACGCGTGGGAAGGGTCTAATTTGCCTTCCATCACAGATGCGCCAAAGCGAAATGTGCATGGCCTGCCCAATGTTGGCCGGCCATCGTCACGTTCGATCGGTCCAGGTCACGCTCCTGCAGACGACATTATCAAGTCGCTTTTCCCAGACATGGACTTTGACGGCAGCTACTTCAACGCAACCAGCTTAGCACAAGACTTTGGCTTGAACGACGAGCAGGTGAATGACACCGTCGACAATTCGCAAATGAACTTCGGCCCTATGAACGAGGACATGGAGTTGACATCCCATTCATGGGCTGACGGCTCCATGACCATTCCCAACGACGAGTACACCTCCCCGTACGATCTGAACCAAGATTTCTCGAATCCTGGCTTCAATGGCAATTGGTCCCAATAACAAGATTGGGCGGTCGATGCGACCGTCCAACACCATCGGTGCGACGATCTCTCAATCTTTCCAAAATCAAAGTCTTCGCTGTGTCTTCGGGCGATAGTGGCGTCACTCTGGCTGTTCTCCGCGGTCTTGGGGTACGTGATTCAGTTCTTAGTAGTCGACTTCGTCGATGCCTTCACTTGCGTGGTAGCGTTTGGTAGAGCTGCGTCTCTAGGCTCGAAGCTTGTTATATAGATCATGATATGATGACAATCGATGTTAGCGATATCTCGTCCACGTTCAATCACTGTCTTGTGTCAAACCCTGTCTCGTGGTCCGGTCTTGGCAACAAGAGTGCTCAACCTCATCTCGCTCCACGTCATCCCAAACTTTTCCGTCTTTCATACCCATGATTGTTACCACATTAGCCATACTAGTCCTCAGCTTTGCCTTTCTGTCTAAACCATACTTCGGTCAACAGCCGGTACTCATGGCGGCATCGTCGAAGCGTGGCCTTTGCTGGCCTGTAGACAACCACGGCAAAGATGAAGTCTTCCAGTTCACCAAGCCTGGCTCCAAGGTTTCATGGCTGTACAATTGGTCGCCAAACCCCACGCCGAATGCTACTTCCCTGGATTTCGCTCCAATGCAATGGAATCACGTTGGCATAGACGATCTAGCTTCGAAAGTGAAAGGCGCGAACGCATCAGTTGTCCTTGGCTTCAATGAACCAGAATTGCCTGATCAGAGTAACGTGAACGTGGAGCTGGCTGCGAGCGAATGGCTTCGTTGTATCGAACCTCTGCGTAAAGCAGGCATCAAATGTGGATCCCCCGGTATCTCTTCTGCACCTCAGGGAGTGGTGTGGCTCAAGGACTTCATCGCTAGCATACGAGCCGGAGGGTCAGACGTGGACTTTTATTGCTTTCACTGGTATGGCGTGGAGTTGGGACAGTTCTACGATTATTTGTGGAGCACGTACTATCAGATGCCCGACCAAGGCAAGAAGGTCTGGGTGACGGAGTTCGCACCTACGGTACGTCGTATGCTTGCCGTCGAGATGCTAGCTTCTGTCGCCATGTTGCGTGACTGACAGATACTAGAACTGGAACACTAATGCTCCGCTGCCGAAGGACCATGTTCAGGCCTTCGCACAAGACAGCATCAAGTACCTCGACAATCTGGAATGGGTAGAACGCTATGCGTGGTTCGGCCCCATGAGAGACGCAGGTACTGTTGGCAAATGGGCGAGGATGCTGGATGACGATGGCTCCTTGACGGAGCTGGGCAAAGCATATCGCGATTCTTGAGGAAGGAGAAGCCATTCTAGCTTACAGATCTGCTCAGGCAACGTGTTCTCCCGAACACTATCGTGTCCGATGACAACATGACAACAGCTGGAGATTCGATGACGGAGCTAGAGTCACCGTGGGACAGGTGGACTCGAATCGGTCGGGCCTGTAGCCTGTACTTACGACGCGAGTCGTCGGCATGCGTCGGTCCAATGTCCAGCCCTTCGTTGATCTCACGCCGTCGGAGACATCTGTAATTAGAAGTCATCAAGAAGCAGTGCCAGAAATTCCTGACAACACAGCGTCAAGAGGCAAACATTTACACATGTCTACGCCTGAAGCGTCTCAGAACGGCAGTTCTGAGCCCAATCGCCGCATTGTCATGGCTGTGGTATCATTGTGTAAGTAGCAACCGTCTGGGACACTCTTGCCACAACGCGGGTAGCATATATCTTGCGTGTGGGCTCGTCAGACAGCAGGGGTTCAAGTTCTGCCTTCAGCTACGACATGAGCTACATCGGCATGAAGAAAAGTCTGAGGTACATTGCAGAAGCTTGCGGCGGAACTTTGGCGTTCGAAGAACCGTACTCAGAGTACGACGACCTGTCCAAGAGTGACGGTAGACACATACCGCTGGTTAGTGTTTCGAAATGCATCTTCTGCGTTGGAGTTTACTTCAGAATCAGCACCACACAGGCATTTGACGCGCATATACAGGCATATCGTGAGCCAAGGATAACTGCCTCATGTGCATATGTTTCGCCTGAGGAGGGTGACAAGGTGAAAGCCACCATAATTCGAAAGCTGGAGGTCGAGGCCACCGAGCACAGTTGGAACCCGGCTACGGTCGACAAGAGCTCAGTCATCCTAGTCTGTCCACAGCCAGATCGTTTCACGAACCGAGCGGATGAGGCTAATGCGAAGCCAGAGGACAAAGAGCTCAAATTGGCAGGCTGGTATGTGGCTGGAGGAATCAAGCATTTTCTCCAGCTTCCAGCCGGTCAACATGTTGAGACTGGATATCAAGGCTTTGTTGTTCATCATGGTGCAGGGCATGAGGCGATGCTCGCGGTCTTGAAAAGCGAAAAAGATGGTAGTGGTTTCGTCCGTTTCATCGAGGCGCCTGAGGTGAATGGATATCGAAAGGTGGAGGTGTATCAGACGCGAGGGTGGGATATCAATGCTGCTAAGCTGGCTTGAACATCGTCGATCAACACAGATCCGTTCGGCGCTCGAAAGGAGATCAATACTGATGTGTCGGAGGCAGGATTGCGGAATGGATGTATTGTTGGTCATTCTGAGCAGGATGCAAGCGTCTTGGCCAAAGTTCACTCGACCAGCACAGAGCATTTGAGATCATCTGTCGACCATAGTAACGTACTTGATAGATATTCTCACAGCAGCCTATTCGCCAGTACTGTCTGAGCTTTCGAGTAAGGATGACCGTGCGGATAAAATGTCTTTGTCTTGCGAGAAAATGTCTCATATTCGAATCACGCGCACAGGGCGTGTGGCGTTGGCATCGTGGCATCGAGACTTCATCTCTCGATGATCTTCTTTACTTCCTCCCTCTACATGTTGTCATCGAACCTCGCGGCCATCTTGTCATCGGAAGATGGTCTGCCGAGCCGGTACGCACTCGTTCTGCTGATCGCTGCCGGCCAATCAAGCGGCGTGGTCGCGATGGTGGTATGGCGCTCAACGCGTACAGGCTACAGTCTCTGGGCCCCTCAGAGGTCGATACTGATGCTCGAATCTTTGCGATATTATTGAGAAGACAGACCATGAGAACTGCAGATCTCCTGCTGGTGGAGTGACAAACTTCCACTTTGCCTTTCAGGTTGCATCATCGTGCCTACCTGACCTCTAGCGGCAACGTCGCAGCGAGTAGACAAGCACGAGATGTAGGTACTCTTGAAAGGCAAGGATAGCTGTACTGCTTTACTACTGGCAGGTGGTGTGCCACGCGCCTACCTACCACGACCCCTTCAACATTAACATAAGATGGCCGTACGTCCAGCACAGGAGATGTGGCATAGATTGGAGCTTCGCGAACCTGACATTCAACAATCATTTCCCAGAGTATACCAAATATGGCTTCATACATCGACCGCATCCGTAAGCTGTTTCGAAGAAGCGCTAATCGCAAGCAGCCTACCCAAACGACAGCTCAGACGGGAGCCAGTGCCCAAAAACCCTTGAATCAGCACGACGGAGCAAACGACAGCAATCAACAGACGCCAAAAGGCGGGATCGAAGCGAAAGTGGCGAAAGCTGCAACGGCGTCTGGCTCGCTTCAGATCAGACTGCAGAATCAAACCAACTCCAGCACAGTCTACGCTTATATCAGTGCGTATCATTTTCATCGTCGACTTTTATTCTGCGGTGTTGACAGTAATCACCAGCTGGACAAGCGATTCAAAACAACAATGCACTCTTTCTCCTCCAAGCTGACGCCAAAACACCCTACTACCCACCGAATCCATCACAGACAGGCACCAAGATAGGCGTCAATATCTCAATATCCTTGGGAGCCCCTGGCGATACGATTACTGCAACCATTCCGCAAATTGCGGGTGGCCGTATTTGGTTCTCAGTCGGTGCACAGCTCACCTTTGCGGTCAACCCTGGTCCTGGTCTGGTTGAGCCATCAGTGTTCACTCCTGCGGACCCCAATATCAACATCAACTTCGGCTTTGCGGAGGTCACCTTCAACTCATCTCAAGTTTTCGCCAATATCAGCTATGTCGACTTTGTCGCTCTACCAATCTCCCTGTCCCTGACAGATACATCGAACAATACTCAGCATACCTCTGGTTTGCCCGCGAATGGTTTGCAGACAATAGCCAATGGCTTGACTGCGCAGACACAGAAGGATGGCCGTCGGTGGAGTAGTTTGATTGTGAACAGCAGTAACGGACAGTTGCTTCGCATCCTAAGTGAGCAATATACATGAGATGTTGAGGTGGAGACCGACTGACACTCTTTCAGGTCCCAACTCCGGCATCCTCCTCAACCCATCCTGGTTCCAGACCTACTGGACCGACTACGTCAATGCCGTCTACGCTCAATACAACAACCAACCACTTACGATCGACACCCAAGCATCGTTTGGCAATGTCACAAGCACCGCAAACTCCTCGAACGTGCTGAACTACGGCGCTGGAGGTTCCTTCGCCAAGCCAAATGCCGCTGATATATTCAGCTGTTCTACTGGCCCCTTTGCTACTGGAAGCAATGGTGAGACGAACACGATCATCCCTCGCTTGTCGGCAGCTTTCAACCGGAGTACGCTTTTGATCTCGAACAATACCCCTAATGGCACGAATCCTTCGCAGTACTATACCAATCCTACTACGAATGTAAGCTTTTGAGCGAGATCTTGGTCGTGCAGCTCCCAGAACCTGCTGACTAGTTCTTAGCATTACGCTCGCATCGTCCATGCCGCGAACCTTGATGGCAAGGGCTATGCATTTCCCTACGATGATGTTACGCCTGATGGGGGTGTCCCGCAGGAAGGCGCAGTGTTCTCGTCTTCGCCAGCATACATGACTTTGGCTGTGGGAGGTAACAATGCTTATGCGGCTTGAGACTTGCTAGGCTGATTCTTGCACGGCCCTGTCAATGTGGTACAACGCTTGGCCGAACCCTTGAATAGTCCTTGCAAATATATGACGTTTCTGCATCTGCAGCTATCGCTTCCTTGTGTGAATAGCAGCAAGCTCACCAGTGACGTCGCCGAGGCTCTCCTGCTTATCGCTGGAAAATTGTCTACCATGCAAGCTCGCCATGACTTTGGTCTTTATAGCTTCCTCGATCTCTACAGGGCAGAATTTTTGCAACACCCAGCCATGCGTTGTCGGGTTCGGTGTATGCCGACTCAAAATGGCAGTCACATCGTCCGAAGCTTGCGGAATTGTACGCCGTCAGCATGGCTCCCATAAGCTGCTCCAGAGTGCTAGCTGAACCATCGCTCAACGATTTCATCGATGCCGAATAAGCTGCTTGGGAGTCGGCATGTTCCGCCGTCCAAGGCTGTGCAGAATACTCCTTTGCAATCTCAAGCGCTCGATTTTGTGTTATGGTACCGCCGTGTACCATCAAGCGGTGATTGTGAACACGAGTAGGTGATTTCAAGACTGCAGTAACAGCACGTGCGAGTAGTCCGAAGTTGGAAAGACTGATTGCGCCTTCACCGCCATCCCACAACGTTGCCTTGCGGTTGTCGAAATCGAGCAGGACTGGATGGTCGAAGACGAATTCCAGCAAGGCGCCGCAGTTGATGACAAACCAAGTAATTTGGTCTTCCTTTGTAGCCAAGTACTTCTGGATGCCGACGACTGACGACATCATGGGCTGTGCTTGGGCCAAAGCATCACGAGAATTGACGGTATACTCTGCGGGGACGAAGACTTTGACTTCTGCAGCAATGGCAGCATCTATCATCCGCGGCTGGTTGCTTATAGCTGACATTGCCACTGTTGAGATGAGAGCATCTTGGCCTTTCAAGGCTTCGGTGAGCGAGGAGTCAGAGTCGTAGTCGACCTGCTTGATGTCGATATCCGATGGAATCTTCATCAAGTGCGCCGTATCTCGTGTCAGGACGGTGACCTGGTAGCCGGTCTTGTGAAGCTCCAGGACGATGGGTAGACCGATCCGGCCAGCCTAGGAATCGGTCAGTAATCATGTGTGCGTCCTGGTATTATCATGTTCAGCGTACGCCAGCGACGGCCACTCTTTTAATGCCAGTCATTCTTGGAGTCTGTCGTGTTGTGGTATGTAATGAGGGTCTAAGAGCGGTGTTTCTCGCAACCAGAGCCCTGAAACGCTTTGTGCGAGAGGGGCATCCGCTCGAGAACCATTGCGTCGATCGATATCGCTTTGGCACTCGTGCAGCATAGCACTGCCTCTCCTATGATCACTTGTACGGATCCGTAGGCGCTATGCCATTCTTCCACGTCGGATATGTACGGATTTAGGCAGGCGAAGGAAAGTGGGTTCAGACCAGACGGGAAGGAACGCACGCTCGGGGCGAACCGTGGCCACCCCGCGACGCGTTGGATCGTCGTCGCGCGTCCAATGTCACTTTCTTGAGTCATATCTGACGTCTCGCAGCAATCAATCATGGCGCTGCTGGTCATGTCGCAGGCCAACGGCGAGTCCTCTACAGTCGGCTCGTTGTTCAACGGCTTGGCGTTCTTTGTGCTCCAGAAAGTGCCCTCGCGCACACACTATGTCGACCTACTCAAAGCCAATGGTGGACGTGTAGTCAAGACAGAGGGACAGGCCGACCATGTGATTGCGGATCAGCTCAGGAAGGACGCACCGGCGGGCTCGATATCCTATGAGTACATAACAACGGCAATACGAACTGGCGAGCTTCCAGACCCTGCCGACCACCCTGCCGGACCACCACTAGGCGCGCTGCGAGAAGTGGGTTCGATAGCGATTCCTGGCAAGACGACAAGAACGCCCTTCACGGCTGAGGACGACAAGGTACTGTGGCAGTGGGTGGAGCGATTGCGACAAGAAGGAGGTTCGGTCAAGGGCAATGAGATCTACAAGCAGCTGGAAGTGCGGAACTCGAGGCATACATATCAGGCATGGCGAGATCGGTACATCAAAAAATTGATGAACACCCCGCCCGCTGGCGTACAAGTCACAGTCGCAGCCAACGCGCCGCCGAGTCCGCCGGCTGCGTCAGACGGCGAGGCAGACGTTGAGGACCACCGGGAGAAGAAGGAGCCAGTCAATGATGGGACAATCGAGGCAGGCGCTACCCGCGACGTCATGACGGACGAGAATGGTGCCAAGTTCACGGCAGAAGACTTTGACAACCTCATGCTAAATGCTGGCGACATTATGAAGGTCGACGCAGACCGTGGCGATGAGGCATGGGCGGCTTGGGCCCTAACCTTCACAAGCCATCCGGCAGATACTTGGCGCGTATATTGGGAGGAGAACGTTCTACCGATCTATCTCGAGAGGCGAGATGTACGCCGCAGAAAGCGCAACTTGAGCACCGAGGAACGTGCATCGCCCAGTAAGCGTACGCGAAGTAGTACGACGTCCAAGTCTGCTCAGATTGACGATGGCGACTCTACGGAAATTATCGGGCCGCACTCTATGATGAGCAACCTGTTGATTGAGCAAAGCACACCGAAGGCCTTGAGTTCGAGTAGAACCTTCGAGATACTGAGCGATGTTGTAGACTTAGAAGCTCGTGCCGCTGTCGAGCCGCCTTTTGAGGCTTCAGAGACCAATCGGGCAGCAGAAGAACAGCTGCGAAAGGATATGTCGCTTCCGCATCCTATAGATGACGAGGCGATCGCTATCGACCAACAAGCGCGCCCAGTCCCAGAGTCAGACGGAGACGGAAACATAGCCAAGGATGAGGCAGACACCACAATCTCTCATTATCTCATAGAGGATGGCGAGGTAGAAGATGGGTAGGTCTACTTTTCTATTCCATGTTCTTTATTTTCCCTCTCCTTTGCTGATGCTTAAATCTAGATTGCCCGGCGAAGACGTTCTCGACGATGAGTTCTTTGGCAACGCGCTCACGGAAGCTAATCTCGCAACGCAAGAAGGGCAGAGTCGGCCTCAACAACCCGTTCGAGGCATCGACATACCCGCAGATGATCCCAGCAAGGACCAGGGTTCGTACGCAGATTATTTGCGAAACCTGATTGGCAGTGTACCGGGCCAAGGGGCTGCCTTTGATGTTCAGGCCCAAGCGCCGAGAATGCAGTTTCCACTACTGTCGGATGCTGCGCTTGACGACACAATGTACACCCACAATGACGGTAACTTATTCTCCGACTTGCCAATGTCATCTCAGCAGGAGGTAGATGATGCATTTGAAGTCAATCTGGACTGGCCTTCGTCACCGCAGCAGGTGCAGAAGACGCCTATGGCGAGCCAGACCCAAGACCGGCCTCTTCAGACTGGTGTCCACTACCGTGAGCTTCCGAACGGACGGGAGGATGAAGCGGACGACGACATGTTCTCAGCTCAGCCACCAGAGCTTCAAGTTGAGTATCCTCCTTTGCCTGTGACTACGACTGTAGACGAGCGACAAATGCAGGAGGAAGCGTTTGGTGTCCAGCGAGTACCAGCGAATGCTACAATGGTTGTAGAAGGTCTAGAGGTCAGCAATGACGTGGTTATTTTTGATGATGGTGAGGAGAACGACGAATATTTCGATTTGACCCTACCAGAGCCTGAGGGTGGCTTTGGGTTCTCGCCGTCACCAATTCGAGCATCGGCTGGTCAAGAGGGAGAGCAAAGTGCTATGCACGTACAGTCTGAGCATGACAACGTGGAGCTGGCGAAGCCGCACCCGGACCAACGAGAGACAGTGTCGTCTGCTGAAGATCCAAGTTCGTCCTTCGAGGACAGCTCACCAGAATCTTCTTCCCAACCTCACAGTAACAAGACTGGCAAGCGGGCGCTCGAGACCCAGGACATTCTCAATGCGGAAACTCAACAGCCAGATTTGGAGGTGCCTTTGCCACCGGATTCAGATGACGACGAGGACGAAGCCGATGCGGGCAATTATAGGCTATCATCTAAGCCGCTGAGGTCGACTGCACCTGCCCCCGTGCGGACTCAGCAGGCACGTGATTATCGCCAGATGCAACCAAGCACAAGAGCTCCGACACATCCATATCTTGTCTCCCGATCCACTGCGAATCGCAAAGCACTGAAACAACAAGCCCCACCACAAGCTCTCGAGTCACAAGCCTTCACCGAACCGCTCCACCTAGATACATACATCCAAACAGCCTGCCTGCACTACAAAGTCGACGAAGCTACCGTCATCACAGCGCTGAAAGCAACTAATATGCGACCTGATCCTGCAGAGCTAGTGATGCTTGAGCTCAAAGCCGGACGAGGACTACCAAAAGACGTGCCGGGCGTTTGGTCCGAGGCAGAGGATGTCGTGATTGAGGGTGGGGATGCAAGGAGGATGAACGTGGTGGCTGCGAAGCATAGTTGGGAAGAGGTGCAGGCGAGGTTGGAGTTCTTGAACGAGTGGAGGGTGGGATGAAAGGGATGTGAATGTATAATGGGGAAATATCTGACATGGCTGCGTGACGCATGTGATAGCAATATCACTCTACATACAAAGCTAAAACATTGTCCCTGGTCAACGCTGCTCAGCTAAATTCTGCCTCAGAACATCAACGACCACACGCAGGCGGCAGTGGTCTATATGATCTTGGCATGCCTCTCAGTCCCGAGATGATGGCCTCCAAGCTTGACTCGCTAGTATGCTATCTCACTGGTCTTTCACCTTCATCACTGCCAGCCTTTTTCGGGCTGGCGGTACTATATCAACCTCTACCTTTTGGCCGACCTGTCAGACTGTGACCGTCACATCCTGCTGGCCGGACATTTCGTTGCCTTTGACAGTTAGGTATTCTTGTAGGCTCGTAGAGACCTTGGGGTTCGTGTGTCTTTGCCGGGAGATCGCACAGGCCTCAAAATTTCCTGTAGAGGTTTGATCTAGAATGTGGGCCAGTGCACCAACCAGCTTTGGGGATTTCTGCGTGGCCCGACGCTGGAGAGGACGAAAAGGAATCCGCAGCCGCGCCGGTAGATTTACGGAACCCGCGCTGGTGACCTCCGTTCGAGTTAATTGTTCTGCCGGAGCCAGCATAGCCTGCGGATGGAACCTGCCGTACTTCGGCAATCTTGAACGCTGATGATAAGTCTTTTGTCCTTCATGAGATGCCAGCGAAATGGAATGGGTCAGGCGCCGCAAAAGTGACCTTCGTCTCGAAAGCGCCATCAAGATGTCTTTCCAGTCCGGTAATGTGCGCAGCATTCAGGTCAATCCATAATATCATCCGCTCAATTAACCCATTCAGCCCAAGCGTCGAGTACCCTCCTCGCATCTTGAGCATCATTTTCAAGCCCTTCATGTGCGCAGTGAAACTTGCCGAGTCGCCAAAGATTGCTTCGTATGCTGCCACCTTGACCACGGCGGCTAGCATAGCATCACTGATACCCTTTTTGGGATCTGCAAGGGTTTTGTTGATTTCGGCCAGTGTTCGTGCTTTGAGATGGAGCAGGTCAATGAGCGCGGCTCCCTTGGGGTTCACAATGGCATAATGGGACGCGGACATGAGCAGGACAGCGTACATGGGTGCTGCTTCTTGCATCATTGTCGGGAACCAGTTCCTGCGGATGAGACCTTTCTCGTTCGGCCCATCGAGATCGGCAATTTCGACAGCAATATTCTGGATGTAATGTGCGAAAAGTGGTGAGAGTTCTGGTTGGTGGTCGACTGGGTAGCTCCAGAAGGGATCTGCTAAGCCGCCTGCAGCATTGGGTAACCTTGGCGACAAGATGACTATTGCTGAGTCGTGAACGCTGTTCGTCGTGTCAGAGTCCTTACTGCTAGAGTCTGTGCTGCTGTCCTTGCGTAGATACGGTGCTTTCTTCGCCGGTTTGATAGTCGAGGTAGCCTTCCTACGGACGCTGAGAGCATCTCGATGTATGTAAGGTTTCACTGTCCACGTCTGCAGGTCCTGGGTACTGCTCAAGGCAGAAGACTTTGCATGTTGGACTCTCGTGACATGGGCACGCACAATACGCTTTGCAGCTCCTCTGCCCTTCGACGCCTCCACTCCAGTAATGGGCACGAAAACGAAGGGTTCTGCTAGACCTGGCGTTGGCCCGCCCAAAGGCGTGCTTGCCGGCTGGCGGAGGGGTATTTCGAGCATCTTATCTGCTGCACACCAAGCCTTATCGTTTTCGTGTGGCTCAGTGGATAGTGCAAAGCATGTTAGTGAACACAGTACGCTGGCGAAAAGCGAAACACTTCATGAAGAGGTGCTGACAGGAGAGCCAACCCCACCAAATCCAGGCGTCTGGTCTTGCCCCAGCCGGCTGGCGTTTAGGATCACGTCGGCGTGGCGTTCCATCCGCCTCGCCGGCCTTTCAGGTTTCTGGTCCGGACGAAAAACCTGCAGGGATGGTACATCATGTGGAAGTGAGCCTGGCTTATGGAAGATGACATGGCTTGCCAATTGCCTGCAAATGACAGCTGCGGGGCTGTCAAATGTAGACATATGTGCTGAAGACTGAAGCAGCGTAGACACAATTGTGTGATGATTCGAGCCCACGTTCACTACATCCGCTTTTGTTGGCTGACGAAGTGCATTGGCCTATTTCGATTTTGGAGCGTGCCTATCAATGCATATACCTGTAGAGCTATATGTTGAATATCATGAGGTTGGGAAGCACACTGATCAAGTGTACAGTGGCACATTTCTGACCATGGGTGCCGCGGTGGCCACAACACACCGCCCTTTGATTACTTGTTATCACGGTTATGCTGTTTGCTACGATGTGAACATCGCACACTAAATGAACCTGTAGAACAGGCTCGCCTTGTAGGTTCTTGGACATCTGTACTATAGCTTGACTGAATGGAAACCATACGCTAGGCCCAGTAGTGTTGACTGCTATGTCTGCATTGGGAAGAAGCCTACCATTTCGGTACCTCGAGCCAACACAGCTCCAGCTTGCTGGTCCCAAGCCTCTAGCAACAACAAACTCGAGTATGTAAAAACACATGTCTCTCTAACGTCAGACTCACGATCACCCAAGATGTTCGGAGTGTGTTGGCCCGAAGGAGCCATCAGACTCCCACACCTGCCATAGTATGCAGTGATCGTTGCTCTCAGAGGCTCAAAGACTGGTGCAACTCGAGGACGCTATAGATATGCCATTACTCCCTCTGTCGGATAATCAGCATGCATTATCAGAAAGTGTCGCATAGGGCCGCCAAGATATAGTCTCTGCAGGACCTCGGAAGCACGACTTTTATGTCCCTCCAAGCAAAGGTGGTACTAGTGATGGCAGACGAGGAGAGTGCGCTATCAGGTATGTGACGATCCTCTGCCTGCAAGACTGCAGTGGCTGACCATATCCCTCAGAGGAAGCTCGAAGATACGCTCGGCTCGGGGCCACATTGGTCGTCCATGTCCCAGATCCGGAACAGAAGACCACCGGAGCCAGGACGACGAAGCGCGGAATAACGAGTCTACTATACACCGGCAAGCTGAGTACCATGTCTGATGTAGAGCATTTGCTTGACGCAGTAGTCCGAACGCATGGCAAGGTCGACTTAGTCATCGATGCTGCTGGTCACGTCGTGCAGAGACCAGGAAGTGCTCAGAACACCAGAGCTACAGACGATCTGCTTGCATACGCCATCTTCGTTCATATCCAGCAGCAGCTCATCGGAGAGCGTTATCGAGAAGAATCAAGGAAGTTATTGCTTGGTCGTGCTTGATAGCGAATCGTACCATTGTTAAAAGACAGAACTATACACCGAAACTCTCGTATATTTCTGATCCTCCAGACTCCGGTGACATGCGATGTCGAAGGAAATCTGGTGGTGTTCATAACATGTATCCTCACATCATATCTCGGCCTCCACGCCGAGCCAGTGACGCAAGGGCTACTGAACAAGTCTGTGCTTCGGATGGGCGGAAACCGGTTTCGTCTCGTATTGGACCAAGACGTACTTCAGCACTCCGACGCACGACCAAGCCAGCAGCAATTAGTAAATCAAAGCAGTGAAGGCTAAAGCAGCCAAAGAATTCAAGATGTCGTCCGGGTCTGTCTCCAAAAAGTCAGACGACGGTATGTCAACAATAGAGGCAAAAGAGCAAAGCTCGAAAGCAAGTGCGGGCGTACGTCGATCTAACACATATTCTCCGAAACGTTGTTCGGTATGTACATTGTGACTAACGGCATGACAGGCAGGTGTCAATCTAAACCTTGGAGCAGCGGTCTCGGGACTGTTCTCAAGCAAGTCCAAGAAGGAGACTGATGCTGACCGCGGCTCTCTGGAGCAGTACGAGCAGCAGGCCAAGGTAGCTGGTATGTCGACTCGAGCTCTGATAATCGTTGTAGACGAGAAACAGCTAAAGGCAAGTGTACTGATTCATGAGATAGGCGCGGGTGCTGGGAGCTTGAATGCAAATGCGGCTGCTAGTGCAGAGCAGAAGGCACGAGAGATGCGGCAGGCGATCAAGGACGGCAAGTCATAGACCAAGCGCGATGCTGTTGAAGCCTTCGCGCCTTGAAGATGGGTCATGGCCTGCTGGCCGTTATTGGACAGCGCCATGGTCGCACAGTCATGTTCTTCGGAACCGTCTCGGCGAGTTGCCTTGTTACGACAACGTTTGCATATCGCATTGCTGATTGACATCATCTATGAAATCGCTTAGTATGAACACTTCCGTTGATCGATGCCTGGGATACTTCTCGTAGGCTATGTCTCCGCCATATCCAACCACAAGTTCGCTCCGTACTTCTCCTCTTAGCCTAAGATGTCTTCTTGACGCTTGCCTTGTCCCGAGGCTCCGGACGGAGTCCACAAGTCTCAGTACTAGCGCATAGCTCGTTGTGGATGTCAAACGCTCGGACGCTCGGTATCCGTGGTCCCGTGATCTTGTCTCAAGTCGTGCCGACCATCTTGTATCACACTCAATCATCCTCCCCCGCCGGCGGTCCACCACCACCATAGTTCCATTTCGCCCTCGCTTGATCCTTCTGCATCGGCTTCCCACTCCCCGTAAAGCCCACCTTCGCCCCAGGCAGATCCGGGGTCCGGAACATACTCTCCTTCTTCTTTGATCCTCCAGCCCCTCCGGTACTACCAAAAGTTTTCTTCGGACCACTTTGCGCCCAGTTCTGCCAATTCGACTGATTCTTCTGCAACTGCTTTTGACCTTTCAACTTCTTCGGCTCCGGCGCCATGCGTGTGGGACCATCGCTGACTTTACTCGGCTCGCGTTTCTGCGCCTGCTGCTGCACGAGGTTGGTATCCACGGAAGGAGCGGCGGAGATGACGTAGCCGCTGTCTGCTGTAGGCGTTGACGCTGCTTTGGGTGAGACCGGGGTTGGTGGGACGGAGGCTGCTGGAGGACCGTCAGCTTTACGCTTTTTGCTCTCGTTGTGCAAGGGTCGGATCTCATGTTTTCGCTTGGTTTCGGTATTATTGTAGCCTTTGAATGTGACTGTGTATAACGGATCGCTCGAGCTGCCGGTCTTGCTAATGATGGATGCCTGGTACCATTGTTTATCTTCTGAAAACTTTGCCATTACCGTGTCCTTGACGTCAAAGGTCTGCTGTGCATACGAATCCTCGGATGGGGGTGGTGGGGCTGCATCTGGCGACTGCTTGCGGAACTTTGGATGCTTGCTCATGTCATACTTCGGCGGAGGTGGCGGCACGTCATCCTCTGGTGGAGGAGGCGGAGGCGCACTGGCATTTTGTTTTGCCTTTGCCTCTGAGATTTGCGCTTTGACTGTTGCAATCTGCTCGTTTAATACGGGTATCAAGTCGACCGAGTCCTGGTCGTTTGGCTCAAGGGTCAAATATTCTTTCGTCGCCTTGAGGCCATCTTCGTACTCGGCGAGCTCGGCTTGGAGCGCTGCAAGGTTGCTCATCGTGGATTTAGTAGGCGCTACCAATACTCGAGGCAAAGGTCAAAGTACTCAGCGGTCTGTCTCAATTGCGCCGTCGTCTTCTCGAGGTGGCGTATGAGGCTGGAGTCGAATCGGGAAAGTATGTTGAGGAGATTCGATATTATTTCTAAGGTAGCAAGGTGAACAATGTGCCACGACTATCTGCTGTGATGGCAGGAGCAGGAACAACGTAGGACCGAGGCGCTAGGCAATTGGAAAAAGATAGCGTCCCCAATGATATATCGAGCTAGCACATTGATCAAGACGAGAACGAGGTAGTACACACAGAGAAGCAGACAACTGTCGGCCTCCCGATCACCTCCCACATGAGACCAGACGAGTCGGTGGGTTCGGTGTATGTTGTACACGGTCACGAGTGCGTATCGGAGTCAGCAAAGCAACGCCGCATCCGCGCCTTCTCCCACCTTCTGTCGAGTCTGGCTCCCCGATTGATTTCTAAGCGCATGCCAAGTGACCGCCAGCCGCAGGGCCAGGAACATTCGCAACAGCAGATCCTCGTAACACTTGCTGCATCACCCAATCACTGCTCATTGACTCCGCCCGCCAACGCCGGTAGAGGTCTGGTCGAGGCAGTAGTTTCCTGCACCTACGCCTATCAGACACACACGGCTCGATTGTCTGCTCCTTCCACCGCCTGTCCCGCAGAAAGCATTCACTTCAGGGTCCAGCAGCCCTACCAGACTTGGGAGAGGCCGGATTATTGACCTTTTGCTTGCGAAGTCTGACGTCTTCTTCCTACCTACACTTCCTCTTCGCATTGATAAGAGGAATACGGTTGCTATTGATATTGGTGGACGGGTTGACTATACCACGGTCGACAAGCACAGCGCATAGGAAAAGGTGAGCTGACTATCCAATCCTGCTTCACTGCCAGCCGCATGTGCATGCGACCCCGCCGAACGCCCTTGCGAGTGTACACACACACGCTTCCACGAAGTTTACTGCTGTATCGCAACTGCTACAACAACATTATTTCAGCTACCCAGTGTAATGGCGCCATATACCAATGCTAACGGGCTTCGACAGCAAGCGCAGCAAGTATCACAGTTCGCAAGCGCTACATCCGAACAGCGCATGGCCAGCCCGGAAGAGCTTGGGAACGACGACATCACTCCCTACCTCAACGATAACCAGCAGAACCTACTCCTCGCCGCCCTCAACGCACAGGCCAAGACCAGGCAGAACCTACAGAACTCATCTGCACCATCCGCAGATACCGGACTTACCCAACGTGCTACCTCCGTTGAAGCCCAGCAGCCCACCACAATGAGCGAGAGCACAATGTTCATGAGCCCGCATGACGCGGAGCTGGATAACCTTGACTACACACCTGATCTCGACTATCTGGATGGCGACGAAAGCTTCGACTTTGACAATGCAGACCTTGGTGGTGAGATGATTGGTGCGCTGCCGGGAGATGGCGATCTCCACGACAAGAGAAAGATGTCGGACGACCAAGACGGCAGCGATGAAGCCGACCCGAAGAGGCAGGAGGGTGAGAAGGGTGCGAAGAAGCCAGGCAGAAAACCTCTGACCAGCGAGCCTACTACAGTGAGTACCGCACGGCTGAAATGACCCTCTACATACGCTAATTCACACGACAGAAACGAAAAGCACAAAATCGCGCCGCGCAACGTGCTTTCCGCGAGCGCAAGGAGAAGCATCTGAAGGATCTCGAAACCAAGGTGGCGGATCTCGCTAAGACGCATGAAGCCGATAAGCATGAGAAAGGCTTGCTCAAGGCGCAAGTCGACCGCCTCCAAGTTGAGCTTCGCGAGTACAGGAAGCGCCTGTCATTAGGAGCTGGTTCCGGCGCATCGCGTGGTTCTCCACCCTTGGTAGCATACACTGGACCTGGTAGAAGCAACAGCGGTTCGTCCACCAACAACAGTAATAACAACAACTTTCAATTCGACTTCCCCAAATTTGGCGCCTTGCCTGGTAGCCAGATGTTCAACACACAGCAGAGTGTGTCTAATGGCGTCTCCAACGGAGTTCTGCAGCGTGGTAGTATCACGCCACCTTCGGCGAGGCAGTCGCCTGCCAGCAATGCACTGGGTAGTCTTCCAAGTCAGCCGCCGGCCCAAGTACAGCGTGCAAATAGTCAAGGCAGCCAAGTTGGTCAGAGCAGGAGTTCTCGGAACATTACGCCTGCTGCAAACACGTCGAATGGAAACACACCGCCAGCTTTCAACGACTCCACGATGCCCTCTGTGGGCTTCAGCACCACCCAAAACATGCATGGCTTTGCAAGCACTCTGCCGCAGATGAACAGCGACAACCCCTTCGGCGATCTCTTCAGCCCAAGCCTGCTCAAGAACGCCAATTTCAGTGCCAACAACGGCTACTTTGATGGGACGAAGCAGACTGCCAGCAGCCACAACAGCTTCGACGCAAGCAACGGAGGCGAGAGCACAGCTGGTCTGAACCGCGTTTTCCAATTCAATGGCGGTAGTACTGCTAGTGACAGTGCATCGCCAAGTAACAGCAGCTCGACACAATGGAATGCGAACGCCAACAGCTCGTGCGGCACGTCGCCAGAGCCGTCGCATGACAGCCCGGCAACGAATGGACATAACAGCATCGATTCGTACTCTCAAGAGAAGCCAAGCACGTACACGAATGCACAATTCTCGCAGGCTCTCGGTGCGCAGGAAATGTCGGCCAATCCCAATATCGGTCTAACGGACACGAACCTCAACTACTGGGCGCCTTCTACTGGCATCAATGACCCAGTGCTATTCGGCGAGTACAGAGACAACAACGAGCCTTCATTCGGCTTCTTTGATGACGCGCTCAACACTGCACCTTTCGATTACGGTTCACCAAGCAACCTCTTCGGCATCTTGCAGAGTCCACAGCAGATGCCCACCACGCTCAACACTCAGCCTAGCATGCCTGCGAATGCTGCGAAGCCCAGTAATGCTCTCATGGCTCAGATGGATGCGGCACGTGAGGGCGGCGATGACGACTACGGCCTTCCAAACACGGCTATGCAGGCACGTCCAGCAACTGACCAGAAACTGAACAAGCTTATCAGCTGCAATAACATTTGGTACGTCCTCGAACATCATTCCTCTGCATTCCCTTCGCCCCTAACATACCTTAATAGGAACCAACTCCAATCCAACGCCGAATTCCAAGCCGGCACCTTCGACCTCGATAGCTTGTGCAGTGAGCTCCGTGCCAAAGCCCGCTGTTCCGAGTCCGGCGTCATGGTCTCGCAGGATCATGTGGACGCGGCGCTGAAGAAATTGGGCAAGAAGGACGAGCAGGGGAAGTTTGTCCCGGCTACGGCTACGGATGTGCCGCCGTTGATGTTTGAGCAGGAGTCTTGGGATAAGGTGTTGCAGAGGTTGGGTGGTGGTGGTGCTGCTTGAAAATTGCACAGGCGTAGGATCTCAGTGGCTATGAAGGTGTTCTGGCGTTTGGGGAGGGCAAAACAGGGAGAAGAAGACTGCGGGTATTAGCTGGGTCCTTCGTGGCTTGTTCATGTACACGGCGACAATGTACGCTACGATATGATGACATTTCTAGTGTCTATGTTTCTGTCCATTCGTGCTTTGTCTCACGAGTATCTCATCTTTGCAGGAGTAATGTGGCGAGATAACAAGTCGCACACGACAGTGGCCTATGCGATGCCCCTCACAAGACATCACCTTCGCTACCACAGCATGGGTATCGAGAGAGTATTGCTTCAGGTAAGCCGTCACATCAGGCCGAGGAGTCCTACTGGGTCTCTCTCTATGCTTCACCATCTCATAAGGCCGTTGATCGTTGAGTCGGTGTGAACGTGCTTCTTGCAATTCTGGTGAGATTTGTTAGAGCCTTCTTCTTACCGGGCTTCTTGCATTTCTGCGATATCAATGAAACGAGCTAAAAAGATTCTAGCGTGGCAGTAGTGGCGTGGCAACAGCGTGGGGGATGGCAGACTGCTTCATGTTGAACACCAATCCATCATACTTGAGGCACGCATTGGTCTTTGTGATAATATAGCTCGCAAGGGCAGGCTGACATCTTCGACACAAGCTCGAACTGAGGCAGTACGGATCTAGTATACGGATGACCGCCACGACTTGCTTTTGCCAAAGGTCCTCCCTGTCTAGGCCCGTAGACACCACTAAGCGACACATGTATCTGGACGCCCTAGATTAATAGCAGCTAGGCGTGTCAACTACATGGCCCCGTCCCATTGGCCACCTGGCTTACCTCGCATCTGAAACTCCTCACCTTGTGCACACGGCCATCGACTAAATCAACGAGTCTTACATCCCGCGTACAATCATCCGTGTCACCCTTGTCTATATCGTGGACTTTGTCACTCCCTCGAGCACTCGGAGCCGCTTCGGGCCACCATCTCCCACGCATCTTGCTGGCCCATCGACGCTCCCGAACCGATTACCGTCACGTACCTGCGTCCTCCGAGCACCTAGACATGGGCCTTATGGACCAGTACCTTGCTCGGAAGCTTGTGGCGTTCTCCATGCTCCCACGACCGTGCCGTCACATTCGAGAACCATGCGTCTACTAGTCTGTTGCAGTGCCATCCATCATGATAACCATCGCATCGCGCCTGCTGACTCGAAGTATCTGGTTCAAATCTTCGTCTCCCAGGACGATGCCCTGCCAGTCCTTCTGAGGGTGTATACGAGGTACGAACGCCTGGAGAGCTCACATCGACAGAACAGCCAGGATGTCGCAAGAAGCTTCAGCTCTTGCAGCTGCGATAGCCCAGGGCCAGCAAGCAAATTACCCGGATGTCAGCCGAGGACCTCTACTCGTGAGGACGGTATGGGTGCTCATCAGCTTTTCCACCATCACTGTCTTCGGCAGGCTGTATACAAAACTTCGCAAGGCTCGACGGCTATACTGGGATGATGCGCTCGTCATACTGGCATTGGTGAGTTCATTCGTCTTGTTCGTTGACAACTGACTAACATGGAGAAGATCATTGGTATATTCCACGCCGCATGGATAACAAGAGGAGTCCAGGTCGGTCTCGGCCGGCATATCAACTATCTCTCGGAGTACCAACGTGGCGAAGCGTTGCGAGTCGGACTATGGTCTCTCCTGATGGCGTTCCTCAGCCCGATGGCTGGCAGGATGGCCTTTTGCGTTACCCTACTCTATCTTGCCGGCACTGATCCTAGAGTAAAGAAGTGGCCTATCTGGATCTTTTTCGCTGGGCAATTATTGGTACCACAACCACTTCGCTCATCCGGCAGGTAGCTAGCTGACAGCTTCGGCAGGTCAACGTGGCAGTCTTACTCGCTTTCTACACTCAATGTGGCTCTCATCTGAGCATCTTCTGGACGCCGACGCAGGTGGAGCAGTTCGCAACGCATTGCGTGAACCGTCAGTGCCTTCACTTGAGTCGCCAGTGCCATACGGTTGACTGACATTCTATAATCAGCAAAAATACAGACGGATCTTGGGTACTTCCAAGGATCTTTCAACACCCTGACTGATGCATTCTTGACTGCACTTCCCGCGGTATTGATCGAGCACACGCGACTGTCCCTAAAGTCAAAGATTGGACTAGCTTGCCTGTTGTGCTTGAGCATTCTGTTGGTCTGCCACGATATCACAGGATTTATCTCCATACTGATCAGTCCACCAGGGCCATGATAGCATCCATCGTCAAGACCTACGAAGCACGCGCTCTACACGAAATCCTGGACTACACATGTAAGCAGCACCCGCTTTGGGGTTGAGCATGCCCAAGCTGACGATACATAGACGATCTCTGTCCTTATGTCATCTGGATCACAATCGAGTTGAATGTGGTCATCATAGTGGCCTCAATTCCCTTGATGCGACCTCTCTTCATCAAATCGACCGCGCAGCCACGGCGCTTGCGAATACCGTCACAACCACCGAGAAGTAGTCTCTGGTCGAAATCTCATTCCGGGCACACAAGCTACTCTCAGAAAGGCCTTGAAGCTATTACGATACGACCGGAAAGTCAGGAGAACATCGTTCCGCAGCATCATATACCACTGCATGATCTCGAACCGTCTGGTATTGTGGTCACGTCGGAAGTATCGATCACGTACGAGTCGAGTAATTCGCCTTATGTACATGCGGCACTGGTAGGCTTGGTGCAAGGAGAGATCGCGAATCCTGGACTTGTCCAATGATGATGTAGTTTCGGTCTATGTACAGTATAGAAAACTCGATAGCAAGTTACGAACGAATGAAGGCCTGACTGGCTAATACTCACCCGAAGACGATGACCTATAGAATGCTTCATGCTTCAAACTTCAACGTTGCCTACATCAAGCCCGTCAAAAATTTGAAGGAGAAGTGTCAGCCGTCTCCCGCCAAGAATAGTGTGATACAGCAGCCCACGCAAGCCACGAGCTCTTTTCAGCGCAGCACAGAACCGGACGACACCGCTCTGCTGATTTTGACAACGTGCATCCCAGCTGGGAAGAGGCTCATGTACGCCAATCCACAGAGACTATTCTTGCATACGCAAGACGCGTACCAAGTTGCCAGCAGAGTTTCTTCAAAAATTCGTAGCAGTGCGCCATGTTGCAGTCACTACGATAGATGTGAATGGATCGGCGTTGTACGACCAGCAGTCACCATCGGCTCAAGGCATTTCTCACGGAAACACAATATAAGTTGTACCACGCATGCTCGTTCTTTCTCATACATACATCCTCTATTCCAACGGGTCCCACTAAGACCAAACATACTGAAGTACACTGCGGAGCCTCTTACCATGTATCACTCCAACGTATCCGCGAGCTCACTCCTCCTACTGGAATCGTCGCGCAAGACCATGAAGTCGAGCTCTGGTAGTGCCTGTGAATGCGGGTATGCTACGCACTCATGCTCCTCCCAATATCCACGAGTAATGCTAACGGATGTTTAGCTGCCATACCTACTCTCAAGTCTTCTTCAGCAATGGAATCAGTCGGTGGCTACAAGCTCTCGAATGCAAGATATGGCAGCAACGATCGACGATACGCCTGAGTCCGGAAAGCCATGGTAATGAGTGATGACCGGGAATCCAGTCAGCCATCCCCGAGAGGGAGGGTATCTTGCGATTACGATGTGTCGATAGAGCTACGGATAAGGATTTTGTACATACTTTTGAGCTCCAGTATCAGCGACAGTTCTTCTCCTGAAGTTCCTCATATAAGAGTCCACCGCTACTACGCAATCCGCGTGACCTGCCGAGCAGTGCTGCGTTTCCTAATAGCACTCTCTGATCGACAGAACGACACGACGGCCTTAAATATCACGACAGTATCATCTTCTGCTCCAGCTGTAGACACGAGTAGTGACTGTGTTGTCTCGGCCAGAAAGCCAAGCGTGATTCCCGCATCGCAGGACATCTTTGCGGTTGGTACGGGAGGAATTTCGTCTTCCTCATCATCTTCCCAGCTCTCCGGAAGGTCACCGTCACCAGGTCCCTGATGATCTACTGGAGGTGTGAAAGCCTGTACACCGACTATTGGTGGCTGAGTGATGAAGAGATCTTTGTACTGTAGACGACTCGTCCCAGCAGCTACTGTGGGCTCGGGCCGTGGCCAACTGCTGTCGCTAGGTCCAGAGGCTCGTGAGCCAAGACCACCTCGTAGACCTTCGAATATCGAACGTGATCTCACGCGCTTGCCCGGCCGATAAGGAGATATTGCTCTAGCCGCGCCGAGTGTCAAGCGCACTATTATCCAGCGGCCAAGATGTAGCTCTTCACCGAGCTCGATGGACAAACCTGGGAAGCTGAGTGGGAGAAGCTCGAATGTGGAAGGTGGTTGACAGAAGCGTGGATAGTAGAAGAAATGAAGTCGCAGCTCGGGAGAAGTCGCGATAGTCTCCCTCCACCTCTGACATGTTCGACGCTGTTCCATGATGTCCTTCGTTGGCAAATAGGTTATGATCAATTCGAGTAATTCGATCGTGGCCGATACCTTTGCCACAGCACATTCGGTGGCATAGCAAGCATGAGGCAAGACTACACTCTCGGCATTCGAGACATGTTCCGTGTCGTTGATAACTGCCGAGTCGTTTGCTGGGCCGCCATATCGACACGTTCGTTCTTCTGGTGCAGGAAGCCATCTAGAGCCATCTTTGCTTCTAACGACGATAGGCTCCGAAGATAGCGGGATAGCGGTCGTGGTTGAGTCGCCAGTTTCGGAGTGTCTTCGAAGTCGGATGGATTCTCTGTGAGCGTCTGCGAGCCTATCAGACAGGCTGATGCTGTTCATCTGCTCCACGAGCGGATCCATGATTGCTTTCCTGCCCAAGACCAAGACAGATCAGACCACAAAAGGATGATGATTATTGATTCACTCGATTATTCCTTACATGGCTACTATGATGCTAACAAATTACAGCACAAGCCTCGATGAGTTTGCTGCAACCACGATGCCTGCGATTGTCGTTCACTGCTACCCAATTCTCGACAGTTACTAGCGTGACGGCGCGGCCCGATATTTACTGCGGAGACAAAGTCAAACCGCGACGGGGTTGCCATTCATTCTCGTCGGCCGAGGGCAATACATTGTCCAACATGCAACAACTTTCATCTAGAGAAAGCACTTCGGTCGATGAATGCTATCCCTTATGCTTTGAATCCGTCCCGTCGTTTCAAGAGCCATGCGAAGTTTGCATGACACTGGACGATCTGCTCGTGCGTCGACGCCCAGCCTCGTCCACCAGCCTCGCGTGTAGCTTCGAAGCGGGCTGGGACAGCACACTACGCATGCATCAAAAGACGCCTAGCCGCGTGCGATGTACAGAAAGGTAGTTTCCACAAAGCACTTGTCGTTCATCTCTGCTTGCCATTTGAGTAGACCTTTTGCAGCTCATCTGGTCATCCATCTTGTCTTCAGCTTACCTCGAGCTTCGAAGAAACGCAAACGAGGACAACATACGCTCAGACATACATAACAACCTTGAACCGTCTACTCAACAATCATCACTGTAGAAACTGCTGTGATTGATCTGACGATCACGCCATACAACCTCGTCCAAACACATCAACCACAACACAAACGTCACACGACAAACGTCACACGACAAATCTCATCAGCGCGACCTTACGACTCCGATCGACAACATCGTCGTCAAACACTCGAATAGACGTGCGAAGCGACCGCCAACATGCAGCGAAACATCGTCATCTTCCTGATCATCATAATCCTATTCATCGTGCTGGCACTGGTCGGTTTTGGCATCTGGTGGGCACAGACAGGCTTTAATAGAGGGCGTGGAGCTGCCAGCGAGACCAGCGGCGATGATGTATAAGCTTCATTGTCGATGAGAAGACATGGACATCGCGGCGAAAACTTATTAATCATAAAGAAGCGAAGGGATTTCTTGCTCGACGGGTCAGACATAAGAATGAAAAGGAACGGTTTCTAGAGATAGTGCGGCACAGCGAAGGCGTTCTACAACGACACTCGGCGAAGTGGACTATGCGGGTGGTATCCTGCGACGAAGATATGATGAACTTGTAATTTTAGACGCAAATACCCAGCAGCAAAAAGTTACTATCGCGACCACACGGTCGTGGCACAATGTACAGAGAGCAGAAAGCACTAAAAGCTACACTTTCCTCAACATCCACCACATCTCCTCTGCCTGCTCTTTCGTCACAAGCGCCGTCATCCTCTCTGCCTTCATAAAGTCATGATCTTCGTACTCGAAACCAGGTACTACAGTCTCGCTAATCAGGAGCCCCTCGCTGGCATCTCCTCCCTCTTCGTCTGGGAGAAGGAAAGAAGTTTTATACTTTCCCCCGTCAACTATCCATTGCAGCTTCTCCCCCTTGAGAACATCCTGTCCAACAATGAACGTCTCTATCTTCGCCTTCCCCTGCCAGCGCTGCTCTTCTAACACATCATCGCTGTCATAGCCCTTTGGGCAGGAAGGTGCAGCCACTTCATCCGCATGAATGATCACATAACGGCCTCGTCCCTGATGCAGGGTGTGGACTGTCCGGCCTCTATTACGGTGAAAAGCTCCAAGTGAAGATATTGGGGTGAGCAGGTAGTGGATCGTTGTGCTTGCGCTCCGAGTCGCTTTCTCGGCATCATCGTTCGACCCCTGTGCTGTGCCTTGTTCCAGGAAAGGATTGGGTACTCGAAGCGTATCACGGTCTGTCTCCACAAAGTACCCGCCTTCGATGTGAGGTTGTAGACCAAGATGCTCGATCACCTGTTTCAGGCGAGAGGACTCGGCTTGGGGATTCGTGGGATCAAAGGAGGGTTTAAGTGGAGGTACAGATGCGTCGATGGACGACGTCGCTGTGTCCATGTCTGCTGGTTTATGCTGGCTACGGACGATTGTCCGAGCCGTCTGCGTGACGATCTCACATCTTCGTTGTGAGAGTCTCGCGGATCTGCGAATGCGAGTCTACAGTGGGGCCCGAGACTTTAATGCGGCTGGACACGCGATCTCTGCTCACATGCAGATGAGAGACACTCTTGAGACAAATCTAATCTATCGTAAGACATATAGGAGCGACAGCGTGTTCGGGCAAAAGTACTATAGGAGATAATTGTTAATCGAATTGAATTAAACAAACAAATGCTTATTGACATGCCCATTTCCAAAGATACTGCTAACTTTCATTATAGAAGTCGCTAATAAATCATCAATTTGATCGATCGCTCGCTCAGGGGGGGTATCTAGACTATACCAGCCTATGTATACACGTTCGCGCGCAGTAATGAATGACCACCTCGGCCGCGACGATCGGCTTTCCTAGCAAGCAGGCCGTCTACACGCCGGAGTCGTGCATGACGATGTCGAACTCCGAAGCGTACTCGTTGTACTTCTTGCAAGTGTTGTCCATCGCACAGGTGTCGATTGCGGTACTGTTGATCAGGTCTTGGGCCTCAATAATCTGGAGAGCGAAGCCCATGGCGTTGTGCCAGCCAATGTGGCAGTGCATGAGCCATGCACCCGGGTTGTCGGTGAAGAAGGCAATAACCACGTAACCGGCTTGACCGCGGAGCGAGGGCATCATGACTGTGTCACGACGGGGCGGGTTGACGAGATTCACGGGGGTTGAGGCCGAGTAAGTGCCGAAGCCTTGCGCGAGGACGTAGAAGTCGTGGCCGTGGAGATGGATAGGGTGAGGTGTGGGGATTGGCGATTGGATGACAATGTAGACCCATTCGCCGAGGTTGGGGACGGTGATAGCAAGGGGACCGCTGAATGGTGGGATGGTACCGTTGTGAACGAGAGACTCGAGGGTTGGCTGGCCCCACTCGGACTGGAAGGTGACGCCGTTGAGCGACCACTTGTACAGGTTCTGGCCGTTGGCACCAATGACGACGTTCTCGACGAGAGGAGCAGCCTTGGTGACACCGGCATCCAGGGCGTAAGCTGGCTTGAGGTTGGACATGGCCTCATCCTGGCAGCCAGGCGAGTAGGTCCATGCCGTAGAGCTTGGGACGCCGGCCTGGACGCTCGAGTACGAGACTATACCTTTGACATTGTTCCACTGGAGATTCGGTCCACAGTCTTGTTGAATGTCAGCGCGGAACCAGTAGTTGCTGGCGGCCTGGTTGAATGTGATCAAGACATCGTATCGCTGGCCAGGGTTGATCGCAACTGTGTTGGCGGTGTAAGGCACAATCGGGACGAAGTCAGCGGCAATAACTTGCATGCTGTGGCCATCAAGCCCGAAGATGAATGTTGACTGGATGGCAGAGTTGAGTATGCGGAAGAGCTTGGTCTCGCCAGCCTTGACGCTCGTCGACCATCGCTCACCAGTAGTGCCCGCGGCTCCATCAGCGCCGCCCCAGATGTTCATACCGTTGATCAGACCAGTGTCCATGGTTGGCGCGCCGCGGGTGTCGGGAGCAGTAGCATCTTGAGTGTGGTCGTACATCTCATCCACGGTCCTGTGAGTCCAGTCGGTCAGCACGACGATCTCCTCGTCGAAGGAGCCCGCCACGGACTTGGGACCGTTGATAACCATCGGACCCAAGACACCCATGTATGCCTGGACAGAAATGTGGGCATGGTACCAGGAGAAGCCGTAGTTATCAGCACGGAAAGTGTATGTCATGGTGTCGCCAGGCGCAATAGGGCACTGCGTGATCGAAGCCACGCCGTCCATCGCGTTAGTGTAGTTCTGACGGATGCCGTGCCAATGAATGGTGCTTCCATTGTTGGCCATGCTGTTCTTGACGTGCACGGTGATAGTGTCACCCCAGTTGGCGGTTAGCTGTGGGCCAGGGAACTGACCGTTGACTGTCAGGCCGTTACGAGGGACACCGTCAGGGCTGATGGTGCCGTTGACGAGCTCAAAGTTGTACTCTCGGGTGACACAAGTCTGGGGCATCACCTCATATGGATTGTCTTTGATAGTGTAACCACAGAAGTTGTTGGGGTCAGAGCCAGGCTGGCCCTCGCAAGGAACACACTTGCCAGTCGCGGTCGGGAGTGCCTTGCAGCTGGACGTGCTTGAAGAAGACGAGGTCTTGCTGGCAGATGTAGTGCTGTTTGAGGCAGCCGAAGATGAGCTGGAGCTTGTTGTGATAGGTGCAGTCGGCTGGCTGGAAGTGATATTCAAGCTGGCAGAGATGGAGACCGAGCTGGTGGTAACGGGTGCGGTTGGCAGGCTCGAAGTGCTGTTAGTCGAGTACGAAATGATGTTCGAGCTGCCGCCAGTCGTTATAGGACCAGCAGTAGACGATGTTGTACCGTTGACAGTCACAGGAGCCGAGTGGGTGTGGATCGTTGTGGTTCCGTTCTCTGTGCACAATGTGGTGTACGTTGTAAAGCTGCTCTCGCTTGAGGATGACGAGGTGGTCACAGGGGCGGTAGGTCCGACGGGAGTGGTCGCGTTTCCGCTGTAAGAAGCTGATCCAGAGACAGTGCTTGAGCTCGTAGTGCTACCCCCAGTTGGGCCGATGGGGACAGAAGTGCTTGTCGTATTGTAGATCGGCGCAGAGTGAGTATGGATCGTTGTGGTACCATTATCCGTGCACAAAGTTGTGTAGGTCGTGAAAGATGTCGTAGACAGAGAAGTGCTCGATGTTGAGTTAGCGCTCTGGGTGACGGGACCTGATACAGTGCTGGAGGACGAAGTGCTGCCGCCCGTTGGGCCGACTGGGAAGGAGCTTGTTGTGGAGTTCGCACTGTAAGTAGCTGGACCTGATGCCGTGCTTGAGATGCTGCCTAGGGTGGTTGTTCCGTTATTTGTGACCGGTGCGGAGTGAGTGTGAAGAGTTGTGGTTCCGTTCTCTGTGCAAGTGGTCGTGTAAGTCGTGTATGAGGACTCAGAGACGCTTGTGCTGGAGCTCGACGTTGTGCTGCCTCCAGTAGGACCCACGACAGACGAGGTGGTTGAGTTACCGTCGAAAGATGTAGGGCCCGTCACAGTGCTGGAGCTTGTTGTGCTGCCTCCAGTGGGGCCAACGACTGGAGAAGTAGTTGTGGAGTTACCTGAATAAGATGCAGACACGCTCGCAGGGCTGGAGCTTGTTGTGCTGCCTCCGGTAGGACCAACCACAGGAGAGGTGGAGGTCGTCGAGTTGTAGATCGGAGCCGAGTGGGTTTGCAAAATGGTGGTGCTATTCTCTGTGCAGGTCCTGCGAAATGTCAGCAAAATTCGTATGGATGTAGTCACTAAACTTACGTTGTGTAAGTCGTGTAAGATGACTCAGAAGTAGTCACTGGGCTGGAAACTGTCGACGAAGTCGAAGAGTTGCCGGTTGACGAGCTGGAGATGCTGCTAGATGAGGCACTGCCCGTGGAGCCACTCACAGGACCAGAAACAGTCGAAGACGTGCTAGACGATCCACTGCCAGTTGGTCCAGCGGATGTGGTCGTGTTCACGCCATATGGCGGAAGAGTAGCAGACGTGGACTCAGTGAGGGGCTGGCTGTGGGTGTGAATTGTGACTGTGTTGTTCTCGCTGCAAGAGGTTGTGTAAGTTGTGTACGAGGACTGCGACAGGCTAGAGCTGAACGTGGCGCTGTTTGTGACCGGGCTGATCGGACTGGTGCTGGACGAAGAGGCAGATGAAGACTTGGAGCTTGAAATAGAAATCGAGCCGCTGGAAGATGAGGATGCGGACGAAGACTTGGAGCTGGATCCACCGAGCGAGGAGCTACCGCTGTAAGTGACTGGGCTGACAACGCTGGAAGTCGACGAAGAGCTTGACGTTGGTGTCATAGTCACGGTGCTGGTCAAGGAAATTGTGATCGTCGATTTAATGGTAGTCGTAGAGGTTTCCGTCGTTGTACCAGTGCTGATGGTCTTGCTGCTTCCAGTTGTGATAGTCGAAGTAACTGGCTTCGTCGTGGTGTACACAGATGTGATGGTAGTAACAGTTGTGTAACCGCTTGTCACCGTTGTCGTCACTGGACCGACTGGAGAAGAGCTGCTGCTGGAACCGCCATTGACTGGACCGGCTGGGGAAGAGCTGCTGCTAGATCCGCCATAAACTGGAGCAGTCGGCGTGATCGTAACACCATCAGTCAGCGTAGACACCTTCGTCACAGTCAGGGTCGTGTGGACCGAGGAGGTAACGGTAGATGTTGAAGTTCCTGTGCTGGTCGTTGTCTGGCCTCCAGTAGTGTGGGTCTGCTCGTAAGGGCAGAGAGTGGTGTACGTCGTCACGTAGTCAGTGACGATGACGGTAGTCGGGGAACCATTACCATCCACTGGCGATGCAGGCGAGCTGGGCTGTGCCGGAGGAAGGCTCACGTAATTCGAAGGCGTGTAAGCGCCCCAGGGAACAGGCGCAAGACTTGTTGAGTAGCTGATCTCGGTGATTGGAAGGGTAATGTAAACTGCAGTCGAAGAGTCGACGACGTTTGAGACGGGGCTGCCGTTGGCTCCGTTGCCTCCATTGGATCCTCCGTTCGATCCAGCATTTCCACCTGCAGGCGACGTCGAGACGGCGTTGACGGGCGTCGACGATGGCTCCATTCCGCCGTAGCCACCAGGACCCGCTGGCTTGACAGACAAAGTTTTGGTGACAGTGATCGTAGACTGGTATGAAGTGGTGACGGTCGATGTTGTGATTGCCTTGGAGCTCAGAGTAGAGCTGCCGGTCGTGGACACCTTGATGTAAGGGTAGGTGGTTGTGTATGTCGAGACAACGTCGGTGACAGTCACATATGTGGTGGTGTAGCTAGTCGTTGGTGCGGTAGCATTGTTCCATAATGGAGCCGAGGATGTAACGTTCGAGTAGCCAGTTGGTCGTGCAGTTCCTCCAGTCGACTTTCCACTTGCTGGATCCACAACGACATCAGATGACGCCGCCGGTGGTTTGCCCCACGAGTGGTGTTGTTGTGGAGGAGGTGGCCTCCTTCCATTACCCCAAGCGCCCTGAGGAGGACCCCAAGCCCCGCCGTTCGGGTGTGCGTGTTCGATCTCGTTGATTACATTGACAATGTTGTTATCCCCTCTGTTCCATCCCGGTATAGCCAGGGCCGGCGCAACACTCGCTGCCACAGCGAGGACGCTCGCGACACCCTTCATATTAACGAATGACTTTCCTCCCAAAGCGAGTGATGAAGGAAATAAAAAAGAACTGAGGCGTAGGCGACGAGCGAGTGTGGTGTGTGGACGAGTACCCGTAAAGAATGAGGTCTCTGTCCTACGAGAGTTTATGAGAGGACTATCGCACTATCGAGCGAATAGATTGCCAAGGCTAGGAAAGAGGAAGAAGGGGACTCGCCTAGGAGCAGGTGTCAGCCCGCCATAACATAACCGCAGCCTTTGCGCCAATGACCGTTGACAAACGCTTTGTGAGCCCCCTGATCAGTTCGTGTGAGAGGCTTGTCCAGATTAGCCCTTGGCGATGTTTACTATCTTGGGCAGAGACAACGGGCATCTCCACAGACCATGTGCGCCTCCGTCGCGTAAACGAGCTAGCGCAAACCGTGTTGGGAAACTCTAGGTGGCGAAAACAGAAGCCACTAGTCCTTCGCAATATGAAACTCGCTACATGATTCGTTGATGAGCCGTGTACCTGCACAAGTGGCTCTGCATAGGCGGGTAGCGGCCGTGACCAAGGATTTCCTAGAGGATTCGCTTGCGAGCAAACAACCTTTTCAGGAGATGAACAAGGACTTCCACGTCTTCCGTCGCTGTGTGTATGGCAGCACGAATTTTCCAAGTGAACTGGTCGCTCGAAAGATTCGAGTCTCTCCAGAATTTAAGACCTCTATTGCAACTCAGTCGTCATTCGGCACATCGCTTGCAACGTTGTCGCCTCGTATTCCGTGTGAATTCTACATCCTTGTCAACCGTCCGACTGTCAAACGAACGAGGCGTGGACCGCGCGATGTGGAGTCTCTGCTAAAGCATGCTAAAGCACGCCGCACCGCACGGAGTCATCGCCTTGCGGTCGATATGCAGGTACCCTTGTCAGGACGAGGTGCAAGATCCTAGTCGTTCCTGGATACGAAGGTTGAATAATGAGTTGCTGCTGACAACAATTTGCATGATTATGATGATGATGATGATGGGAAGTTCCAGCTTGACCGGCAACGTGGTGTCTTCGTCGCGGCAAGGCAGTCTCACCAACGAAAGTTACTCTGACAATTCCAGATTGTACGGGGATAGCGGCAAATAATAGTTGCGCTACGCCACTTACTTGCTGGCTGTCGAGAGTTGCACAAACCAAGCTTGAAGTGGTTGGTCTCGACATATGGCACATTCGTCGTCAGATCGCTGAAGTTGTTAGATTCTCATGACCGTCGTCTCAAGCCTTCCTCAGGCTGCCCAGCTGAACAGCCAACTCGCTCCTCAAATCGAACATTGAATGACCCTCGAAGTCCAGAGGCCCACAGATGTCCTAACGGTCGGCACAACTCGGCACACAACTCCACGAAACCCATCGGAGCATTATTGTCGACAGCCACCTCCATACAGTACTCTGACGCGTTGGCCACAACTTTACGTTTAATTACCTGCGCCAAACACCAACGGACGAAAAACCCAAAAGGACCATGTCCAGCGTTCCATCCAGCTGTATAAAGCCATCGCTGACAGCCGCTCATGGTGCTCGAAACCCAAGAGCCCAAGATCTTGGACAAGCGGAATGAGCATGCTGACGCCCCTATTCCTGTCACCCTCGTGTTCATCTGTGGTAGCGTCTGGGCAGCGTAGGATGCTCAACCGAATAGCCGGTGATCAATGATCGTCAACAGAGCCGCAACATGTTTGTCTCGCAAGCGAGATTGATTCACGGCGGTGCAGTCTTGCGGGCATTCCGCGATGAATTCTTGCGGGAGATGCGGAGAGGTGTTTGCCGAGTTATCCAGGATGCGACGCAGTTCTGCCAACTTGTTGTATACGGAGGCACATCTATCCGCTACTGTGGTATTATTGAGTTGCTAGCTGATCTATTGTTATATGCTAAGGCTATTGCGATTTAGTGAGCGATTTAGTGAGCGAGCTATTGATTGATCGTCAGCGTCAAGAGATGCTGCTTCGAAATGGCCTGCTTGTGTTGAGCGCATGTGTCTCACTTTATCCCGCGAAGATCGTGGTTATCTGGAGTCTGATGCAGAACTTTGTGCCGTATACGCGATGCTCGTGAGCAAGACCCATCGAATATACTCGGTCGACGCAACAGCGTATGTACAGCAGAGCCCAGCATCTGAGCATAACGCAGGCGGAAGACATCCTACTGGACCATTCTGCTAAACAGTGGACGCTCTTCCAGAGCCAGAAAAGGCGTTTGTGAGCATCACGGACGAGGCAGAGAGCTGCGGCACGACATACAATTCGCAGGCCACATCGTCCATCACATGTACTACGGATCTGAATTCACCATCTTGTGTACAACCACTGTGCGGAAGGCAATCAGTAAAACCAGCACCTGTCGTCGCTGCCGATAAGCACGCACCATCAACAGCACTCCTCCGCTGAGCCATCTCATCAGAGAGTGCCCATGGACCACGACGCCACGCAATCATCCCTTCAACCCACTAATCAGCAAACTCCACTGATCCCTCCTCATCCCCCTCCAACACCCAAACCACCCTCCCCGACAAGTACACCTCCACCCCCTCTCCAACCTCCCCAGAACCCGTCTGAGCACCACACCCCCAACAAGCCGTCTAAATCTATCGTTCGCAGGATAACGTTGTCTGGCTGGAGCACGAGGATCCCCACTCCGCAATGGAATCCACGCCCCAAACACTTTAACCTTTCGAAAAGTGCTCCAATCCAATACTCCCAACGGCCCCTCCACGATAAAAACCTTCATCTCCCTGCCCGGTGTCCCCGCCGACCTCACGTCGGCGCTGCTACTCTCCTCCTCATAATGAAGATTCTCCATAACCCCCCTGACACTAAACCTCTTCCCCTGTCGCTGCACAACTTTTAAGTCCCGTTCACCACTCTGCGACACACTCAAGCCCCCCAAACCCCCCACAGTATAACACTCCCCAACCTCCTGACTCCCAAAGAACGAACGAAACTCACACAACATACACCCCCTAGACAACCCCCTCCGTCGCCCACGATGCCAGCCGTGAGGAAAACAGTCCGAATGCGCTTCGTCCGAACCCGACCTCATACTCTCTGCCAGCCGCCCAGTCAACCGGACAATGGAAGTAGGCACCAACTTCACAAATTCGAGATGCAGATCCAGAAACTCCTGGACTCGGTCGAAAGAAAAGACGATTCTTGCTAGCCGTCGATCAAAGTCGATAGAGTGCGATATATATTCCACCTCATTACGCCTCCCCGCGAAGAAGTACAGACTCGCCTTCGTGTCTTCGATAAAAGCCAAGGTAGATTTCGCAAGTTTCTCGTACACACCACTACTTGCTCGACGCTCCAGATCTTCAAGGGTAGCTTCGAAAGTCGTTGTGTAGATCAGATTCCGTAGTTCGGCAGGTAAGAGTTTGAACATTTTCGCGAGCTTGTCAAAAGGGTGGTTGGCGGGAGAGAGGGCGATTCTGGCGAGGTCGGAGGTCGGCATGGCTAATATCGTACGTGCGTGTCTGTGTGCGTTCTTCAGGTCGAGGGAGCGGATAAGTCAAAGAGCGAGAAGTTCAGCGGAGGTTTTATAGTCTCGAGCTTGGAGGCAGAGGTGCGAGGAAACGATGGTGGTCCATCCAGCTTCGAGTAATTAGTAGATCCATCTCCCTTGGCAACCTCAACCTGACCTCTCCTTTTGCGAAGACAACACAGAGGCGTCACATTGCTTGATGTCGAGATTGATCTGTTCTGCGCTGTGCTGTGCTGTGCCGCGCTGTGGCCTGCGACGCATGAATGTAATGGGTATAGAATACTGCACAAGCTCTAAAAAGCTATGCCCTCTCCTGAGAGCACCACCAAAACTCCCAGGCATCCGCAGACACCTAACGCCTGTGTATAAAAACCCCGCACCCTGTTCGCTACCATGAAAATCGTGACAACATATCCCACTCACCATCCATGGACCATCCCTCTAAAATTTCAAACTAGAATTTCAACCCGTCTCTAATCACTACCCACCACCACTAGCAGCGCCATTCGGTTCCATTGCCCTGCCCTTCCCCTTCTCACTCCCTGTACTCGCCGCCCCATCCTCGTCATAAAGCATATTCTCCTCGATATAGTTGACCACGGGCTCTGGGACCAGATATCGGATACTCATGTCCCTTCTACGGAACAAGCGGATCTTGGTGGAGGAGATGTCGTTTTGCACGAGTTGTTGGATGACGAAAATGTTGGATTTGTAGGGTTGGAGGGTGGAGAGGGCTTCGTCTATGTCGGTTCCTGTGCGCTGTGGAAAGAAGAAAAAAGAGTCAGCTGTTGATTTGAATGGTTAAGGTGCTGGGTTTAGGACGTACCTCGACGATTAAGGCGCCAAAGTTCTTGAGGATGTATTCGATATCTTTCGGAGCCCAGACGCCGGGTGTGCTCATCGTCTGGATCAGATCCGCGCCCGCCAGTAGACAAATCCTCGCCTGCTTCTTGCCCGTCGGCGTCTCCACCCCACCCATGACTTCATTGATCTCGTGGTGGAAATGATCCAGCACTTTCGCCGTCTCAAGATACTCCTCATGCAACGCCTCCCACGGATCGACCGAGATCCAGCTGCTTTGTGCTATTGCTAGACTGCACATGTTGATTCGGTGCTCGGCTTTCACCAGACCGGTCTTCTTGTATGCATCGCCGACGCAGGATAGGTAGGCGCCTACGACTTCGAAATTTGTGTTGAAGCGGGCGTAGTCGGCGGCCATTTCGAACATGCGCAGGTGGAGGAAGGTGATGGGGCTGAAGGAGCCGCAGGCGATGAGCACGAGGGGTGTGCGATCGGGGGAGGTGATACGGCGGCGGAGGCGGGTGGTTGGGAAGGTGTAGTCATCGAGAGTCATGGTGTCAGCACCGTCGGCGGCGGCCATGATGGGTGGTGGCGGTGGTGGTGTGTAGGGAGGGGGGTCGTAGTCTAATAGGCCAGTGAGGCGGACCTTGTCGCTATATAGTTGTTGGGAAGATGTGACAAGTGTTCGCGCTCGTGCTCGTCTGACAGGTGAGTAATGCGCTACGCCAAAAGCAAAGGCAGGGCGTGGTGGTAGCCTTGCGACAGCAGCCAGGCGACGGGACGCTGCGCCGAGTGCTTCGATAGCGGGCGGAATTGTAACGATGATAGACGTCGTGTAAGGATGTAGAAGTAGTGTTACAATCGGACAGTGAGTTGAGCTTATTCGTTGACCTGCTTTGCGATTGGGAATGCGCAGGACCAGCGGGTTCGGAGTAGTGACTGGCTAGAAACTCTGTTGACCGGCCGTGGGGTCGCGCGATCGCTTCTTTGTCAGATCCGAGGATGCCTATCGATCACGTGCTCGACCGCAGCGCCAAGAAGACCTGGATGAGATGAATGCTCGTGCTTGCCGGACTCTGATATCTGGTCGTGACTTCTTAATTCAGCTCCATGAAATGAATGGCGAAAAAAAAACATCGTCTCGATGACTTCAGTCTTTCACCTGCCTGATCTGGACCCTCAATCGATTGGCAGGAGCGATTGCGGGGCACAAAATCATCACGTCGTCCGACGTCATGGTATATAGTAGAGCTCGATGCTATTATATCCGTGTATACGTCAACCATTGCTTGCCCCTTCTTCGAGCTTACCACAAAAACTAATGCTCTCCGCCCTCAGTGGATCGAAGAACATACTGAGCCACCTCACAAATCGTTCATTTGCCACAGCCACAACCGCAACCATGGGTTCCACAGACCCGTCCAAGTACAAGTTCAACCACTCTATGTGTTCGTTCCACCCCCCTTTTTGCACAATCTTCATGCTAACAAGACTTCGCAGGTACGTTCTGTGTCAGCAGGATAGTAGAGTTCGTGTGTCCGGGCTTTGCCTAATACTTTTCTGCAGTGAGGATCAAAGATCCAAAAAAGAGTGTCGCCTTCTATGAACATCTCGGCATGAGCGTCGTCAACAAATTCGAATTTCCGGACAACAAATTCGACCTGTAAGCAGACAAACTCACGGTTCAATCAATAGGCGGCGTCCCACTAACACAGCCCCAGCTACTTCCTCGCCTACGACAGCCCCAAAGCCGCCTCCCACGGCAACCACTGGACGGACCGCGAAGGCATAATAGAACTAACCCACAACTACGGCACGGAGAACGACGAAAATTACAAGGTACACAACGGCAACAAATCCCCGCAAGGCTTCGGCCACGTCTGCATCTCCGTCGACAACATCCAAGCCGCCTGCAAACGCATCTCGGACGCCGGCTACAAATTTCAAAAGCGGCTGGAGGATGGCAGGATGCGGCATATTGCTTTTGCGCTCGACCCGGATGAGTATTGGGTGGAGATTATTGCGCAGAATGCTGTTGATAAGACTGAAGGGGTCAAGGAGACGGATCTGCAGACTTATCGCATGAACCATACGATGATTCGGGTCAAGGATCAGGAGAAGAGTGTGAAGTTTTATGAAGAGGTGATGGGGATGCAGTTGAAGAGGACTTCGGAGAATAAGGAGGCGGGGTTCAATCTTTATTTTCTGGGTTATGGGCCGCCGGCTGGGGAGGCGACGGCGAATGGTGTTAACCCGAGTGCGAGCCGGGAGGGTCTGCTCGAGTTGACGTGGAATTATGGGACGGAGAAGAAGGAGGGTAAGGTGTATCATGATGGCAACAGTGAGCCGCAAGGCTTCGGACATATCTGTGTCTCGGTTGACGATCTCGGTATGTTGTTGTACTCGAGCATAAGGGACTGGGTTTCTATCGCTGATATGTCGTAGATGCCGCATGCAAGCGTTTCGAAGAGAAGAACGTTGAGTGGAAGAAGAGATTGACAGACGGCAGGATGAAGAATGTGGCTTTTGTGCTTGGTGAGCCACTAATGACGGACCAGCTCCTAGCTTTTGTGTCCATGATGGAAATGCTGACAACTCTGACAGATCCCGATGGTTACTGGATCGAGGTCATTCAGAATGGTGAGTTGGGTTCCTTCCACGGCGACCGGAATCAAGTTTGCTAACACACTCGCAGAGAAGTACAAGGAGGCGCCTGGCAAGTACTAGTCGGATCGACGGCGAGGGAATTGTACATACTGCCTCAAGATCGAGGGCTATGTAGTATACAATACGAATCTGTTGAACAGCAGCCGCAGGCGGACTTGTTCTCGTCTTTCGCCTCTCTTACACCGACAAGGAGGTGATGTCTGATTCGTCAACAACCCTCATCAAACGGCGGACCCTTGTCTGTTGTACCATGCGGGCCAGTAACAAGACCTCATACGGTGCAATGCCCTTGTATTATGGCGACACAGTTCACTCAGCTCCTTCGGCGTTGCCAAACACTACCAACGCACGACGTCGACACGGAACCACTTCACGATTTGTTGCAACTTGTTTCCCTCGCCGTGCAATCGATCCAAAGACGACGGCGAGCACCATGATCCGTCCGATGTGCTCTTCTCTTACTCGGCCAGATGCGTGACCTCGCAGTCTGGAACTGTCTCCAATCTTCGTGGTCCGGGCGGTAATACCCACAGGATTATAACCAAACGATCATTCTTCACCCCTCACCTCCTTCCAGCAAAGCCCTCAATGCATCAAGACTAATATTACCTCCTGTCAGCACCAGGCCCACCTTGATCGGCATACCCCTGTTCATACTCCGAAGAGCATCCTGCAAATCTTCGTTGAATAGGAGCGCAGCTAGGGGTACCGCCGAGCTCGGTTCTGCCATGAACTTCAGCTCCTCGACCAAACACGCCAGCGCATGCCGAATCTGCCAGTCATGGACTTGGAAGACGCCCTGGACGAAGGCGGGATCCTTGACGTACTGCCAATTACAAGCGGCCGTCGTCAAGCGCAGCCCATCCGCGATTGTCGTGCCAGTAATACTAGTCACCTGTTCACCACTCAGACGAGCCAGAGCAAGATTCGCGCCACCAGTACTCGGCTCCGTACCGAAGACTCTGATATTCGACCCAGAATCATGACATACCACCGCCGTCCCAGCGAGCAGTCCACCCCCAGCACTAGGCACGATCACAACATCTATACCACCACACCCCAACTCCTTCATCTGCTCCTGGAACTCCAGCATCACTGTCCCCTGGCCCGTGGCGATCCACGGATGGCCCTGAGGTAACAGCGTAGCGCCCGTTTCGAGCTGGAAGGCCTCTGCGATTTGCATACACTCCACCAGGGTCGGACCATGCTGGATCACCGTCCCGCCGAGGCGACGGATCGTGTCGATTTTCACAGGGCTGGCTGTCCATGTCATTACGATTGTGACTGGGATGGGAAAGTTTTTGGTTTTGGAGAGGATGGTGGCGGCTACGGTTAGTGCGGTGGCGTGGTTGCCTGGAGAATCATGATCATCAGTACAGGGACTAGGCCATAGTGCCCGAGAAGTCTGAGTTGTATGTACCAGTACTGTACGAGACGACTCCCGCGCAGAGGGACACATCACTCAATTGTGAGAGGAAGTGGTATGCTCCTCGAAACTTGAACGATCCGGCTCTTTGGAAGTTCTCGCATTTGAGATAGATCTCGATTGGAGCCTGCTTCGACGGTTCATCGTCGTGGGCAGTCAAGGCGGTGCTGACTGCTTTCGGTAATGCGGGACACACCAGTACTGGTGTTCTGTATGCACTCTCTCGAATGATGGAATGGGCTTGTCGAATGGCTTGAATATTCAGGGTAGGTGTGCTGATCATGGTAACGCGAATGCTCGATCAAAGCAGACGGCGCGAATGCAACGACAACCAAAGCAGTCAAGGTACTACTGGATATTACTACCCGCTTCTATGCAACCTAGCCGTCGTGTTCGCGATTACTCTCGCGTCCCACAGGCTGACAGTGTCACAGCTTCCAGCCCTAGAGTCGCGCGCTACTATACGTCCAGCTGAAGTACAACATCCCAATCCAACATAGCGCGAGACATGATCTTCTAGCTGAACGCAGCCCTAAATGGGAACCCGAGAAAGGGAGACCGCGAAAGTAATGCCGGCAATCTAAAACTCGTGCTCTGTTGGTTTGGCAGCTATAGCAATGCACAATCACGCGAAAACATTACTACGACTACACCGCAATGGCCGACCAGTCCGAGTCGGAAATATCAATCGATCAAACCCTGGAATCACCAAGCCATGAAGAAAAGCTCGTTATCGACCGATGCAAGGACCTCGAAATACACGATTTGGGCGTGAACATCTCATCGAAAGGACTCGTCAGCTGGCGAGATGACAGCCCCGACCATCCTCGCAACTGGACACATGCGCGGAAATCCTACGATATTGTTGTCGTCGCCATGCTGGAGTTCTTCACGTGAGTACGTCCTGCTAATAAAAGCTGGGGATAGATGTGCCTGGCATACGTACATGCTGACTTTGGAGTGGAAACAGTACGGTAGTGAGCACCACAGGCGTGAGCTCAAGATCTCCCATAAGATGAAAAACTGGATAGCGAGACTGACACACCCTCGCCAGCCATCAGCAGCCGACCAAGCCCGGACGGAATCTGGTATGAGCCACCTCAAGGCCCTCGTAGCCTTCAGCTTAATGTACCAGCTCGGCCAGGCCCTTGGAGGGCTGATCGTCCCACCCTGCTCCGAGACCTTCGGCAGACGCATGCCTTATATCATCTCCGGTGCGACGTTCGCTCTCTGCTGTTTGTTGATCGGCATCGTTCCGTCCATGGCAATGGTGTACGTTGGTCGATTCGTCAGCGGGTTTGCTTCTGCGGTGCCTTCGGTCGTCCTCGCTGGCTCTGTTGAGGATCTGTTCAATGCGAGGTCAAGGGTCTGGTTAGTGCTGCTGTGGAACTCGCTCGCGACGGCGGGTCTGGTCGTTGGGCCGGTGTTTGGGGTTTATGTTTCTTTGGGCTTGGGGTGGTATGTAGTGATACTGAGGATCCTTCACAAGATCAGGCTGACCATGCTTCGCAGGCGGTGGATATACTACATCTCAGCCATTGTCACAGCAGCCTTGACAGTAGCAACTCTCTTCATTCGTGAAAGTCGACCAAGCCTGATCCTCGCGAGCAAAGTGGCAGCCCTTCGCAAGCAATTCGATTCCGATCTCAGCTTCGATAACCACGATGCGGTGGCCGACCACTCCGAACTACTCAACATCATCCTCATCCGACCAGCCAGCCTTCTGGTGACGGAACCACTCGTCATCCTCGTAACGACTTTGTCGGCGATCTCCTGGGCCATCATCTATCTCTTCACTGAAGCTCTGACTGGGATTTACAGAACCATTGGCTTCTCCCGCACATCTGCATCTCTTCCCTTCCTAGCAATTGGACTTGGCGTATTACTCAGCATCTTTCCCCGCTTTCAAGACATGAAGGTGGCTCGAAGGCGAAAGCTACGCGGCGAGCCACTCGAGCCAGAAGACAAGCTCTCCGGGTTCATTCTCGCAGTGGTAGCGCTGGCGATAGGACTCTGGTGGTTCGCCTGGACCATCCCACCTCTCGTCACATCCATCCCATGGATCGTGCCAACCATCGGCCTGGTCTTCGTCGGCTTCGCCGTTAACGAGATGGCGTATACGCTGAGCAGCTACCTAGCAGACTCGTACACCGTCTACGCAGCATCGGCTTTCGCAGCGCTTGCTTTCGTGCGAGCCATCATCTCCGGTCTGATGCCTCTTATTGCATACGCAATGTACGAAAACATGTCCGCGAATCTCGCGACCACGATTATAGCGAGTGTGGCGACTCTGTTCGGTGTGGCACCGTACATTTTGCTGAAGTATAGTAAGAATCTGCGGAGGATCAGTAGATTTACAAAGTATAGCCTGGAGGTGCATGAGAGGACTCGAATAGAGGCGGATTGAGAGTACTGCCATCAATCCGGGTCAACGTAGAGCTGTAAAATATCGTTGGTATATATTATCGTACGACCATGCATTCTTGGCTGATCAATCTTGATGTTGGCTGCAACATTGCGGGCCCTATCCATTATCATTATAGATACCATGATGTTCGCCGCCTGTTCAGCTCAGATCGGGACCCACATGTGAGATAGCGCATCGAAGACCAAGTTGTGCGGGCCTCAGTCCTGTCAATCTGATATACTCATGTCGTCCCTCTTCAGCCTACACGATGTGGACGTCCTGTTTGTCGGCTGTAGTAAACAGCACATCCAGACTAGGATCCCACTGCTGTTTCAGAAGTCCAATGCGGATGAAACACCCTGACTGGTCGACCGAGGGCCTGAGCACCAGTACTGCAGATGCAGAGACCAAGAAACACCAAACCTCATCCAGCTCATCATTCTGCTTGGCTTGGACGGAAGGACTCAATGGAAGCTCATGTTCGTCAAGTCGGAACTGCATACTCAGAACCAGCACTTCTGGTGGACTCGCCATTGCGATGCCAGGGTCATCGGGATCCGTGTAATTGGAGGCGAGAGCTAAGTCATTCGTCGCAAGGATGTTTCCGTCCTCGTCGTGGATGGCTTCGAGGATGAAAGTGCGACATTTACGGTAGCGGAAGAAACACCGCTTGAGCTTGCCTCGTAAGTGAAGGTCGCCCCCGCTGACTTCACCATGAGGATCTTCACCGGTAAGGTTGGTCGTCACGTTAAGGATCTCGCAGTCGGCAACGCTGTGTTCGCTCTCGTTCTTCGTCTTGCTGTAGTGGCGCAGGTCGTCGTAGCTGATCGGATAGCGGCAAGATGCCCATGACCAGCCAGGTAGGACCCCATCAGCAGCTATCATCGGGCGAGGTAAGTCCTCCGGCCGTGTGCTAGGCTCCTCCCACCACCAATCGGAATCCCAAGCACGGAACCAGAGTAGCCCGTCTGGTAGATCAGCCTGCCAGATACCCGCTACATATTCTGAGTCCAGAAGCCTGCTGGAGTAGAATGCGGCGACCCCAGATAATGCCGGCAATATGTCCTCGGCGCGAGTTAGGCTACACTTAGTGTAGTGTTCGACAATGTCGTGCCACACGGAGAATCCGCCAGAACTGTACGCTTGAGTCAGGACGTCTTTCGGTAGATTGTCCTCGTAGCCGCCATTCGGAAAGGGCAGGCGATGGTCTTCGTACTGGTACATGGTATTGCATTCGAAGGCCATCTGATCGGTACCGAAGTAGAGTACGCGAGATGGCATTAGGCGCTCCTGCATGCACCACGCACGACCTCTGAGATGGTCATGTTTGCTGTGCGGCTTGCGTCTGCCCAGGTCATCAGCGGCTCTCTCGGTCTCGGTCGCAAAGGATACGATGCGGAGTTGACACTCGCCGACACGATCTGCCGTAGTGTAGTATGGGATGGTGGTGGCGCCTGGCTTGGAGGCTCTAGGGTGCAGGAAACCATCCGAAGCGTTAGCGCTGCCGGGACACGCAATGCATACAGCGGCGTGCCAGTATATTTCGTGCATCCTCGCACACTGTTGCCGCCAGTCTGCGGGATCGTCCTGAACAATGCAAATGCTGTCGATCCAAAGATATTGGTAGCCTAGCGTTCGGGTCGCCGTGACTGCATCCTGGAACATTCTGGGAAGCGAAGTCATGGTGATGCCCTTGAGGTTGCCATCTAATGTTGCTTTGGTAGTGATACGAGGAGAGTTACTGCCCCATCGATGGCTGAGCGTCACGTACTCCGCCCGCTCGTCTGAAGACTCAACAAGGCGCAGGTTATCAATGGAAGTGACATCTAGTATACGGAATGGCAAACATCCCATTCCCCGGCCACGACAAGCTTGATGATCTCGGGAACAAGCAAGAATCCATTTTCGAGGAATCTCCCAATCAACATCCGGCATGATTGGTCTGTGGGCTGCCGTTGTGGTATCGTCGAGCATCCATAGCTCTAGTTGAGATGTAAGCAGTGCATTGACTCCAGCGAGCCCAGATATACCCCGTGCGAGCTCGTCATCGTCGTCCACCTCGAAGTCCGATGCTTGATGACGGTAAAAGACTATCTTGTCTGCCGCTCTCACCAGATTTTGACCGCCTGGAGACTGCTGTGTGGGAATGCCAGATGGAGCCAACCAGCCTAGGCTAATCTGAAATGCGTAGCCACTGCATCGATCATCGAGCTTCTGGGTCCACTGGTGGACGTCGATCTGACGAGAGCGATAGTTCCTGGCAAGGAACGCTTTCCCGAAGGTATGGCATAATCGGCAGCCTAAGGTAGCGGACTGCTGTAGTGCTGCCAATGTCAAATGATGATGCAGCGGAGTAGGTTGCTCATCCAGTGGTGTCCTGAGTAGGCGTTCGAGTCCATGCTGGCAGAAGTTCCGGCATAACGTGCACAAGCCGTCCAGATGATTTGGCTCATCCATGTCATGTCATGTCGTGGCTAGCTATCGATGCATCCGAGATGGCCTCGGTGATCTTGCCTTTCCCATGCCGGACGTCTTGTGTCGATTGGCTGTCCGCAGTCCTACCTAGTTGCGACATGGTCAGCCGAGATGATATCTCGAGATGGTCAAATATTGAGGTAAGAGCGAAGTCAAGATCGAACAATGGGATATAATATGTCTGCGCGCACATGCCTGCTTATGTAACCCATGAAATCAGGGCCACTCTGACGTATCATCAGCTATTGACACAGTACCCATTCAGGCACTACTCTGGTTTCTGGGCCAGGACGCTGATCACACAAATACCTGTCTACTATCTGGCTACTGGACAGCATCATTCCTTACAAGGTACCCAGATCCTTGACAGACAAACCGCAGCGCTCGCCTGCTCTGGACCACTTTCCACTTCAGGCGCACAACAGCAACAATAATCCACCATGTCCCGCCGTGGCCCCTCAGCCGACACCACCGAACGGAACCGCAACACCCTCAAAACGCTGGTCAAGCTCGAAACGAACAAATTCTGCGCCGACTGCAAAAAGAACAAGCACCCGCGCTGGGCCTCCTGGAACCTCGGAATCTTCATCTGCATCCGCTGTTCCGGCATCCACCGCTCCCTCGGCGTCCACATCAGCAAGGTCAAGAGTATCGACCTCGACTCCTGGACCGATGAACAGCTGAATTCCATGGTGAAATGGGGCAACAGGCGAGCAAACAAGTATTGGGAAGCCAAATTAGCGGAAGGGCATGTGCCGAACGAGGGCAAGATTGAGAGTTTCATACGGACGAAATACGATAGCAGACGCTGGGCGATGGATGGGCCGATGCCGGATCCTGGTACGCTTGGCGGGGAGGAGGCAGAGGACGACGATGTGCCTTTGAAGATCGTGCAGGAGAGGGCGAGGGGAAATAGTGTGAGGAATGGTAGTGGGACGTTACCGCAGCCGCCGAGGACGAGACCGCAGGATGTGGATCTGTTTGGGGATCCGGGGCCGGCGAGGCCGAGTACGACGGAGCCTGCGGTGGGTGGTAGATCCGGACCTTCTAGGGCTGTGGCCGCGCCGCCGAAGCAGACGAGGCCAAATGAGAGTTTGTTGGGGTTGGACTTCTTGGGTGGTGGGGCCAGTGCACCGCAGAGGCCTTCGAGTACTGGGGCTGCTAGTTCGGGGCCGCCCGGGCGGACGGATCTGAAGCAGTCGATTCTGTCGTTGTATGCTTCGAAACCTGCTGGGGCGCCGCTACAGCAGCAACAGCAGCAGCAGCAAGTACGATCGAATGCGGATTTGTTTGGTGGCATGACTTCTCCATCGCTCTCGTCACCTCAACAAAGCAGTATGGGAGGTATGGGTGATGCTTTCTCCTCGCTCTCTTTCGGATCCCCACAGGTACCAGCTGCACCAGCGCCAACCCCATTTCCAGGCTTCACATCTCCAACAGGACATACACGGCAACCATCAGCAGCAAAGACCAACCCACTAAGCGGCGGCAGCTTCTTCGACGCCAAACCCGCTCCTCCACCAAAACACACATCCCCACCCACCTCAACAGCACGCAAGGAGAGTTTCGGCGGTGACTTTGGCGACTTCTCCTCCGCCACCATGTCCTCCCCACCAACCACAACCCGAACGGCACCCAAGCGAGCCGCAAGTAGCGGAATGGGCGACCTCTTCGACCTAGCCCCGAACAGCAACTACACCACCCCCGCCCCACCACCAAAACCGACCGTGAAATCCCCCCCGCCAATCTCCGCAAGCAACTACACCAACAACTCAGCCTTCAACTTATCCTCACCAACTCAAACCGGACCACCGAAACCCGTCCCAGCACCCCAATCGAACTCGAATGCGTTCTCCTCGATGAATAACATGGATGCGTGGGGCAGTAGTGATGCGTGGGCTACACCTGATCCTACGTCCGCACCTACTCATACCCCGGCAGCAGCGCCGCCGCCTGCGCTGACGAACAGTATGAGTAGCTATACCTCGCCACCCGCGCCACGACCCGCAGCGGCAGTGACGAAAATGGAAAGTCCCTTTGACGCGGGCTGGGGTGATCCGGAACCCACGCCTGCTCCTCCTAGTATTTCACGACCGGCGGTCACGTCTACGAATAGTGGCTTTGGAGGACAGGGTGCGGGTTGTTGTGGGTTCTCGGTGCAGCAGGATGAGGAGTTTGGGGGTTGGAGTCATGCTAGTCCTGTTGCTACCAATACTTCTATTTCTTCGTCTGCGATGAGGCAAGGGGGTCCTGGTGGTGGAGGTGGCAGTGGTGGGAAGGAGGATGATTTGTTTGGGAATGTGTGGGGTTGAGATGGTACAGACCGAGGGGCGGGTAGGTGCGGCGAGGGGACAGTGTGACGTGGCGAGGAGTTGCGTACGTAGAGCAGAACAGAATAGAACACTCCTCAGAATCATGTGACTCGAACGGTTCCACTTCAGTTTCGTGAGAAAAAGATAGCTGCTTCGCTATGCATCCTTGACAGCCACATGCAGGAGGTTTCCGAGAATTCATCAACGCCAGAACACCATGCTAAGATCATAGATTCACACCCCACACCTCACACACACCCCCCGTCTCCCCATCTACCCACCCTCACCAAAAAAAGCTCAGTACCCACCACAACAGCACCACGACCCCGATAATCATCCCCGCCAACTTCAACACCGCAACTTTATTCCCCTGGCTAGCCATCACGCCTAATCTCCTCGCACTCCCTTTCAAAGACGTCGTCATGGTGGAGAAGGTATCAGAGGTCGAGTCGAGAACATGTTGGTCCCGGGCGTTGTCGTAGATGTCGACTGTGACGCTGCGGAGCTGGGAGACTTTGGCGGAGAGGGCGGAGAGGGAGTCGTTGTTCTGTCTGTTTGTTTATCTCTTAGTATGATATCAGGGGTTCGTCTGTGGTGTGTGGAGGATGCTTACTGTTCTCTTGTGTAGGCGTCTGACATTTTGGCGGTTGGTAGGGGTGGGGTGGTATGGCGGTTTGTAGAGGTTGTTGGAGGAGGCGGAGAGGATGTCGTCCGTTTGCAGGGCTGAGGGACTACGCCTTGATTTCCGGGATGTGCTATCGTACAAGTGCTCAAGGCTCCAAGACGTTGTCGTATAACCTCCAGGCGCAAACTACCTTTCCTCTGTCTCGTGATATTGTAAGAGTAGACGGCCTCGGCGTTAGTCAACAAGCCATGAGGGCTGCGTCATGTCCACGGAGGCGCAGCGGTTCCGCCCCCATCCACATGTCAACGTCGAGGCTACAGCAATCATATAATAATTCCAATCATTAATTTGAATAAGGAGTGAGACGATCGCTGGGTCAAGAGAGGGAAAGGGAAAGAGTCGCCCATCATGCCGCCCTTTATCAATAATCCGTTACCCTCTTCTATGCGAAGTATGTCCTATCCACTACCCACTACAACATACTATACAGTATCCCACCACCGCTCTGGCAAGGAGACGAGGGCATGAACACACCGGCGCATACGGAATGGAGACGGTGCAGAGCGAACATTAAGCTAACACAGCTCCTCCACAGGCGAGTGCAAAAAATGCGGTCGCATCCTCGCATCCTTCATCGATCCGCGACAAGCCTTTGGCCCGGACAAGATCATCCCTCCTAACATCCTCGCCAATGCGAAAGGTCTTGCGATTCTCACGGTGTTCAAAGCTGGCTTCTTGGGGTCAGGGAGGTTTGGGAGTGGTGTCGTGGTTGCGAGGTTGAGCGATGGGACATGGTAGGTCATATATCCTCTCCAAAGCAGCTCGGTCGACGGCTGGGAAGTCAGACCAAGTCAGAGGCAAGACGGCGAGCACGGTGGCGAAAGCTCCACCACCACGTTCGGACCTGCTGGCAGACATAGACGAAGCACATACTGACCACTCATATCTCCACAGGTCCGCCCCTTCAGCAATAGGAACAGTAGGCGGCGGCTTCGGCGGCCAAATCGGCTTCGAAATCACCGACTTCGTCTTCATCCTCAACGACGCCAGCGCGGTAAAAACCTTCGCCCAAGTCGGCTCCCTCACCCTCGGGGGCAACGTCTCCATCGCCGCAGGGCCCGTAGGTCGGAATGCCGAAGCCGCTGGTGCTGCATCTCTGAAATCCGTCTCCGGTATCTTCGCTTACTCGAAGACGAAAGGACTCTTTGCCGGTGTGTCGTTGGAGGGGTCCGTGCTTATCGAACGGAGAGATGCGAATCAGAAAATGTATAATCAGAAATTGACTGCGCGAGAACTCCTAGGTGGATCGATTCCTGTGCCGCCACAAGCAGAACCATTGACGAGAATACTGAACTCCCGCGTCTTCGCCGGCGTGGGCGGGAGTTTCAAGGGCGAAGACGCAATGTACAACGACGTCCCAGTCTACGACGACAGCCACGAAGACGTCGTCTGGCAAGGCTCTCGCGGCTCCGCATTCGGCGAAGGAGTCCGAACAGATCGCACCGGAACGGGCACGCCTTTGACCAGCGAGATGGACGGGGGTGGGTTCGGCCAGCCGAATCGAGCAAGTACATGGCAAGACGACCCCTACGACCGCGCCCAGAACCAATACAGCCGGGCCAACCCGGGCGAAACTTTCGACCGTCTGGAAAACTCCCGTCAGCGCTCTTCTACCATAGGAGATCAATCAGATTACTCCTACTCCGACCACAAGGGTCCCGCGCCCGGCCGACCCTCGGCTCCCAAACCGGCGTTTGCGTCGAAACCGAGTTTTGGCGCCAAAGGTGCTGCGGTGGCGGGACCGGGACAGGCGGTCGCGAAGTTCACGTTCGATGCTGATCAGCCCGGGGATTTGGGGTTTAAGAAGGGCGAGGTGATTACGATCGTGAAGAGGACTGAGAGTGAGAGTGATTGGTGGACGGGGAGGATTGGGGGGCGCGAGGGGATTTTTCCGAGTAACTATGTGGAGGTTGTTTAGGACGAGAGGGGTGGTAGTGGAGGAGGAGGAGGAGGAGGAGGAGTCCGCGGTGGTGGTGGTGATGGTGGTTTCGGGATGGAGGTGGCGGAGGTTTGTACATGGTAGGCGCTTCGTCGTCGGGTTTAGATATGGAAGGTGTTCTTGTTCTCTCGATCGTTTTTCTAGCGGCGACGAAACGGTTTATGATGCATGGTGTTTTTCTGGCGCATGAGTGGCGATAGGAGATATACCTTCATGTTGATAGCAAGCCTTTCTGTCTGGCACCGTGTTCTGCTTCTACTTTCCACGACGACACCACGTTCTCATGAAGTGTTCGAAAGCGTGTCGAATCCTCGTCTCTACAAGAGCTCTCACACTCTCGCGGCTTCATGCTTAATTGTTTAATTTACTCCTCTACATACTCCTCATGCGCTCAGCGGACGACGAATCATTGCTTCCTCAACAGAATCACTCAGCGGCACAAACGTAGGCCCGGAAGAAGACTTCTTCGCGAGACGAGGACGATCCGCATGAGGAAACACGAAAATCTATGTACTGCCCTCCTCCCTTCCGCCGCAGGACCGTAGCATTGCGAACAGGTCCCAGATGGCAATGCCACAGAAGTCCCGGCCGACCCTCCTATTAGACCTCCCCGACGACCTCCTCTACTACCTCTGCGAAACCATATCCGCTTCCACCCCTGCCCAAAAAGCAACATTCGACCTCCCTCGTAATCTAGCATCCTCGGAGACATTGTACTTGTGCCAGTTCACCTCGACATGCCGTCGCCTTCGTGACCTAGCAGCTCCCGTCCAATTCCGTCAGGCTACTAATGCCGGATACACCTCCCACTACGAAGACACTGTTGATGTATTCCTACAATCTTTGGAGCGGTGTGAGTATAGGAAACATGTGAGGGGACTGGATCTACGACTCGGAATTCCTACGTGGAGAGAGGGGACGATCGAAGGGCTACGGATTACGCTTTCCCAGCATTTCTTGCCAGGGCTACGAGAACTGAGGGTGGCGATACATGATAGTAGTGCTGATTCCATGGCACAAGCCATCGTGACGGCTTTCGCCACAATATCACCACCAGACCCACTGGTGTCGGTGCAAACCCTCCACCTCTCCAGCGTCCTGGCCTTGGGACTAGCACATCTCTTCCCATCCTGCAAAACCCTCCACCTGAGCATCAGATCCACCACAACAAAAGACAGTCCTCCAGTCCACACCCTCCTGGCCGTCCTGGCTCGCTCCTACCCACATGTCCACACCCTCCATCTCCTGCAGGTTCGGAATCTGCATACCGGTCAACCATGGGCGACCGGCGTTCCGAGACATCTACGCGGCATGGGAGCCGAAGGCAAAGTCCAGTTCCAGCTCCTCAGAAAGCAGGAGAGGGAGGAGCAGGCTTCTGCAGTAGCCAGGACCGCTTTCCAGGAGTTCGGGGAGCTAGGCTGGTTATGTTTCGGTCTCCCTTCTGGAGAGTTAGGAGGGAACGATGGTTTTCGAGAGGGTGGAGGGCACGGAGGAAGTAATACGAAGGGAGGGAGGGAGGGAGGGAGTGACAGTGCAGGCTCAACTCTTGGGAGGTTTAGGGGAGATTGGATATACAAGCCTCCTCTCCAGACAGACAAACCCCCTCCGGTGCAGCAACAGTCGGAGCATAGATCTAACTGCACTCAAGGCGAACCCCCAATAACGCCCATCGCTATATCCACAGCAAAATGACACGAGCAGAGATAAAGTGCCCATCGGCCTCAGGAACACCACCTCACATGCAATCCCACAGCCCCACCACGCAACCTCCTCCTCCCCCTCCTCCTCCTCCCCACCTCCCTCAACCTCACCGAAATTCCTCCATAAACTCCCGATGAAACTCCGTAATCCGGCCCACCCATTCCGTGCCCGGCGCCAAAAACGTCGTCCGAAAATGCAACGTCCCCTCCCTCTGCCCAAACCCAGACCCCGGCACAATACAAATCCCCGTGCGATCCAACAACCTGAGACAATAATACTCATCGCCTCCCTTCCCCATCTCCTTCGCCTTCGCCACAGCCTTGGCCGGTAAGCGGATAGTAGGGAAGAGATACATCGACCCAGCGGGGGATTGACAGGACACGCCTTCCATGGACTGGAAAGCGGTGTAGAGGGCTTGGGCGCGGGAGCGGAGGGAGGAGAAGATTCCGTCGTATTCTTGCCGGTAGAGGGGGTATGAGGGGGAGCCTTCGCGAGGGGGGTTGACCATGGTTTCCACTAGGCATTGGCCGATGACGGGGGGGCAGAGCATGATGGAGACGAACTTGTAGATTTGGGCGACGACCTGGAAAGTGGGTGTTAGTTCATGAACAAAGGTGAAATTGGTGCCTGTGTATCTTTGTTTGCATTAGACATACCTCCGGATCAAACCCCACCATCTCGTAATACCCTCCTCGGTGCCCACACTCCCCAACCATACCCTTACTGATACTATGCAGACTCGCCAACTCCAAATCATCGAACTTCCCATCCTTGTTCTCCGCACTCTTCTGCAGATCCCGTAGACCCTTCTTGAAGCTGTGGAATTTCCCCTCAAACACATTCGTCTGATAGACCTCATCCGCCAGCACGACCAGCTTCTCCTCAGCCGCCATCTGCAGAATCCCGTTGATATCCTGCTCCGGTAGAGATCCACCGGTAGGGTTTCCGGGATTAATGACCACGACAGCTCGGACATCGATCCCCTCCCCCTGTGCCTTCTTCAATGCCGATCGGATTCCGCCGAGATCCGTACCCCAATTGTTCTCCTCGTTCAGATAATAAGGCACACACTTAGCATTCAACAAGGCCAACGTAGCAGTATAGAGGGGATACTGCGGAATCGGGACCAGCACGCCCGTATTCGGCGACGCACAAATGACATTCATGAGCGCGTTGACGCCCGAACTCGCTCCCGCGCAGAGGTAGATGGACTCCTTATCCGCCGGGTACCCATCCCGTCGTTGGATGAAATCCGCCACGCTTTGTCTGATCCCCGGTGCTCCCTGGGATTGAGAATAGGCGCCTACACTCTTCACATCCTTCAACAACGTCCTCGCGCGATCGAAGACGTCGCTTTGGTATCCTGCTTCCTTCTCCAGCACCTCCTGACATTCTAATAACGCGGGATTCTCGAGTAGACTCGTCACCTGTCGGAAGAAGGTGAGAGGTTTCTGGTCCAGTTGCTGTGGGTTGCCGATATTGGCTGCTATTACGGAATCGAAGGGGAGATCACCACCCTTCCCTGATGCGATCTGAGACTTGTATTGTTCGGATTTGATGGCGAGTTCGCCGCGGACGGCGTATTTGGCTGTTTTGACGTGGGGGTTGATGTTGTTGATGTTGAGACTTCGGACTTGGGGGGTCGTGCTGAAGAGGCGTTTCTCCATGAATGAGGGGAGAGGTAGGGCGCCGTTGGGGCCTGCGAGAGGCATGGTTGGTAGGGTTGGTCGTGTGCTTGGTCGTGTGCTTGGTCGTCGTCGGGTGGTGTATATCTGTCGTGATCGTCCGGGGTGTGACGGGGCTGTTAATGATGATGAAGAAGAGTTGTGTCTTGACGATGATGTCGGTGTCGATGTCGATGTGGATGTAGTAAAGATAGCTCTCCCAACCAAGCTCCTATCACAACTACTGACTGTACTCGCCTGCCCAAGCACAGCAACGCCGACGACTTTCTTTTGCACTAGCATCGTAGTCGTCAATCGATCCAATAATGATCCAGTCCAATATGACGCAGACACCCGGTTCTCGCCGATGTCGCTCCGGCCAGGCGAACCCCGTGTGTTTGACTCGAGCTAGTCTTAGATAATGCCTCTTAGTGTAAGGATGTATGTATGCTGTGTAAGTGAATGGTCAATGAACGACAGATAGCTGTATGCAAGATGATATGATATGCAGTGGCGGGGCAAGTAAAAGCATTGGAAATCTGTCCGATAGCAGTGAGACACCATGCGAACCGTTGCGTGGAGGGGTTGAGGAACGCCACCGACGGCCTGATCCTGCAGGACGGGATGCAGGAAGCCGTTCACGTGCAGAGACTCTATCTCGCATGCTTATCATGAGCGAAGCAGAAGGGATATGTCCCAGGACAGACGCAGTGGGTAGACTCGAAGGCATGAGGGCAGCAAAGCGCATCAAAGTTCCGTGTAGGTATAGCAGGTGTATGCTTCCAGCACAGGGCTCATGCTGAAGAAGCTACTACGATCCACAGTCTCAACCCCATGTTAAAATCCTCATCCCCATGTGTACTACATCCCCTCGCCCCCATCTCCTTGAACGCCCCAAGCAACAACTCCATCGTGAGCCATAAAGTCTCGTATTACACCGTTTGCTTGCGCAAAACAAGAACGCCACAACTATGCATACTCCGCATCCCACCCTACCACCCAATTCATACCCGATACTCCATACCCCATGCCCATGCCCATAAACCGCCAAACTCCTCATAAATCCACATACAAACCTAAGAAAGATGAAAAGCACCCTGACCCTCCCTAATAGCAAACCCCAGCTTATCCTTCAAGATCTTCAGATCCGTGTAGTCGGGCATCTTGAGGTAATTAACACAAGTCATGACACTAGGCAGATAATCGTCCGACGTAAAAGGAGGTTCCGAGGGCTTGCAGACGACGGTGAACATGGGCGTGAGGGATTTGAAACCTATGAAACCCCGTTAGATTAGCAAATGACAACGATTGGCAAACTTGGAGTGCGGTTGGAGCTTACCACCGATAGGCAACTTCGGACTCCCCGTAACAAACTGCAAGAAATCCCTCTTCGCCTGCGGCGACAACTCAGACATAACCTGCAGCAAATTCCTCACGCTCTTGCTGTCAAGATTATACCCATGATCGGCCTTGATCGAGTCCATCAACGTCTCCAGGCTCCAATCCTCTTCCACTCGACCGAACAGCATGACAAGCTCGTCCGGCGTAAAAGCCTTGAGAGCCGAGTAAGGAAACACCTGGCTGAAACCGGCACGGAAGGCATCGCTTTGACGTTGTACACCGGAGCCGAGGGTGAACTCCACAACTTTGCTGATGTACATCCCGACGTTCTCGATCGTGACGTTCAGGCTGCTACCGCGGTGCACAAGCTCGATGTGCGGGTAGCCAGGTAATGTAAAGTCCAGACCCAGGTCGTCGATCAGAGCATCATTGATGCGGATGGCGGCGATCTTGCGCTCCTTGTGATCTTGAGAGAGGCTGTCGTTGTCCTCAATCCGCTGCTTAGCGCTGGCGTACTTCTTCAGCATTTTCAACGACTTGGCGAGATCCTTGTCCACAGCCGCCACGGCGCCTAAAGCTGGCGCTACAGCAGCATTGCCGTCGCCGATGCGGAAGAAGGTAGGGTTGAAGGAGACGTCGATGATGCGCGAGTCCATCATGGATCGAGCAACGAACTTGCCGAGGATCTTGAACAACACCAACACCTTCTTGCCATTATCATTATCCGCCATAGTCTGATCCATCGGCGCAGGGAAGAGTCCACGAGCACCGAAAGCGTAGTCGCCACTATCAGCCGACTCATTCTCACGCCACAGCTTCGTCTTCTTGCGCGAGAACTCCTTCGAGACAGTCGAGTAGAATTCGAGTGTCGGGCCCAGACCCGTACCGACCTCCTCGAAGTACTCGACCTCGAGGATACTCTGTGAGCCGCCATAGAGCTCCATGACCTTGATAGCCGATTCGAGGATGCGACTACGTGAGATGCGCACCTTTTGGCGTTGCAGCCTACCCAGGAACGGCCGCTCGTCGCGGTGGCGGTGTCTGGAGTCGTTCTCGCTGCCCGAACCTTGCCAGCGTGACATCGACCGAGCGTAGCCGAAAGAGGTGGACTGCAGGAAGAGGTGGCGCGTCTCGAATGGGAACAGGAATGGGTACAGGCGTGCGAGATCCTCACTCCAGCTTGGTAAGCACTGGCTTGCCACGATGAGCGGCTCCTCGAGCTGACGGTTGAGCTTGGCGGTGAGCTTGGTGTTGACGAACTGTGTCAGTGGTTCGGAGTTGAGCTTGACCGCATTCTTGTTCTCCGCCAGCACGTCTTCCAGATTTGCGTTGAGCTCGTGCAGGATGCTCATAAGACGCAGGATACCAGACGTGATGGGATGCTTGTTGAGCGACGGTGGCAGTCCGTTCTCCATGTTCACCGACGAGTCTGGCGGAGGTGTGAGACCAGCACGCTCAGCCGGTGGCGGCCCTTGCACCTTCTTAAACTTGATGGTGTGAGTGGCGGACCAGATTGGGCGTGTAGATACCTCCTCGCCAAGGGAATTGTTGAAATGGCAGGCACGGTATATAGTCGTCTCGCTAGAGATAAGTTGATCGTTGATGCTGAACTCAATGTGCCAGTCTTGAGGGGTACTCTGCAGTGCTTGCGCGAAGGACATGTTGGGCCGCGCGGACGATGTTGGCGTAGATAGCATCTCACGAGCTTGAGCAAGATAGGCAGCTGACATGCGATCGCGCTGGGTCGTAGGATTCGGCGTGCCTTGAGATGGTGTGCCAATGCTTGTGCCATCTTCCGTGCGTGCAGTAACCTTGCCGGAATTGGCAACCTCGAGATTGACTGCTGACGGCTCTGGCGCATCTTCTTCAAGAGCGCCCTCCTCCAGATCATCGACAAGTGCTTCAAGATCAGCCTCCATATCTTCGTCGTCCTCATCCTCGAGCTGAGCCTCGTCTGCGCATTCCAGAGTGTCCTGCGACCCCTCCTCTGGCTGCTCAGGATCAGTCTGCACAGCAGGTGGCGCCAGAGAGTCGATAGACGAAGGCTGAGTGGTATGTCTCCGCGACGACCTACGAAGGCGGGTCGTACCCTCAGCTTCAGGTGTCTCCTGCGCCACTGCAGACTCCGATTTGGAAGACTTGCTTCGAGGTGGCTTCTTCGACGCACTCCTAGTGGGCAAAGAGCTACCTAGTGTCGGCAAAGCAGGAGGCGGTGCACCTCGACCAGCCATCATGGCCTGATAAGCAGCCATGGCGCTCGTCAGGCCTCCTTCGCGCCTTGATCGCGGTGGACGCTCGGCCATGCTGATGCGTGGGCGGAGGTAGTCATCAAGTGCTTTGAAGGTAGCGATGGCATGGATGGAGACCATGATATTGTTGAAAGGACGTGGTATGCCAGAGTCCTCATCAGCGAGCAACTTCAACCGCAGCTGCTTGGCAAGCATGGACGCCGCGCTCCTACCACCGTGCTCCCATGAATTGCGCTCAACAGTAATGACCTCAAAATGCTCCGATCGACTGAGCAGATCTTGCAGCTTCAGCACGAAGACGCTGAAGGGCGTGGTAGATGTGCCGGCAGTCTTGCTATGAATGCTAGTTGCCATGAAGACCTCCAAAAAATCGGATCTCGCCTCTGCTGCAGCTTGCGTGTCAGGGTCGTTGAAGATGGCGAGGAGAACGTCAACGACGCCAGACGTCATGAGCTCGTAGCTAGTTATGCTTTCCAAAGCATCACCATCGAAGTACTTCGCAAGCCTGCCGAAGAGCTCAGTCCCGCCTTGGCTCTGTACGCCGCTATAGCACATCTTGAGCTCCGCTGTAAGGTTGCGCAAATCTTGCAGCACCCGACTAGCCTTTTCACGCATCTCAGGTGTGCCTTCGCTGCTGTGCGCCTCCATAAAACGCTTAGCACGGAGTGTGATCACGTCCTCGACATCGGTGATACGGCGTGATTTGTTCGGCGAAGACGAATCATCGTATTGCTGGCGTCGCCGACGATCCTCTTCATCGTCCTCGTCGTCATCCGCATGGTCTTCGTCATTGACATCTTCGTTCTCGTCCCCGTCTTCGTCATCTTCGCCCACCTCGTCGTCCTCCTCGGCGTGATCCATATCCACTTCGATCGTGGCCGCTTCGTCCTCAGCACGTTCATGATCGTCCGCATCGTCATCGTTCTCCTCGATCTTTTGAGGTGGATGCTCCGTGATGATATCGACCTGACTAGCCTCAACAGCAGACACATCCGCCTTCAGTGGCCGCTCGGCGATCTTAGTGATTTCCGCCATCACACCCTCGCGGTAGAACTGCGGTCTGTAGATACTTTGCAGTCTTTTCAACAGTAGCTCAGCTGCTTGCAAGGCAAAGGTGACGAGGGATGCATTCTCCTGTTGCGTCAAGATTGATGCCAGATGCGAAGCGTACGACACCCCATGAAGAGCTTGGTCCAAGATATTCGCGTCGAGGTTCGAAAGCATCTTGAGCTGTGCCGTGAGAACCTTTTGTCGCACATTCAGATTGACCGTCGATGTGAAAGCGTACATAAGTGTGGGAAACAGAATGATGGCGAACCGCTTGACCTCATTCGGGCAACCTTTGAGCAGCTCAAGCTTCTTGTCGTTTGGTGAAGTGTTGGGCGCAGTGTTTGGTGCAGGCGGCGGATGTCTGTGGCCACGAGTCTCGACTGCGTCAAAGAGATCATTCATGAAGTTCAGACTGTCGCGGGAGATAGCCGGAAGGAGCTCGCAAATCACGTTCAGTGTCTCGAAGATCTGCTCACGTGGTGTGCGAATTATAGCTTGCATGATGATGTTCTTGTCGATCTTGGAAGCTGCGTCGTCCGTAATTGGTGGGGCGGATACGCCTGTGAGGATCTGGTAGAGTGTATCGACCACGTTCATCTTCAGGAGCTCGACTGACAAGCGTGGACTGGAGCGCGCAGTGTGGGACAGCACACGGAGGAACTGTGTATGCACATTCTGGCTGATCATGTTCGTTGAACCCGGTAGCAGAAGGCGCAGCATAGCCTTGAGTAAGTCTGTGCTGACGAGCTCCTCAAGCCTGTCTTCCTTGTACTTGAAGCTGTCGACGATTCTTGAGACGCAAAGCGATGCCTGCTCTACGACTTTCTGATCACTACTCGATAAAGTGCTGAGCAGAATCGGCATCACATCGCGGACTGTGGCGAATGATTCATCGTTGATGTTTCGACAGCAGTTCGCTGCTGTGGTGACAGCTGTACGTTGCGTACTGGTCGCAAAGAAGTCAAGGTAGGTCAAGCAGGCAGTCAAGCCACCCTCACGGACGATAGATGATGGGAATTCCACAGAGATCTTCTCGAGAGTGCTGAGCGCCTGCTCGGCCAGATCGATAAAGTGGATCTCTAGCAGCTTCTGACACAAGATCGGTACAGCACCTCCGTAGACCACGCTTGCTGTTGCCGCAGGAAGAGCCTCCATCATGTTGGCAATGCAACGGCAAGCCAGCAGCATAATCTCCGGATTCTCCTCACCAGTGAACTCGTTCGGCTGCATCAAGACCACAAGCTCCTTCACGTACAAGTCTGGCTGGAAGTGACCAGCCAGGTTGTCCTCATTGGAGACCAATAGAAGTTCTGACAGCTCCTGCAGCGCGATCATTTGAACCGACGGATCCTCCTTGGTCTTGAGCTGCTCCAGTATGTTGCGCAGCCGACCACTTTGACCCGACATGATGCCGCTGAGAGCACGCAGGCTGCTAGACAACCCAGCGTGAGCTCCAAAGCGGCTCAGATACCCGCTGGTGAACGGATCATGACCCCTCGCCGCCATCTCGTCACGCTCCTCCTCGTCATACCTCCTCGACGATGACTCATGGCCTTCGTCAGCGCCTCCTGCTGCGTCCGATCGTCCAAGACCATTCTCAGCATCTCCTCCTCGTTCCTCACTGTTCTCCTCACCGTCCTTCATCGGCACATCCTGATCCTTTCGCGAGCCTTTGTGTTTCCGCCGAGAGCCTGATGCTGATGTCGAGCCTGATGGTTCGTCCTTTGACTTTCTCCGACTGGACTTCCGCTTTTCACGTGGCACTTGCTGATTCGGCGAGGTGTCTCCAGATGAAGAAGGTGCACCGGAGGACATGTCCGCTGCAGTCGAGCTCCTCGTCTTACGCTTCCGTGGCTGTGTGATCGTCGTGGTCTGCTCCGGCTCGTTATTGCCAGCCTTCGCTCGCTTGCTCTTTCGGCTCGGCTGGGGTTGATTTGCTTCGGCCGCCTTGCGTTTGCGAGTGGGTGGTCGGATGGGGGAACCAGTGTCGGTGATAGTAGCGTGGGATGTGGATGCCTGGTCGTTGCTGTCGTTACTCGTAGTGGCGGCAGCGGCTGACCGCGTTACTCTGTTGGTCATTATCGGTGAGTGAGTGTTCTGTGTGGTGATGGGTCACGGCTTTGGTAGAGGGTGGAGGCTTCTAGTCGACAATACCACTTGCCACTGCACAAATGGTAAGACCAAGACCGAAGCCTCTAGTAAGACAACAGTGTGTGTGATGACGGCGGCAAGGCTATTCGAGACAGAAGGTGGATGGTGTGTGCGTGCAGGTGGTGCAAACGAACCTTGAGTTGTTCACTCGTGAACCATGCCTATTCATTGCAAGCAGTTCATAGCTTCTCGAAAATCCGGGCTTTAGCGAGTGACGGTGGGTTGGTAACGTGATTTCGATGTTTCTCGCAGCATATGACTCTCGTGAAGGACTGTCTTGCTGCTCGGCATTTGTCAGGAAGCCGCGCCTTGTGATTGAGTGGCTTGTGAGAGAGTGTGGAACAGCCCAAAGTGCCCGCCTCTGCCGTCACCTCGAAAGTGTATTGGCCTAATAATTAAGGCATTCACGCTAGCAGCATTTCATCCCAGATACGCAGCAGCGACAACCTAATGGCTTTGCATGACTCGCAAGGATATGAACGTGAGAGCGACAGCATGCTCGGTACATGACTAACTCGACGGTCTGACTACTGTTCATGCAGCCACGATATACTCATACAACTGTCACTAGCACTTCATGACTATTGTTTCCCCTCCATCCTGCCCAGCCTGATAATGTCGGACTGAGACAACACTCTGACCTTCTCGGCTTGCTTCCCTTCCAAAGCATCCATTCCAGCCTTGATGGCAGCCCTGGCGACGGTGTCGGCATCTTGAGCCCAGAAGTCCTTCAGTTTGCTACCACTGATAGAACCCATGAAAGACGCCACTTTCTGGAGAGCGAACTCTGCAGTCCGCGTATCATTACGTGAGCCAACCAGCAGCCCAGGCCGCACTATAATCATATGGTCGAATTCCAGTGCCTTGATAGCATCTTCCAATTCGCCTTTCTGTACTCACGAGTCAGTATCCCACCTCAAAGCCGAATGAAAAGTATCGCACCATCTTCATATACCCTCCCAAAGCCGAGGAACTATTCGCTCCGCTCGAAGAGATAAGCACATAAGCCTTCGTGCCAGCTGCCTTTGCTGCTTTTGCCAGATCCAGGTTGAGGTCATAGTCGATCCTTCGCTGCTTATCGAAGCCTCCAGCTTGTGCTCGTGTAGTGCCTAGGGCCGAGAGGAAGAGCTGGGCTCCAGACGGATATTGTGTCGGCCATGCTTCTGAGTCGGAAGATGTGATGCCTTGAACTTTGGGTCCTCCAGAGAGCTCTTTGCGTGAAAAGGCGTGGATTGTGGTCACATTGGGGAGGTTGGCCAGTGATGTCAAGATCTGAGAGCCCTAATTTCCTGTCAGATGGGTTGGTCCAGTAGCGAAGACAGAGTCGCGGAGCATACCACGAGGCCAGTACTGCCCACTAGTGCCACGTTGGTAGCCATCGAGGGGAAGTTGATTTGTCGTCACGGTCCTCTGCTCGCGATCGCGTCCTACTGTGTGGCTGGCCTTGATCAAGAACGGGCACAGATCCGACTTGTAAAGCTGTGGAGAGATGGATTTTGATTGGGATGGATTGTTCTCTTATCAGGGGCTTATTGATGACGAAAATGTAAGTAGTCTGAGCGAACGGCAGCAAGCAGGTGCACAGCGCGGACTTGATGCGAGCCTCGCCTAAACTGCGGTACGGTGCGTGAAACACCTCCCGTTTTCACACTACCGTAGAATCGCGAGCATACTCATCTGCTTGCCTGCTGTAAGGAGACTAGGCAGGATCAATCAGAACGTTGGGGTGCGAAAGGATAACAAAACGATTTCGATCTTAGTCCTCTTCATGATTACCTCAGCACGTCAAACCTTATCTGAGGAAGGAATAGCCGACTCCTATCACGATATCTTAAACTCGAAGTCATCATCGTTGTGACGATAGACACAACTTGGGTGAACAGGGTCGATGGTATTGAGGATCGAGGCGATGGAATGGGTTGTTCGAGCAGGGACGGCAGGTTCGATGTGACCAAAGCCGAATATCATTGATGATATGATATGCTTGACCGCCCTTTCTCGACGACTACTAGATATACTGCAGCACGAACATATCTTGGAACCCGTGAGGACTCCGTCGCAGGTTATCGCTGGCGTAAAGGATCTAAACAGTCTTCAAGCTGCCAGTACATGTACACCACAGGACTGACACCTTGCCTCAGCATCAACCTCACGGCTACAGCATCTCAACTGTGTTGGAGGCTGGCTCAGAACCCTTGGCATCATACTTGAGAAGACGCACCACGATGCTCAACACCAAAGCTTTGACGGAACTGCTGTCTTTGAATACCGACGAGCGATTATGCAAGCGATGGTACCTGATGACACCCAGCGGCACCCTCTTAGCGTCCAGTCAACCTACGGATGCCAAAGATCTTCGCAAACAAGTCGCATTCGCCACGCTGTCATGGCAGGAGCATCTGAGTGGCGAGGAGCTGGCCGAGCATGGTCAAGCAGAGCAGAGAGGGCCGGATCGAGGTCTCCAGACATTATCTATCGAGACCGAAGCCATTAACGTAGTCGTGCGGAAGTTACAGCCTCATCTATTGCTAGTGCTCGAAGGCGGCGTTCCACCACGCAAACGATCTTTCATGCCAAGAACCACGGCTGAAGGTCGAAATGGCGAGCTTCTGCAGCCCGCAAGGACAGCGGAATCATCCCTGGCCGCTTCGTTGTCGTCTCAGATCGACTTGAATGTGACCACGGCTCCGTCAAGTGTGCTGGCGCTTCACAAAAAGAAGCTTGAAGCCATGGCAGCAGCGATCTTGGCGGACTTTGAACGGACTGGGTTCAAAATGCCAGGCGAAGACGAAACGGGACTCTTTTGAGCAGTGGATGAGGCTAGAAGGTCAGGCGCAAGAGGTACAGCATATGCACGGCGGTCTCGCTGATCTAGCGCATGTGCATGCCACGCTATACGCCCCATGAAATTGGGGTGTGCGGGGTACTTGTTACTTTCGTGTCTCCGGTATAGGACAAGCAAACACCCCGAGAAGAACCATTTGTCCTGGTAAGAGTACTGCCACTGCCAATTCTAATACGGTCGACTGGGTACTATCATTCTGTCACACTGGAATCAACAAGGGACGAGACGACGAGATAGTCCAAGGGCACGTACTCCACTTTGGACATACAGAATGGCACACGGAACAGTCGCAGTCAATGGCAATGCCAGGAAGCCCAAGGTTCTCATCCCGGAGAAAGTCTCGCCGGACGGCCTAGCCCTTTTGCAAGCGTCCCTGGAGGTCCACGAACGAAAGGGCTTGAGTCCAGAAGACCTCTTGCAGATCATCGGAGAGTACGATGCACTCATTGTACGCTCCGAAACAAAAGTCAACGCAGCACTTCTCGCAGCTGGGAAGAACTTGAGAGTCGTTGCGCGGGCTGGTGTGGGTATGTAATCGATTGATTATCTTGCTGTGGGACATGGCTGAATTTTGGATGCCTAGGCGTCGACAATGTTGACCTTCAAGCAGCAACGAAGCTAGGAATCATCGTGGTGAACTCGCCACAGGGTAACATCAATGCTGCTGCGGAGCATACGATCGCCTTGCTTATGGCGGTGGCGAGGAACGTGGGAGTAGCGTCAGCCAGCTTGAAAGCAGGCAAGTGGGAGAGAAGTAGGCTCGTGGGTATCGAAGTGAAGGGCAAGACGCTGGCCATACTTGGGCTGGGGAAAGGTTAGTCTCCGTCCGCTGATCGATCATTCGCGGACTACTGACAGGTTTTAGTCGGTCTTACTGTTGCTCGAGCCGCAGGAGGCTTAGGCATGGATTTGATCGCCTACGACCCTTATGCCAACCCGGCGCTTGCCGCTTCTGCAAATGTCGAGATCCTGCCTACTATGGATGAGGTATTTGAGCAAGCAGATTTCATGACAGTACATACACCCATGATCGCATCTACGAAAGGCATGATCGGCGAAACTGAACTCTCGAAGATGAAAAAGACAGCTCGCATTCTCAACGTGGCCAGAGGCGGAATCATCGACGAGGCAGCACTACTAGCAGCTTTGGAGGCTGGGACGATTGCGGGAGCTGGCATCGATGTCTTCACCTCTGAGCCTCCGAAGCCTGATGACACGGCATCCAAGTTGATCGCACACCCTGCGGTCGTAGCTACACCGCATCTTGGCGCCTCGACCATGGAGGCACAGGAAAATGTGTCCATTGATGTCTGTACGCAGGTGCTGAGCATTCTCTCCGGGCAATTACCTCGCTCCGCCGTAAATGCCCCGATTATTCTGCCAGAGGAGTACCGAACATTACAGCCTTTTGTGGTGTTGCTGGAGAAGATGGGAAGCCTGTTCACTCAGCACTTCTCCCCTGCCAATACTCGACAACAGCTGCGGACGACGTTTGACTTGACATATGAAGGATCACTAGCTTCTGCGAACACGACTAAACCACTCTTCGCCGCACTTCTCAAGGGTATGCTGTCACCCATCACAAGTGCTGAGTCGCTCAACATCAACATTGTCAATGCCGAGCTTGTGGCTAAGGAGCGTGGTATCTTGATCAATGAGTCCCGAAGCCGTGAGGCACTGGAACAGGAAGGTTTCGCCGCATCAGTTACGCTGAGAGCACGACTGGATCCTAGATCTCCATCAGCGAGCCGTACCATCCGTAGTGACCCCATGGCGGACGCTACCAACTCTAGCAGTCGTAAAAAGAAGATCGAGGACCAAGTCATCACAGGGTTCGTTTCGAACAACACACCATACATCTCACGCCTAGGACGGTTTACTACTTCGTTCGTTCCGGAGGGTACAATACTTATCGGACGCAACTACGATGAGCCTGGCAAGATCGGCGTGGTTGGAGGTAGGCTTGGGAAAGCTGGTGTCAACATTCGCTCGATGAGCGTGGCACCTATAGAAGGAGACGGCGATGCGTTACTGAAGGTGGACAGCGTTCTAGAAAGTGCTCCTACCCCGCAGAAGGAAGCTTTGATGATTCTAGGCGTTGATAGGGCTGTTGAGGAGAACGTGCGGAAGAGTCTTGTTACTGAAGATGGACTGCTGGAGGCTTCGATCGTGGTGCTTTGAGGAGGTAGAGCCGTAGGTAGATGATGGGTTTATCGCAAAATCGGGATTCAACCCCCAAAGTTTAGAATGCTTGCGAGGTCGTCTACCGAATCTATTCTATGCCAATGATCTTTGTGTACTAATTTCACAGCTGATGTTTCTCTAGGCCTTCGGTCGACTGTAGCGTGGGATCTGGGCTGCCCGCGCTTCGCTTCTCCTCTGCTGCTTTGCGGTTGTGGGATCCAATTGAAGGGAAGAAGATGCCCGGGTGGGCAATGGTCATGAGCGTGCATGCGATAGCGATCATTGTCCCATCAAAGACCATAAATTCGGCTTGGTTGCGCATGAGTGGATTGCCCCAACCTCCTGCCATTTCTGGTACACTGTGGTATGTTAGAGAAGAGGAACAAGAGACGAATACGGATGGTCTTACCGATAGACGCATCTGATAAAGATCAGGACGAAGGCAATGCCAGAGCAGATGGCATAGTACCTAAAGCTCTTCGGCAGCTCTCTTCCTTCTGCCACTTCCTCTCCAGTCGGTTGTCGGCGATTGTGGTGCTTCAAGACTTGCCAGCCGAAGTCTGCAGCGAGGCACAAGCAGACGAACATCGTAGCAACCTGCACGCTGATACCACACACGATCAAGTTGTCTCCGATCTTGACCAGGTTGGCTTCATTGCTAGCCGCAATACCTCCACCTCCAGCCTGGATGAGAATGCTGACGAGATCGCATGAGATAAAGATGGCTGTGTATGAACCCGGTCGTATCCGTGACTTCTCGGCACCGAAGTAGATGACGAGATGCTTCAGCGTAAGGTATATGCCTGCAGCCAGGAATGATGGCGCTAGCACGAGGCAGCAGATCTGTGTCTTGAAACCTGACTGACTCCACGGATTGGCATTCATCATTATTCGACCGCCATATCCGATTGCTTCGCCGGCACAGCCAATTGTGACAGCAAAAGTGAAAGCCTTCAGTCTGTATCGTAGGCCAAGGATGATTTGAGCAAGCGTGCAAGCACTGAAGATGGCCAGCAAGAGGGCATTCCCAGCGAGATTAGGTCGATACCCGTATAGTGTAGCTTCGACGGGACACTGTGGTGACACTTCTAGGCACAGTTGATGCACTTTGTGAGACGGCATGGTGTTGACGGGTTCAAGATGGCGCAGGTGGACGAAAACGCCTCGACTGGCGACGCAGGCCTGTGAAAGAGCGAGAGCGGTCCATGGCCTTTTATTGAGCACTTACACCTTACCGGGACACTACTGATGTAGATAGCCGTTGACCAACCGCTGGAAGTGGTAGCCACCTTCGCTTAGAATGAAGGCAGGGCAATATTTTACTGTCGTATATCGTACAAAGACGCGGGCAATGTATCGGGCCCCACAACACCGCAGACCAATCAACGGCAGCCCAGCATCCGGCTTGGTAAGATCTCGTCCTTTGACCGACAAGCAACCTTCATCTGAACTCTCATGCGATGTCGAGCAGGTACGACGTACGGCGCACGTGACGGCAATGAGCGACGGTCCAGCTAGTCATGGCCATTCGCCGCTTTCATCAGAAGAGCCGTTCGGGCTGCAGCCAGTGCAAGAAGCGCAGAGTTAAGGTCAGTCCTCTCCGACCCTACGGAAGAATCGTCTATTGGGAGATGGATGCGATCCCTGCCTGTTCCTCATCTCGCCACGGCAATCTGCAGATGGATCTACACGAGATTGCTGTGTGCGACTCACGTGTTTGGAATATACATGAGCCTCCATGCATTGACTACAATTCGAAGACACGCTCAAAGCATGAATGAGAGCTTGCTGACGCTCACGATAGTGCGATGAAGGCAGACCAGTATGTCGAAACTGCATCCGCCAAGCATCAGAATGTGTCTATGGAGAGACACCACGCTCGTCGGCAGCCTCTCCTTCTCGGGGATCAGCTCCTACACACGATGGCACATATGATGGCCTCGACTTGTTCCTTATGCACCGATTCGCCACCGTGACAGCGACGGGACTTTTCCCCTCGACCGCTGCTGGGCATGTCTGGCAGAACGTGATACCAACACAAGCACAGAACGAACCCCTGCTGATGCACGGCTTGTTGGCCCTCTCTGGCATGGATCTCGCTCAGTTCGACGGCGAGATGCGAGGCACATATCGAACCCGAGCATTACACCATCAACAGATCGGCCTCACCATATTCCAAGAAATGTTGGCGCAGGACTCTGCCGCTCAGATCCACACCATCTTCCCGTTCTCCCTGATGCTAATAATTCTGGCATATGCATCTGTCCACTCGGAAAACGTTGAATGGTCTGTCGACGCGATCCTCGATCTGTTTGCGCTGTATAGAGGACCGCGGATGCTAGCGATGAGCAACTGGAAAGCCATCGCAGGAAGTGAGATGCTGGCGCTTCTTCGACCTGGAGACGCAGCGAAAGAAGCAGATGGGCCTTCCGAGCCGGTGCAAGCAGCGCTCCAACAATTACAAAGTTATCCTAGCGATGAGGTTTCCAGGACTGCCGTCAAGCTGCTCGCAGATGCCATCGAGATATCTGCAAGCAGTTTTGACATGAGAGTCATTGGCAGGTGGCCATCAATGCTGTCAGAGGAATTCTTCGTTCGCCTGCGAGAACATCAGCCTGAGGCTCTCGTCATATTGTCTTACTACAGCATTGCGCTTGCTGCATTCAGAGATCGATGGTGGGTGGGCTCGTGGGATAAGAAGCTGGTGTCGGCTGTCGCGCGAGAGCTGCCGGAGGAGGAACAGAAGGAGTATGGCTGGCATGCTGATGCCCTAGAACTTGTGCTGGACAGGCACGCCAGTGCATCACAGCGATTGTAAGTGACAACATAGACATGGAGGGTACGAGCAATAAAGAACCTACAGAAGAACCGAATTTCACATTCCTCTGCGGCTTCTCCCTGGCGCCGCGCTTAACGTAGCCATGTTGACTGGTGCCGCTGGGAATGTGCCTCATCCTCTGATCAGTACGCCTTCATGTCACATCGTCCCTCGTGGCGTCGCATCAACCTGTTGAGATGTCGACCCTTACTGTCGTTACCTTCTTATTATTCTGCTTACTAGTACAGGCCACTGCTTCCGCCGATCCGCATTCGTCGGGGCCTACAGTCATCACAAAGATAGAGCCATGTTGCGAATGTGGAGAGTGCGACATGGTGGCCACGCCGGCCACCTTAACCGGCACAGTGTCCGCATGTTCGACAACACAAAGCAGTGTCACACCATATACCTCCGGCACAGCGACGTACTACATATCTAGCTGCTCACCCACCACTATTGCGCTGCCGGCTAGTACAGTCGTGTCTACGGCCAGAACGACCATCTACTTGAACGGCACGACGCCACCAGCACAAACCATAATATCCACCACAACAAGCCTCACGACTGGTGGGTGGAAAGAGCGAAGTCTGGAGATCGCTCTGGCTGAAAATAGAACAGTGATATCCACAATCGTGCAGACGCAGACTCAGGTATCCCTATCGTCTGTAGCAGGTCCAACAGGCACAAGCACTGAGATAGACACAACTACGTTGCCAGCGCAGACCTCCTACATGACCAACACAGCTACAGTACGCTACGTTCCAAGATTAGAATATATTGATAGCATGAGCTAAGTTCTGTCAGATGACTGCTACTCAATCGGCGTCCACAGTTACCACCAGTACTTCATGCTCATTCTGCTTCGGGGCTCGACTAACATAAATACCAGCTCTCGCGGCCTCGACCATCACCTCTACCACAAGCCTAGCTGCAGTGACGCTTACCAGCACTCAAGGGGCATCAACCATCACTAGTACAGCCACAGCGACCAGCGATATCACGGTCATTACCACAGGTATGCACGTCTCATGAGTCAGAGCATACCATGTGCGGCCAGCGTAGTATGAGTGGACTCCACTGATCATAATGATTAGTTACCACTACTCCAGCGGCTTTGGTCACGACTGTGACACAGACAGTAAGCTCTGTAGATATCTAAGCAGGATCGAGCTATGCTAACTAATCTCAGGCCACCGCAACAGCTGTATCGTCTTACCAGACGACTGCCACGGCAACGACCACTACAACGAGTCAGTGCCGTAGCGCAGGCGTATTGGGTCGATACTAATCACAAGATAGTAACGAATACTCCTGCCACGCCAGCAACTCCACCCTCGGGCACGACTACAGCTACCACTATTGTGACTGGTGAGCCTTGAATGATCGAGCGATGAGGATGAATTATACTGATCGGAGCAAGCTACGGCAACTGTGACAGCTACCTCAACCAGCAGTAACATTGCCAGTGTAACAATAACCACCACAATCACGAGTTAGTCTTCCCTGGGAAATCAAATGGACCGGCCATGGCTAATGATTGTCAGCTACCACGATCCCAGCTGGTGTGACGTTTACGCAGACGGCTACCGCGACAGCTACGTCGAGTCTCACTGCTACTATCACGAGTACGTGCTACTTGACTCGTTCTTTCAAGAACTGATGCTAAGCTCTGCCAGCCACCATAACGCCGACCGCATCTACGGTTACCCAGACGAACACGGTCACAACTACCAGCAATATCTTCGGCACAGGAACAGGTATTTCCTTCTCTCAGCGACCATGCCGGATCTCCTCTGACAGCTCATCTAGTAATATCAACACTCACTCAAGTCCAAACTCAGACCCAAACAAGTATCGCCACCGTAACCGTAACAAGCACAGCCTAAGGCGTCCAAGTCCTCACCCAAACCCAAACCAACACCCTCATCCAAACCCAAACGATAACAACAACCGCCTCCTGCAGCACCTCCACCACGACCACAAGCTCCGCCTCTTCCTGCCAAATCCCAACAGACCAATGCTACATCGGCATCGTCGGCCACACAGCCGCCTGTCTTGTCCCCTCCAACGGCGGAACCGCCGCAACCCAAGACCACACCCTCATGGTCGGCACGGGCAACCAACCCACCTGCGCACTCTTCAGCTCCCTCAACCAAGGCCAGGCCGCCACAATCCAAACCCTAGCCAACGGCGGCGCCCAAACCCTGCTCTCCGAGACCTCTGCCCAATATAACGAAGACAGTCCGATTTTCTGGGACTCCGGGAATTATGCGAATAATCAGTATGGGGGCGTGGGACCTTCAGCGGTTCAGTTCTGTTTGAATGGGGATGGGACGTTTAGGGTTGTGAATGCGGGGAGTAGGGTTAGTACCGTTGTGCTTTGTAATGGTGATCAGGAGGTTTGGTTGATGAGTGCTGCGAATGCGACGGCGAGTGCGGCGACGTGTACGGCGGCGACGTTGATGCATGTTCCTACTTCGTGATGGCACGGGATATAGTAGCGAGATGATCAGGGACCAGTACCAATTAGTGGTAGTAGCATGAGGTTTCATTCCCGTTCATGTTGATATTCAGAGATAGAGCCACCTTCCGATAAGGCTGGCATACACAGCCACAACGTTCTGTGGGTGCTACTGGGACATTCCGCATACGCTCTGCTCTACAGTGCTTCTTCTCCGTCATCGTCGACGCTCATGGCAGGCTTGAATAATGCGAAGGCTAGCCTCTCAACCTTCTAGCTACTGGCACCGTCTCAGCGAAGCCTTGTCCTCCACTTGTGTCAGCTTGACAGACACGAGCTCGCGCAGCTCCAGAACATCATGCACAGACGAGCAAGACATCCTAGTCTCTCCCGCAAGATCTTCACCAGTAACCAGTGGAGAGCCAACTAGCTTTTGACTCCTCAGTCATCTTGCCCAACTTGCAAGCAGCGAGGTAGTTCAACCTCTTGCTTCATATTTCACATGTCGCAAAGAATGTCCTGGCATGTAAGACTGTCGTCTCCAGTATCCGAGGCACAGGCCAAGGGGTAGTCCTGGTGGTAGAATGAAAGCTCATCACGCTCTTGGTAGCTTTCGGATCGTCCACATTTGGCGCCTTCGTAGCCTCCACGTCGGCGTGGGATAGCGAGTGAATGACCCCGTGGGTCTCGGTAGAGTGATCATGTTTGATATATGTGGGGTAAGAATGGAGAGCATGGGATATTCGCGAGGCGGGGCACGAGATGCTTGAATGAGTCTAGTTAGCGCGGAAGAAGGTGAAGACGCAGCTTTCAATCTTACAAGCAATATCCGCAGCACGTGGCTTCTAGTCCGCGACGATCATGCTTGATCTTGCTCCGAGCCCTCCCAACGCCTCGCTAAGATCATTTGTTCGACAAAGTAAGCCAATCATCCCAATCACCACCTCTGCTGGAACCCACCCCTTCCCCTCCCACCGCCGCCGCCCCTTCCTCTCCCACCTCCCCCAAATCCGCCCCCAAACCCACCACCACCACCACTTCCATACCCACCCCTGCCTCCAAACCCCCCATCATCAAATCTGGACAAATCCAGCATCTCCTCCTCCCTACCCCGTCCCCCAATTGGAGCCTGCCGCCCCTTCAACTCCCTCCCCAACCGCTCACTCTCCTTCCGCATCTGCGCATACCCCAAATGCATCTTCCCGAAGAAATGATCCGCCAACCTCCTATCATTATCCAATCTCGAAAGATAAGCCCCACAGACATCACAAACCTGCAATTTCTGATGCCCCGACGGCCCGCCAGTTTCAGAGAGAGTCTTCAACTCCCGCTGTTTCTCCTCCTGCGTGATCTTGACATGCTTGAGTTTCTGAAACTCCAGCACAGCAAGATTCACCCCGCCTTCCTCCGCCAGAATCTCCACCTCCATAAGCCCCGCCTCGATCCTATCCCCCGCTTCCTGAATCGCTCGCATCAGGTCCCCCGTCTGCCGTACCTCATCCACCGTCTTCTCCAACCGCCTCTGCGCCTGATCAATCCTCCTATCACACTCACTCACATACCGGCCGATATCCCTCTGATAATCCCACTCGAAGCCCAAAGCTTTCCTCTCTTCGTCCGGGAGATTGACGTATTCTTCCTTTAGGTTTGGTTGGTGGGTTTTCGAGCAGGCGCCGAGGTCTTGTTTGGTGTTGGTGAAGAGGTCGTGGGGGCAGGAGCCGGCGACGTAGGAGCGGCAGACTGCTGGGTCGGTGAGGGTGAGGGCGGTGGGTTTGGGGCCGGGTTGGGCGGAGAGTAGTTGGTCGCCCATTAGTTGCTCGAGGAGACGGCGTTGTTCGGCTGCCATGGTGGGCGATTGTTGTGGGGGGGTCCTGGTGGTTGGTGGTGATATCAGGAGTGATTCAGTTGCGTGGGCTGGAACTTTTGGAGCTTCGGATTGGGCGCGAGTCATTCATCAATATAGCTTAGTTGAATTGGCCGGTGATTAGTCAAATCTCAACCTCTACCTGTCCGCAACCTGTCTCTTGTCAAGACTGTAGATTATATAAGTGAGCGCAGTCAAGCACAGCAATGAAGCTCACCCATCTCCTCGCCCTCCCAGCCTCACTCCTTGCCTTACTGACCCCCACCCTCGCTGGACCGGAATACAATGAACACCTCCACCTGCTCCCCCTCTCCAACGACTACCTCTACGCCGGCTTCAACTTCACCTCCACTACTTCCCTCTCCGCCTATGAATCCCACCACTACCGCTACTTCCCCCGATCACTCGGCCAGATCCTGCAATATACTCACACATCAGAACTTCACCTTCGATTCGCACTGGGACGCTGGGACGACGAGAGCTGGGGTGCGAGGCCACGGGATGGAGGGAGGGAAGGAGGGACAGGGGTGGAGTTGTGGGCGTGGATTGATAGGGATGGAGGGGGAGAGAAGGTGGAGGAGCGGTGGGGTGATCTGGTCAATAGTTTGAGTGGTTTGTTCTGTGCTAGTCTCAATTTCATTGATGGGACGAAGACTGTGAGGCCAGTCTTGAGCTTCGAGTCGGAGGGTTCTTCACGAGGCAGCGATGGTGTTGGACAGCAGCTTCTGCATGGGACACTGCCGAATGAAGTGGTATGCACGGAGAACTTAACACCCTTCTTAAAACTACTCCCATGCAAAGGCAAAGCAGGCATCAGCAGTCTCCTGGACGGCCACAAAGTCTTCGATGCAAACTGGCAGACCATGAGCATCGACGTCCGACCCATTTGTCCATCATCTGCAACGAATACCGACGACGAATGTATGCTAGAAATCCAACAGACCGTCGACGTCGTCCTCGACATCGAGCGGAGCATGCGGCCACGTGACGACCCTATACCCCGACCCCGACCAATCGAGGAGATCGAATGCGACGAGACTAAGCACTACAACGGACCTGATTCGTGCTATCCGAAACGGAAGGAAGGTGCCATGGGCTGGAGTCTAAGCAAGATCTTCGGGACGCCGGTTTTGGGGTCCTGCCATCTTGCCGAGGACGACGCACACGAAAATGTAGACATCACGCTCGAAGTCCCATCGACCAGAGTCGTCGAGACGTCTGCTCTGCAGCTCTCTTCTCCGGTGGTAGACGCACAGAACACCGATATCCGCCACTTCAAACTACAAGAAGGAATCCACCGCACCGACCTCACACTCCCTTATCAGCCGAACGTAGCCTCTACTCTTCGATCCCAACCCCCACTCTACGCAACCCGCCAGATCACCGGCCACGGCCAAGAACGCGGCGGCATGCACACCCTCCTGCACAACCCGCACCCCTACCCCCAAACAATAATCTACCTAGAAACCCTTCCCTGGTTCCTCCGACCCTACATGCACACGCTTAAAATCTCACACAAGAGTAGTAGCAAGACCGTGGAACTGGAGAAAATGTTCTACACCCCGGCCATCGATCGGAAGAGAGCTACAAAGCTGGAAGTCCAGTTCACCGTCCCCGCCTCGACAACACTGGAACTGACGTATGATTTCGAGAAAGCGGTGCTGAGGTATACAGAGTACCCTCCCGATGCGAACAGGGGGTTTGATATCGCGGCCGCTGTTATACGCGTCTTACCACAATCTCAAACCGCAGCTCAATCTCAAGCCCAATCAGGAGCCGCAGGGAGTGGGTGTAAGGGTAGGGGCTCATACCTCCGCACCACCTCCCTCCTCCTCCCCCTCCCGACGCCCGATTTCAGTATGCCGTATAATGTCATCATCCTCACGTCGACGGTGATCGCGTTGGGGTTCGGGTCGATTTTTAATTTGGTTGTTAGGCGGTTTGTGTTGGTAGGGGAGGTGCCGAGGGGACCGTTGCATGCTGTTGTTGCACGAGTGCGGGAATTGGTTGGGAAGGTTAGAGGTGGGAAGATGGGTAAGGCAGGGGATGTCGGTGGTGATTTGGGTGGTGCGGATGAGGATTCTGGCTCTGGGGGCAAGGATACGGGTGTAAGCACTGGCAAGAGTGGGGGAATTAGTGATCCGGTCATGGGGAGTGGGAGTGATAAGGTGGATTAGAATAGCGGAGGTTTTTGCAGCGAGTCGAAGCTTTTTCTGCCCAGGCTGATGTTGATGCATGTGTATTTCGTGATACCATTACACGCAAGGACTGGAGTCTCTATCTGGTTTCTATCATGCTGCCCCTACGGCCAGTACTCCTACAGCCAGCTCACGCCGCGTTCACGAACAATAAGAAAATGCTAAGGGACTGGACGACTTCCCATCTCGAAGCCAAGTATCAGCAGCCTCTCGCTTCGCCTTCTATGAACCTTTCATCATCCGGTGGACCCAGGCATATCGAATAACCTAACACTCAACACCCTGCCTCTCAAACTCAGCAGCTAATTCTGCGCCCAACTGTTCCTCCCTCCACGCCTCCAACCTCCTAGCACTCTCCCTCATCTCCTCAACCCTAACCCTCATCCTCCTCAACGGACTAATCGCCCCCTTCAACAACACCGCCCCGCCACCCCCCGCATCAACTAACCTCTCCACCCCAGACAAAATCCCACTAACCAGCTCCTCCATTCCCCTTAACATCCTCGTATCCTGCCAGGTTTCCTCGCTCCAGCCTGGTTTGCCTGGACTGTCGTGGAGGAGGAAATCGGACATGAAGATTATGCTTTGCGTGAAGGTTGCTAGACGGGTTTTACCTTTGGTTGAACGAGCATACTCGCCGAATTGAGCTGGTGCCCAGATGGAAGACCATTGTTGGCTTTTGGAATGACATGCCATGAGGCAGGTTCGTAATTGTCGAAACACTTGTTCAGGGCTTCAGGGTTGGTGGAAGAAGGGGTTCGGGTTATCCTTGACTAACCCTGCAGCGGGTTGAGCCGGACTTTGGCCTTGGGATTGGCTGTCGTGAAGGTCGATGGTAGAGAATGCAAGCATAGTTTTCATCTGATCAGCATTAGCATCTGTATAAGCCTTGACATGCCGGAAAGCATGATCTTTTTCCTCCATTGCCTGAGCGGCTCCTGGACCCGAGACGAAACTGGTTGTTAGGCTGTCGAGATCGGAACTTGAGGCTCGGTCGCGGGGGGCGGGACGTTTGGTCAAGGGACCGAGGCGGCGGGGTGTGGTGGGTGTGGGAGGGGTGGAGAGGGTGGAGGGGCTAGAGTTCTGCGCCTGCGTGGCCTGGTCAGTGGGTGGGAGTTGGGTTATGAGGGAGGAGAAAATGGACTGCTGGGGTGTGCTAAGCACCGGCTTAGACGGGGTGGCGATGATGCCTTGCATCTGGGAGGTGTCGTCGTAGTTGGAAGTGTCCAATTTGTGTTTCTCGACCTTACAGCAGATTCGTCTTTGTCAGGACCGAACACGGCATAAATACCTTCGAAAAGATACAAAGCCATTGTGATCATGTCAGTCTACCGTGCCAACACAACACCCTTCAGTCTCGCACGGCCACCAGAAGCTCAAACAAAGAAGTCTAGGCCGCCATACAACGCATGGCATTCGCCAGATTGGGTGAAAACTGTTCAGCAAAAGGGGTATCTATCATCAACCTCATAACTACACAAAAAATCCCCGTCGCTCAATCGCATGTAAGCAAATTCCAATCAAAACCGATTCCCACTTCCCATCTCCCATCTACTCGTCCTTCCCTCCTGGCTCCTCATATCAGCAACCCTACCGAACGACGCCTGGCCATGCCCCTCTCCAATCCCCGCTGTCTGCGCCCTCACAAGCGGTGGCCCAGGTATCGTCTGGCTCTCGATCCGCGGCCGGTCGTCGGCAGAGTATATACTACTCGTCACTCCGCCACCATGACCGCCACTAGGATGCATCCCCATCGGCGAAGCCGTCTGCGCGCGTGTTAAACCCGGCATTGGTGCGTCTGGGAGCGAAGGGCGTTGGAGGTCGCTGTCGCGGTAGCTGGAGTAAATTGAGCTTGCGGGGTGGCGCTGCGCGAAGGCGGCTGAGTGCTGAAATGGAGGGTGCGATGATAAGCCTTGTCCTGGCCCGGAAGTTGTGGCGCGGAAGGGAAAGTCGGAAGATGCGGCGGATGTTGGAGGCGATAAGTTATCGGCTGGATTGTAGTTGTCGATGATATCGCCATAACCAGTCGTGTGCCGTGGGTCAAGAGGCGCGGTAGCACTACGTTGTTGTACCACTCGAACGTCGCCAAAGTAATTACCTGCTGCACCTGGTCCTCCAGCGACTGTGAGATTGCGCTTGGGCTGCAGTAGCTGAGGCTGAGCGGGATCGATTGGAGATGTGGTGTCCGTAGATGGGGCGGGAGTGAAGGCCCTGTAGCCGCCTGGACTAGGCCCAGCAGTCGCTGTGTAAGGTGTGGAATGCGAAGGCTGGCTCGTCATCTCGTAACTGTTTGATTGCGAGTAAGGGTCTTGCTGTCCTGGTGCGGGTGAGTACGATCTGCCAGCTTGGCTGTTTGGTGGCGATGGCTGCCGTTGCATTAGTCTGCTGAATGAGCCTTGCTGGCTGCCGAGAGCGTTGTATGACGGTCTTCTATGCGACGGAGGGCCAAAAGACGATGCCTGACTGGCTTGTCTGTCTAGTGGCGCAGTACGAAAGCTATCGTGAGTATTCTGTCGCATTGGTGGACCCATCGGTCTACCATAGCCATCTTGTGGTGTCATCGGACTGACGGATCGAGCATCGTTCGAGCTGAACCCGGTGTTCGTCCTGACAGGGAAACGTGCGCCCGGTGGCGGTCTGTTCATGGGACCAGTATTCGACATGGGCGAGAATGGCCTCTGTGAGCTCTGGCTGCCGTTGGTCATGGTTCGACCTGGCATTGGACGACCGAACGATGCATTGGAGCCTTGCCGACTGAAGGCAGCAGGAGGCATGGAGGGCGCAGGACTATTACGTCCATTGCCACCAGCATAGCCAGCGTTCGACAATAGTGGAGCATCAGACTCATAGCTTTGATGTGACCAGGTCGAGTCCTGTGTGGGTATGCGTGATGGCATCTGTGGTCTGTCCTCTTCCAAAGTAGGTAGTGTGGGTTGCTGTTGCGAGCCGTTGCGTGTCGGCGGTCGACTCTCGTATCTCGGTAACGTAGACACTGTGCTCGAAGTATTCTGCCTGGCCAACGCAAACTCGGGTAGCTTGTTGTCGTCCTTGCTGAGCTCCGGACTCTCGCCAAGTTGTGGCAATGTAGGCTGTCGAGCCAGTTTCGGCTTGCTAGCCAAGCTCGTGGTCGACGCAGACTCGCCCGTCTTCTGCCTCTTGAGCTCAGCTTTATTCTCTGCTTTCCGCCTCTTGTGCTCTTCCTCTTCGATAGCAGCTTTGACCGTGTGATCAACGATCTTCTCTAATCGCCTGTCGATCTTGCGTCTGCAGTACACGCTCAAGCGCCCATCACGTTGCGGGATGTAGTGCCACAAGAAGACCAAGTACAGCACCAAAGCTGTGAGCAAGGAAAGTGCACTGAACATCCAAATGACCAGGGTGAACAACATAGAGGATAGGATGATTGCCTGTCGTTCATCATGCTGCGCCAAAGCTTGGAGCTTCAGGAAGAACTTCTCGATGTTGGAGTGCTGGCCTGCCACGTCGCCATGCAGCAGGTCGGCATTGAAGACGGCGTATAACGACATGGCATTGACAGCCTGTCTCGGTCCTTCGGCCAGGATCACACGGACAGCGCCGTTGAAAGCAAAGTAGACGAAGAAAGCAACGTAGTCGGCTCCTTTCTTGCTCTTCGTCAGCTCGGTAAAGACCAGAAACCTTCCCCAGCCCGACCCTCGCATGCTCTGCAACGTCACAGCCAAGGTATCCATGTAGCTCTCCGCCACGCCACCTCTTTTGATCACACGAATTGCTCGGATCCATTCGTAGAAGCACAGTATCCAAGACAGTAGGATACAGGCTGCGAAGATCCACTTGCTGTATTTGAAGGGTACAGCCGGATCTACTTGTGAGCTCCACTTGTCGAAAACAAGAAGATTGACGGCTGTAAATGTGTCGACAGCGTACACGGCGACAGCTACGAGCGCCATAGTCCACAGCCACATGTATGCCAGCGTGGTCCATATCGATGTGGCCCTGAAGTCGGATAGTGTGATGAAGTCCCATTTCTGCGTATGCTCGGGCGGACCCTTTTCACGATCTCCTCCGCAACCCATGGTGTGATAATATTATGTCAAGCTTAGTATCGGCTTGTCGTGAATAGTGTAAGTGATAGGTGATGGATGTTCGTCCAGGCCAGCTGAAACGTGCAGTGCGGACTCGTTTGCTTCGCAGCTGCTGTGCAAGATACCTCGGAAGTGATGTTTGCGTGGGACAATGGGTTCTGTCTCCAAGTATCCAGTAATTCTCGTTCGTGTTCGCGTCCGTCCGGCAGACTCTGCTCAATTACACTTCCGCTTCCACCCCGAGCCGGAGTCGTGATATATCGTAAAGAGCGTGCGTAGTGAGCGGTCCGATAAGGCCTAATCGGTGGTGGTGTGGGTGGGAGGAGTGCTGCCTCGCTTCGGGTACTCTGTTCTAGCCAGTCCTTTGTTCTTCGCTCAAACTGCGGTCATTCACCTTCGACAAAGCACCGCACGTGAAGCAGTGGCGCAAAGACGATGGTATGGACCAGCAATGAGAACACAAAGACCAGGAGCGACCAGCGACCAGCGACCGTGTGTGCCCGGTACGATGTATATAGTCCAATGGCAAAAAGAGTGTATTGTCGCACGCAAACAATACGCGCGACCACGCCTATTGTCGCCAGGCGAAGTGGTGGACAGTGAAGGAAGGCGTCCTGAGGATCGAGTGGATGGGACGGTGGCGCCCGTGGTGGCAGAAGTGGCCCGCCGTCGGCAACCCGTCGCACGTCTTCTACCTGAAGCGCCTGTAGCACTGCTAAGGTTGTTTCATCTCGCTCCATCCACGTTTGGATGTCGATCGCCTGTTCGAGATGCCATGCGGCAGCCAATCAATCGCGTGGCGCGTATCAGGGGTAGAACTAGGGTCGGCGGGTGATGCCGGGCGTGCAGCACAGGTGCAGAAGTTCATACTTCACTTCACTCTGAATTGTCTTGCCCATTGGCATTGTACATCGACTATGGCTACACTACATTATCAATCACTTCCATACCATATACTCTGCAATGCGAGAGGCGGTGCTGTATGGTTCGCTCATGACATCACTCTTTGCACCTGAACAGCCAGACCGGCCTCGTCCGACACAAAACGACATCATTGTGTGCGGCGACAACCAAGTATTCGATGTTCGCTTCGACATATGGTGTCGGGCGCTACCTCAACACCTCCTCCATTCCGTCGGATGGACCTAGCCGTTCGATTGCGTCTTGAGCCCGATCTTGTCCCTCGCGTCCTGTTGAGCCTTCATCTTCTCCATCGCATCTGCATACTCATTGTCCTTGGCTATCACTTCTTGCGTCCATCCTTCCCATTTTCCAGCCTCCTTCAAGGAAACAACACCAGCTGTCAACCTCTGCAGAGCTCTGACAACAAGAGAAGGTCGTAAGATCTCCTCCGTCACCATCTTGGCTTGAGCTTTGTCGCACCAGACCTTATACCGGCGGTGATTAAGAACAGCATCCTCCACGGCATCAACAACGTCGGTACTAGCATCGCTCAGGCTCTCTCTCGACTGCAAAAAGCGGCCACATAGGAGCTCAGAGACTTTCCTTGCCTGGGTCTCCTGATCAGGACAGTCTCCTTTGTTACACACGATGATCTGCGGCGTTCCACACTTGAGGGCCGTGAATGTCGTTCCTGTACCTCCTAAGCATTTCGTTAGCTTTGTGGTTCACAGCCTCGCAATAGCATCGCTGGGGTAGTGCTTACCATGATGCACGACGACATCTACACGAGCAAAGATCTGACGAAAGTCTACCTTCAAATAAGGCACCGTGAAAAGCCTCGGCGCCAACTGCTCAAACTCCGATTTCACTCCGCCCAGGAGCAGTACTGCAATGTCTGGTAACGTAAGCAGGTCTTTGACGACATCCGGAGGGCCGTCGACTATCCCGACGGCATCGAAAGCAAACCGGGCAGGCGAGGCACGTCCGCCTCTCGCAAGCATGACTACCTTCCTCCCCTGCCCTTGCTGTGCCCGGAAGAACTCCTCAAGACCTGGCTGCCCCATATTCGCAGCAGAAGGGATGAACGGCTCGACCGCACCACTATAACCTTGCATCGTCAGCGATCTGCCCACGCAGCATCAAAACTACACATCAGCAACTTACCACAACACTCCAGCAGTCCTATCTCTCTCCTCATCAGCCAACAACCAAGCAGGATAGCACTGCAAACTCAGCCTCGGAAATCTCCCGCGGCAAACCTTCTCCAACTCGAAGAAATCCGTCTTGCGCGTGTTCAGCCACATGAATTCCATCTGCAGGAGCGCAGAGCCTCCAAGCACGACGGCGTCGATCATCCTCGTCCACAGCAGTGGATGACCGTCGTCCTCCTCAGGTCGCGCCCACTTGTCGGCCTGATTTACCACGACTGCATCGATCATAGAGGCTTCTTCCAAAGCACGAACCCAGGTTTCCAAGCTGGAGTAGAACGTGATGCTGTCCGTGATGTTTGAGTCCATGGCTTGGAGCTGGTCTTGCACTTCCGTCACCAACCACTGCATGTTCCGAGTGCAGAGTAGGAGAATGTGGTACTCTGCTTCTAGATGTTGCGGTAACTCCTACAGCATGTGAGTCATGGGACGAATATACCCAGATGCAGATGAAACATACCGTAATGATACGCATGAATGGCAGAACATCTCCCGTGCCTGCAATAGCATTCCCCATGAAGACGACTGGTCGGCGGCTGACCTGTGCGTCATCGTGCTCGTTGTAGCCGGCTGCCTCAAGGACTCGATTGATCTCCTGGAAGCAGATCGTGTCTGTATCTGGACCATTGAGAAGACTTGGCATCGTGATGGCGAAGCGTCTTGATGAAGAGTGGCATAGCTGCCATCTCTGGTGGCTGAAGTAGAATACCGCCACAAAGGAATCGACAGGAGGATGTAGCAAGCATTTCTTCACAATGAGATCCAGTTTACCGTCACCTGCAAGATAATGGTGAGTCGTTTGTGTTTCAGCCAGATCGTGCATACCACCTAATTGACACTATCGACGGTGATGCTTGCAACCATCCAGTTTGGGACAAATTGTTCTGGGGACTGTGAGTGTCTGCTTTCCAAGACATGATATTCCGCCATCTTGCCATGAATATGTGACACTTCAGAAGGACGACAGCCTTTGCTGCTTCATATACTACTCCTTTCCTTTGGTCCCATACTTCTTCAAAGCCTTCGCCTCTTCAGTCCCACGACCCCGATCCTTCGCACACACGTCCGGAGTCCATCCCTCCCACGTCCCAGCCAGCTTCATCGCCACAACAGCCTGAACAATCCTCTGTAGACCTTGTACAGCCAAGCACGGACCATGTACATCTACATCTTCCTGTTGCATCTTTCGACTTGCCTCTATGCACCGTGACACATAACCATCGATCTCGTTGAGAAGCGACCGAGCTGCCTCAACGATGTCTTCGTGATCGACGATGATATCCTTCCGTGGCCGCAGTAGTATTCCGCAGCCGAGCTGAGAAACCTTGCCACCATGAAACAACTGATCGGAGCAATCGTCGACGTTCGGTACGATGATTTGTGGCGTACCGCTTTTCATTGCTGTGAAGGTCGTCCCGGCTCCACCTGTGACCAGTGTTAGCGATTTCCGAAAAGCCTCTCTGACAGTTGGAGGACACGTTGGAAGGCTCACCATGGTGTATGACCAGATCGATCAGTGGGAACAACTTCGCAAAGTCGACCCTCAGGTATGGAACCGTGAAGACGTCTTCTCGTAGCAGCTTGTGATCGCTGGTGTGTTGACCGAGGGCCACGACAGCGACAGCCGAGAGTTGCAACAAGAAACTCGCGAGCATTGGAACCATATCGGAAGTCCTTATATCCTGATCCTTCACACAAGCAGGAGAACTTCTGCCGTCGCGAGCAAGTAAAATGACCTTCTTACTGCCCTCGTGCTGCTTCTGCAAGAATTTAAGAAGAGTCTGGTCCAGTATCTCTGTGTCCGTATGCAGCAAAGGCTCAACCACCCCACTGTTCGAGAATGGTCAGCGTAGCAAAACAAACATACAAAAACATCACTACATACCATAGGATACCGGTCGTCCTCGCCCGTTCTTCTTCCGTCAGTATCCAGGCCGGATAGCACTCCAGAAAGAGCCTAGGCAACGTCTTCCTTCGACCCATTTTCACCTCCGCCGCGTTGACCTTCGGCTTCGCTAGCGAGTCCAAATAGTCTTGCACGGTGGCTTTCTTGCCTTCAAGTCGTTTCGACCATCTCGTATCATTGCTAGAGGTACCTGGGCCTTGCCACAAGCATTCCAGATGAACGAAGACCGCATTCTTCTTCTTCACCGCTTCGTACATCCTGACCCACATCTGTTGTTCGTTATCGATGCAATGTTCGTTCAGCCAATTGATGTCCTGGTTGAAGATAACCGTGTCGACATTCGGCGCCGACTCCAAAGCCTTCACCCATTCATCTTGCTGTGCATAGACCTTCACGTCGGTCTTGCGAGTCCGGTTCGGGCTATCGTACAGTTCAGTCTCAAGAGTGGACCTGACTTCGGCCAGCTCAGAGATGTAGTTGAGGAGGATGTGGTAATCTGCTCTCAAATGCTTTGAGAGTACCTGTCGCGAACTTAGCAACATCCTTCCTACACAGTGGGGAGTAGTGCGATGTACCTTGATAACACGGAGATACGGCAGCACGTCACCCATCCCAGCCAACGCATTGCCAACAAATACCGTTGCAGGCCTTTTGGATGCTGTCTTGGTGTCAGGGTCATAGCCAGCTTCTTCCAGCACGTGCTGTAGCTCGCTAGAGAAGATCGTTACCGTGGTCGGTCCATTGAGCAGGCTCGACATGATAGTGGTGACGATGGGGTCGTGGGAGTCGCGGCTTTCTCCTCTGATCGATCAAGTATCCATCCAGCACGACTGTAATCCTTCACTTACAAACAATAAGCCGTGCATGATAAAGCCATATTTGCGATCTCACACAGACAGAACGTTTGCTCTCCGATCAGATCAGATGGCAGCCGGTCTCATATCCTAGAACATCACGTCTTTCATGTCTTAGTCTCATCCTCACCAACAGCATACCCCTTCGCCACCCCACCTCTGCCCTCCTCGATCGCTGCACCTTGAATCTTCCCTTCATCATCTCGCTCGTAGGCAATCTCAAAATCACTTCCCAAGCCTTGCCAAGTCCTCTCCGAACGCAAGAACTCTGCTGCTGGTGAGACGGCTCCGTTGACTGTTGCGATATCGCCCTTTGCTCTTTGAACTAGTGCAGAGCTTGGTGGTGCTGTGAACCTTGTAAAACCGTTGCCGGTGGTATTGCTGTTCGTCAAAGCAGGTTTGACACGGCCCAGTGGTCGAGAATTGGAGACGTAGCGCCCAGTGCGAAGGTCGAATTCTGGTGGCTCGTCATCTGATTCTTGTTCATCCCAGTCGCCTGTCGTGTTTCCGGCAGTCACCTCATCTCCGTGGCTCCCCGAGCCGTCGACCTGTGCACCGCCTCCATTGGCATTTTTCTCCCTGCCTAGCAAAGTTCCAAAATCGCCAACCCACTCACTTCCCCACCTTCTAGTATCATCACTCTGTAACGCCACCTCAAGTTCAAAAGGCGTAATAATCGGCCTGTAAAATTCCTTGCTTTCAATCAGACTGCTCTCCCAACAACCAATGACCACCCACCCATCGATCTCGCTGAAGTTCGCAATCTTGGCGGCGTTCACCTTGCCAACCACAAAGACATAAGACTTCTTCCCAGCATTCCTGATCAGTTCCTGGCAGTGTGAAAGGGCGGTCATGTAGTTCTTCACGGAAAGTGTATTGATAAGGATGCCAAAGATTCCTGCGCTGGCTAGCCTGGTTACCAAGGCATAGCGACGGCGAAGAAGTGGCTGTGTCGTTGCTTCGAGAGTTTCGGGGGAGCTTGTATCCGTGGGTAAGATATGTGTAGCCTTGACACGGGAAGAGAGGATAAGCAGAAGAGAGCTGGGTGGAGTAGAGACATGGAATATGGAGTATTCTCTTAACTTGTCTGGATCATTCATGGCTTCTGACGGTACAGTGCGATTTGGTATGAGCGATGCAGGATCGTGAATAATCTCAGTCGGAAAGACATGGATATATCCTTCGGACTGCAGTCGTTCGGCCAGCGTGGAGATGTGATGGTCAAATGGTATGTCGGCAACCAGGCATACTCTCTCGGCCTGATTGGGATAGAGCTGCTTGAAGATCGCTATCGTAGCATCAAGATCAAGGAGCTTCGAAGTGTAGACATATATCACAGGTAGCCGAGCCGTTGGTGATAGACAAGATCGACCGTAGTGGACAAGCACATCAGCATCGACGTGCTCGGCGGCAACTTCGTCGACACAACAGGCACCGTAGGAAGTGTCGGCCAGGATTGTAAGCTTTTCTTCGTTTGAAGCAGTTGACTCCGCCAGATTTGCCCAGTCTTGATTGCCATCAATGGTTTTATCAATCGTGGTCGAACTGAGATCATTGGCGAGAGTGTCGACGCTGTGAGGGACCCTCTGTCGAGCATTGAGCCTTGCATATCTCAATCCTTCGCGAAGTCTCTCGTAGACCCGTGGAGCATCGACTAGCATCTCGTCTGGGAACTGCAAAGCAATCCTCTTCCATCGTCCTTCTCTGATTTCTTGCACAGTCCGCCGGACCTCATACTGCAGATAAACTTGCTCATCGGTTAATCTGGCCTTTGGGACCGGTACCAGAGGTGTCGGATCCTCGAAGACATGCTCAGCAGGCGTTGACAGGACGGGCCCTGATCCAGCCATGTTATGTTTGTCACATAAATCTGACACCGAGTTCTGCAGTGGCGGACGCAGAAAGTTCAAAATGGCAGGAGCGGAGTTGTTCCGCGATCCGTTGGCCAAAGATGGAAAGTGCGCCCAAAATTCATGCTCATTGTTTACGTCCTGTGTTTACGCGCACTTTCTCACGGCAACTTCAACGCGATCGACACCATTGCGGAGGCTGCTATTGCCACGAACACAACAGCATAGCTCATATAGTCTTCGACACCAAATCGGACTTATCGCTAACCAGCAGCGACACAGCACACATCATTGCTGCATGGTACTCGAGCAAAACACCCTCAACAGCAGAAGAGATGGCACACTCATCTGCCAAATCCCGCCTCTTCAGCTCACTGAACCGCAGCCGCACCAGCTCACCCAACGTTGACGAATACGCGACTGCAGGAAGCTTCGATCTGAACAACGACCAGATCCTCAACTCGACCGTCAACATGCCGGACGACAGTAGGCAGGGCCTCCCACTGAACTATGACGAGCACCCAAGCTTTGTAGCGGCCTCCGAGGATGACAGCGAAGGAAGCGCAGATTTGTCTATCGAGCTGGGTAGAGGCGCTAGGCGAGGAGCACGAGAGCAGGACGCCGATGTATCGAGCAACATTGTGCTCAACTTTGGGGGTGATAGTCAGTATGAAATTACAGGCACACCGCCAGTAAGACCACGTAATAGCCTGCGCAAGAGCGACGGTCTGCTTCGGGAAGCATCTGCGCGCAAGGCCAACGACGCGCTGAAGCGCAACGCCAGCAACAATAACAAGCAGCGATCTCTGTCTGAGGCCCTGGCCAACATGACCCAAGAGAGTGAGGTGTCTATGGCTGTCGACGACTTCCAACAAGCCACGGCGACCTTCACTACCCGCAACACGCGCTTTATGCGCTCCAGACAAGTATCCACGAACGAGCAAGTCGCTCCACCACCAACGCGTTTCTCCAGTGCCCAAGATGGCACACCGCGTCGCCAAGCTCTTAACAACCCAACAGTCCAATCTGCCACCTATACTGCCAACTCCTTCATGCTGCCGGACCTGCCCAATATCACCGAGCTCGTCTCTGGTGTCCGCAAGGATGGCACGCCCGTCTTCAACCGCGCGTCCAACAAGCCTCGATCACGCTTCACATCTGCTGGCAACTACAAGCAGCTCCAGCCACAACACATGCCCCTTGAGAGCCTACCGATTCCCGAGGAAGAGAAGGCCATCTTCGCCTCGCTACAGCTGCTCCAGCAGAAAGTCGCTGAGCTGGAGACGAGCCGTTCGGAGGCACAGAAGCGTGCTGAGGAGTACGAAGGCGAGATCATTGATCTACGCAGCCAGCTTGATGCCGAGCGCCGCAGACCAGATAGTGCTTTGGGATCTGATGTGGATGATGATGCTCAGAGTAAGTCTCGTATGGAGAAGACGAGATTGCAGGGTTCACTTAAGGCGGCTCAGGACAGGCTTGATCGTGCTGAGCGCAAAATCAGTATTAGCGAAATCACTGTCCAGAGGATTACGAAGGAGAGAGATGAGCTTGTGACGCAAATCGGAGCGGCGTACTGCAACACGGAAGAAACGGAGAGGGAGAACGAGACCTTTAGGGAGCGCTATGCAGAAATGCAGGGAGAATTTGATGATATGCAGGAGGAGATGCAAGAATTGAGGAAGGAGAACGAGGAGTTGAGAATGCTTCTGGCACAAGGTCAAGCTCTGGGTAATAAGGATACTTCGAGTAAGGTGCGTCGTGCGCAGGAGTCCAGTAGGAACAGGGTGGAGACTCGCAGAGAAAATAGTCGAAGTGGGCGAGACATCACGCGTGAGAGGCTGGAGAGTAAGGATCACAGCCCCGAGAGACAGGAGCCTGCTTTGCGCAGCCGAAAGGAAGCCAAGGCTACATCGGTCAGAGAGCCTAACCCGAGACGCCAGTCATTCACAGCAACGGAGTCCATGCAGGAGGATATCGCCGCCAGAATCGCTCGCGAAGTCCAGAGACACCGCGCTGAAGCCATGGCAACCAAAGCTCTGGAGCGCAGCGAGCGTGATGCTAAAGGTTTGCGAGACAGCTCCAGCCGTTCGAGGTCGAAGTCGCAACGCCGTCAAGCAGCTGCCGGTGTAGAGCATCGTGTTTCAACCTCGAAAAGTACTGTTTCCGCACCCACCATGGCGGAAATGAGCGAGCCAGAGTCGACAGGCGAAGAGATGACGCAAAAGACGCGTGACACGCTTAAGAAGATGCACCTCCCAAGCCCAGCGAAGCAAAAGCTCCGCGCAGAAGATACTCGCGATTTGACTCTTCTGAGCTATCAAAGCCCAGAGGATGTGGCGGACTTACGTCGCAAGATTGAGGAGGAGCATATGGCAAGACGTGCCAAGCGCAATGCCTCTGCTCCGGAGACGCGACATGAAGAGACCATTCGCTCGAATAATACTGGTTTCCTGCCTCGCAAGTCGTCGCTGAAGGACCTCACAGCTGGTCTCGATAATGGCACTGGCCGCTTCAGTCTTGCTGGAGAGGGCAATCTCGACTTTGCGAAAGCTCCAAAGACCGTGCGCGTGCAATCACCTCACACATCTGATGGCTCTGCTCTTACGCAACAGCATGACGAGGCTGGAGATGCGTCAATCTTGAGCAATACCAGCAGACGTCGTCATCGTCGCGCGATGAGCGAGGAGGGCATGACTTCAGCTTTCATATTGCCAGACATTACTCTGCACAGCTCGCAGCCTATACCGTCCACAATCGGGAGTGGCAAGACTTGCAATCAGCACAATGCAACCTCGTGCACGGCTTGCCATCCTGGCGATGCTTCAGTCACTATCCCGACGCCCGTTCCAGTCACCGATCGGGAGGCCGTGGAAGACCCGGACATCACGACTGCCACTATTCGTCCAGCTCAGGCACCGCCTTTGGCTCTAGCGACCGTCATCAAGAATCTTGAGGACGAGATCGTGCACCTGAAGCTCCAGCTCGAAGCCCAGCAACGCCGCTATCACCAGCATACTCCAGCTCTCTCGAAGCGTCAGCGTCTGGCGACTAACAGCAAGATCCAACGTCTGACCACTGAAGTCGAGAAGCGCAGTGATCAGGTCTACGCACTGTACGATGTCCTCGAAGGTCAGAAGCAAGCTGCGGCTTTCGCCATCCTGCAGGGTGCAGAGGCAGAGAAAGGCATGAATGCTGAAGAGGTGGAAGAGACTTTAATGAGTATCGGCCTTGATGCAGCCGAGCTTTCGGGTCGTGTCGGTAGAGCCGCGCCGTTTGGTCTAGACGGGCAAGGTGGTGTGATTAGCGAGAGCAAGAACGAGGAGTTGCCTTGGGAGGGTTTGAGTGATTACGAGAGTGAGGAGGAGGTGGAGATGCGTCGGGGAGGCATGGGGGAGATGCGTAGGAGTGCTGTGTTCTGATTTTGACGGAACAAGAGGCAACGACGAGTGGCGCATTGGATTGTTATGGAGTTGGATTTTCTTGATACAGCGCGGCGTCGTCATGGTTGGCTGGATGCGTGTGCGTTCATTTAGTTCAGAGCGGCGCGATCGGGATTGGCTGGGAGTGATCGTGGTGCGTTGTCGGGAGGTAGACGGCGGTATGCGGCAGTATTGTTAGACAGACGTGCAGTCGGAAAAGGCAGGTCTCAGGGTGTAGTGGCTGGCAAACATGTACTCCCTTCTCCATCCTTCTTACGAGGTTGAAGGAGCGGGTCGAGTTGGTTTGCTGGAAGTCGCGATGGCGAGTTCGTACTCCCCTTCTTCCAACCCTCTCATCTGAGGTTGAAGGAGTGGGTTGAGTCGGCTAGCTGGATGACCTTGGGCTCTTGTTGCTTCTGACGCTGTTGCTGTACATACCGTCCATAGCTTGATCACACACATTATCCTGTTCCATTGACCCAAAATATCATCTCGCTATCATCATGCTTGTTCGAGGTTAGCAAGGTCGTTCTTGTGAAAGTGAGAGGGCTGCTCCGCAAACTCCATTCGTAGCTTGATTTGTCAACACGATGACCACGACATCGTGCTGACTGCTTCAACGCCGGTGCAGCGCCCGAGACGCATTAGGCATGACAAGGGCGTGAGAGATAAATCGAGCTGTGGACATAATTGTGTATCTGTGCCAGCTGAAGTAAGCTGATTAGTGGCAACTCATGCTACTCGGCGATACATCTACAAACGTACTGGACGACTCTAGAATCGCGACGCCTTCATCTTGATATACGTGAGTTGCGTAAGTACTGGTTCGATCGAAGAGCATCTCCGATTGCTCAGATCATGGCGTTCTACCAGGATATGCCATGGCATGAAGGCGAGGAGCAGATGCAAAGGGCCATGAAAGTGCCATCTCTGGATAACCCGACCGTGCCAACGCTCTCGCCACAGCTATCTAACCATCTGAAGATAGCTCCGACTATTGCCATAGGGACTCTCGACAAAGAAGGAAGACCATGGACCACGCTGTGGGGAGGCGAGAAGGGCATGTCTCAGTCGTTGGGTGGCGGGATTATAGGAATCAAGACGGCCGTCACAGGCAAGTACGATCCGGTGGTGGAAGAGCTCGTGGGCAAGGAAGCTACTGGGGAGGTAGTGCGAGAGGAAGGCAAAGGAAGGATGGTCGGCGGACTCACGATTGATCTCGCTACCAGGAAACGAGTAAAGCTTTTTGGCCGCATGATCGCTGGAGCTTTGAGTGAGCGCGAGGACGAGATCACTGGCCACAATGACTCTGTTGCCGAAGTCCAGCTTGTGCTTAGAATCGAGCAAAGTCTTGGAAACTGCCCTAAGTATCTGAACAGTCGACGGATTACTCCCACATTTGCACATCCGGAGCTGGTCTACGATGCTCCAGATTTGAATCCCCAGGCCATTAAGCTGATTGAGAAAGCTGACCTATTCTTCATGTCGACCGTACGACCAGACCAGGATATGGACACAAACCATCGTGGCGGACCAGCAGGATTTCTGCGAGTGCTTGCAGATGGCACTTCGGAAAAGCCCGCCGCTGTAGTATGGCCAGAATACTCTGGCAACCGATTCTATCAGTCCCTTGGGAATATGGCAGTGCATCCGTACTGCGGCATTTGTGTACCTGATTTCGAAACAGGTGATATGCTGTATTTTACGGGCAAAATTGAGATACTCGTTGGCAAAGATGCTGGTACCCTACTGCCAAAGTCGAACCTGTGTGTCAAGCTCACTATCACATCAGCGAGATTCGTTGCTGCTGCTCTGCCTTTCCGAGGTGTACTCAGCTCGCGCTCGCCGTACAATCCGCAAGTGCGATATCTATCCACCGAGAAGGCACCCGCATATGCCCAAGGTCAGACGTCAAGACAGCAGGCTACACTACTCTCGCAGACGAAGCTCACTCCCACGATCTCGCGCTTTCGCTTTGACCTACAGAATGCGGCAACATACACCGCAGGCCAATATGTCACCCTCGACTTTTCCGACCACCTCGACATCGGGTACAGCCACATGCGCGATGATGATCCCAGATCCATCAACGACGATTTCGTTCGAACATTCACAGTCTCAAGTCCTCCTGGCATACCACCTCGCCCTGCTCGGCGGTTAAAGGATGACGAGTTAGAAATCACGGTACGGAACGTCGGAGTCGTGACAGATTGGCTGTTCAGACATGCTCCAGCCGAAGGTGACGACAGGTCGAGAGCTGGTGACCTTGAGATCGGAGTCAAGGGATTCGGCGGAGATTTCGAAGTCAAGCAGGAAGATGATGAGACAGTCTGCTATATCGCTGCTGGTGTTGGCATTACACCGTTACTACCATCTCTAGGAGGCTCGTTGGACTATGAGAGGCTAAGAGTACTCTGGACCCTGCGTGCAAGTGACCTGAACATGGCGGCAGAGTTATTAAAGGAAAGTCCAGAATTGGCCAAAGCTCTTACGTTGTTCGTGACTGGCGCGACAGGTTCTAGTGAAGAGCAGGCCATAGCAAAGCTGCGTACCGCTGGAGCGAAAGTTGAACTGCGCAGATTGCTGGAAGATGATGTTGTCAAGGCCGTAGATGTCAAGAAGTACTACCTATGCACTAGCGTACCGATGCGAAAGCAGCTCATGGAATGGCTACCTAGCAAGGAACTCATCTTCGAAGACTTCAACTTCTGATCCTGCGACTCTGCTGCGTTCAGCAGCTTCCGATGCATCCTTCTCTTTCGTACCTGCATTACTGGAACCAATTCGAATTTGACCAGTTCGCGGATGCTCAATCCCTGCCACCACCAACATAGAGCAACCGATTAAAAGCCAGCTTGGTCACGCAGCCCCTGCAACTCTGCGAGCGCGAGATTTAGCTTCCCCTTCTCGACCTCAAGATCCCTACGACGCTTTTCGCGAGCTGGGTCTTCGGCAATTAGCTCAGCGCAGTACGCTTCGTCCGTGACACGGAGTTCAAAACGAAGCGTATCGAGAAGCTCCACCTGCAGACCACGAAGCAGATTATAGTCGAGCATAAGCGAGATGCTATCGAGCAGGCGTGCGGATGCGATATCGTAGTAGGTAAGCGGCGTAGCTATAGCAGCCACCTATAACATGTTAGCATGAAATCAATATTGTAGCACTCCTCAGAACTGACCTCGCGCCCCCACTCATCTGTCCTAAGCGGACCATTTTCCAGATCTACCCTCTTCTTCATACGCTCGGCCGTTGGCGGGACCTTCGCGCCCTTGCTCTCCAAGGTATCGTAGTACTCGTTAACGCGGATAGTCGCCCGGTCCTGCAATAGCTTCGCCCTAACAGGCTCCGCGAAGGTCTTCACAGATTGGTAGGTAATAGGCCTGTTCATCTCGCAGTCTAGCGTATTCGAGACACGTTCATGCACACCTGTCATAAGACCTTCGAAAAGATGATCGATAGCCTTTGTGGAGCGGACGAAAAGCTGCGTGCGCTTGCGCGTGGCGAGAGCTTCGTCGATACTGTCCTTGAGCATCTCGGATACCAGATTGCTTACCTGCCCCATAAGACGAGGAACAAGCTCGCTCCACGGTTTCAGCGACATGCGTACGAGATCATCTGTTACCCTCGGGTTGAGCTGGTCTGGAAGGCCAGAGTTGCTTCCGTTGTCGTACAGCTCGCGGACCTCGTCGAGTCTGACCTTCAGCCTGCTTGTGGATGGTAAATCTGTCTTGAAATTTGGGCGAGGCGCCGAGAGAGGTGTGGGGGTAGGTCTTGGTCGGAACGGTGTGCGGCGGACTGGGGTGCTGGGAACAGGCTGAACTCGACCATCGTCGACTCTACGTCTCTTTCCGCTTGGAGTGTTGTCTGGTGTCGGGTCACTATCCTCTTCGGAGTCCAGTGAGATAGCTTGCTTTTGGAAGCCAGGAGTATTGAGATTGACAAAGGGACGGAGTTCTTGAAGCTGAGATTGGGCCGTCTTGAGAAGTCGCCGATACAGCGTGCGAAAGTCTGTGCCATCGGCGCGCAGGTTGGCTTCGATAGATCTTGTCAAGGCATCGCATGCTTGCAGCACCGTGAGCGCAGCCGATCTTGGTTTCTCTGGAAAGCCTTTCAATTCGACATCCACATCGGAAAGACGTTGCTCTACACGTTGAAGGATCTGGGGTAGATCGTGTAAAATCTGCTGCGTAAGCTTCTGTGACACTGCGGACTGGAGATTCGGTGTTCCGAAGCGTTCGGCGTATTTTCCAAGGTCAGTCGCCCATATGCCTTTGCGGAAGAATTCTGCTTCGAACGCCCGGGCCTGAGACCGATCGTAGCCTTGACTTAGGTCTTCTTGAGCTAGCTGCTTCGTCACGAACCATGCGCTCGTGCTACCGAGTACAAACTTGTTACCCGCAAGCATGTCCTCGATCAAGTGACGCCGCTGTGGTCCAACGAGGTCTGGCTTGGTTAGCACGCCAAGGCAACGGTCCAAAGCCTTACTCTGCTTGGCATATCGAAATGCTGTCGAGTTCTCGATGTCCTGATCAGCGGCGCAGGTGAGCAGGATGAGCGTGTTCGGCTGGCGCAAGTATGACCTCAGAAGCTTCTCAACTAGCACGACCAGGTGGTCTTCGCCGTTCGGGTCCACGTTGATGGCACCAGGGAGATCGAAGAAAGAGAGTTCAGACAAGCCAGGACCTTGGATCTGGTAGATGATTAGCACACATTCACGAGTGTAGCGGGGATGGAAGTGCAAATACCTGGAGGCTGACGACATTCGGGGAGAAGCCGACCTCAATCCTATCGCTATGAGGCCCGCTACGGAAATCGCGTGGGTTGCGACTAGGGTTGACGATGGCGTGCTGAGCACGTCGTAGCATGTCTTCGAGCTGGCCCTTGTCTTCGATGGTGATGAACGGTTCGACATACAGCTCCTGCTCCGTCCAGCGATCGAGCTCGTTGCGGTTACGTCCATGTCGCGCATCCGGGTTGTAGATGTAGCGGTATTGAAGAGTGATGGTACAACTCCAGCCAGCACTTGCTGGGCCTGAGCCTCGGACTGCTGAAGTCGTGATCTGGAAGGGGCACCGAGTGCATGTGCCTTGGTCTCTTGGCACTGTGATGTCGCAGATAGCCTCAACGATCGAGCTTTTACCGGTGCTCTGGTCTCCGACCACGATAAAGCGTGGTAGTGAGGGCAAAGTGGCATCAATACCTAGCGCATCGAGGTTTTGGATGGCATGAATAAGCTGGTGAGAGTGTTGTGCCAGACCAAGCATGGCGTCGCCTTCTGCCACATCGAACGCTGTTTGTGCGTTAGTTCTATTCGCTCTGTCTACATATAGTACTGCTTACTTTGGGAGCGCTCGGTATCTGCCATCTCTGTGTCTTGGTCGGGAACGGTCGTATCACCTGAACTTTGGAGCTGGTGTGGCTCGTGGGCAGGGGTTGTGTGTGTAGTCGATGGGAGAGGTGTTTGGCGCGAGTCTACGACATGTGCTGACATAGAGCTGATGCTTACGGCACGACTAGCAGTGCCGTTCGCTACTGGCATCGCTGGTATCGCTGGAGCTGACGGCACTTGCTCATCGATAGGCTCTTCCTTGACCCGAGATCTGGTCATTCTCGACATGTTGTTAGAATCACGCAAGGGATGGTGTCGAAAGTTACGAGAAGGCGTTGAAGAGGCTTGAATGGAAGGGAGGTTGAAGTTGCTAGGCAACAGCTTCGCGGACTTGCTTCCGCAGTGAGGTGTGAAGTGAGGTTGAGTGAAGATGCGACTTACTGCTTTGCTTCGGTTTGCACCAGATTCCGGCGTGTCTGCCAATCACAACGGATGAATGCCTTGATGCGTGAATGGCTCTCGTGTCCAAGATGTAGAGAGAGGCTCATCAAGAAGCGTATGCGGTAGTCATGATTGATAGGAGTGGTTGGATGCAATATGTGATCACATATAAGGGCGAGTGGAAGGTGAATACTTACAGCGGAGGGCTCGACCGTGGCCAAAGCATCACTAGTGGCAGCAAAAGCTCACCCCGTGTGAACGACAGCTTGACTGCGTCTTTCGTCACGATATAGCACAATGGACAACGCCAAGGAGATCGGAGCCGGAGGGAGTCTGCTGGCGAAATGCTTCAGCTGTCACACGCTCTCGTGAAAGGCTGTGGAGCGCTGTGGTCGGCTGTGGTCGGCCGTAATATTGCACGTGAAACACGCAAGAGATCTCGGTACATATGGGCTTCTATTGAGACGACAGAGCTTCACAGCGAGGGCACGTATTCTGGCGGTGGGTGGCGTGGACGTACGTTGCCGCGTCGTAACGCCTAAAGCACGTCGTAGCACAGCAAGTCGGTTCTTGTCATCGCTGTAGCTCTGCCATAAAGCTTCCGCTGTGGGCCCGTGGACAACAGCATCGTGATTGACATGCGGCTAACCAAGCTCGTGGTTCCTTCGTGTCCAAACTTCCCAGTCTGAGGAGGGATACGTGCTTCTTGAGTATTAAGGTGAACAGGAAGAAGAGTGGAAGTCCGTCTCGTTATGTTTAGTACACGTGGGGTTGATCGCCCCGAACCCTTGCATTAGCGTGAACCCTGAGCTCGATGCGGGACCAGAGCTGGTGGCTTGGAAAAGTGTACGGAGTGGCTTACAGGACACGAAACAAAACAGCTTGCCATTGTATGTGAGACATCATAACAGGGAGGATATTGTCAAGTCACTCGCGGAGGGGCCACTCAATCAAGACGAAACACTCTTTTACATTGTCAAACACACTATGGCCTCACTCCAGGTCCCAGTACGGGGAAAGAGCGGAGGTACACCATCGACAAAGGCGGTGATATTGGTTGGTGGACCAAGCAGAGGAACGAGGTTCAGGCCGTTGTCCTTGGATGTGCCCAAGGTAAGATGAGAAGGGCGATATGGTCCATACATATATTGACAATAATCAGCCTCTATTCGAAGTCGCCGGCCACTCCATCATCTCCCACTGCTTCGCAGCAGTAACCCGTGTCCCTGAGATCCGTGAAGTCTTCCTCGTCGGCTACTACGACGAGAGCGTCTTCCGCGACTTCATCAAGGACTGCTCCCGCACCCACCCACAGATCTCCATCCGCTACCTCCGCGAATACCAAGCTCTCGGCACAGCAGGAGGTCTCTACCACTTCCGCGATGCCATCCTTAAGGGCCGACCAGACCGCTTCTTCGTGCTCAACGCTGATGTCTGTTGTTCCTTCCCTCTTGAGCAGATGCTCCGCCTGTTCGAAGAGAAGGATGCCGAGGCCGTGATTCTGGGCACACGTGTTTCCAACGAGGCGGCATCGAATTTTGGTTGCATAGTCAGCGATGCGCACAGCAAACGTGTGCTGCATTATGTCGAGAAGCCAGAAAGCCACATCTCCAACCTCATCAACTGTGGCGTATACCTCTTTGCGACCGAGGCCATCTTCCCAAGCATCAAGAGTGCGATTAAGCGTCGTGCCGATCGCCCACGGCTGGTCAGCTACCCGTCTTCTGACGCTCTGGACACCTCATGGCTACCTCAGGATGACGACGAAGATGGTCAAAGGAACGAGGTCATCCGCCTCGAGCAGGACATCCTCTCCGACCTCGCAGACAGCAGACAATTCTACGTACTCGAGACCAAGGATTTCTGGCGACAAATCAAGACCGCCGGCTCCGCCGTTCCAGCCAACGCTCTGTACCTCATGAAAGCCTTCCAGCAACAAGCGGAAGAGCTCGCAAAACCGTCAGCCAACATTCTCCCACCCGTCTTCATCCACCCAAGCGCGAAAGTCGACCCAACTGCCAAGCTCGGACCTAACGTCAGCATTGGCCCTCGCGTAACTGTCGGTCCGGGTGTCCGCATCAAGGAGGCCATTGTACTGGAGGATTCCGAAATCCGCCATGATGCATGCGTGCTCTACGCTATCGTCGGGTGGAGCAGCCGGGTGGGCGCATGGGCTCGTGTGGAAGGCACGCCGACACCAGTTCGGGAGCACAGCACTAGTATCGTCAAGAACGGCGTCAAGGTGCAGAGTATTACCATCTTGGGCAAGGAGTGCTCCGTGGGTGACGAGGTTAGAGTGCAGAACTGTGTGTGCCTGCCTTACAAGGAGTTGAAGAGGGTGAGTCGTGCCATCCCGTTTGTATGTGCTGCCGAGATACTGACAGGCATCACAGGACGTTACCAACGAGGTCATCATGTAAGCGGCGACCCAGCTCAGAGGCTCGTCGACGAGCTACGCGTCTAGCTCGTTTCAGAAATCATGTTAGCGACGGCCAAAAGCATGAAAGTATCATTATATAGTTGCAAAGCATACAGACTTCGTTTGAGAGTCCAAAGCGGGACTGAACCTCCACCCAAATGATAATATTGCGAATCATCAGGCTGTGCACACACTCAATGAGATGAAGTTGAGGCATCACGCTGCACTGCTCTGTAGGTCGATTGAATTGTGATTTTCGTGTCTATCAGAATGAGTTGAGTAGTATACAGCCATGCTCAAGTCTTCGAAGCCCGGCCCATCACCACACGCACCTCAGCTTGACATAGTCAGCCTTGCACTCACATCAGATCCTGGTGTAGATTCCCGTTCCAATCCTGCCCTGCTTGCAGATTCAGCGGCATCTGTATATCGCCCATATGGACATTCGTGTTGAGATCCGTCATGATCGTTTCCCAGTCCAGCCAGCCCAGGTCTTGAGAAGACATGCCGTTCATGCCGTCCTGTGGCATGCTTAAGTCTGTGAGACCATTTTGTGGCATGCTGGCTGAGCTGGCCGTGGTTCCTGAGAAAGCCATATTCGTGCCTACAGGTAGGTCACCGTTCACATCAGCGTTGTCCATGAAGCTGAAGTCCATGGGCGCGCTCATGGTGCCGCTTAGTGGTATACTGCCCATGGGCATGTGAGGTTGAGAGTGATGGCCACGGCCGGAGGAGTAAGACGTCGTGGCGGTGTCTAGACCGCTGAGTGGGAAGGTCTGAGTACGCTGCTGTGTCCGAGGTGGCGAGCGCGGAACCGTCTGCGACATCGTTCTATGCTGCTGCAAGCCTGGAAGCTGAGGTGGCTGGGCAGCTAGTGGTAGTGATTCTCTCCTGCCTTCATCTCGGAATGCCACCGCCTTCTTGTACAGCTTCTCGATCGGACGCCATAGCATACCTTGTTGGGCATCGGCGACATATCGTAGTTGACGGTCGTAGTTATCATTAACACATTGCCATGCCTTTTCTGCGAGTGGTGTGCCGCGGATGGAGCAAAGGCCAGCCAGGATGACCGACAAGCAGTGCCACCTAGATGAATTAGCCTCGAAAAGTGATTGCATCAGAAAGTAGACTTACTGTACCCAGACCAACCACCGCCATCGGGCGAAGCCGGGATCCACATAGATCTTCCCGTTCTCCAAAAGTGCATCCGTGGCTACCTCCAGCACATACGGACTATCGATCCTCGGTGGGATGCTTGAGACGTGACGCTGGATCGGTCGAATAGCGCGCAACAGCATGCCTTTCGACATCGAGGTACCGATCGTGTGAACCAGTCGCTGGAATGGAACCGAGACATCGCATTTCGAGATATACTTCTCCTGCACTTCAGCACTGAAAGCATTCGCGAAATCGAGACGTTGTTGCCAAGTATCACCCGTAGGCCTATATTCTGGCGTGCTAAGTCGACAGGTGCCTCGAACAGCATCGTAGGCTAGTAAGGAGAAGCACATATCTGTGAAGCGATCTGTATGATTGGGAATGCTGGTGGAGTGCTCGTCAAATTCAAAATCATCCACATTGTTCGGGAGCGGCGTGTCGAATGTGTCTTCCAGGATCAGAGGCTCAGTGGCGCGGTCCAGAGCGGCAAAAACGTCGAGAAATCTGATTGCATGCCACAGCCGTCGACGCATCTGTTGTTCGAAGGGTTTGAGGTGATATGTGGCTTTGTGATCGAGGCCACAGGCTCGGGCGATCCGGACGAGAAAGCCGGTCATGGTCCAGACACGACGACTCAGGTCTGACATACGAGAGGAGGCCAGATAGATTGTCAATGCTTGGAGTGTAGCCAGGTCAGTCGTGTTCATGAGATCCGCTTGAGCCAGGTGGACATCAATAGACCGCCGATACTGGTTCATCATGTCCGCGCGTGACTGGCCGTAACGGTCCATACAATGCTTATCGGTGACCGAGTTGGCAGCCGCATACCATATGACAGCCCTCAATGCTTTGTTGCAGTACGCAGATGCTTCGTGACCGAGGTACGGCGCACCTTCTTCGAGTAAGGCACGTACCGTCGGCTCATGCATTATCTTCAGCATCGGATTGACGTTGCTGAAGTACTCATTTATGAGCTCACACTGCATGATCGAAGACGGCTCGGTCAAGGCACCAGGCACGATATATATAGCTCCTGCGGGTGCGATCAGAAAGTCGAAGTCATTAGAGTTGATGTGCGCCCCTTGGGGCGCTGTACTATCAGACGGTGTGGTCTCGAGCTCAGTCTCCTCGTCTTCTAGTGCATCGCGAATGGCCTGGACTTCTGTAGTCAAGCTCGACCAGAACGGACTGCCGAGATACTTTCCTACAGTTGGCGAGGAAGCGTCGTCGCCGTCTTGGTCGTCAGGTGTAGAGACTTCGCCATTCGTGACATCATCTTGGGCTCCTACGTCGCCGCTGAGACTTTCAACAAGGCTTTCGAGTTTCGAAATCCGGTTCCTCAGTTCCGAATCCACCGCCCGCTTCCCGGCATGTCGAGCTCGAGGTTTCCGTGAGCTTGCCACGCATTGCAAATTTGACCTCGTACATTGCGCGCACGGGAAGGTTCTATCGCATTTGATCTTTTTCCGTTGGCATGCTTGCTGGGAGAAGTGTAAGTGTCAACGCAGGGAGGATTAAGAGATGGATGCGGTCTGTTACACATACGCAGGCGAGTCGAATGTGCTGGTGGTCATCATTACTTCCATTGGTAAGAGGAGGAGTGCCTGTGTTGGAGATGCCCGTCGGTACGAAAAGTGCCATCATTAACACTTGACGAATTCGATCAGGTAAGGCTCGTCTTCATGCGAGTACAGAAGGCCGGCGCGGCTACGCACAAGTAGATCCAAGTTTTCCAGTTATGACGATGCTTCGGGTCGTTTCGGTCGTGGTGTTATTATGTCACTCACAGTGCGAGAGCTCACGAATTGTATGGTCGGCTGCCCATCCAGAACAGACTACGCAGAGAGTGTCGATGTATGCAGCTGTGAGTCGCAAACTTTAATGCTCCTTCCTGGTCGTCATATACCGCTCTAGGGTAAGATCGTGCAGTGAATGGCTGAAATCTACTTAGTAATCAGCACATGTCCGAGCCTCTCGGCCGCAAGATATCTGCACGCCCAACAATAATGCTTTGTTTCTATGATAATGGCACTTGACAAGTAGGCACTTCGCTTCAGCATACATCAGAGAGGAGCGACTCTGCTCAGCATACTTATCCTATCACCTCGTAACGGACTTCTGCATTGCGAGGTTGCCGCGATCTAGTCAAAGACGGCATGTCGGGCAACTTTTCGCCGCGGAGGGAGCGCGGACTTTCCGCGTCACGTGAAGACGCGAACAATAGGCGAGGCCTTCCATTGTCAAACACGACCATCACACCAGCCTCACTTACGAGATGAGTGCACCCTGGGTTCCGCCAACAATACGATAGCAGCAGGTCTGCCAGCAATATACACCATGACAGAAGCAATCGCAACCACAAAGCGCAAGTTCTACAAGGCGCTGGATAGCCTGAACAACCCGCCGGCAACACGTCCTACTGTCGAACCAGCTGCGAAGCGAGTCAGACGGAGCACCAGCACTTCCTCTACAATCTCTCGGACACAGCCGGTACTGCAGACCACGGACACGGCGCCGAAGCAACCGCCTAACTTCTCGCCTTGGTCACATGAAACCTTCCTTGCAAGACTGAAGACATTCAGTAGTGTTAGTCTATGGCATCCCAAGCCAGAGGAGATCAACGAGGTAGCTTGGGCTAAGAGAGGTTGGACGTGCGTGGATGTCAACACAGTTGCTTGCCGGGGTGGATGCGAAAGGCGTGTAGTTGTGGACCTCGAGCTACCTAGGAAGGAAGGCACGGATGGTGGAGAACCCGGGAGTGACGGTGAGGATCAATACGACGACGACCATACTCTGGAGTCTGCACTGGTGAAGCGCTACCAAACATTAATCATCGATGGTCACTCGCATATGTGTATGTGGCGGAAGGCGGGCTGCAAGGACGACATATATCATCTGCAAGTCATCCGACCCTCGATATGGCAGCCTGAACTCAAACAACGCTATATCTCACTCTTGAATATCTCGGACGCGATCAGAAACACGAGTCTTGGAAAGCAGGTTGGGGAACAAGATAATGCTCTGCCTCAACCAGTCGATCTCCTTGGCGAACATCATGACCATAAAGCATATCAAATTGCTGTTCAGGGTTGGCGCGGTGCTGTTGATTCGAGTAATCAATTGCTACACTGCGATGCCTGCTTTCAACGAGTGGGTCTATGGATGTATCAACCAGGATACAGATTGGCTCCATCGTCTTCAGATCCTGAAGATCAAGGTACCACGATGCTCGACTTGAACGAGCTTCATCGTGAACACTGTCCATGGCGCAACTCAGCCACGCAGAGAGCTTCAGGCAGCTTCAGTGGGCTCAATGCTAGTCAAGTTCTGCGGCGTGTGGTTGCCACGCATGTCAGAGAACATCGGCGGAAGTCCAAAGAATACGAGATAAATGCCAGCGATGAAGATGTAGAGCACGACGCAAATGCTCCTGCTAGGCCTGCCTCACCAGCTTCTCCCGTTATGTCGCGGGACGAAATAGCAAGACAGGATAAAGATCGCGAGTCACGACTGCAGAAGCTGAAGAGTCTGTTCACCATCAAGAGACGATCAACGGTAAAGCCGATCATCCCGCCAGTAGCAAAATCGAAGTAAGCCGGTCATACGCTGAGCGAAGATTTGTCAAGCGTATAAGCGTTATCATCAAACAGAAGTATCTGAACCCATCCCAGAGCGCCTCTCGCAGTCCCAAGCATTCCTCTAGTATTAACTCCTTGCCTGCTTGCGCACCAGCATTATACCCTACTTGAAGAAGAAAGCCGGTCGTGACCGGATTCTCGGAGATAGCTTGAATTACGCACGAACACCAACTAGCCGCATGACCGACGCATTCTCTTCTGGCTCCACGAATGGTCTATCCCGATTAGCTGGATCGATCGAGTCGTCCGGCCGTCTCGGTTGAGCGTAGTGGTAGTCTGTTCGATCGGATGGGATGACGTTCATGTTCTAGATGATGTTATCAGCATGATAAAGTCATCGCGGCAGTTTCAATCCCATGCTTTCGACTTACAGGCCAGTGAGTGGTGCCCTTCCGTTGTTGGAACACTTCCAGCTTCTCCTTGAGCACTTGATCTGATGCGAAAGTTCTGGGGCAGTAGCAGACATAGGAGATGAACCGAATTTGCGAACCGACGGGACTGGCATTCCAGTGGATTGTTCGACTGTCCCAGAGGATCAAATCACCAGCACCAGCACAGATCTTCACTTCCTTACAGCCTTGCTTGCGGTACCAATCTGCGTCTGTATCGCTAAAGTCATAGCCATTCTGACTGGCACCTTGATCACATTCGGGTCGGAAGCCGCCAATTTGATCGAAATGCTTCTGATGAAGCTTATGTGAGCCAGCCAGGACAACGAGTCCGCCGTCTTCAGGCCCGTTCGGAGCCATGTTTGCGATACCTTGGTAGAGTTCGAAGCGGTCGACTTTGCGTGGGTTCTGATCGATATCTAGTAGAGTTAGTATCGACCACGACCATTGCATGACGACAACATACGAGGCCATGGTGCTAAAGGACAGAGTCAGTACGCAAGTACACTACACATTTTGTCATCTAAAACTACTCACAAGTCTTCTCAATGTCCGTCCGGCCAGTCTTGGCGTTTACAGGCAGAGTGATGTTGAGTCCGTCGAATGAAGCGATAAGATCGTCCGTGCCCCAGACCTGTTCGAAGACCTTGAGCACACCGGGTTCTCTGCAGTAGCATGCATAAGTGTCGATCGATCGAGATGAAATTGTGGCGATTGCTTACGTCCTGATCTTCCATACGAAAGATTCGTGATTCACACCATAGCGATTGTACAGTCCGCCTCTGTGCTGTCGTTAGCTGTTGACAAAACTGCGAGGCCATTTCCAGCCCTACTTCTGACCCCAAGGAAGATGTTCAGTCTTCCACGTGCTTCGATCATCTCGCTTGAAGCCATGCGGGAACGTTTCCAGCCATTTCAGCGACGACTCGACAAAGTCGTCACATGCTTGCTTCGGTATAACATTTCTCACGACGGCGTACCCATTCTCCTCGAGATCAGCTTGCCACTCCGGTCTGGTCATCTTCACGGCGTCTTTATGAATAAATCAGGTACGATCAACTCAACCACTCATGTACAACGGGAGACCAGGTACAAATAGTCGATTCCACGCCATCCGATCTCTCAGGGCCCTACACCCGGAGCCACATACTCCGGCGGCATGTACGGTTCACCGGGTCGCTTAACCGTGCGGCTAAAGAAGATGAACAGCTTGGGACCCTGTCTATCGGAACAATATCGGGATTGGGGGCATGTGCTCGCAATTGCGTGAAATAGAGGCCTTTGTGGGATCAGATTGACTACTTTGCTATACTTCCCATTGGTCGACGGCAAGGCGGACAGCGATACATTGCTGACATGTGACGATAACGGCTGCTTCGTAGAGATGCAGACTGTCTCACACGATGCATGCGGCGTATCGCATATAATGGACCGCACAGCTTTGGCTATCTGGGCACCACTCAATGGCATCCCTGGGAACCTACAACGCCGCTTCGACTTCTTAATCGAGCTTCATCCTTCGCACTCAGACCAACAACACCAGTCAGGATGTCGTCGTGACCATTCAGGGCTACCCGTGGACCCTCGTAGCCATGTGACCTCTTCCAAAGATACCATAAAGTAAGCAAGATCGTACAGCCCCCTGTCATTACACAAGCATAGTTCATGGTCGCCTTGTCTACCGGGTAAACGTATGGAAACATGAAGATGATATTGAAGACGAGGATGTAGGCGCATGCGATCCCACTCACGGTATAGGCGACAGCTGGCGGCATCCAAAACGGTCCTGGCTTGAGGTACCTGCGTCCAGACAGGATATGTGGAAGAATGGCTGCACAGTAGGACCATGTCGTGAAGATGGTGAAGGAACCCACGAAGGCGGCGAATGCCGTCGCATTGGCCACATATATCGCGCCGAGTATGGTCACGCCTACGCCGCACACGAGCTGCGCATTGAACGGATTGCGCCATTTGGGTGAGACATGTCGTACCCAGCCACTGAACGGCGTCGCATCATCTCGGGCAAGCGTCCAGAGCATTCGACCTGCTGTCATCTGGGCAGCAGGAATATTGATAATCTGATCTAGCAGGAAGAGAGCTAGCAGGCCGACTGTGCCAGCATTGCTCCGCGTGACTTGCTGAAACATCGCGGCGAGCGGTAGTGCTGTGATGGATGTGTTGAAGACTGCTTCCAGGTCTGTCACGGCGTAGAGCTAGTTTAGACTCAGCTTAAAACTTTATCACTATGACCAGCCGTCATAACTTACAAGTGCAACATAGAAAAAGAATGCGGTAGCAGAGCCTGTCGTCATCTGCACCAGTATGCCCTTTGGGATGTTCTTCCGAGGGTTCGGGATTTCCTCACACATATGACAGACACCATCGGGCGTACCAATAGCATAGGCACCATTCAGTATACCCATTATGAAGACGAAGCCGTTGTTGCTCCAGCCTGTGAGGTTCTGGAAGTCCGACCACACTGCAGCATTGCTGGCATAGCCGGCGCCGGTCGTGCTTGGATAGATTGCACACATCAGGGTCACGATGAGGAAGAGCAATAGTAGAGTTGCACCCATGCCAGTCGCGATCCTGGCTAAGATCCGTTGGCCAAACAAGATGAAGGATAGATCCAGCCATGTGACACAGACGAAAGCAACAAAAATCTGCCATCTCTGCGGGATGTAGTCCGGGTGATATACACTGTACATTGCAATCAGAGCTTCGGCACTAGCAAGGCTGCAGACTGCGGCGCCGAACACCCATGCCTGTCACAGAGACAATGTCAGCGATAGTGTTCGGGAGATGGCGCAAGACGGTCTAGACTCGTACCAGGCAGTTCCACCATCCAGCATAGAAGCTCACAAGCTTGCCATATTTTCCAGCAGTGACAGAAGACCAGTGATACACATTTGCGGAGGATGGCAGCGCAGACGCAAGCTCGGCTAACGATGCAGCGATAGTGGAGTAGAAGAATATCGAGACCAAGAGACCGTAGAGCACGCCAGGACCGCCTCCATTGTAGAGCCTGAAGTGCATGAGAACATGCAATAGTGGGCTCGTGCTTCTTGTTGGAATGGTACTCACGAAACGACAATGGATGCACCTCCAGCGCCCCATGCATTATCGCTGCAAATTGCCAGAGAGGCAATAGAAAGGAAATCGAAATGGCGGTCCAGTTCCTGAACGTGACCAGAAACATTAATCAGTTCGCCCTGTCCAGCATCGGCATCTTCCTGGTCCTGGTCTGCAGGCAGTCTTGGCACCTTCTTCTCCTCATCGTTCGTGTCGGACATATTGAAAACAGACTGATCAGATGCTCTTATATATTAATGTAGCACAGAAGACAACAAAAACGGCAGACCTGCAGCCATGGCCGATATAGACACACCACCCTATCTGCTACACCATATTAGTTGGAAAGCTTATCTGTGGGGTCCATCAATGAGCAGATAGCGCTTCCAATGGCCAAAACCACGTTTGCCTGCACTGCATGCCGAGTACTCTACTGCATGCACCTGCATAGCATGCACATGTGAGATCGGGCCAGGGGAGCTGTCGACGGGGTCTCGACCAATGCAATCATGAAATCGAGCCTGGCAAGCTCCTGATCAGCAGTGTAGATAGGCAAAGCGCATTGGGTGTACATATTACTCCACGCCAGAAATCGTGGCGATAAGGTCCTCGGTAGTGTGTACACGGTTTGTAAGTGGTCGAATTTCGAGGAGTACTTTGCAGCTCAGACGGCATCAAACGATCGTCACAACGAACGGCGTTCATGAGCAGATTCAGGAATGAGGATGCATGCTTGAATGTTATCGATCCTCCACGGCTCCTTGCAAATTCCAGGCCAGAAAGTCTCGGCGGAGTGGGAATAGTTCTAAGCTTTGGGGTGAATTCTGCACCCCAAAAAACCTCACCAAGTCAACCGTTGGCCGTATATACCCAGAGGACGAGCCATAAAACGGTTTCCATGAGAGCAAAAGGTTTCTCGAGGCACGTTTACGATGAGCCCCTGTTCTCTGCTTCCAGTGCAAAACCTACGCAAAAAGGAACTGATGGTCAATACGAGGCTGTGACATTTGTTAGATTGATGATAATGCAGCAGTATATTGTGGTTGTAACCTACGTCGAACTCGCGACCTTGGCGTTTCAGTATCAGGCTGTGAAGCCATCCACTATTAGCACCACGCTCTAACCAACTGAGCTAATCGACCAGAATGAGCAACTTTGTCGCACGTATTCTGAGACCATATCTGAGGATCAATTGTAACTAGAGGATACATAATGTTATACTATTTTTGCCGACATGATGCCGCGCGCCCTCCATGCACTTTGACGATATCCAATGTCCGATTATCAACAAATGATGACTAACATCGAATCATATCAATAACAGATCGTCCTTGTGGCCAGTTAAAGATCGTCTCAACGTCCAAAACGATCAATTGGCTGGGTTCAGGTTGAGAAGCAATCACATCATATGTTAGGGTTAGGGTTTGGGTTAGCAGCAACGACCAACGTAGGACATCCCTTCCACCTTTTCGACCGCCTTCACGGCGTGCGGATCTACATAGCTTAGTTGCGTCTTATGCGGGTCATGTGCTCGCAGCAAAGATCGCGATCAATGAACCCGTTGTCGTCTAACGACTTGACTTGTTTCGAGTCATGTATCTTTCGTTGTCGGGGCGAATTCCCTCCAGCGCTCACGAGAACGGGATGGTTGGACTTGCCATGGGACCACCAGTTCGTCAGGATATGGAGTATACAAGTGGTGGAACGGGAGAAAAGTGTCTGTAGCGACTACTACATGCAGCTTGAGCCTGCGCTACTCTTGACGTCGCTCCACTCCTTCGACCTCACCGCAACATGGTCTGACGATAGGTTCATGACGCTGGCCACCTCAAAACGGCAAGAGAGACCACATTGCACCACAACGCAGAAGAGCAAGGATTGAGTATGCACGCTGCCAAAGTCTTCCATATCATCCACTATCTGACAACGAAAGCCACCCACCCACACACAAGAGCAAGCTTCGCGCCCCAACACCAACGCTAAACCGACAGCATGTGAACCAAATCAGATATTCCCAATAACAACCATAAACCTCAACCGCCCATCCCCCCTCCCACTCCCCTTCACCCCCAATTCATCCACCCCACCCACACCCATCCCCTCATCATCCCCCGTACCACCACCCACCCCACCCGGACTCCCACCCCCACCGACACCACCACCACCAGACCCAAGCAACCCCTCATCGAGCATAAGCGTACTACTCTTCCACCCCCAGCTCTGCGAGAAATTAAACTTATCCGGCGCGCTCTCATACACACTCAACATCCTTCCCCCCCGCGAAGGCGAGTAGATTTTGAAATACGTTTTGATCGTCGGTCGGGCGTCGACGTAGGGGGGTAAGGTTGGGATACGAGGTGGGGCGGGGGGGAGAGGGGGGTGTTCGGAGTCCGAGGGGTCGTCGGAGGAGAGGAGGTCGGAATCGTTGAGATCGTAGTGATCGTGTTCGTGTTCGCTGTCGGTGAAGGGCATATTTCCGGCTCCCATTGATGTGCCGGGGGGTTGTCCAGCTTCCTTCTGCCCTGGTCGTGGGGCTCCCGCGCCGCGGCCGAGGAGCGAGCGCATGGTACTCGCTCTCGCGCTCTCCGTCGCACCACCTGCACCAGTAACAGCACTATCCAAATCCCCCGGCACACTCCCCTCGCTCTCCTCCCCTTCCCCACCATCCAGCCGCCTCAACCTCCTCTCCCTCCTCCTTCCCCCCCTCCCACCCACCATCTCCCTTTCCAACGTCCCGATCCTCTGATCCACCCCCACCCCCCCTCCAATCCCCGATCCCCCCGCAACCAAATCCTCCGTCTCTCGCTCCTTCGCCCGATGCAAATAAACACCCAACTGTTTATTCCGACTAGTCGCCACCTTCTGAATATAGATATTCCACAGACTGCCCGCGTAGAAGACCGTGCGACTATACACTCGCTTCTTCTCCTTCAGCAACCGCGGGTTCGGGAATTCGGCCGCGAAGCGGAAAGGTGGGAAGTGCGTATACCGTACCTCTGCTAATGGAGGAGCAGAATCGCCGTTGTTGATGCCGTCCGAGCCGGCCGTCTGAGGTCGAGGCTGCGAGGTCATGGCCGCGAAATCAGCCGCCCACTGGATATCTTCCGGCTGGATCGTGGCAGAAAGCCGGGTCGCATGTCGCTGCAAAGTGCCATTATTCGTCGTCGCGATGACGGGTTCATCTCGCCCGCCCATCACGATATTGCAGTCACTACCCGGAATCCAGAATTTCCTTGGCTTGCCATTGCCATCCCAGCTCCCGCTCTCGATCTCGTCTTCAAGCTCGTCGGGATGAGCTTCTAGTTGTCTACTCTTGCCCTTGCCGCTCGTGGTCGGGGGTTCGGAGGGTGTGGTAATGCTCATAGTAGTATCACGCCTCCCGCCTCCAGCCACACTGCCATCGTCGCCATCTGTACAAGTCTCAGAGAGATTGAGCTCCATGTTATGTTCGTCGGCATTCAGGACCTTCTGTCGCAATTCCATTTGCTGCCAAAGTGCGCTGGCGATTACTTTCTCCGGCATCACTGGTAGGCTCAGGATATCTCGTGCGCGGCGGATGAACTGTAGCTGCTCGAAGTCGAGGTGGATGTAGTGGATGCCCTCATCTAGTAAGACCAGTATAGGCTCGACATCCGGGTGAGTGTATGGTGCGATCCAGGGCTGTAAAGCATCAGGCATACCTCTAGCTCCACCGCCATTCTTACGATACACGCCATCGAACCGCACAGCCATGAGGTTAGCCGTGTCAGGCGCTCTCCGTACCCTCCTCCTACCGGCCTCCACCAATCCACCTTCAATAGCCCTCAACCTCAACCTCCGATCCAGAATCGTCTTCGCAAGCACCCACCGATCCCATTCCCCATCAATAAAGAAACCATCCCCACCCACTATCTCCCGAATAATGTCTCCCGGAATCCCGTCCCAATACCGCATCGGCATCCGCCACCCGTCTCGACACAACATCGCCTTGGCACTAGCAAGAATCTTGTCCCCAGACCGGCCATAGTAATTACTCGTCACCAGCTTGATAAGCGGACTTATAGTCTCAGGCGTCATGTGTCGGAGCATGCTTCCAATGGAATCATCGATGAGATCTTGCATCTCAAGCCAGCAGGCTGTGGCGAAGAGACCGACGGCTTCGCCATCTTCCTCTTGGAGGGTACTTGCTCCGTAGAGGCGTTTGAGTGCTAGTTCGAAGCTGCTTTGGGTGATGGAGGCGTCTAGGTCTTCTGGGTGGACCGTGACTTCCTTGGCGTCCGCTTCCAACCAAGGCGCGGAGAGAGCGGAGGTGAAGAAGGGGGCTTGGTCGAGGACGAGACGATGTAGGCGGTACTTCTGACCAAAGGCATTGACGGTGATGTCGGAGTGCTTGCCTTCTAGTAGTCCGCGAGTGTAGAGATGGTTTGGGAGGTCCGGGATGTTGTTGGTATGTATGTTGCGTTCGTAGGAGTGTTGATGTTGGTTGAAGAGGTAGGAGCTATGTCTCGATGCTTCGGGCGAGACGGCAGACTGGACGGCGAAGAGGCGGCTGAGAGTGGTGAGTGTAGTGGACTGCTGTCGATCCACCGTACCTCTCGACGAGGATGCGAGGTTGGCCGTAGGATCATCTGCCTCCTTCTCCACCTCGGACAAGTGTGTCAGGTTGACATCTGCTTGGCCTGAAGTTCGTGATAATTTGACCGGCCTCTTGGGTGTGGGTGGGAGTGTAGACAAGGCCGGCCTGACCCCATCGACTTGCTCTTGGCTCGGCGGTTGTAAGGACAACAATGGTGGTCTCTCAGCAGGCTGTTCATGTTCATGTTCATGGTCATGGTCATGGTCATGTTCTTGTTCCTGCTCATCCTCCATCCTCGCCGACCCAGACCCGAATATCGATGCACTTCCCGATCCAAACAGCACTCTCGGCAGACTGCTATGCCGACTGATCCGTGGTCCCTGACGTGTACTCGCCCTCGGTCGGGAAGGTGCAGACGAGTCCATGTCATCGGGCGTGGAAGAAGTCGCCCTTGCATCGTGGAAGCTCCACGGGGAAGCATCGTCGGGATGCATGGTATCGTCGTCGTCATACGGGTAGGACATAGTGGAGTGAATACCTACTACTCAAGGAAACAGGCTTTCGGACAAGCAGCTTTTAGTGGGACGATTGTGCCATGTGCTACAAAATCATCGGCACAATCAGAAATAGCCTCGTGGGTATCAGTGGAGTAGCTCAAGACGGAGCTTGCAGGTGGATGTGGGTGGATGGATGAAGTATCGCCAGCCGAGGCGGTCACACGACGCAATCTTGCGATGAAGGTCTTACAACTAGAGCACGATGTGACAGTGTCTTGCTTGTATGCGACGATGACAGCACCTGTAACGGAACGGCCGTCTTGTATCTGTCCGAATGGTGATGTTGATTGAACTATTGCCGGATCTTTGACCAAACCACAAACAGACTACCTCCCGCCTATCGCTCCGAAGCCCTAGACGCAGACCCTGGCTCCGATCGTCTCGACTTGACAGTGATGATTCAAGATCTCGTACTAACTTCCTCTCCATTTCTCATCGTCTGATCGTCTCATCTCCTGTGTATGCTATAGTGACTAGGCAGGATGGCCACAGTCATTGGCATGTCGCCACTCCGAGCAAGACTAGGTATCAGAGCACAGCAGATCCTCCAGGACTCATTCGTCTGCCGACGCTGCATCCACCAGCAGCACAAGACGATCACGAAACGTCAATACCAACAACCCATCCTACGCAAATTCTCAACACCACCGAGACGAACACAAACACGCCCCCAAACCTCAACCGCAGCCCCATCACCTCTCTCTGCCCTCGGCCAAACCATTTCCCACTCCAACACATCCTCCACCACCTCCTCCTGGCCCAAACTATCAGACAAATCAGTAGCCTACTGGCTCCTCGGCTCGGCAGCAAGCGTCTTCGGCATCGTCATCTTCGGCGGCCTAACCCGTCTAACAGAGTCCGGCCTCAGCATAACCGAATGGCGACCCGTAACCGGCTCCTTCCCTCCGCGCAACGAAAGCATCTGGGAGGAAGAATTCGCCCGCTACAAACGGAGTCCGGAGTTCAAAATGCTGAATTCCCGGATGAATTTGGAGGAGTTCAAGCAGATTTATTGGATGGAGTGGGGACATCGGCTTTGGGGGAGGGTGGTGGGGCTGACTTTTTTGGTGCCGACTGCTTACTTCATGATTCGGAGAAGAGTGAGTCCGCATATGGCGAGAAGATTGGTGGGGATCTGTGGGTTGATTGGGTTCCAAGGGTTGATTGGGTGGTGGATGGTGAAGAGTGGATTGAAGGACGATTTGCTGGAGACGGGGAGTCATCCGCGCGTGAGCCAGTATCGACTGGCGACGCATCTGGGGACGGCGTTTGTGGCGTATCTGGCCATGTTATGGAATGGACTGCAAATTCTACGGGAGCACAAACTAGTCAAGGATCCCGAGGCGGGGATGAAGTTATTATCCACCCTTCAACGCCCAGAACTAACCTTCCTACGCCGCTACGTCGGAGCGCTCACTGGCCTCATCTTCCTCACTGCCCTTTCCGGTGCCTTGGTAGCCGGTCTAGATGCAGGGCTAGTCTATAACAACTTCCCCTGGATGGGACAGGGTCTGCTCCCGCCTAAACGCGAGATGCTCGACCCCTTCTACTCCCACACCCCAGATCACGGCGATCTGATCTGGAGGAACATGCTCGAGAACCCCGTGCTCGCCCAACTCGACCACCGCATCCTCGCCACCTCGACGTTCACGGCCGTCATGGCGTTGTGGGGTTATAGTCGTTTCAGCCCTACCGTTCGTACTCTCCTCCCCAAGTCCGGGCGAGCGGGTGTTTTGGGGTTGGTGCATTTGGTCAGTATACAGGTCACCCTGGGCATTACGACGTTGTGGTACCTTGTCCCTACGCCTTTGGCTTCGGCACATCAGGCTGGAGCGCTGGCGTTGTTGACGGGGGCTTTTGTGTTGGCGAGTAGGGTGTTTGTGCCTAGAAGGACGGTGAGGTTGGTGCGGGATGCTTTGATGAAGAGTGCGACTTATCGTAAGGGTGCGCAGGTGGCGAGAAGAGGACCGGATGCTATGATGAGGGCGCGACTGGCGCAGACGTCGTAACAATGAGAAGTGAGAAAGGGGGCTTCTCTCCTCTTCCGTAGAGCTGATGTGTCATGTAGTGTACACTATAGAGGGGAAAAGAGTAGACTTCGACATTATTTCGCTTCCACAAGTTCAAAATGTGCCGATCGACATCGTCCCTCGCCATCCAATCCACCCATGAGCGCCTCTGTACGGTGTGCAATACGCCCTTACCCACGGAGCACATGTCATCGGCGTTGACTTGGGCGCAAACACCGACATCCTAATACGATCTCTCGGCGCGGACTTCACCGACTTCATGGTACCCACTAACGTCGTAAAGGAAGTCCAGGATCGCACCAATAGCGGTGCACACACACATCAATAGATTCGGCCGCACCTTCCAACGCTTCCGCTCAAGCAGCTTCCATGCTTCGGATCGGCTGCATCCTCTGCCTTGTTGGCATACCACCGGGAGGCGGCGAGATCGGGACGAGCGTGGCGGCGATCGTGATCAAGGGGATCGGGACCGAGGAGAATCTGGTTGGGAGTATGGGGGAGTGTCTGGAAGCTGTCGTGTTGGTGACGAAAGGTTGAAGCCTAGAGCCTGTGTTAGGCTTCTCATGAAGTTGCTCATGGTGTATGAGGGACTGGAAAGGGGTGATATTGCTGGTAGGATAGTGTTGAAGGTTGGTGAGGATTTCGAGGTTGATGGGGTAGATGTACGCCGTGGATGTAGTATCTTCGATAGATGCAAGGAGATCTTAGAGTTCAAAGAACGCGTATACATGACGAACATGATCCACAACAGTGGCGAGGCGTGGTTTCGAGTCCAGGTCTGTCACAGCCAGGAGGCGCATCGTTTGGTCGAGCAGTGCCGGAAAGGTCAGATTTATCGAAGAACTTATCTTACTGGAATGGGATGTAATCGCGTTCAGATGGATAAAGACATGCGAATAGAGAAGGCAAGGTGTTATGATGATGATGATTGTTGAGCAGGATATATACAATGCTCCGGCAAGGCAAAATGCAGCAGATATCCGTAGACCTCATGATATCGTAAGCATGGTCCCAAACCCCTCGCTCGCTATGCTATGCTTAAAGAAACACTCCTGTCTCCTCTAATTCTTCCACCTAGTAAGCCTTGGCTCCACCAGTGACACCAGTGACACTGCCAATGCTGCCACGGCGGATGTTTTCGATGCCGGCAGTGGACAGCTTCTTCTCATCGTAGTGGACAGTCTCAACAACACCGCCAACGGCGCCGCCCTCGATCGAGGCAGCGATAACAGTCGCTCCCTTCTGGCGCATGATCTTGAAGCCGTGGGTAGCCCAGTGGTAGGTGACATAAACCAATACGACCACGAAACCGCAAAGCGGGACTACGTAGGAGATACGTGTACCAGCGGCATCAGCGACGGCACCCTGGATTGGTGGGAAGACGGCACCGCCAGACACACCCATGACGAGGATACCGGCACCGCGGCGGGTGTGGCGGCCAAGGTTGGCTGTTCCGAGGGTGAAGATGGTTGGGTACATTGGTGCCTCGAAGAAGAAGATGGCGATGAGGACACCAACGGCTGCCTTGCCGTGTCCAGCGGCAATGTAGGCGTTGAAGGCGATGGCGAAGCAGCAGTAGATGGTGAGGAGGAAGTTGGACTCGAAGATCGTGGCCAGACCGGTAGCGATGAAACGGCCGACGGTGAAAACGATCAGACCGTAGGACAACATCTGCGAGGCCTGTGCGGAAGTGTACGAGGCGTTCTCAGTGGCGTAGTTGATGAAGAAGGAGGCGATGGTGACCTGGGCACCGACGTAGCAGAACTGGGCGATGAAGCCGAAGATCATGTTGTACTGCTTGTAGAGGGGAGCATCGCCTATGACCTTGCCATCGTGGCCGATTGCCATCTCGAGGGTGTTGTCATCGATGACGGAGCCACGGCGGCCACCTGTCTCTTCGGCTACCTCAGGGAGCTTGGCGAAGAAGAAGAGGACGGCGACAGCCATGCCGGCGCATGACACGGCAAGGTAGACATATTGAACATTGGTGAGGTTGTTCTGGTTCGCGCCGGAGAAGAAGGCTTTGGAGGCAATGAGAGGTCCAATGAAGCTGGCCACACCATTCCAAGATTGACAGAATTGGAGACGAGCGGAGGCCAAAGCTGGGTCACCAATGACAACAGCGTATGAGTTGGCAGCAGTCTCGAGGGTAGCGAGACCGCAAGCGATGACCAGCGTGCAGACCAAGAATCCACCGAAAGATGCCTTGGCGTTCGTAGCAGACGTGAAGTGAGCGGTAGGCCAGAACATGATGGCGCCGAGAGAGTAGAGGGCCAAGCCCATGAGGATGGTGACCTTGTAGCCCTTGCGCTTAAGAACCTCAGCAGCGATGGGAGAGTAGCAGAGATAACCACCGCCGAAGTACATGACCTGAAGACCAGTGGATTCGAGCTTGGTGATGCCGAGGACGGTCTGGAAGTGCTTGTTGAGGACATCGAGCAGACCGTAGGAGAAGCCCCAGAGGAAGAAGAGCGAGATGACCAGCGAGAGAGGGAAGATGAGTTGCTTGCCCTTCAGGTAGCCGCCCTGAACTGCGGGCGCGTTCATGGGAATGCCGCCGCCTGCCATTGTGGTTGGTTGTGGTGTGTGTTGGGTTGTGGTAGTGAGTGTTGCTGTTGTTGATATGTATCAAACGATGATCGTAGCCAAATGGATGTAGTATTGACTCGATGAGGGAACGATAGACTCGATCTAGCAATGAACGGCTAGAGGGATGAGCTGGTTGTTGCTGGTTGATGCTGCTGGTGTTGCTGCTTGTTGGATGATACTGTTGCATTGAGGGCGAGGGAAGGAGTATCTTATACTAAACCCCACTCGCGACATCTTGCTTCGGCGCCCGCAATGATCGTCTGAGAGCGCACTGGACGTTTGATAGACTCGACGCCACCATACAGCAAAGTCGACGCTAATGCAGCATGTCTGGCCGGCAGAAGTGCCAAGGCCGAAGGTCACCCAGAGTAATCGGCCCGGGGACTCTGGAGTGTAGGCCAATCTTTTGCTGGAGAGCCTGCTTTGGGGACTCCAGTCCTCCAGATGGAGTGCGTGTGTATGAGGCTCCACTGCTGGGGCACTCCATGGGCGCTCAATGTAGGCCCGCGCGCGTGGTCTCGACTACTCACCACTCCACTACACGAAATTAATGTGACCCACTGCACCCCATCGTATCGTCTGTATCGCTATGACGTGCCAGGAAAGGTCGAAGCCGGACCCGGCTGATGGACTGTCGTCCACATCAGATCACCTCCACACCACCGGCAGATTAAAGTGAATAATGAGAGATGGTGACCTCTCTTCGTCGCCTGGATGTTGTTACAGTCACGGTACGAGATACTTGCCCCGCCTGATGAACATGTCAGATCGAAAGCTTGCGGCACTTCAACCTTGCGTATCCCAGTTCCAGCTCACAGTGCATCAGCTACCATCACGCCATCCACTGATCGAGCTTTATCTTCATGCGTCGGGATGCCACCGGCATTCGAAGGTTCGAAGGCATCGGCCTATGCGGCTCAAAAAGACAAGTTGACTGCACTGGTGTAAGTTCTCCAGCACATCTTTCTAGCGTCCTTCCACGGCCTTTCCTGATCGAGGTCAGCCATTCGGTCCTTCTCACGTCCGAAGACGCTGCGAGATCGCCGACAGGCCAATTACGATCATGCTATGCTCGCCGAGGACCTTCTAGCGCGCTCCAGCACAGATGCTCCATGCACGACACTCGATAGACTTCGGTAAACGACGGGTCGAAGTGCGAAAGGTGAACTTTGTGCACAAAGTCGACACTCTAGTCACGTCTGGGTGTGAGATAGTGGATAATACTTCTCCAACTATGAGCGCTAGATGTGCAGGTTCTGGAGTCCCCAGCCAGTCGGTGGGAACTTGGGGAGCCCTAGATGCACGCCGTAACTCACCGGTGCAGACAAGGTCACGAGGACAGGAGTGCAAGGACCTTACCGTGCCGTCTGCGTCACTATTCCTGATAACGGGTCCTGCGTGTTGTGGCGACCACTTGCGATGGTATGACTTATTCTCGATTGCAGTGGAGCAACGAGGCGCTCAACAGCATGGCCTGGGCAAGTGTTCGCGACGCACGAGCAACATGATCACCAAGCATGGGATGTGGATGTGGAGCTAGATGTGCATACTTGAAGAAATCTGCGATTCGTCGACATCGTACCATCATACCCACGTTCTTGGCAACAGCTCTATCGTCGGGTCTTCCCCTTCACCAAGATCGCAGCCCCCTCATTTTCTATCCTCCATCCCTCCTCCCGTAGCGCCTTGCTAACAGCAGGACCCAACTTGCCCTTCCCACCTTCACTATGCGTACCCCGTCCAACCACAATCCTGAATCCGCCACTCCTCTCGCCCACGCCTACACGACCATTGACACGACTCTCACCTAAGCTATACCACCAGCCCTCTACCTTCTCCTGCGCTATTCGCACACCATTCAGCACATCTACACCATGTAGATCGAGCTGCGTGGGGGTCGATTGCCCCGCTGCGAGTTGGTCGGCTGCGGCTGCAGAAGCGGAAGAGCCAAGAGCGCCGTAGTTGCGAGCTTCTTGGCTGTAGTAGGCTGCTGCTCCGCCCATTAGATGATTCGACTTGGCTTTGCGATGGGCGGCGCTGGCTTGGGAGAATGCTGTTGCGCGTGCTGAGGCGTAGGCATTGGCGCGGGTGGCGGCATCGAGGTCGTCTGAAGCGGTGAGGTGTGATGTGCCTGCGGATCGAGACTTCCTGGCATTGCCGCGCGAAGAGTCGTTCTCCGTAAGGAGTGGAGACGCGTATTGTGGTATGATCTGAATGCCACCATTCATGCCACGCGGCTTGGCGGTGAGCGCTTCCGCTAGCTCGTGCGCAAACGACGTAGACGGGTATGACAGTCGCACGATTGTAGCAAGATAATGAGGTGCCACGGAAGGGAAGTCATAGCCCAACTCCCGAGCATACTTTGCGACAGCTGCATCGTCAGATACGATGTGCTTGCTCTCCTCCATCGACATCTTTAGCAATTCGCCGATCGTCCGAGGAATCGATGCACCCTTGTCGTAGTACACGGACGAAACCGTGGCAGTCGCGATGCGTGTTCTAGACGCAATGAAGTCAACGTCCTCTTCAGCCGTCTTCCACTTGTTCGTTGTAGGACCAGGCGAGCCGGAAGGCGAATAGGCAAAAGTGCCATCCCGGATCTCATCAAGACTCCTAACACGTCTGCCCTTGGTTTTGCCCTTACGACCTCGTTTCGTGCCATTTTGGCCTTCGAAGAAAGCGTCCACTCCTTTGACTGCCAGCTTCTTGCCATCCTCGCTGTCTTCTGCTTCGTTAAAATAGACATGATTTAGCAGCTCCTCCATGGTGGCCTGCCACTTCCCATCGCATTTCTTCAGTGTATGCTGGACAGAGTACTTGCTGACACGATCGCTGAAGACATCCTGCAATAGCTTGACTTTCGTTTCCTCGTCCAGTGTTTCCAGATCCTCCGCCGAGCCAAGTGCGACATGCTCATTGTGCCAATGCTCGTCCAGATCAAGCGAGGAGATATCGTTAGACAGGCTTGTAACATCTGTTCCAGTAGTCGTAGTCCCCGCAGTCTCTGGACGCGACTCTGCACGCTTGCTTAGCTCATCGCTGTCATGTGCGCCTGTACCAGACGGATCGAATCCTGCAGCTTCTTCGAGCAATGCAGATTCTTTCAGCTGCTCTAGAATCTCTCGAGCTTGATGTACGCTATCCTCATGTCCTAGGTCGAAGTCCGAGAGAATCGCAGAGAGTAGTGCCGGGTCCAGGGGTGGACAGTAATCGGTTTCCAGTTGTGAGAATGCAGCGTCAGCCATCTTCTATGTCTAGGTATACAGTTCTTGATCCAGGTCTTCGTAGGACAGTCATGCTGTCAGTGCAGCAGGCATTGAGGTTAGGGTGTATGGTTCGCAGGTGTCTAGACATGTATGTTCAGAGATTAAAGTGAAGCAAGTGAGCGACATCTTCATGTGTCGAGAGTGGATTTGTGATGACGTCCAGCAACTTGCGAATCTGCGGACCGTGCGCAGAGGACAATTAAAGGCGAAGGTGGCTTGCAAGATGTATAGGGCAGATGTTGACGTTCAAGGGCAGGTGGATGAGGTAAGTTTGCGGCCTATCGTCTTCTGATGTTGGCGGAACGAATTATGGTATTGTACAAAGCCAGAAACTGCTCGCTGCCGCCAGTGCCAGCTTTCTATCGTGCTTCTGCATCAAGTGGAGTGTAGTATAACATTGTCCTGCCCAAGTAGAGAACCCGCCACGCTATGCAAACGCAGATCAAACGCTCTTGAACATCATCCTTCCCATGTCGGCACGCAGCGACCAGCTCACAGCAATCCGGGCTTATGCCAAAGCAGGTAACCTCCCTTCACTCCCACTCGGCGCACTCTGCTGCGGTGGTGGAGGTGGCATCTCCAGCTTCGTGTTCTCCGCCATCATCCTCTGGAAAGCAATACCCACACCTTCGATCACAGCCAGCAATATCGCACACCCTATCGCACCGTTCCGTATCGCTTTTGGTCCTCCTCTCACAGCCAACGCACCTCCTGTGAAACCTCCTGCGATGATAGCATTCCATGGATCCTCCTTCTTCCGTACACCTTTCACTGCACAGTCGAATGATGAGAACATGCCACCCCAGACGCCGAAGTTGCCTCCTAGCACGGGTGCGCGGGCTTTTATCGCTGTGAGGGCTGTTCGTTCGTATCAGTATCACAGTCGTATGTCCATCCACTACTCTGTATGCGCATACCTCCTATTCTCCGTTCGCCATAGGGACTATTTCTGAAGCCTTTCACACCGTGCCATACAGCTCCTCCTATCGCCTGTCGTCCAATTAGCACCTGCCTTCCATCCTCCATACTTCCGTATACCTACACCCATACAGAACGCACCGCCGAAATCTGATAACGCGACCCATGGACAAGGGTCTCGTGAGTGATCTAGGCCATGCGCTTCACTCATTGCGATAGTGTTGGATGTAATTCAGACCAGATGAAAGGCTGGCAGCGGCGTAAGTGTGATGTGTTTCGTATGCGGTTTTTTCGAATAGATGGTACGGCGAGATCGGGGTACTAAGGCGATGGCAGGGTTGCGATATGGTATGATAGTGGTGCTCCTGTGCATCTTCAACTTTTCCATCATCCGTCTCCCTGTCTCACCCTACCGCGGAACCGTTTCCGTCACCGCAGGCACCAACTCTCGCAGCATTACAAAGTCACGTTCTGTCGCCGCACAAGCAGCTCACCATCTTTGACAACCATGTCTCGCCTCGCTCAGCCCAAGACCTCGCCCGTCATCAAACGTGACGGGCGTATGGGCGGTGGCGCTGGTGGCCCAGATGGTGAGCTGCACAACGACATACGCCGCATGAATCTTGATCAAACACAGAGTACGAATGCTGATCTGGTAGCAACAGAAATATGTCCTGTCTGCAAGTCATCACGATACCTCAACGCGAGCCTCAGGTTCCTAGTCAACCCAGAATGCTATCACAAGATGTGCGAGTCGTGCGTCGACCGCATCTTCTCACATGGTCCGGCACCTTGCCCTATACCGAAGTGTGGTCGAACGCTTCGCAAGCATCGCTTTCGAGAGCAAACATTCGAGGACCTGCGCGTAGAGCGCGAGGTCGACATACGGAAACGAGTAGCAGCTGTATTCAACAAGCGAGAAGAGGACTTCGAAAACCTCCGAGACTACAACGACCATCTGAACGACGTCGAGGACATCACATTTAACCTGATCGAAGGCATCGATGTAGAGGAGACGGAGAAGCGGTTCGAGGCTTACAAGCAAGCAAATTCTCGTGAGATCGAGGAGAATGCACAAATGGCAGCACATGAGAAGCAGTCCTTCACACAGCAGCAAAAGGTCGAACGGCACCAGGCGAAGCAAAGACGTGAAGCCGCTCGGCGGGAAGAAGAAGAGGAACGACGAGAAGCCGAGGAGAATAGGAAAGATGTCCTCAAACGACTTGCTTCGGGTGCAGATGCCGATACTGTGGCCAAGGAAGGTCAGCGAGTGCAGCTGCGAAAGCGCATGGATCGCCAAGCAGCAGCAGAGCGACAAAGACAGCTACAGGCCGCAGAGGACGCCCGCAACAATGGAAGCAGTAACTTCGTGATCAAAGGTCTCAAAGCCAAGACCAAGGCAGAGCCTGAGGAGCCTATCGATCCGTTTGGTGGGCTGCGATTTGTGGACAGCTACTACTCCCTGCAAGACGATTATGTATGGGAGGGTATTCAGGAAGCGAAGAAGGATGTGCGGCAGACTGCTGGCGGGTACGACGTCATGGATTATGCACGACGGTCACTGGTAGCTGCTTTCTCTGGTCTGGGTGTGTTCGTGGCGGACGAGGTCACGCAGAGAGATCAGGTTGGTCAGGATGCTGAGGCTGTGGGGACTGCGAGGGCGGATATCGGAGTGAAGGATATCGGGATGGTTGATGCTGCGTGAGAGTCGTGGTAGAGATGATGTGCTTCTTGCATAGCGAATTTAGCGTGGCGTTGGGAGAAGAGATATCTTATGCCTTGGCAGGTCCAAGACAAGTCCATTCATATGTTCTGTATGCTACCAACGAGTGAGTACAGCCCATCGTATTCCTGTATTCGAGTTTGATGTAATCGCAACCAACAGCACATGATGTTACAGCTGAGATCCTCGTGCGTTCCGAGAGCCCGGCTTTGAACCTCGTACCAAAGCTTTGGCTGACTTCAGAGCTTGCTCTGTTGACAAACATCGTTTCACTTGAGAGTACGACGATTGCAACAGTCGCGTACCCAATCATACTGTGACGACTGCTCCGAATTTATAGATCGTGATTGATCGGATCGGATCTTACGACCTCTCTGCTGACCATAGACACCACGAAATCATGCGCCATCGGCTTCAGCTACAATCATGGCTGATGACACGCCACCGCGCTCAATGTCGCTAATACCTTATCCCAACGACTCTCAAGGGATTGTTCTGTACGCTGACCCTTGCAAACCTACCTTTTCATACCATGTTTGCTCATACGTTGATAGACGCCGAGGCAATGCGATCGTGGTCTACGACACCCTCTCGCAACAGCTCCAGGTCCGTGATGCCACGGCGGAGGATGCTGTCGACCTGACTGAATGCCCTTACTGCCACCGTCCATACGATGATTCACGATCTCGCGGCCGACACGACAATGCTAACGCAGGTGCTGCGAGAGGAAGGACATTCAGCCCTGAGCGACCGTACATGAATCCAGAGTACTTTCGCATGCTAGCTGCGAGCCAAAGAGCTACACCCAATGCCTCTGGAGCGAACACACCAAGCCAACGGCTCTTTCGGCAAGCTGCTTTGAGATCTGGTCGGTCACGTGACGTGAGTGGTGCTCAGGATCCTCCTCCTTCTGGCGCACAGTTTGTTGGTAGCGCGCCTTCCACTGCCAACGCGGAAGGTATTAGTAGTTCCGCTTTTAGCCCTGGATACTTCAAGCAGTTCTTCGTTGAGCAAGGTATCCTTGGTAAAGGCGGCAATGGCGTGGTCATGCTTGTTGAGCACTTCATGGATGGTGTCTCGTTGGGGCAGTTCGCTTGCAAACGCATACCTGTCGGTAACAACCACAGCTGGCTGGAGAAAGTTCTGGTTGAAATCAAATTACTGCAGCGCCTGCCTCACAAGAATCTGGTTCAGTACCATTGGTCATGGCTGGAGGATCATAAGCCCAGTCGCTTTGGCTTAAGTATACCTTGTTTGTGGATCTTGCAAGAATACTGCAATGGCGGTGATCTACATAATCATGTTCTTGGACCAAGGGAGGATGAATCTACGGCGGAGACGTTGAAGGCGAAGGCAAGAAGGAAATCGAAAGGAGAAGCTGAGCCACCCAAGAACTTGCGAGGGTTGAGCAGACTGACTTTCGAGGAGATCTTTTCCTTCTTCAAAGACATCACCTCCGGCTTGCACCACCTACACAGCAAAGGCTATGTACACCGCGATCTCAAGCCCTCCAATTGTCTACTACAGCACGACGGTGGCAAGATAAGAGTCTTGATCTCAGACTTTGGTGAGGTACAAGCTGCAGATGCGAAACGTGGATCGACAGGCGCGACAGGTACGATCTCGTACTGTGCGCCAGAAGTGCTCTGCCAGAGAGCCGACGGTACTTTCGGCAACTTCAGTACCAAGTCAGACATCTTCTCCTTGGGCATGATTGTCTACTTCATGTGCTTTGGTCGACTACCATACAGTAATGCGGACGACATTAACGAGGAGAATGAAGATCTGGACGAGTTGAAGGCAGAGATTGGCCAGTGGCGTGGCTTTGACTATGAGACTCGCGCTCGACCTGACTTGCCTGAACAATTGTACAGGTTCTTGAGACAGCTGCTGAGCGTTGAGCCGGATGAGCGGCCAAGCACGGGGGACATTCTGAGGAGGATAATCGAGAGTGGGGGAAACGTCGACGAGGTAGGCATAGACGACTCGACATCGCGCATGTCGTCCTTCGACTCACCTTCTCATCGACCCTCGCCTCCTGGTCGTAAGCAGTCAGCAGTGCTCAGCAGACCCGGCCTATCGTCGTTAGGACGCCAGCGATCAGGAACACAAGAAGTCGCACGCTCAAGAAGTCCGATCAAGACCAGCGCTGAAAGTCACAGCGGAAGCAATAGTAGGCCTTTGAGTCCAGACGACGGCGCAATCACAGTACGACCGCGCAAAGTCGAGCTTCCACCGAACGGACGAGTGCCTACACCACAACACAGTCCACGGCTGATGCTACCGCCGCCACCAGAGCGACCAGTCACAACCTGGCTTGTAAGAACAATGCGCCGGCCGGAGAGTACCATCGGCTTTCGAGTTGTGCTGTTCGTGCTCAAGCTGCTCATTCTGTTCTTGCCATGCTCGCCGTATGCGGCTAATGCTTGGATCTTGTGGCCGGCCATTGCGGTCGCAACTCTCGATCTGGGCGTGATGTTTTTCGATTTGCGGCGATCTCTTCTCCTTCTCGGTTTACATCTGGCAGCTGTATATGCTGCTTCACGATCGGGATACCAATGCGAAAGTCCTTCTGTGGTTTGGAAGGATTTGTGAGCTGTTTTGTCCATTTGGCAAGGCGTTCGGAACGTTGGTGCATGCCGCTATGGCTACTCGGGTTTTCTCTACACGTACAATCCTCCATCAGATCCCAAAAGCAAGCAAATACCAAGACTCGATCCCGAATTCTTGCGTGTCACAACAATCTCTTATCGCCTTGGCTCGTAGGGACATCTCAAGGATTTCGCGTAACCACTGCACTAGTGTCACGCTAACCAAAATTTAACTTCGCTAAAGACATCATCTCGCATCTCTCTTATCTCGTAGGCTGGGACAATGACCTTTTCGAGCCCGTTCTCCAGCCTCGGGGGCCTGACGCAGGAACGACTCCATGTGCTTTGATGAGCTAACGCAGGCCGAGTGTTTGTCGGAGGCGACCGCTGGATCGAACGGAAGACTATCGTACTGTAGCGCGAGAGCGACACCAGACGGAATATAGACTCGTGCTACCCAGGTGAGTTGGCGTCCTCTTTTCCTTGCCAGTATTCGAGTGTCGTGTGCTCTCGTGTCTCTTTCATATCACATCCCACTCACCATGAGATACTCCACGTCTTCCATCGCGGCCACGGCCCTGCTACTCTCCACAGCGTGTGCGACTCTCGTACCAGCCAAGGTACAAGAAAGAGCTATCGAATGGGTGGTCAAGCCTAAAATGTTCATCATCAGTATGTTCGAGCCTGAGGGAGACGCATGGTATGGCATTTCGGACTTCGATGTCCTGGCCATGAACATCACCGTGCCTGGCTTCTCCCCAGAGTACCCGGACGCACATTGCACTGCCGATGGAGACGTCTGCCAGCTCACGACTGGAGAATCCGAGATCAATGCCGCTACGACGATTGCTTCGCTCGTGCGCTATCCTCGATTCGACCTTACCAGCACTTATTTCATGGTTGCTGGTATTGCTGGCGTCAACCCGGAAGTTGCCACAATCTGTGGTGTTACCTTCGCCCGCTATGCCGTGCAAGTTGCTTTGCAATACGAGTTTTCTCAATTCGAGATCCCGACGAACTTCACCAGCGGATATATTCCTCTTGGCTCGCACTCCGCTGATGAATATCCCACTTCGATCTACGGCACCGAAGTGTTCGAGCTCAATCAGAACTTGCAGAAAGTCGCAGCCAACTTTGCTCGCAAGGCGACACTGAACGACAGCGATGACGCTATCACCTACCGAGCGAACTATGCTTCCACTCCTGCCTACACCGCCGGTGCTCAGCCACCATCAGTTATCGAGTGTGATGTAGCAACCAGTGACGTCTACTACTCTGGCTCCATTCTTGGCACAGCGTTTGGCAACTACACAACTCTGGTCACTAACGGCACAGGCGTCTACTGCACCACTGCCCAGGAGGACAATGCTACTCTCGAAGCCCTCCTTAGAGCTGCCGTAAACAGACTTGTCGACTTTAGCCGAATCATCGTCATGAGGACCGCCAGCGATTTTGACCGGCCATGGACTGGCGAGGCAGCCACGACGAACCTGTGGTGGGCTGAACAGGGCGCATTCGAGCCTTCGATTGCGAACATCTACTTGGCTGGTGTAGAAGTTGTTAATGGGATCTTGGATGGTTGGAATGGGACCTACGCTGCTGGTGTCAATGCCACGAATTATATTGGTAGGCTCCGCCGGTCCGATATATGGTGTGTTGTGTTCTGTGCTGACTTGAATCGTAGGTGACATTTTCGGCACTCTTGGAGGCGATCCAGACTTCGGACCATATACTTACAACAACAATCCGGTGAAGAGGGATATCAGGGCGAAGAGGGATATCAGGGTGAAGAGGAATACCCCGATCAAGATCATGAAGTGATGATGATAAAGCAATGATGTGGAGGAGATAGCTTGATACCAAGGAGAGCTAGCTAAAGAACACGCATGTACAGCTCGAACATCATATATCTGCCCCGCTACGTGTACATGTACCATCGTAGCCTTGTGCATATCTCAGCTGATGGCCCGATTCTTTCTCCAATAGCTGGCTGTGCCTTACCAACTCTTATAGATCAGCTACAAGACCTCAAAATCAATCCACAAATGCTCAATGCAGCGATGGCAAGGCCTTCCCTCAAGACATCCGGACCTTCCACGCGCTCTATCGCTGAGCTTGATCCTTCATGATCGCCAAATGAGCTTCACGATATGCCCTACGCTGTTCTAATCCTGCGAACGTGGTAGCGCACTGGCCAGTCAGCATCCTGTTCCACTACTGTGCTTGGTCGCAGGCTAAGACATACTGAAGGGCTAATAAGGACGGAAAGCCTCTGGCATATTGCTCGTGAGGAAAGACCACCTCCACCAGGTCAAGCATGCAGCACCTCATCATAGCCGAATTCTAACCCAGCAAGTCCGCGAACGTGGTTGGAAGCGACGCCGGCCGTCTATTGAGTCAAAGAGTTACTGATCAAGACAATTCCTTCCATCGTTGAGCGTCGCCAGCTCTGCATTACACGGATTCATCTGTCCCGCAACACCATTCGAGGTGATTGTGAACCTGTGGACAAGCACCATATCCCAACCATTCGCCTTTACCTCGGACACGAAAATTCTGATACACTAAGCGATGAAAGGGTTCATCCAGACTTGAAAGGACATGCTGACAGATTCATGGCGTTCTAGCAGCATCAAGTACTCAGAGTGCATCGCCTGAACTTTCAGTATTGCTTCCCAATGGTGGAGATGTCCGAGGCGGTAGCTAGCCAGGAGCTCTTGCTCCAGTATCTTGATCGTCTTCTTGGCAACTGGTCGTTGGGTGTTGATCCAGGCTAGACGTTCGCTGATGGTGGTGTAGATCGCGATCTGGATTGCCTCGTCTCGTAGCGGAGCTGTACAGAGTGCCGCCAAGAGCAGGATCGTAACGGTAATAAGAATGATCAGAAGCATGTCGGGCAATGCAATAGTGCTGACGAATCCTCTGCTCAAGATTAGCCTCCCGCCCACCATTCAAGTATGTGGCTTCGAGGACCTAGATTTGAGGTGTGCTATAGTTCCTGCCGCTGAGATTCTGGGAATAGCTGCTCAGGTCGTGCATAAGAGGTCTATACTTATGAGCGTCTCATGCACTGCTGTTTGTTTGCACGGCAGCTGCAAACGAAGGAGTGGGTGGAGCCGCATTTCCCGTGGTCAACCGCACGGGATCCTTTTGCATATTGCCGGCATGAGTAGTGAGCGCTCTGATATGCGCTACCACGAGCTCGTCCGGACACGAGCGATTTCGTCGTTGTTGCCATGTATACTGCTATCTTTGGCAGCACGCTCGCGAGATATAGCCATCTCGATAGACACTCAAGCATGCTAAAATCAATCACACATTGCTTCACTGATGATCTGTCCCTGCAGAAGCAACTTGATGCAAGCGTCACCGTCATTCGTGCGATGGAGGGGACCGATGAGGAATTTGGAGATCTTCTCGTCGGCATTCAAGGCGAATGCCATGGTACTATCTACGCAGATAGAGTCGCTGCAAGACTCTTGTTCCACAACCTGATAACCTAGCTTTCGTGGGACATACATCGTCGGTCTGAGCAGCAACCCTCGTCTGCATCTTCGTCTTCGTCTTCGTCATGGTCATGGTCATGGTCATGGTCATCGTCACCTTCTGCCATGTCCTGCGCCTGAGAATATCCGTACGAGGATTGGATAGAGTCTCTGTCGTGGAGAGCATGGGGTGTGGTACTCGACGATGAATCGGCCTCAGAAGATCTCGATGCTAGTTTTACCCTTCCACTGACCAAGAAAGTCCGTCACTTCCACTGACTTGCGCCTCGATAGCCAGCTGAAAACTTTGAGCGGCGGAGACATGGCTCAGTCTAGCAGGTTCAGGACATGCAGCCTTGCCGCAGCTGGATTGAGGGCACGCGATCATGGGGGAGAGGTTCCGTAGGGTGACACCAGTTCCTCATGTCACTGAGTGTCTCATCGGGCTTAAACCGGTCTTGATGACAGACGAACCCTATGATGGTCTGTGTTGTTCAGGAGTACAAGAGACAATCAATGTTTCTTGCTTGGCCAATTCATGCATGACTCAGCAACGGCCAATGGCCCGCCACCAAAAAGTACCCCACTACACGTCGGTCAATTTTGTTGCTGTTGACTCAGATATTATAGCTTGGTCTGTATCTCTTTTCTGGTGTGAATTCTGTCATAAGTGTATACCGCGATGGCTTCTCCTCAAGGCGCCGCGCAGGCTGTCAAGGACACTGTCCAACAGGTGGCTGACAAAGTGCAAGAGATGACAACGACAGACAACGCTGCGGCATCCGACAATGCTACTGCACCAAACCTGTTACTGGATGAGGTGACGGGTGAGCATGTGTCCAAGACCGAGCTGAAGAAGAGGCAGAAGCAGAGAGAGAAGGAGAAGGCCAAGGCGGAAAAGGAGTCGACGAGACAGGCTCCCCCACCACCGAAGCGCAAGGCTGGCCCATCAGAAGAAGACTTGAACCCAAATGTGAGTCGAGTGAATGGAAAGAGTCATGGGATGAGTAGCATATATACTCTCCCTCACATGCAACGTGTATGCCTTGGTCTTGCTACGAGAGACTGACAATGGCCCAGCAATACTTCGAGATCCGGTCTCGTGCCATCAAACGCATGAAGGAGACCAACCAGCCAAGCAATCCGTTCCCGCACAAGTTCCACGTCACGTATGATCTGGCCAACTTCGAGGACGAGTACAAACACCTCAAGAAGGGCGAGCTCGTAGAAGATAAGCAAATCAATGTCGCCGCTCGCATCTACAACATCCGAGCATCAGGCGAGAACCTTCGCTTCTACGAGGTTGGTGTCAATGGCGCTTTCCTTCAGATTATGGCTCAGAACGAGAAGAGTACGAGCAAGCTGTCGTTCCCAGATCAACACGACCATATCCGACGAGGAGACTGGATTGGTGTTACTGGCTTCCCAGGTCGAACGAGTCCGAAGAGGGAGGACAATCCTGGTGAGCTCTCTGTGTTTGCTCAGGAGGTCATCCTACTCTCGCCATGCCTACACCAGATCCCGTCTGAACATTACGGCTTCAAAGACCAAGAAGAGCGACACCGTAATCGCCACCTCGACCTCATCATGAACAAGTCAACCCGCAACACGCTCCTCGCTCGCTCCAAGATCGTCAAGTACATTCGAACTTACTTCGACAGCAACGGCTTTTTCGAGATGGAAACACCTATCTTGATGAAGAATCCTGGCGGCGCCACCGCCAAGCCCTTCTACACACATCACAACGACCTGAACATGAACCTCGCCCTCCGTATTGCCACTGAGCTACCGCTCAAGCAACTTGTCGTCGGTGGTCTGACCAAAGTCTACGAAGTAGGCCGACTCTTCCGCAACGAGGGCATCGATCTCACGCACAACCCGGAGTTCACGACCTGCGAATACTACGAAGCCTTCGCTGACGTCTACGACGTCATGGACCGCACAGAAGAACTAGTAGAAGGCATGGTCAAGCACATCTGCGGCTCCCTCCAAACCAAGTACCATACTCAAACAGGCGAAGAATACAACGTTGACTGGTCGCGGCCTTGGAAACGCGTAGAGATGATCCCCGCTCTCGAAGAAGCCTGCGGCGAGAAGTTTCCACCCGGCGACCAACTCCATACGGACGAGACAAATCAATTCCTCAAACGCATGCTCAAGAAGACCGGCGTCGAGTGCACGCCTCCTCTCACCAACACCCGCATAATCGACAAGATGGTCGGCGAGTTTATTGAAGAAAAATGCATCAACCCAACCTACATCGTCGGACACCCCCAAGTGATGTCCCCACTAGCCAAATACCACCGCGAGACTCCCGGCATTTGCGAACGCTTCGAAGCCTTCGTATGCAAAAAGGAAATCGTGAACGCTTACACCGAACTCAACGACCCCTTTGACCAGCGTCTGCGATTCGAGGAGCAGGCCCGTCAGAAGGCGCAGGGCGATGATGAGGCGCAAGTTCTCGATGAGGGATTCTTGACTGCGATGGAGTACGGGTTGCCGCCTACAGGGGGTTGGGGTATGGGCATCGATCGGATGGTTATGTTTTTGACGGACAACTATTCGATTAAGGAGGTGCTTACATTTCCTTTTATGAAGGATGCGGAGGTGCCGTCTAAGCCGAAGGCGGCGGAGGTTGTGGGGGTGGAGCCTATGGTTGTTGAGGGGACGACGCATAAGTAGAGGGATTGTGAGGGAGGGTGTGCGTGTCTCGGGATAAGGATAGGTGATGGTCATCGTGCCAAGCACGTGGGCTCACATACCAAGTGAATGCATGACTTGTCCGATACTCTGTGAGGAAAGCCGTATCTGAATGATCTGTGGTCTGCCTAAGGGCATGGCGGTCTGAGAGTTGAAGATGTTTATGTATGTGGGGCAGTTGTTGCCTACAGCATAGGTATGGCTGAGAAAGATTGTTCTACTGGGGCAGTCCACGTAGAGTCTAGTCCGAGGCTTAGCACAAAAGTCGATTTCGATTTCGATTCCAATCTCAGAGGCCTGGCCCACACATATGATCTGGGGTCTGACAATACTCCACCTTGTACATCCAACAGTGGAAACCTACACTGCAGTGTTCTATTTCAGCTCCAGACGCATCTAGACTGCTAATGGCGTATGCACAGCATGCACGTCGGCCTCAATGCCACGGCTGGGGCCACGGGCTGCATGGCGCAGGCAGTGGGGCTGAGCCGCTATCCGATGTCGAGAGACCGTGTCACTTCACCGGATCCATCTGTAGCGTCTGATTGAGAGTTCTGAGGATATGGGCTGATACTGATACAATGAACGTCAATCGTTATGGTTGGCGGACGACGTTTGACAATAGACCACGGCAGCTTCAAGAGTCTGGGCTGGATTATTGGTATACAAGATACCGGCGCGAGGGACTCAAAGAGAAGACACCACCGCCATATAGGTCTTTAAAGCATTCGAATTCGTGCAGGCTGTTCTACTTGCAAGCGGGTATTTTCGAGGATCCACTGCAGGGCAAACTCGTAGAGCATCGATTGCATACAACGCTTGCATATGATGCATTGTCATATACCTGGGGTGACTCGCGCGATTGCAAGGATATATACGTCAGGGAGCAAACAGATGTCGACGATGACCGGAGATTTGCTAGATGTATGGCCGTTTATGGCCCTGCTGGCCATCAGTTCAACGGCGGCGGCGCCATCATTAGCCACGATGTCAATGCTGGAATGTCCGATCTCCGAGGACCCGATGGGTGCAGTACGACTGGCGACACTACCGAACAAGACGTGGGAGGGATGTCGCAGGAAAGTACGGACTGGGGAACCAGATGTTCACCAGTCGCGTCCGCCGTTCCCGTGACGATCAACTTGTACAATGCTCTTCAACGTTTGCGATTACCTAATGCCGGCCCTTGGCTATGGATAGATGCCATCTGTGTCAATCAGCGGAATCGGTTAGAGTGAGAGAAACAAGTCTTGTTGATGGGGAGGATCTTTCGCACAGCGAAACGTGTCATTGTATGGCTAGGCGAGCCGCGACGTCTAGTCCCCAAGTTGGATCAGGCACCGAGCAAGCCAGCCTATTCTCGCCTAAAGCGCTCTCCTGAGTGTCTAAGCTCGGCGCTCGAATCTGCTCTGGCAATTAAGCAGCCACCTTGGTGGCAGCGAGCGTGGACAGTTCAAGAATACACTCTCGCCTACGAAAGACCCATGTTTGTTTGCGGACCATGCAATTTCTCGATCGAATCGTTAGCGGATTTGCTACAAGTCCGGGTCACCGGTGACCTAGCTAGCCTTCAAAAGGCTGTGACCCGGCTCGAGGGCTTGAGAAATCAGGCGGAGAGGCTGAGAGAATTGGACACTTACGATGTCTTCTGCTTGGTCGAGCTGCACGATATCATGTGCAACGTGTCGTCTACCGATCCTCGCGACAAGGTTTATGGCATGCTTGGGCTGATGAAGAAGTCGCTAGCGGAGGCAATTAAAGTCGACTATATCGCGGGCACTGAACGTGTATATGCGCAGGCGATGTACGCACAGATATCGTCGGACAGGACATTGCGGGTACTCTGCTTCGCGAGACCCTGGCGAACGAAGCAAGACAGAGCGTCTTGGCATATGCAGATCAATGGCGTAAGTCCCAGGCCAATAGACACCAGGCCTTTCCTCGTTCACGTCATCGGAGATAGTGCGCCCATCCATGCTGTCAGCCCTTTTGCAACACAGCACTGGGAAATGAGTCCCTGCATGCGATTCCTGACCATCATTGGACGATTTGTACTTAAGGTTTGCAGGAGCCTGCAGTTCACGTGGGCGGAGGGCTACGAGAGTTTCCAGGCATCGCCAAAGCACAAATCGGAAAACGCCAGCGGACTGCTACGGGAAGAGATATACAACGCATTCATGGCTACAAGCGAGACACCTTTGCACCTCGATAAGCCCGTTTGGAAATATCTAATGGCTTGGAATGCGGAATTCACGGAAGACAATCCAACAGATTTCGCTGCTAGAGTCTCATCGTGGCTAAAGTACATTAGCCAGTTCCTTGGGTTCGCACATGTCCAGGGACTGGACGTAGAGCCAGCCAAGGCACCTGGTGAGTTGATTACGTTGTGCTAATTGATAGACAAGTGACAACTGAAGTGTGATGCGACTATGTTCTGCATCGGCCAGTACTCCACAAGCCCAAATCTTGCACCGGCAGTCCGGCAATGACCCTGTGCTATGACGGCAAACCGATATGTCGAAGACGCACTCATTTTCCGGCGTTTCCTCCCGATCGAACATCGAATTTTCCTTGTGTGGAGTAAGACAATACTCGACCTTGTGAGCCTCTGCTTCGATATCTACAAACTGTAGCGCCATTCGAGTCGTTGGCCGTGATAGTCGAACCTAAATTGAAAGCGGCTCCGTGCTCGCAGACACGACTCCAACCCCTGGATTCCATTCACTTCTGAGAATCGCCACACCCTCCTGGGTACGAGGCTACAGACTTAGCCCCGTCCCAAGCTCAGCGCCACGGTCCTCATCGCTGCAGCAAGATATTGCTTGCGAAAGGGGTGTAGCGGTCCAGGCTGATGGCTCTGTATCGCCATCCCAACTTTTCTTGTTGTTTGATATGGTCGAACGTGCCGCAGTGGATAGAGCATGCCGTACAGTCGAACCAGAGATGATTATCAGAATTGCAATGGAGACAGCGATCGGGGACATCTTGCGGTCGGGAGGTAGTGCTGGCGGCAGATGGTTTCGCACCGGCCATGTCGTTCCTTGTCTTGGTACTGGACATGACGGTTTGGGTGTGCTCCAGCTGAATCGAGAGCTGGAACGGTTGGAGCTCACTTGACACTACGATACTTCCGGGGCGGTAATATGCGTTGAACGCTTGTTGCTCCTTGGATGTCTCTCGTCGGAGCGTAATTGGAGGTTTTATTCTCCTGTGCGTAGCCGGGAACCTTTGAGAAGAGTAAGGACATGATATCCTCGGTTGTATTTGAGTATTCGTGTTTCGAGTCTCATTGTGTCTGGCAGCATGGTGACGTTCGGTCCAAGATTCACTGTCCGCTCGTGAAGAATAATGCCCTGAACTTGCATTCGCAGAACGAACAGTCATCCGCGAAAGAAGACATGCTAATTCGGTGTGATCTTTGCGGAAAACTTGTCCACTTGGTTGCAGCATTCTTCGACTGGAGCTTCCCAAGGCGACGAGGCACAAGGACGCAGATGTCACAGTTCACGAAGCAATGTCATTTATTGTCGAACTACCATATCCGCTTAGCGGCCATAGTATACCTATCCACATTCTCCAGCTTATCACCCTTCTCTCGGCTCTGCTTCCTACCTCTCTGTTCCTTCTCTCTCATAGCCTTCAAACCATCTGCATCATCCGCATAGATCCACTCCCGCTTGCTTTCATCAACTTCCGTCATCGCTCCCACACCTGCACGTTTTCCGTCCGCTATGCTGGTGACTTGGCGCTCACGCTCTTTCATTCCTTGGTAACGCTTCCGGGCGTACGTGAGGAGCAGCATGCCAAGGAGAAGCTTGAATGCCAGCAAGACCAGATAGAGGGCAAGGAAGAATGTGAGCATAGTGGCGAGTGCTATTACGTCGTCCAAGCTCCACCAGCTGAACGTGCTGGCACTTTGGCTGCCGGCACCAAATGTCGACCTACCAAGAGCATGTCGGAAGATGCGGTCAATGTGTTGCAATGCCGCAGTAGTGGCAGGGCTTGTGGAGCTGGCCTCATTCTCCAGGCTGACTGCAGTCGCCATCGACGGTATAGGTGGTGGTACATGGGTAGCCAGGAACATGTGGTATGTCTGCACGCAAGCACGGATAAAAAGACAGCTTAGTGGGATTACAGGCAAACCAAGTCGCTTTGTGAGGTTCTGATCGGAAAAGGCATGGGTATAGTAGTCTTTAGCAAGCACGTCCAGGAAGCGATTGTAGATGTTTGGCTTTGTGTTGTTGAACTTGCCGATATATGCATGCTTGCACCAATCTACGAGAGCTTCTGAGCCGAGCACGATCAGAAACGGACCAAGAAGCTCGCCACTCCATTTCGGCAGTAGAGTAAAAGCGCGCGGTATGGCAAAGCCTGACGTGAGAGGTAGGCCTGTCGCGTTGCCACCAAGACTCCCAGTCGATGTAGCTGCTCCGCCAAATCCACCCGTCATACTGATGCCCAGTCCACCAAGCTCTACCACATTGCGGAGTGCTATGATGAGCAGCATAAGCCACAACTGAAAGCGTTCGACGATATCGGCACAAGTGAGCTGAAAGAGATTCTCTTTCTCAATCTTCTTGAACACTGTGCCTTTGATCTCGACAAATTGATTGCTCATCAGAAGTGTGAGCAAGGCATTTGAGTAGCTGTTCACTGCCACGTTGAGGGTGACGACTTGATAGAACAGTGCCGTCGAATGCAGGACAGTGTAAATGAGTGCCAGCGTCCACAGCCAGAGCGGTCGTATGATCTTACTGCGACCGTTCTCATTGCGTTCCAGAGTTTCCTTGCTAAAAAGGCATTCAAGTATGTCCTGGCCGAGTGCGCTGAAGAGCCGATCGAAGACCTCGAGCACATTGTAGATGACGTAAAGCTTGATGGCGGACTGACCACGGATGCTGTGGTACATACGACTGGCGTCAAACCACATCAAGAAAAAGCACGAAGCAGCAATCAGTAAACCTTGTAGTAGATCTGCTTTATGGTCGGGCAGAAGGGCGGATGGTACTGAGCGACTCCGGCGATGACGAAAGCCTGTCCCAGACTTACGACCCTTTGTGTTGACGTCGCTGAAGGACGCATGTCCGTCGAGCCTCGGGGCGGCATGAGAGTTCAAGCTGGGAATCGATGGCCTTCGCGAACCCTCATCAGTAACCAAAGATGGTCGGCGAGAGTCGGACACCGAGCTCTGTCTTCTACGCTGCCACACTCTGCCAAGGCCGGAATACACGAATGATGCAAGGTACTGCACTTCCCTCAGCGACGTCCGGAGCCACCACTGTATCAGCACTGTGAGTGCTTTCAGGAAGCGCAGTGGCAGGATGGTGAAGGTGAACAGCCAAGCATCTAAACATGCCACAGTCCCAAAGCACAAGACCTGTTCAAGATTTGGTGGCAAGAGCAGGAAATTAAGCAGGCGCACAAATTTCGCCTGAGATGACTCGTATGGGAGCTCGTTGGCTGTCGAGCGGTGTATGTACAATGCGGACGGCCGGTCTGGCGCAAGCTCAAGTTGCAGGTAGGTAGGTAGAGACATAGGCGGTACAGGCAGCAAAGCAGGCATTGGTGAGTACAGCGTGTCTGGTTTAGGTGAGGGCTTTGCACTATGCCGTGATGCATGACCATCTTCATCGGCGGTCCTGAGCAACGGCAGGTCCGGCTTGTGTTTGTTGACCTTAGGAGTGGATTGCTTCCGCGGCATCAGCGGAGACGAGGCTGAACGCGTAGGATTGCGTGGCCTGGTACCCGTGAGTGCGCCAGGTGTGGCTTCAACACTCGAAAGCCCTATCTTGCCATGTAATCCGACATCTGCCGCCGACTCGCTGGTTGAGGCCTTTGTAGCGGAGTCCGGAAGGGTCGATGGTGGTTGTAGAGAGTGTGGAACACCATTAATTTCCAGTCCATTAGCCAGGTCCGGGATGTCTTCAAGAGTTTGAGATACTGGACGGACTGGCAGAGACTCCGGCGATGTCACAAGGTCATCAAGCTGGCGGGGAGACAGCTTCAGCGCCTTGGCGTTTTCGTTCTGCACATCCTTGGGCGGCAGTTCTGGCGTGTCCACGACCTTTTTGCTGGTGTCCTGGCTCTGCCCATTGCCGTTCTCCAGTATCCCATTCGCGGGAGGCACAGACTCGCTGCCATGTGATTGCGTATGACCGATCAATTTCGCATCTAGGCCATCGCAGCGATTCTCCCTGTTCTCATCATGCTCATCGATGGGCGAGAGTGCGGGAGTGGGCAGCTGTGCCACGCCGGCACCTGACCGTCCTTCTTCGCCAATTATCGCTGCGTCCACCGCCATCTCTTGAACATCCCGCATCATCCATAGCGAAGACCGATATCGAAAGCGCGATGGTGGAGGTTCTCAGCGTGGAAGTCGTGGTTGGTACGTGTCGTCTAACCCCAGTCCAAACATGCGGCCGCCTTTCCGCTTTCGGCGATTGCCTCTTCAATCACGAGCTCATGGCCAACGATAACTGTGAATCATGCTCTGTACCGCTAGACAAATCCCTCTCGGCGCTTCTGCATAATTACATTGCGGTGTCCAGAGTTCTTGTTTACCACACTACGGAGATCCCGTCGGCGGGATCATCACATCGGCCGTACCTTCCTAATCGAGTGGACAACGTATGCTTCGGGTGCCTGACTAGGTAGCTGTGGGAATATAAGCATGTGAAAGTCGCTCTATTAGTATCGTATTGTCAAAAGAACCCTTATCACACACGCAACATGTCTGGCTACGATGGTAAACACCACAAATTCGCCTTTACAATGCCATCGCTAAGCTATTATCACAGTCGAACACAGCATCCCGGCTGAGAAGAAAGAACAGCCCCGCCGCCGCCCAGATCTATCAACCTTCTTCGGCACTCTCGACCTAGTAGACACATCCGGAGATCGCCAACCTCAGAACGAACATGCACTACCACTCCCACGTGACATCTCGGCAGCCTTCAGGAACCTCGCCAATGCCTTCGATATGATGCGTGGAGGTGCTGCCACGGCCCACGAGCAAGGACACAATGAGCTGCTTGAGCAGCTGGTCGAGAGTTTGATGCAGAGTGCCGAGCACCCACCTAGTGAAGTGCAGGGAGTGAGCGATGAGTTTATTGAGCAGTTGGAGAGGATACCGAAGAAGAGTCTGAAGGAGGATATGAGTTGTCCTATCTGCAGTAACCCGTTTTTGGAAGGTGCGTGGTTCGAATCATGTACGATGTCCTGGTGTTGACGATATTTAGATACGCACCCTCTCGTCGTCCGTCTACCATGCCACAAGGACCATCTCTTCGACCTTGAATGCATACAACCTTGGCTGAAGCTCAATCCGACATGCCCGCTTGACAGACAGGTCCTTGTCAAGAAGAAGCCACCACCTCCTCCGCCAGCAGACGACGAGGATGGCGAGTATGATGACATGTATGCATGAGTGAGCGACCTAAGCGGGCACTTCAAACTCCGATTTAGACTCGAGCTCTGCTTCATGTTGGTATTCGTCAATGAGTGGAGCACAGACGGCAATGATAGCTCCTGGAATGCAAGTCATCGTGCTGATGGTACGCACGCGCAGGTGTGTCAGGGGACCATGCCGTCATCTGCCACTCCTTACGGCGTGCTTCAGACTCGTGGCAATTGCGCTTGAACGCTTGCACAAGAATGCGAAGCAGATCTTTGGGTGCCGCTTCTGATTGTAGGTCGGCGCAGACTTCCTCTACATCAGATCGACTCGAGTAGTAGTCGATGAGTAGGCGACGCATCCCCGAGCCCTCCATGGTGGCATTTCAGGTTCGGAACACGATTGAACGACCAGGATGCTCGCCAAGGGCAAGCTGAAACTTGAGGTAGTCGATAGCCTTGTTGGCCGCATCCAAGTCGCCCAGCTTCTTGGCCAGTATGTACAATTCGAACAAATCATCGCACTCGATCTGTCCTTCTGTGTACTCGAGGATGCGCAACGAACCAGAGTGAGCACTGCTGATGTACTGATTGACGACTTGGGGCGAGTCATCTGCCAGAACGATTTCAGAGCTACATCGAAGAACGGTGCGTGGGAACAATTGATGTCCGTATGTACAATGAACCTTGCGCGCTCTTTGCCCACCTGTTGCCAGTCAGTCATGAGCACTGTTGCCATGAAGCCGATCGAAAACTTACTAGCACTTCGATGTCGTTCATGTAGCTCAGTCGTGCACGCTCATGAGGCGTTGAGTCGCCACCGCCATTTGCCATGGCAGCTGCGTCGAGTGTTGGTTGCAGTGACCGCGGTTATCACTGAAACTCTCAAGCCAAGAGACCTTGAATATTCTAGAGAATGGAGCACGGGCTGCAAGCAAGTCACATGAAAGGAAGGTGCGGTTGCATCTCTCCTTCCTCATATTAGTCTACCGGAGCGTCCCGGAGAGTGCTCCGTCAAGCGCTTCGTATGATGTCGATCTTCGAGTCCAGTTCCAGTGTACGCCAACATACACCCGCAAATCCGAGAGCATACATCCAAACACAAAGCCTCTGCACAATCCCACCTTGCCTCTTCCCCCAAAGCCACTTCTCCACCAATATACCAGCTCCAAACCCCACGAACAAAACCCAAACCTCAAATCCGAGCAGCCAAGGCCTCGTACACAACGGCGCCGCAGCCCATCCATGCCAAATGCCAGTCAAACAGAAGACAGCCAAGACAGCCTGAGCCCTACTGCCGCCGAACTTCCTCACAGGCATATAAGCAAGCGATTGCAGGAACGGCGAAGCGGCACCTTGCCAGTGTGTGCCCCAGAAATCAGCCAATGTAGCCGCTGAGAAAGGTAGTAAGAATTCTGGCTCCGAGTGGTCGTAGTGGAAAGTCTTGTGCACTAGTTCGAGAGCATGCTGGATAAGCATGAGTAGGCATGTGGCTTTGAGACCGGCAATGGGAAGGTAGTATGTTGCAGTTGGTAGGAGGAACAGTGGTCCGATTGTCCAGAGCAGCTTATACCAGAAGGGTTTGGCGTGGATTTCTGCTCGGCCTCTTTGGGTGACGGCGATGTCGAAGCTGTGGTAGCGCATTTCAGTTAGAAGTGACCAGCTATAGAGTGTGAGGTCCCAGGCCGTGGTCATGGGGCCAGGTTCCAGAGAGGTGCCGTTGCGGATGAGTCTTGTGGGCGGTTCATCTCGTTTCGTCAAGCTGAGATCGAGGATTTTGCAGGCGTAGAAGAAGCACATGGCTCGTAGCCCGGCTTGATTGAGTGGTGCAGCATCGTATGCTGTGAAAGGGATGGCTAGCGTGACGATGGCAGACAAGACGCCGAAATCTGTTATCATGCTTGTGGCGTGGTCGTCATCCATGTTGCTTTGCTTGACATCTTTGCGGTAGGGTGGTAATGTTCTGCGCTTATTGGCCAAAAGGGCCAGGGTCCCAACATGAGTGAGTATAGCCAGGAGCAGAAGTGGCAGGAAAAGCCAGAAATTCTCGAGCATGCCGGCCATCCAATGTGGAGAGTGATTTGCTGTCGTCCAGATGATGGCTTATGCAATGACCGTCTCGGTCATGCTCAAGGCTCCGTGGCAGCGGCAAAACATCCCATCGCATCCTCCATGGCGTCTCACTGTTACGAACGCAGCAACAAGTTTGAGGCGGAAGCAGATGGAGAATGAGACGAGGCTGGAGGGTGAAGAATGATGGTTACACGTGGGCGTCATTGTGCATGAGATCGCGTTTCAGGAACGAACAGCGCATCCCGCACTTTGGTGAAGTTCATCCCACTCAACAGCCATTGAACAAGCAAATAACAACAACACCACTAATCGACTACTACAACCACCCGCATAACATATCCGGATCTCAATCATGGACCGTCCCAACAAGCCGTCGGCTATCAGCCCAGCTGGAGGTGCCCCCAAACCCAGCGTTCACACCGAGCAAGGGAAAGTCATTGCTTCTCTGCCAACTGGTGATAGCGTGCAAGTGCTGCTCTTCGGTGCTACGGTCTTGAGCTGGAAGAGCAATGGGCGTGAGAACCTATGGGTCAGTGATGCGGCGAAGCTCGATGGCAGCAAGCCTGTACGAGGTGGTGTTCCTCTCGTCTTCCCCGTACGTTAACCCAATCACCTCACCTCACTTTGCCCACGCTTATGGCATATACTTCAGGCATTCGGCCCACCACCCAAAGACCACGCCACCGGCAAGCTCCCTCAACACGGCTTTGCCCGAAACTCGCATTGGGAGTACCTGGGCTCCTCTTCCTCCGAATCCGGCAAGCTGGCATCAGGAGGCGACGACAGCATAAAGCTCGACTTCGGCCTCAGCCACGCACAGATCAGCGACGATGCGAAGAACGCTTGGCCATACGATTTCAGCTTGGTTTATAGTGTGACATTGGCGAAAGATGGTCTACAGACGATGCTCAACATCCAAAACAAGGGCGACAAGAGCTTCGAGTTTCAAATGCTGTTGCACACATACTTCCGCATTGACGTGAGTCCAACTACAGACTAGGTGACGAGATCGCGTTGCTAACATGACGGACAGGACATCTCCAAAGTCTCCATCAACGGCCTCGGCAGCACATCCTACATCGACAAAATGCTCAACGCCACCACCCAAACCCAGACCGACCCCACCGTCCGCATCACCGGCGAAGTCGACCGCGTCTACACCGACATCAAACAAGACACCACCTCCATCCTCCAAGACGGCAAGCCGCGACTCGATGTCGTGAGGGAAGGGTTGAGCGATAGTGTGGTGTGGAACCCGTGGATTGAGAAGGCGAAGGGGATGAGTGATTTTGAGCCTAAGGATGGGTATAAGAAGATGATTGCTGTTGAAGTTGGTGCGGTGGATGGGTGGCAGAAGTTGGAGCCGGGTGAGACGTTTGAGGGCGGGATGATTTGCAAGGCGCATTTGTGAGTGATTGAGTGAGTTTGGAATGATGTAATGATGTAATGATTACAGTATGATGCATGCACCCAGTGATGCTGAAGATAGACTCAAAGTGAACGAGCATGGTCTTACTGACCAGATATTGCTCTTATTTCACAGCTTTTCACCGTGGCTTCTCCACGATCCCTAGAGGTTCATACAGGTCTGGCTCTTCTCTTCCACTCATCTGCCGCACAACCACAGACGAGCAACGAGCGGCAGGTCCATAACACACCCGGTGAAGCGCCTCAAGCACGCCAGCTCGAGTACTGCTCCGTGCGCCCTTCAATTCACTACAGCCCTTCACTCCTGCCAGAAAAATGAGCTGCATGTGATCATGCGGTCATGCACAGATCTTGGCTTTTCAAGACCTGGTATAAGAAGCCAAACAGAGTCCACGAAGATCCAAACATGGAGTGTTGACCATCAACACTTGTCCAACTCGTCAACCATGTCAGCAGGCGGATTGCCATCAAAGCGTCGCAAGTATGTACCGACTTCTTATTGATCGCTTGTCATGCACAGCTAACGCCAGACTAGAATAGACTATGCCGACTATCTGCGAGTCCTTGTTGGGCCGGAGCAAAAGGACTTCATGGTCCACAGAGACATCATCACTCAGCGCTCGACATTCTTCCAAAAGGTCTTGACCACATCCGAGTCTTGCGCTGCATTCGCCACGGCCGCGACCACGGCTTCTGCTGTCGTCACTACACCGGCGGCTATCGAACGGTGTGACCGCAGATCCTTGATGACATGTAGCAGAACTGATGCTCTCACTAGAATCGACTTCACAGACACTTTCCAAGTCCTCGTGGGATCGGAAAAGACAGAATTCACACTACACAAAAGCGTCATATGCGCACGCTCGCCTTTCTTCGAAGCAGCGTTGGCGAATCGATGGAAGAGCTGCTATTGCGGCCCTGTCGAATGGCCGAAGACGATGCGGTTTTGTTCGCAGATTACGCCAATCGCGTGTATCACAACACTCTCGCTTTGAAGTCCGCAGAATCCTGGTCAACGCGACACCTTGTGAAGCTCTGCCTTCTCGCGGACAAACTTGGGGAGCTTGAAAGAGCCAACCTCTGCATCGACTACATCATATGCTTCAGCGATATCAAGGGTCGCATACGCGATGTGGATGAAGTCCGGCTGATATATGAACGCACTGCTAACGGCTCGCCTCTTCGCACTTTGATGCTGCATTACTTCATCCACGAGGCCACGCCCATGACCATCAAAGACAGTGTTGATGAGCTACCGATAGCATTTCTGCAGGGCTAAATGCGCGAGATGATGCTCTTGGAGAGCGGCAATGAGGATAAGAAGATAAAGCGGGTGTTGAAAACCCGGGCGAGTAAGCGAGCGGTCTGTTGTTACCCCCAGCATACCGGTGATGTGCCGCGTCGTGCGACCAAGCCTGGCAAAATTACTGCCTGATGAAGCGAGATATCGCTGGGCGGATGATGCTGCTCCTGGCACGGTGATTGGGCCCGTGGTGCAATCCTGGATAAGACAGCCGGCATATGTTGATGGCTACAAAGGCATATACTTGGCATCGAAGGGCGTCCGTTTCTCAGAAAAGTATTGTGGATAACTCTTCATAGTGGCAGCTACGTGAGAATCCGCTCATGCTTTTGATGTCTTCCACAGACCCTGTCAGTGGTTAAGAGAGTAAGGCTCGTCTACGCCAGGCGATCTAATCCAGCATCCTCCGGACATACACTATTCCCGAAACAGGTCTAGTTGGACGCCTCAGTAAGATCGAGCTGATTACATGTACGTCTACCTACTTCAGCCCCCGATTTGCACATTTGCGATATGTATTCTCTTATCTCTCTTGGTGACAGTCGAGGACTGCTATGGCGTATTCCTGGCGGAAGCCTAGTAGCGTCGTGGCTGGCATTTTGCTTCCGCTTCTGGTGGCATTTCTTATCAGGAGATGGAGTACTGGACATCGGAGTGAGTCGTTCTTGGAAGACTCCAAAGTCTCGAACGTGAGTTTCTTTCAACGCATGCCGAACACAGACTGTGTAGAGGTTCAAAAGATCGTCCCGGGCAGATTTTACCCGAAGGACTCGGACGGCTACAAGACTTCGGTTGACAACTACTGGTCCAAGCCCGCTAGCGAACAGCGACCAGCTTGTATCGTCAGGCCATTGAATGCCGAAGAAGTCGCCATTATAGTTCGAGTACTCAACGCAAGATACGAGGAAAGAAGCCATGCTGATCGCAACGTACCGTTCTTTGCAGTACGAAGTGGCGGCCACTCGCCTGAGGCTGGCTTCGCTAACATCGAAGGTGGTGTGCTCCTCGATCTGAGTCTGCTCAACGATGTCGCAGTATCGCAAGACAATAAAGTCACATCTATTGGTGTGGGTGCACGATGGGGCGAAGTATCGACAAAGTTAGATAGCATGGGCCTCGCTATCGTTGGGGGCAGGAACAGTGATGTCGGCGTAGGAGGACTCGTACTTGGCGGTATGTACACTTTCTGACATACAAGCCCATAAAGCCTCTGTGTGATGCCGTTCGATCATGTGGAACTGTCAATTTCAGCACTAACACAGCAAAGGAGGCATCTCTTTCTTCTCGCCGCGCTTCGGCATGGTCTGCGACAACATCGATTCGTACGACATTGTTCTGGCGAACGGTACTATTGCTCACGCCACGGCATTTGAGCACTCTGATCTGTGGCGTGCACTGAAGGGCGGAAGTGGGAACTTCGGCATTGTAACCAGTATTGTAGCTCGCACCTTTGTTGCTGGCGATGTGTGGGCTGGTTATGGCTACTGGCCTCACTGGCAAGCACAGAAGATACTAAAAGCTTTCGTCGACTTCAATCAGCCTGCGAACTTCGACGAGTATGCGGCAGGGCCTATCGTGGCTTTCGTGTACATCCCGAGCATAGGTCTCAGGCTTATCGCTAGTAGCCTGGTGTACACAAGACCAGAGCCTTGGCCTCGAGTATTCAACGACTTCAACAGATTGTGGCGATACTGGAGCACTGCAAAGGTACGTCCACTTACCGATGCGACCGACGAACTACATAGAGCTTCTCCACGAGGCGCTCGGCAGTTTCAAGTCACCACCACGGTTGTGAACGATCTCGACACTCTGACAACGTTCCACGAGATCTTTGTTGAAATGTCAAAAGTACTCAAGAATATCCCAAGATCATCTTTCACTTTCACTATCCAACCACTGTCAGCCGCCGTCACGCACAAGGGCAGCCCCAATGTTCTTGGACTGGAGGAAAGGCTAAGAGATCAGCCGCTGATTATCATCTTGCTCGTCTGGGTCTCCACGAGGCCTGAAGATGACGAGATCACCCAGCGGGTGGCGAGAGACATCATTGGCCAGGGCGAAGTGTATGCGAAAAGGCACAATACCGCAGATCCGTATCGATACTTGAATTATGCTGCCAGTGGACAAGAGCCTTTCTTTGGTGACGGGTATGAAAATCTCGCCTTCATGCGGGATGTCAGTCGCATATATGATCCGCAGGCGTTCTTCCAGAGAGCTAAGCGGGGCGGGTTCAAGCTAGGAATTGACGATGGATTTGCGACTCAGTCGTCCATGGAGAGGCTCTGACACGAGATTTATGTCTCTCGATATCATTGCCAGCTCGTTGCTCGCAAAATTCTCTTTGATTACATGTATGGCTGTAGATGCCGCTGTAGGACGATCTCATCGGCCATCTTACTCTTGCTCAGGCTGGTAGCACATGGTTTCTTGGTTCTGTAGAGTCAACTTCAACGGGCATTCTACTCTTGTGACTCTGAGAAGGATCGCATCCCCAACCGTGACCGTTTAGCCGCTCGAAGATGTGTGGGAGAGATGCAGTCTCCATGACTCTGATCGGGTCATCGTCGTTGGTAATCTGCTTGGCGTTACAATATGTTTATCCTGGCATCCAGCCTTGACGCGACCTGTCGATGTTCTGATCATTGAAACAAATACAAGGCCGCAATCTGGAGACTATCGCGACGGGATTAAATAGATTAAGCGACTCATGAGACACCGATATATACGTAGACAGTCAGAAGGATATTCTCCTGACGGTCGTGGTTCCATATTATGGCATAGACGATTGTAGGATACGATATTACGGCCGCAACAGTTCGTCAGCAGCATCATGAGACTCTCGTAGAATGTATTTCTCACAATTATGCCTAATAATCTCGCACAAGCAGGCTAGCAGCCTGCCTGACGATTGAGACAGCTGCTCGGCGGAAGGAAGAGTATGGGTGATTGGGCTTGATATGACAGCCCAACGTATAGAGATGAAAGCCTCTCGAACCAACAAATCGTATCCTGCAAAAGCTCCCATGCTATCGTGCGGTGGTCAACATCTGCCTTGCGCCGACTACTGGCCCATAGCTGCCACTCTTCGCTCCAATGCCACTCGACCAACCGTACGTGTGAACGTTTCGCATCCGGTGCTCATTTTGGCCACTGCCCTGCATTTCAGTCTTACCGTCATTGCATCAAATTCCATGCTACCCTGGTTGTCCTAGCTCTTGAACAATTGCGAGACTGTCAGCAGCGCCAAGAACCATTCATCGAAGGCAAATGGCCGTGCCTGCTTCCTTGTGTCGGCGACGCTAGGAAAGATATCGGCAGCCACTTCGTACTGTTCCCACAAGTACCTTCCTCTCTAAATTTCCAATCCTTCGAGAGATCATCCATTCGATCCACAGCCAAGACTAGCAAAGGAGCGCCATCTGTCCATCATGTCTGACTTAACAAGCGACACTGTCGCTCCAGTCGCACCTGCAGGGTACGTACTGCCCCAAAGGCGGTGCGATTGTCGGAAATCGGGGGCTAATAGCAACGGCATCAGCAGCTCCCAAGGGTACCTCACAGTCGTTGTTGGCCCTAAGAACAACCACTTCACGGCCAACAAAGCTCTCATCATCTCACGCTCCACCTTCTTCAAAACCGCCGCATCGAAGCGCTGGACCGACGGCAGACCCAAGCACATCATACTCGCCGACGACAACCCCGAGCAGTTCCGTGACTACCTTCAAGTCCTCCAAGACAACGCCCTCGACCCACAGCAGCACTGGACATTCGTCCAAACCGGCCTGATCTACATCCTCGCAGACAAGCTCGGCGACTTGCGCACAAGCAACATCTGCGTCGACTTCATCATCAAGGATCTCGAGGTCGACGATGCTGTGCCGGGCGACAGTTTCATTAACTTTCTCTACGAGCACACAATTCCCGGCTCGAAGCTCCGCAAGTTGTGCATCGACTACTACATCCACGAAGCCAACATCGTAGGTATGGACAGGGAGCTCGAGAGGTTGCCCGCCCGCTTCTGGCACGACATCGTCGTCGAATCCCATGAGCTGAGGAAAAATCACGGGCTTGGCTATGTCGACGACATCTTCCGTGATCGTGTCGTCGAGCAAGACGATTGTACCTACCACCAGCATGACGAGACTCACCCGGCTTGTGAGGGGGTGTGAGGATGTGGTACAAGCATGCGGTATACATGGTGCGCCAGTATCTGTCAAGTCTGGCCACCGTGTGAGGGCTTGCGCTGGCTGACTGGCTGGCTGGCTGGCTGAGCGCAGTCTCTGCAGCAAGCTTTCTGCAATGTCTGCTTTCTAGTCATGAGCAACCATAATGAAATGAGCAGCAGACTTACCACACAACATTTGAGGACACTGTCGATTTCTCACTGCCCGTTCTTGCGCTCATGATCTCGTGGTTTGTCGCTCCATGTCGAAATCATAGGCCGGTAGCTCGACTCGGTTGCTTCATTTCAGTAAAGATCGTATCTCTTGCTGGCCTTGGGTCGGGCTCCAAATCCAGCATCTCCCGTCGGAGCTTGGCAGATAAGGCGGACATTGCCACAGTCCAGAACGGCACATACGATCCGCCAAGACCACTTACAAGCCCGCAGACCAGTAAGCTGCTTCAGTAATAAGGCTGCAAGAATCTGGGCTGCTGAGTATACGGTCAAGACCAAAGAGGTCGACCGGGATCATTTATCACCACAATGTGGCCATTAGCCATGGTACAAAGCCACAACTGTTTCAAAGCGAGCTTAGCTGTCCGTAGCCACTCGGCCAGGAATGTTGGGCGACAGCAGGGTTGCAGTGATCTTGGCTCGGTCGACGCTCGAATTATTGCAACAGATACGATCTGTGATGTCTCAAGTCTGACGAGTTGCCAGATGACATTTCTCCAGTATTGTTCGGTTTTTTAGAGGTCTCAATGGCACTGTGGAAGCCCTGAGTCATACGTATCTCCTGGTTCAGGGATTCTGATGCTTCGGTGGATCTCGCTGGAACAGATAGCGTCGCCGTGGCGCAGAGAGGACAGCCAACCGGCTGCTGCACATCCTCGAGGACAAGGCATATCAGTCAATCCGAACGCCGACGAGATGATCCTCCAGCGTAAAATGATAGAGGAAAGCCGGACCTCCCCGAAGCATCAGTGGAAAAGTACCGTAGGAAGACCTGTTGGTTTGAGGGAAAACGGATGCCTGATTGAAATGCACCCCAGTCTCGGACAGTAGCTTCAGAAGACTCTGCTCCGGAGTAGTCCTTTCTTGTGACTGCCGTGAAGAGACCAAGAGGCTAGCAATGCGAATGCGGAATCGATATCTTGCCATGTCGATGAGCCGTTTACATGCAGACGAACTTGAGGTGGATATTGGATGGCGCTAGCACGACAGCTTGGACCACCGCTTGAACTTACCCTTCTCGCGGTACCATCCTTATGGTCATATCATTTGTTTGGCGATGACTACAGACACAAGTGTCTCCACGTTGGCTAGCAGACAAGGGCCAAGAGTAGTTCTGTACCATCAGACCCATCACGGACCGAATGATGGCCCGCCAGTATCACTCCTGCCGCTGCTAACACACAACACCGGCATAACACATATCATCATTGCAGCGATCCATCTCAACGATCCACCAGGTCATATCACCCTCAACGACCATGTCCCTGACCACGAGAGGAATGATACACTATGGGGCGAAGTGGCGTGGTGTCAGGCAAGCGGGGTGAAAGTGCTATGCATGCTGGGAGGAGCAGCGAAGGGTAGTTTTGAGAGACTGGATAGCGAAGACACGGCTCGGTTCGAGGCATATTACGCACCGTTCCGAGACATGCTACGGAAACACAGCTTCGATGGTGTGGATCTGGACATCGAGGAGCCGACCACCATGGACGGCTGCATACGTCTAATCGATCGTCTACGAGCGGACTTTGGGCCCACTTTTCTGATCACTCTAGCACCTGTCGCAACTGCACTTCTCGTAGGCCAACCACATCTCTCGGGCCCATCGTTCAACTATCACGTCCTGGAACAAATGCGTGGTCACGAGATAGCCTGGTACAACACGCAATTCTACAACGGCTGGGGTGACTGCTCGACAAGTTTCTGGTACGAAGCTGTCATAGCTACAGGCTGGAAGCCGGAAAAAGTCGTTATGGGTCTTCTCACTAACCCCACGAATGGCGGCTCGGGCTATGTGGCTCAGCAAGAGATAGATAGGGTGATTACTGTTATAAGACACCGCCACCCTACTTTTGGTGGTGTGATGGGCTGGGAGTATTTCAATGCAATGCCTGGTGATCAGCAGAGGCCTTGGGAGTGGGCAGGACATATGCATCGAATAACTACTGCACCACTGCCAATTATGCCTGCACCACAGCAGCAGCGACAAGCACCCGTTCGACCATATGGACAGCCTGCTATACCTCCTCCGGCAGCACATCCTTACCCAGCTGAAAGTGTACAGACTCTACAGGACCTTGGTTTCAGTCAGCAGCAGGCAGTTGCTGCTCTCAATTCGACGAATGGTAATGTCGAGTATGCAGCCGGGCTACTTTTCCAGGACTGATTAAGCAATTACACTGGCTTCCTAGAACGTGAGAGGTACAGTGGCCTCTTCAATCTGCCTCCCTCGCCTCGAGAATACACGAGACAGCTCGCCAGTGATCCTGCTACTCAGCCTTCTTGCAGGTGTAGGTCTCCTCCGCCTTGCGAAAGCAGTAGTTGCATCCTCATGTCTCGGCAACGCATTGTCCATCTATACATTAGCCATATCTCTTTGCATCCTCAGCTCCGGCCCTGGCAACTGCCACATCCAGTTCCCATCCACCATCATCACCTCATCGCTTATCTGAAAGACCGGACCCACGACAAGAGCTTCAGCAAGCATGGCCAGCGCGTCGTCTGCCGACCTGAAATGATCCTCAGCGACTCGAAGGTCGTGCTTCCGAGTCTCCCGATGGCGCTTGTTCAGTCGATGAGTACGCAAGCCGACTTCATACTCAATTCGCGACTCTTGGATCTCTTCTCGGAGAGCTCTGAGCTCGGTGAGGAGCGTGGCGTAAGTCGGGTTCTTAAAACAGTGCTCCTGTTGCTCAGAGCTGAGGTAGCGGGTGTGCAGGTAAGGTGGCGAGCCTTCAACCAGTTCTACACGTGGGTTCATAGTGCCAGTGAATAGTCTACCGCGATGTGGTGTTGGGTTGTGTGGAGTGAGAAAGACATCAAAGGGCTGTACATCCAGATAGTACAGTAAATATAGATCACTGCGATATCCCATCGTCCCCGATCGATATGCAGCGTAACAGCAAACACTTCGTAGGCGTGTCTTCACTCCAACACGTCATGGCGTACGCTATGTGATCTATGACTGATGGTGTAGGTAATGCATCTAAGCAGGAACTGTGTTCATACGAATCACAAGCCCGACATACTTGCTTCAGTCCCTTCCACGCCTACCAGCATCATGCACGGCCCTCCTGGTCTCGTACAGCAGGTCATCCGCCTCTCGCTCCTGCAGCGCTGTAAAATTCATGCCCGGTAGTACTGCAAGTATGCTCCTCAGATGTTTCAGAACACTCCGAGGCGTTGCTATTAGTCGTTCTATACTGGTGATGTCATCCTCCTCTTGGTTGTGCGCTGAAAGTGCAAACTCCACAGGTTCTTCCACGTCGACCCCTTCGCCTGCTACAGCCACCGTCCTCCTCGTCGAGCGTCTAACATCCGACTGGTTCTGCGAAAGTCGAGCAGCCTTCACGAGTTTCATGTCAGTCCCCTCGCGTTGCTTACGGCCTTGACCAGGTGCTGGCGTGGCCTCGATCACGCTCGTTGTTGTCTCTGCAGCACTCGAGTCCTCCACGTCCGAAGCTTTTCGCTTTAGTGACCGCTGCCGCCAGTCTCGTGAAGTGCCTGGAACAGGTGTCGGGGTCACAGACTTTGTTGGCCTGCCACGGTGGCGATTGCCTGATGGTCTCGTAGCGCTGGTTACGGGGATCTCCACGACAGGGGAGGGCGCCTTCACAGGCTCGTTCGGCTGCGGCGGTGAAGAAGGTGGCTGACTAGAAGCAACAACTATCTCGTCCTCAATGTCAGTGTCCTCTTCTGGCTGGCTGCTCACCCAGGTCTTGAAAAACCCCGTGATGGCCCCTAGAGGAGACTTCGACTGCTGTTTTCGCTTCTTGGACGCAGAACCTTTGTTAGAAGACCGCTTGCGCTTCTTGTTGGTGCGCTCGCTGGTGGCTGCGAGGACATCCTTTTCATGCGAGGCTTCCAATTCGTCCGATGGTGGCGCCTCGACGAAAGAGTCTTCAACACGAGTGATATCGGCAACGGTAAAATGGCCGTCGTCAAGAATAATGGGTTCTTGCGTGTGATAGCTCATAAGCGATGAATGCTCGGCTTCTGTGTTGACAAACGTTGTGCCAATCGTGGTCTCGTCCACTCTTTTTGGCTCCGTCACATCATCCGCGGCCTGATCAGCTTCAAACAGGAGCTGTTGACCGGGAAGTAGAGTATCAGACGGCAAGTCGGAATCGATGGGATTGTCAGCAGGTTCCAAGTCTGCAGGTGCCGAATTTGGGACAGCCTGGATGTCGTCTTCGGCACCGCTCTCTAGGTCTTGCTCTCCCATTTTCGATGCCGTCATATCTAGGTGCTCATCGGCCGATCCCGGTGGTGAAGATGGTGGGTCTAGATCAGCCTCCGCATTCAGTTCATATGCCACGATCACAGACTGTGTGTATACAGTGTCTTTGTTCGAAGAAGGTGTAGGCGAGGAAGGCAGATCATCACTCAGGAGGCCATCGCTGTTTGGAAGGCGCTCCGGTGTACCAGTAAGCACCTCGCGGCTCCTAGTCGCGAAGTCCAGTCTTTGAGGAGCGCCGTCATTTGTAGTCCTCGCGATTGTTATGGGGCTTGAAGACATGTTCGAAAACATCTGAGCGGTCTCAAGCTGCCTTGTTTTGATCTCTTGTTGACGATTGGTGAGCTGCGAGACGGCCACGCCTGTAGTATCAGCCTGCTCTACAGGCGCAAACACAATCTGCGAGTCGTCATGTCGAAGTCGAGCCTTTGGCGTTGGATTCGGGGTCTTGGAGACTCGGGCGCCCGAGCCAGAAAGCGCTCGTGTCGGTTCGAGAGAGGTAATCGATGTTGGCCACGTGGGTTGTGGCACAGGTCCGATCGCAGGAAAGGAGCCTGTACTTTGGTCTGGCTGTGATTCGTAGAACGGTTGCAGCGGGAATGTGGTCACATCCGGAGTCAGCTCAGGGAATGTTGGGAGGAACAGTTCGGCCTCTGCACGCCTGGCATCAAGCACTTGCGCGACCCGATCGGGGTATCGGAGCTCCTCCTGCATGCCGAAAGTCTGGTTCCAGAAATCTATCGTCTTGTTGACAACAGCTTTGTGAGGGCAAGAGAACAAGGCCACTAGCAGAGGCTCGAGGACCTGTATCAAAGTGCTGTCATGGGAGGGCACGGCACAAATCAGGCCGATGAGTTCTCGAGCGGTGTCCGGGAGCTATAACGAGTCAGCTATAGGATCACGTCGTGCGAATCCTGCGACTTACCATATTGATAACTTCCTTGCTGTCCCCCGTCTTCCTATCAATGTCCACAAGCCAGCGGCAGAAACCATCTTGCACCTTGCCGATGGCAGCTGCAAGCAATGGCAGAGGGCATCGCTTCAGGAACGACAAGGCTTCGCTAATCATGTTATGCGTATCGAGGAATGGTACATCTTGGCAAAGAGTATCGTAGCCATAGATGAGGGCATCTGCAAGGATTGCATAGAAGTGCTCGTAGGGATCAAAGCTTGTCGCCTTGTGTGGCGCGGGACCGACGCCCCACAAAGACTTTTTCGCTTGGTCGAGCTCCTGCCTACTACGTGGCCATGGCGCGGAGACCAGAAGCCGCGAAGTCAAGCGCAGCCGTGCAGCTGCTGGGATGGCACTTAGGTGCTCAGGCAGAATTCTCGCCAATGGCTCGAGGACTGCAGAGACAATACCAGCAGCACCTGCCGTAGTACGTGCAATAGGTATCATAGCATCATACAACTGTTCAATGCTGGCCTCGATGCAGAAGGCGAAGCCGGCATGATGAAAGCCTTCTGTTAGTATCGTCAGGCCGTGACGCAGCTCCAAGCCAACAGTCTGCGAGCTGTCGTTGGTCATATGCGGGAGCTGCAGGGTGTCGGTCGCGCAGCTACTAATGGATTGCCACAGAAATGCATTTCGGGCCCGATCAGCGTTCGTGGCAAAGTCCTTGCTCCAATTCTGCATTGATCGTGCAAGAAGCTCGATTTTTGTCTGAGGTTGCGACCGAGAAGAGACCGACAGCTCCAGCAACGCCGCTGCAAGATCGCGCAGCTGCTCGTCATGGTCGATTCGCAGTCCAGAGTCGTAGAGCGCTCCGAACAAAACCAAGAGTGGTGACTGAGGGGTGGCATGGTGCTTGCTGTGGCGATGAGATGGCGTTGATGCGACCTTTATCTCGTCCTCGCGCGTTCGAAGCAAGATGTCCTCACTGAACGCACTAGGCCCAATGCTTTCGACCATCACCTTGACGACGGCAGTGTATTGCGGAAGATCAAAGCGCAACTCACTCGCATTGACCTCAGCCGGTGGCTGGGACCATGGGAACCGGCACAGGTTGACCAAAAGGGCAATGGCTTCTTTGAGATCTGGTGATGTCTTGATCTCCTGCCGCCCAGCTTCGGCCACCGAAAGCATAAGCGCATGCCAAGTGCTATTGATGGCGGCACTATTGTATCCCGAGCTCCAGTAGGATGCGCGTAATACTGGTTCCATGAGTTGCAGGATCTTTCCGAGCCTGGTACGTACCCACTTGGGATCCAGCTTTGGAAGATCCTTTGGTAGGATGGGCGATGCCTCCATTGCGGCATCCACATTCCACGTACCTGAACTAGTTGTGCATACCCCATGGACGATGCTGCAGGCTAATCGTTGGCCTTTGTCCTTCCGTGCTATCATGTAGCCCAGCATTGGTGTGACCACGTCGTCCCAAGCGGTGTCCAGTTCCTGGTATGTCAGGCCAGGTCGCAAGACGTAATGTAGGACGTTATAGAAGGATTCGAGCGCATATTGGTGGATCTGTTTCGCATGCACATACTTACCACGCCTGTCTAGACCCGATTCGATCGGCACCTTCAGCATCCTTAACATACTGGACGAGGTGCTAGCATCTGGCATGACTGCAAAAACAAATTTATTCCAGGCTAGATAGCCTTGATACCTGATCAGTATGTCACTCGCGTTGAGACACCGTTGAACGATGCCAAGCCACACCTTCAGCCTGGCCCATTTGTCGATAGGTGAGCGCTTGCTACGGAACAGAAGAGTGATGGAGGACCAGATTTGAGGGACATAAGCGCCGAGCTCCTTGTCGGACACCATCTGTCGTAGTTGTGCTTCGACGTAGTCGTAGAATGTTTGGCCGGCCTCCACTTCAACCGCGAAGAGCTCGATTACACACTTGGCTGCTAATGGCTGCGTGCCCAAAATGAGCCCTGCCTTCGTGCATGTCTCTATCGCTCGGATCCTGACGTCTTTGATGGTGCTGAGCATACCGTGTATAACATGCTCGAGCCATTCGCGCATACGCTGATGCATCACAGCGGGTACACGCTCTAGCAGCCGCTGGTAAACGATAAGTCTTGTGGTGACGACATTATTACCAGTGCATCTCTCCTCCACAGTGAGCAGAGCAGTGAGGATTCGGTCACCGCGGCTTGTTGTCATCGCCGGTGTCCGAAATCGTTGGTGCGCTAACAGGTACATATGATTCTTGATCAGCGCTTTCGGCATATCCGCTTGTTCGATGACCGCGAGTGAGCGATCCAGCAAGAATGTCTGGAAGTCGTCATCCAGACCGGCAGATAACGTCGCGTCAGACATGATATTGGCAGTGAGCTTGAATGCTTGAGTGGCCATGTTGACATCAAGTGCTCCATTATCACCCTTCCATGCGAGGTCGCGGGTGATGAATTGTAACAACACGCTCATCTTCGCCACCATGGCACGCACGTCCGGCACTGTTTCATAAGCCTGTAGTGCGCCATTGAGTGCCAGGTAGGCGTCCAGGCGACTGCTCACAGAAGGGCCGGCAAGCTGTTGAATCACAGATTGCAGCATCTTCGCAAAGCTTCCAGGTACCTGCGGAGAAAAGTAGGCCACTCGTATTTCGAGATCGTCTGGCGTAAGTGGCGGCGGATGGCTCGACTGCTTCAGAATCGATCTGGTAGGTCTCGCATCTCTATCTGATGGTGCCTTCTTCCTCAGCTGAGCCGAGGGCGAACTCAGCTGCCCGGTCCGTGCTATAGGATGGTATGTCGGAGTCGGCGTAAAGTCTACTTTCTTCGTAGCGTTTCCGCTCGCCGAACACTCCTTGGGAGCCGGAGATGTGATGGGAGTAGATGACCGGAACGAGGTCTTATGCGGGAGCACGACCTTTAGAGCGCGGTCAATCTCGTTGCTGTCATCCAAGAAGCTAATCGCGTCGTCTACATCCTTTGAAACGTCTCGCGGAGGCGTGGGTGGTCTTTCCGGGAGGTTGTCGAACACAGACGACGATGAGAAGACCATCGCTCGCTATCAGACAGTCAGAACGCTTTTAGGTCGCTCAAACGCAGAAAAGGACAGTCAATGAAGTGAGTGGCATATTGACCGGAAGTGAAATCTGTAGCAGTCGCGTGGAGTGACGCGAACTTTGGACGCGCTTGCCGGCCACTTTACGCTAGCGTCCAGCGGAACGGCACGCTCGTGCCGATTCCTAGCCGAGAGCTTCCATACTCACTTTCATCGCCATCCAGTTCAGCGTCCCAGCTAGAGGCGTCCTCTGGAGAGGCTCACATCTGCAACAGCGTCACGATGATGTCTGCACAGCCTCAAGGTACCGGGGCGACTGCCAATGTTGGAGCGGGTATATTATACACTCCTTTCATGTGACCTTGCTCGTAAGGCTGATCAATACAGGTACGGCAGAAGTAGATCGGCTGCTCCTTGAGCTAGAGCGCAATCTTGAGAGCGCCAGGATATCGCTGAAGCGTTCGTGCATCAATGGAGTCAGACAGCAGCACCTCGCTAATAAATGCTAGAACAAGAAGCGCTACTGGGCCGCACCAAAGCTCTTGGAAGAGACCCAAACAATGCGGCACCCATATTCGCTTCCAGGGTAGCTAATCTTATCATATCCCGTGCACAGCATCGCTGACGTGACACTCAGGGTATTGGTATACTGTCGAAATATGGACTGGACTCGGCATCCTCCACGACCTCCCAGGAAGCTTTACGATGTCTAGCCAATGCCTTTCTCCTGAACGAGCCATCACGGCAGGTATTCGTCGACCTCGGATATGCTACGAAAGCTGTGGACCGACTCAAAAACGACAACGTGGACGACGAATTTCTCATCAGTCGCATCCTCTTCCTCATGACCTATAACACTCAGCTAGACTTTCAGACGCTTGTCGACAATCACCAGCTTGCAGATAGCATTATCCAGCACATATCTCGACATGCCAAGTCATTCGCCAAAGGTAGCCAATTCAAAGCTCCGGCGCCGCCAATGCAAGATGCGGCCATGACAGAGACCCTCAAGCTCTTGTTCAACATCACGTACTACCTTCCCGACCTCATCGACACTTTCACTCCAGCCATCGATCCGCTGATCAGCCTGGTCATGCATCATCCTTTGGCTACGCCACCGCTTCAAGCACCCATCACATACATACTAAATGCACTCATGAACATGAACCTGCAGGGAGCCGAAAAGAAGACGCCGATGGGCCGTGAAGCCAGGACAAGTCCGCTCTTCCCATACGCCAATCCCGAGTCTGTGGTTGATAGACTGATCTCGATCTTCGATAGCGCCATCAAGAACCACCCTGAGCCAGAGCTGGACCAGGCAGCAGTTCCATTATGCACACTGATACGCAGAGCGTACGAGTTGGCCAATCCTCAGATGCAATCATGGATGCGCTGGATCTTGCTGCCTAGGGAGAAGGACCGCGATAAACCACTTGGTCAAGGAGAGATGCTGTCGTCGCGACTACTACGCTTGTCATGCTCACCGACATTACCGACGCTTCGAGAGAACATCTCAAGCTTGCTTTTCGAGCTTAGCGACAAGAGTGCAAACACATTCGTTCGAAACATCGGCTATGGTTTCGCATCTGGCTTCCTCATGAGCCATAACATAGCAATGCCCGCCAATCCAGCTGAAGCCCACAGTCTTGGAAGCGAAGACGACACAAGCAGCGGTACTGAGGTCAACCCTGTCACCGGACAAAAGGTCAGCGCGGAGACTGTCCAGGAGGGCTCCGGTATGGACGACATGACTGAAGAGGAGAAAGAACGTGAGGCTGAGAGGTTATTCGTTTTGTTTGAAAGATTACGGGCTACAGGGGTTGTCGACGTAGAGAATCCGGTGCAACAGGCTGTGGACGAGGGCAGGTTCGAGGAGCTACCCGACTAAGTCACTAACTCGCGAAGCTGAGACGAAATATGGACTGCGAGGACATACATGGAACTACTACCTCCATATCTGATCACCTTGTAGCCCAATTGCGAACCTCTCTGATTGGACGGGAGTCCTACACCCAAGGCTAGAAGCCCGATCATAATATTATGCCTTTAGCCTTTGTCATGCGGCCATCAACCTCCGGACTAGATCCACGAGCGATCATCAAGCCACCCTGGCTTACTTTGGGAAATGCTTGCGAGCCTTCTGGCAAACCACCTCAATGTCCGCTTCTGCAATGGCACCCACGATACGGACAGGCTCCCGATTAATGTCCCTCGTCATGACCTCTGTGATGTGCGCTACCATCGTTGTACGCATAGCGTTTCCCCGCATCTGGCCGTCGTTGGCGTCAAGCCAGTCGATCGAAATGACCTTGTTCGTCGAACTCTGGCTCGGAAATGTGTCTGCGCTTATGCCCTTCGGACACAAGGAGAAGTACTCTCTATGGTGACGCGGGGGCACTTTCTGCAATCCCGTATCGCCGTTGGTGTAAATCGGGACTTCCCAGATAGTCTTGCTTGTACTACCGACAATCAGCCAGTAACGACCTTTTTTAAGGCTCCGAGTACCATCCGGATTCTTGATGATGCGCGAGTCGCTATCCGGGATCGACTTGCTCCTGCAAGGTCGAATATCCCAGTGCCATATTATCGTTCCTTGGATCAGGTTGGCGTGGAGCACACCGTTTGTTGTACGAGGACCAGGATGGTACGTGCCGCGAGTCTTCGTGGTGCGTAGAGTGTTCGCTCCGGCCCATCGAGCCGCTAGTGCCTTGGGATCTTAAGGCGTTCTCCAATTGATACTTGTCTCCCAGATGCTGCCCGTTGCTGGACGATTACAGTCTGGCTTCCTGTCGAAGATTTTCGACTGTTGACGTACTCTTCTCCTCTGGGGAGGCCATAGCCAAGGACTTTGGTTGCCCCCACTTATTGCTTGCTGTACTTGTGACTCGGCAGCTGATGCTTCGACGCCGGAGTTGTTCAGGCCCTCAAGTTTTTGCAGTACGTCAGAGTCTTCGACGTCGTCTTCGGACTGCTCCAGTATGGAGAAGTCTTTATAAACCGGATGGACGCTTCTACTCTTGGCCTTGTTCCTGCTGCCAGTGGCCGATGCAGCAGCCTTGGTTGCTTTCTTGCTTGAGAGATTGAACATGCTTGATCTGCTTCGAGACCTGAGATGAAGTTTGGTGTAATTGGATTTTTGATTTTGATTTGCGATGACAAAGTCAGGAGGGCGATCATTATATATTAGAAAGTGTACGGGACTGGAAGTTTACAGCATGTACTGGAGTTCAAATGGTGCCTGGAGTGGTCCATCGAACAATAATATTGTTCCCTGAGAAGCGACGCAGTGAATAACACGCTTCGTATTCCAGAGTGACTAGCACGCTGCGACAGTCAGACTGCCGCAGGGTTGAAGGGAAACATTCACTGGAGCTCTCTGGGCGCTCAAGCACGACAAAAGAGATCGACCAGGCGGAGCAGCATACCAAGCAAACAATGCCATTGTGACCGGACGTGTGACGGTGTTTTGCAACACACGTTTGTCGCTTGGCACCATCTAAATACCGGTTCGTCGCTCATTCGAAATCTGTTTCGACGAGTGACATACTCTGGATATCATGTCCACGCATTTCATTCGGCTTATTGTTCGGAATCAACGATCGATCCCAGCAAAATACGAGAATGCCCGATGCCGTGAATCCGACCACAAAAGTTACCATGCCTTTTACCAAGCTCCGTGGTTGTGCTCGAAAGGTGGCGCGAAAATGTGGCTTTTTGTCGCTATGCAGGAGGAGCCCCAGGCCTGCCCTATCAATCGTGGAGCCTGTAGCTGGTGAGCAGTACCAACAACCAACGTTCGGGAGGTCTAAACTCAGATCGAGTGACTTTGATGAGCATTCTCGTCAGGGCGCGAGTTCAGTATCGAAAAGTCCCCCCGGAGGCGAAGCTCTTGGGCACTTCGAGGAATCGGCCATTGCTGCAAGCAGAATTGCAAAGTCTCTCCCGACTTGGATCGGTGGTGAGGAATTCGAAGGACTCTGCACAAACAATGATCCGCGAATCTTTCTCACCTGCAATGGCACCGAAACATGCCTCGCCTTTCTCCCAGATGCCTATCTAGCCACCGCCCTGCAGGAAGCTGTGATAGAAAACCGGGAGGTTGAAAGAGCGCGGAAGTTCTGGGTAGAGAAGCTGGCTGCACTGTTTGACATCCACGAGGATTTAGATGCGCAAATCGAAGCACTGGAACAAAGACTGGCCGATCGACGCAACACGCATGGAAACGCAAAACTCGAGACTTTACCTGACCAACGCTGTGTGCTCGAGACATTATTCAAGAAACGGCAGCGGCTCGAGACAGTGCAAGCAGAATGTCGTGAGAGCCTAAACGAGCTCTACAAGTATCAGAGGGAGGGCATACAGAAGATTATCTGTGGGTTCGAGCAAATGTTCATCGACAGCCACGTTCTAAGGGAGGAAGATGACGAGATGAGGTCTGCGATGGTCAACGAAGATCCTTACAGCATTCTCCAGAACTATTCATCGGAGCTTGGCAGTATTCTAGCATTGCCTGGCGACAGCCCTGCAATCGATCATGCGCGCTGCATAAGACGTACCTCAGCTTATTGTGACCTTCGGAACACAGGCAACAATGAAACCGAATCCATACAACTCCGCCTCGCAGCGGAGCAGGCGCTGATTGACGACTACTTCTCCGCCCGCAGACGCCTGGATTCCATGGAGAACACTTTCGACTCGCGCGACCAACGCTTTGAGGACGAGGTGGAGGAGCGACATCGCAAGCTACAGGCCGGTTTGGAAGTTGAGTCACAGCTTGCGTTCGATATGCGTCAATTACAAGAATATAGGGGAATGACGCAGCAGGTCATTGAGTCAGAACAAATCCTCGAAGCTGTGAAAGCCGCTGCACTAGCGGCGGGTGTACAGATTGTGGCCTCTGAGATCTCATCTGGCTTCGTAGATGATGTGCATGGTGGATATGCGTCGAGTTCCGGAGGGGAGTATCTGGAAAGCGTGGACAGGTCAGCTATCGAACGGTGGATGGCCAAGAAGCCTATAGACCCAACGGGAAAGCCAGATGAGGTTGAAATTGACGATTGGGACGCACGGTCAGTCGACCTCTGTGACAGCGCGAGTCTGGTCGCAGAAGGTTCGAAGAGGCGAAGGATCGACCGATGGAAAATACAATGTGCTGATCAGATGCAGGTGTGGTAGATACAGCAATGGGTTCGGCAAGGAAAATTTCTAATTATCTTGTATGTCAATCATGATAGATCGATTACCGCTTGGTGGATAAGGTCAGCATTGGACACTTCCGTGGCCAATGGACTCACTATCTAAGTCGACTGATCGCGCATCCACGCGTTTCTTTATTCTTCGGCCGTATTGTGGCAGCGTGATGGCTCCGTGAAAGGTCAGAGGTCGTAATCGAGATGAAGAACATTGAGCTCCGAAGATGACTTGACACTTTCGGCCAACCGTAACTAGCGCGACGAATTGGCGAAGCAAGCACCACATATCTTGCTCAGCCGGGATGTCTCTGATCTTTACGATCCATACACTAGAAATGCTCGCCAAAGCATCACGCTAGATGTGGTGGTGTCAGACTTGTGACTCACGGATGTCTTCAATACAACATCGAGGGCACTGTAGCACTTTCAATCGCAAGCATATAAAGAGGTTGCTCACGCGCCCACTCAAGGTAAGGTTTGCATTCATTGTTCCATCTCTCTCGCATAAGGTACTAGTATCCTTTTTCACACTACTCATCATGGCGACTACCGCACTGGAACAGCCCTTCCACGACGCTATAGCATCCGACATGATCAATGGCGTGGTAATGGAAGGGCGTTCTGTCTCTGGCGGATCCTACTCCGGCTACATCGGACAACAGACTGCACCCGATAGTACGGCTCAGCCTCTCTCCCCAGCATCCATATCATACATGGCTTCAGCGACTAAGTTGCTTGCCACAATTGCTGCTCTCCAACTCGTTGACCGTGGTCTCCTCTCCTTGGACGAAGATCTCCGGCCTGCTCTGCCCAAGTTGACTGCCCTTGGCGTGCTCCACACATGTGACAGCGATACCGGCGCCAAGACAACGCCGTTCACAGGTCCTCTCACCCTTCGACAAATGCTCACGCATACCGCTGGCATGGACTATTCTTTCTTCAATCCATCGAGGAACAAATAACGATCTATCCACCCACCACCTGTGCCCGCACCCAACCAGATGGAACGCTTTCTTATGCCTGCCAGTTACCAGCCAGGTGAAGGCTGGATGTATGGCCATGGTATGGACTTCGCGGCCTATGTTATCGAGCAGAAGACAGGCCAAAGGCTTGACGAGTACCTCCGAAAGAATGTCTTTGCACCCGTTGACGTCAGCAGAGATGAGATGTCCTTCTTCCCAATACGGGAAGGTCTTGGTGACCGCATGCCGGATCTTAGTCCGCAAGACCCCGAAGGTCTAGGTCTTGCTGCGGTGGGTGGCTTCAATTCCTATGACGGAGGTGATGTGTGCTACGGTGGGCATGGTGCGTATGTGACTGCACGTGCATATGTAGCTGTGCTCAAAAGTTTGATGAAGAACGATGAGAAGATTCTGAGTCGAGCGATGGTTGAGGAGATGTTCAAGCCGCAACTTCAGGGCAAAGCGTACGAGTCTCTGCAGGCAGCATTTTCTGGACCTGGAGGACTAGCGTTCGGATGCGGTACTTCCGGCGAAGATCGCAATATGGGTCTCGGTGGGTTAGTCACTGGGGAGGATGGGGATGGAGGGTTGGGGAAAGGGTCGCTGATTTGGGGTGGCGGACACAACACTGTCTGGGTAGGCTAAGGACGATACTCGGCATTTGGGAGAATGTCTAACAGCTTCTCAGTTCATTGATCGCATGAACGGCATTTGTGGCATCGCATCTCCGCAGCTGTGTATCCCCAGCAATGTCAAGGCCGCCATGGAGTTGAAGTCAGCTTTCCGAACACATCTTCGACATGTCCTAGCGCACGCATGAGACTCCATATATAGATTGAGCGGATACCCGGTATGGTCCCTCCTAATCACCTCCATGCAAACTGCTACACACACTCATGAAGACTTCTACATGTTGAGATCTGTGCATCGTATTACACAATTATCTAACGACGACAAGCTTGAGGCATGCTCTCGATCGTACTGACCTCAAACATTCAACGCGCTTCCAGACTTGCCAATGCAGTGGACCTGGAAACCAAGAGCCATCAGCTTCGCCGGCTCAACCACATTCCTGCCATCAAATAGTAGCCTTGGCCGTCGCATACAGCTCGCTATTCGTGGCCAATCAATGCCCGCTTTGCCATCCTGCTGAGGCGTCATCTCGACTTCGGACACTGGGCTCTTGACTGATTGCTCTCCGCCGCTTTCGTCACTTGAGCCATCCTCGGCCGCCCAGCTGCGCTCGCTAGAACCTCTGGAATCCTCAGATGTACGCCGAGGTGTAGATGCGAGTGGAGCATCCAAGATTTCTTTCGTCAGGATATCTGTGACAGTACTTGGCAACCTGTCTGTCTTGAACTCATCCCACTCGGTCAATATGACCACGGCAGACGCACCTACGCATGCTGAAAACGGATCTTTGTGTATGGATACTCTTTCGGCCAATGCTTCTGGGCTATGGTGTTGTGTGAGATCACTCATGATCTGCTCTGGACGAACTTCTGGATCATACACGGCCACGTGCGCATTTTCTGCGATTAGTTGGCCAGCCACGTTGATGGCAGCACTCTCGCGGGTATCGCCGGTGTCCTTCTTGTATGCCCACCCTAGAATTGCAATTCTTTTGTGATCCAAGGTGTTGTACAAGCATTGAGTGATTCGTTTCGCAAAACGAGCTTTTGAGTACTCGTTAATGTCGACAATCCGTCTCCAGTACGAAGCAACTTCGTGGAGGTTATGGCTTTCTGCAATGTATACAAGGCCCAGTATGTCTTTCTTGAAACAGGAGCCTCCAAAACCAGCAGAAGCTTTCACTATGCGTGGATACTGATCAGCACTCCTGCATTGGTCAATTGTGCTGCAGTGGAGTACTCACGCATCTTCGAACCTATTCTAGTATCTTGGCCAACGGCATGTGCGACCTCGTCGATATCTGCGCCGGTGACCTCGCATATTGCACTCAAGGAATTAATGCTGCTGATCCCTGTGCACAGCAAATCAATCGTTATGTTCTGGGCTCCTGCTTGGAATCTGGCACTTACGTTGTGCTAACATACAGTTGGCTGCAAGCTTCGACAGTTCGGAGGACCAGCAATTGACTGTCAGAATCCGCTCACGTGGTACCCAGGCGGCGTATACGTCCGCGAGTCGATCGGCAGCCTGCAAAGCGCGCCAGTCTCTGTTCGACCCAATGAGGATACGATCTGGGCTGAGGAGATCCCGAATGGCGGTACCTTCGGCCAGAAATTCTGGATTCGATAGGATCTCGAAATTCACGCCAGGCGCCTGAGCAACAGAAGCGAATATGTGTCGCAACGTCTGCGCCGTGCCACATGGTACAGTCGATTTCTCTACAACGATCTTGTCTGAAGTTGACACCTCGGCAATTCGGCGGGCAGCAGCCTCGACATATGCAAGGTCTGACGCACTGCCGGCTCCTTGTCCTACCGATTTGGTTGGGGTGTTGACTGCGATGAAGATGAGATCTGCGGATGCAATAGCGCAGTCGATATTGGTTGAGAAGAAGAGGTTTGGGAGACGGCTTTGGCGACCAGCACATTCGTTGTCCCGTGCGAATTGGACTACCTCTCGCAGACCAGGCTCGAATATTGGAAGCTGATCTGACTTCCACGAATTGATTCTAGTCTGGTTGAGGTCGACAACGGTGACTTTAATATCGGGATTCTTGCATGCTATCACTGCCTGCGGGCTCGCGTTAGCAATGATTTGTGATCTAGGCAGAAGGGATGGATTCTAGACATACACATGTAGGTCCGCCCACGTACCCTGCACCAATGCAACAAATGCTCCTCACAGGCACTGGTGTAGATCGCATAACATCAAGAGAGAATGGCTGTAACCAGTATTACTTGAGATAAGATCGACGCGTATGGAACAAGTGTAGCAAACTCGACGAGTGCAGTTCAGCTGGCCTACAAACGACTCTAATGTAACAGACTGTCGACTAGACGACGCTCGGCCTTACCGATATTCCTTTCAAGAAATAGGCGTATCGCCACCCGACCCTTGACGAGATTGCAAGCATTCTTGGTAGCAAGATCTAGCAAGCGCCGTGTGAACCGTCTCGGCGCGTTCAGGGCGCAGGATTCGTGAGAAGTACGTCCATATAGGGTTCCACGCCAAGAGTACTGTACCCGCATTCGAGCGCGGTTTGAGCGGGAAGGATAGCGCTGAGTCAATTCATGCTGTGCCTCCATTACTGTAGACATCAAGCGCGGATGACGTAGCTGTTGCGGCTCACATGGCATCTTATGCTTTCCCGGTGTCAAGGTCGGGCGGCGAGGGCGCCGTCTAGCATGAACTTCCTTCCCCACTGTCGCGTGCCCATGCATCCTCCGGTAGCACGCTTCGTAGAACGACTGGCTGTCATAGGTTTTTCAGACCGCGGAGCACATCTCAATCAATCTAATAGCAGCCCCGTATGCGGTCTCTACCAGATTGCTAAGGTCCAATCAGCAAGCCGGAAGCACCGAACCACGGACAAACAAGGGATAGGGGACGCTTCCTCGTGGAGAGGTACCCTAATGCCGGACCTCGACGAAGGAGCAGGCCGGCGGAGTCTGGTCCTCATTTCACTGGGTATAGCTAAAGTCCGCGACCATTCGCACTTTGCACTGATTTCAGGTTGCCCATTGTTCCTACGACTTCTGTTTTACATCCCCAATGTCCAATTTTATCTATCCTCCTCTCGACGCCGAAAAGCTTGACCATGCCACGTTTCTGCCCGAGTACAACACCCCAGCAATGGATCATTCACGACGCAACATGAATGATGCTGCCGATATTGAGAAGCAGAGCACTGGCAACACAACCGACAACAACGTTCCACTGGAAAGCACGTACTCTCTACTTCGGAAGGTCGCATTCCTTGCGGCCTACTTCTTCTTGAATCTAGCCTTGACGATATCAAACAAAGCCATATTAGGCAAGGCGAAATATCCATGGCTGCTTACGACAATGCATGCATCTATAACCTCGTTTGGGTGTTTCATGCTCCTCGGATCCGGGCACATGAAGGTAATGCGCTTCACATCCGACTCAAATGTACGGAGCGCGATAGGAGGCTAACGGAGGTCCAGGCGAGACGTCTCAGTAGACAGGAAAGCCTGACAGTGGTTGCATTTTCTGGCCTGTTTGCGCTGAACATTGCGATGTCGAACGTTTCCCTTGCTGCGGTATCAATACCCCTTCACCAAATCATGCGTTCGACCTGTCCAGTGGTGACAATCGCGATCTACTGGCTCGTTTACAAGCGAAGCTATTCAAAGGAGACGTATCTTTCCATGATACCATTGATTCTTGGGGTTGGGGTTGCGACAGCAGGCGACTATTACTGCACGCTAGGCGGGTTTCTGCTTACCGCGACCGGTGTCGTGCTGGCTGCTATCAAGACAATCGCCACGAACCGGCTAGTCAGCAATTTTTCACCAATGGAGGTGCTTCTTTACATGTCCCCACTTGCGGCGGCACAGTGCGTAGTTTACGCATTCGCAGCAGGCGAGGTCCAGCGGGTTAGATTGGACATGGCTGCAGGCACGTATCGCACGTCCGAGTGGAAATTCTTTCTGGGTCTACTAATGAATGCTTCTACGGCATTTGCATTGAACATTGTCTCCTTTCAAACGAACAAGGTGGCTGGAGCATTGACGATCTCAGTCTGTGGCAACGTCAAGCAAGCCTTGACAATCATGCTTGGAGTCGTACTGTTCAGCGTGCCGATGGGGCGCATGAACATTGTGGGCACGCTTATAACAGTGGTCGGTGCTGCATGGTTTAGCAAGGTGGAACTGGACAATAAGAAGATTCGGAGTACAAAGTGACAATGTAGTGGTCAAAATTACACTTCACGTCTTTGGCTATAGTGTCGGTCGTCTCATCAAACGCACGCTGATCATTCTGCCATGCCAATTCTGTCTCAAGTCGGATTATTAGGTCTAAGAGAGTAGCATGCACGCCCTACTGTAGATGGTGCCCGCGGACTGTGTTGATCCCAGGGTCACTACGTTCCAATGGCAGGGCCAAGTCATTACAGTCGGCACACGGCTATCACTCGTCAATCTCCGTGATCCAGTGCCTTGCAAGACCTGTCTTTGCCAAGAGCTCCACTGTGGCTCAGCAAGCATCGGCGTACACCTACCGGTAGAGTACGTGACGCTAACGCTAAGGCGAGTACGCATGAACTGCCGTGTTGGCGTCCAGTCAGTATTCCTCAGTGAGTACTTGCCCTTTCACAATAATAGCTGTCGTTGCACGCTAGGAGTTGGTATTCTCACGAAATGATCATGCCATCTCGCAAGCCTAAGCCGGCAATGGTGATCATTGCGCTCGTCGTTACGGCATGTTTAGCAATAGTTCTCTTCGAGGCCGTACGTTTCGACAAGTCAACTGTTTGACGCTCCGTCACAGACTAATATTGGTCCAGCATGCCCGAGGAAGGAGCAGCCATCGAGCTGTCTCTTCTCATGATCCTGTCCAATCCACATCAGTACCTTGGATGCCACAAGATCCAACTGATCATGGCGGAACAGACAGCCTCATAGCACAATCGAAGAAACTACAAGTGCTTCTGCCAGCATCAAACTCTGACGTGAATTTGTGCAAGACGCTATTGACTGGAGCGGTGCTGGACTATCCAACACCTACACTGATTGCCTGGAACCGAACGTTTGATCAAGGTCCGCTAAGCTTCGTTGTCATCATGGTAGAATGCTAACCTCATCAGGCCATCTTCTTGGAGGAGGAAGTCATGTGGCAAAGATATCCGGCGTTCTGGAGTATCTTGATGCTCTGAATCAAGCCGCTGATCAGGAGCTAGTGCTGATGATGGACGCATATGGTGCATTCAATCTATACGACAATCCATCAAATGTCCAGACTCATCTAGAGGCAGATATTTGGTTTCAACTACGAGCAGAAGTTTTGCTTAGCCGGTATTATAAAATCAATCAAGAGGCCAACGAACGACTTCGGAACCGTTTAGGCAGTGCTGTTGAAGCCGAGAGCCTCAAGCAGACCATCATATTTGGAGCTGGGAAACGATGCGCGCCGAATCAGCTGCATACTGTAGCTTGTTATTCTATGCCGGACTCTCCGCTACCTGACGACCTGTATGGCTCTAACACCGACACCATCATGGGTCGGAACAAGTACACGAGTCTCAAACAACGGTACCTTAACTCGGGATACATCATCGGGCCCGTCGGCGATCTGCGCAAGATGTTCCAACGAGCTTGGGATAAGGTTCAGGCCACAAAAGACCAGATGGACTGGGATAACGGCAGCCACGGCTCGGACTTCATGTATCATGGCTCCGACCAGTCAATTTTCAATGAGATCCTGGGCGAGCAGGAGTTTCAGCGGGAAGTCATGCGACGCCGCCATCGAAGCCAAAGTGATAGGATAAAAGGTATCGGAGGAGTGCCGAAAGCAACGCATATCGAAGGCACCTTAATTCGAGATCCCTTGAAGCCTGACTTTACGCATGAGACGATAGAGCACAAAGACGGAAAGCCTGACGAATTCGGTAAGTATAACTTCATCTTCGACTTCCTTGGCTGGCGATTGACTGTATTACCAGGCATCGGTCTCGACTACTTCTCCGAACTGGGGTAGCAAACTGTGAATGCCGAAGAAGATGCCCGATGGATACGGCATGACCGTGATCTTGACGAACAGACCCGGGACAGGCACATCTTCGACTGTCTATCACGAGTCACAGCTGCCATATCGTCAGACATATCGAGCAGTCGTGGCCCAGTCGAAGGCTATGCTGTGAGATCGGCGAATGTTCCTTGGATTTCGACCCCACTCTACACTAACCTATGCTTGAACACGATACCCGTGATGATACATCATAATGGTGATAAAGGCGCTCGTGAGTTTGCGTGGCCCCAGCTTTGGTTACAGAAGCAATCTCGGCAGTTGATGGAGGATGCTCGTGCGCAGAGTTCCAACAAGAGGATGGTTGGTGGTGCTTACTCGGGAGGACGGCTGCTGGAATGGAATGAGTTATGTCCAGCAGAGATGGACATGGAGTTGTATCGAGACGCGGCCGCAGAGTAATGTGAGGTGTACTGGATCTTTGCCTAAGCTATGAAGTATTCAGTGCGCCACAGGTAATTCCCATGGCCCTCGATCATCACCAAATATCTCCTCGTGATACTCACGACAGATATCATCGAACCTGAGCCAGCCTTCACCTTCGTCGCCAGCTTTCCACGATCCATCTCGCGCCCCGCCTTTCCATGTCCCAAATGCCCACCACTGCCTCCTCGAAGATTTGTCGTATCCGCTGACTGCAAGAGCAACGAGAGGATTGTACACAGAAATGTCCAGGAGAGTTCTTGCGTGCACGTAGAACCAGGTTAATGGCCACCATGACTCTCGCCGAGACTTCAGATTGTCACGATGAGCATTGTGGTGGACGACCACCGGTGTATTGCCCGTATAGATATCTGTGAGCAGGGAAATATTCTGCCATTCACGGGTGCGAGGAAGGTCTTCTGTCGACGATGTCCAGAACGGAGGTAGGGTGCTGGCAATATCATCGGCCAAAAATTTCACGCTTTTAGCAGCGTCAGCATGCTCCAAACTAGCCTGCACGATTTGAGTCCGATTCGAAAATGCCAGCCAAGCAGTATCCTCTTCCGCGAATACAGTATTCAGCACAATCTCGGCGCCATAGTCCACGCCAATCCCGAATTCAAAGTTGCCGTCTTCACGCTCGGCAGCTTTGGCGCGGACTTCCGAGATATGCTCTTCTATGAAGAACTCTCTGCCTCGAAGACCTTGCTTCGGACCAGAGCGTGTTCTCTGTTGGCCAAGTATTGCATCGCGACCGATGGCTTCTCGCCATATCTCCTGGTCGCCAAAGATGTGCGAGAAGATGTATTGGTCACTCCCGATATTCGGCTCGTCACGGGCCTGTTTGAGAGCTTGTCCGAATAGCTTGCGCATGGCTTTGACTGGTCCGATGGCTGTACCTGAATTGAGAAAGCGGGGGCGATAATTGATGAAGGGATTGTCTTCGGTCGCCAGAGTGTCTGTCCGTGAGCCGTAAACATTCTTTGGAAGCGTCGAGTTCGGAACGGCATAGCATGGCGGATCTTGCGGAGTCCAGGGCCAGCAGCGCTTTTGACATCCGAATATGATTTCCTGGCGGGTTTCGTTGGCAGCAGAGCCCATTTCCGCATGTATACGGGTATCAGCCAGTCTATTGAGGTGGTAGTACCGATCAAGAAGAGTCTGGGCTCGCAACTGTAGCCATACATCGTAGCCGTCAAGCATCAGTACGAGGTCATTATCGTGAGCGGCGGCCAGATCAGATACATAATCGTAGATGCCCGAGATCTTTGCCAGATGTGATCCACCCTCAACAAGAGAATTGTCGTTGAATTCTTGATTCCAGTTTATAATGACTGGGCTTGGGTAACCGAGGACAGAAGCGCTGAGGAGGACCTTGCACAGGTTTACATCAGGTCGGGAAGCCGGGATCAGAATATGTAGATGGGCTGGAGGTAGAAGTGTCAAGTTCACTGGTGTGTCTTGCGACAAATCCACAGGCTGCTGTAGTTAGCGTTGTATTTGTGTAGTCGAGAAGGGTACCCACGATCCTAAGTTGACATCCAAGGACGATAAGTGCACTCAACAGTATGGTGATCTGAAGGCCTTGTGATTTTACCAGGCCTCGCCATCCTCTGATATCTCGCCGGTAACTTGGAGACATCGATCCATTCTTGGGAGCGTCTTCAATGCCAGACGTAGTCATGTTATCTCGAGGCACGCCAATAATCAATCAGACATAGTTCAAAAAGGGACAGTGGTGGCCTCCTGCGTCAATTAGCGAAACGCATATCTCTCAGACAGGCACTTGTCGTGTAGCACGTAGGCTGAAGGAACACAGTACGCAGTGGCTTTCACGGGCGAGCCTGCCGAGTGCTTGGTGTCTGGGTTCCGATATAGCCATGGGCGTGCTTATCGACTGTGGCTTAGTCAAATCTCAGTCCGCGGAACAGGCTCAGGGATCAGAACCATTGAGGTGAAAGCTTCCCACAATCAGCAAGAAGCACGTCATGCTGGACGGAAATTCCTGATCCATGGTAGAGGCGGTGGAACACAGTGTTTCCTCCTCTGGCATGGCGTTTTACATACACTATGCTACTTGGCACTGGGTGGATAGAGCACTGGATTTGTTAGCGCCAGCACACGTGCTTTGTGCCTGCGCCATCACAGCAACATGTCTGAATCCAGGTCCAAAAAAGCTCAGGTTCACTAGTGAAAGACAGAGCGGAGTTTGCATTCGACGATCATCAACAGCCAAATCTTGAAATCCGCTGCCAAGAGAATCAGTGATCAGATCCAGTTCGGTCTTGCGCGACCCGTGGCTTCCGAAGATCTACGAAGATCAATTTCAGGGTTTTCCCGACCCGAACATGACCCGTCACTCTTCGACAGTGATCAAGGGCCGCGGAGGTGCCGGGATGTGTTTTGTGGCTCAGCATATGACCGCGTTCTGTACTCCACCTTGGTGCCAAGCTGTGGCAGTCTAGCGCCTCCGAGCATCCCGCTCTCGTATAGTATACGAGCTTGGGGGCTACTACCAGTGGGATTAATTCGCCATGGCTCTCGAATATCTCCCTCAAGATAACACTGGAGCGCCGATCGGGCCGACGACAAACCTGCGGACGATTCAGCGTTCCCAGTCTGTTGTCCGCAGCTTGCGCTGAAACTCCAAAGCCTCTCTGTGGCACAGCCTAGCACGCGACAATTTCACAGAGTGAGACGATCAGTGTACTGCGTCCCCAGCCGAACGACTGAATATACGAGCTAGATCGGGCCCACGAACGCACATGCATTCACTGACCAGGCATGAGCACGACTTTACGGCATGTTCGCGCTCTCTCTCTGCAGAAACAACAGCGCACCGCTCTGAGAGCATTGTTGACCACTCGATCAATCCGAAACGTAGTTCTATTACTGGGTTTCGTCCTATCGCTCATTTGTTTCTACGCACTCATACCTCGCTCCTTCGCCCACCTGGAACCTGTCGCAGCAGATCAAGTAATCGAAGAAATATTCAAAGAGGGCCAAGAAGTGCCAGTGGGCAATGCGCGCTTTCATCTCCTTGTACCAGCCACGAGCTCCAGCCTGGACCTGTGTAAATTGAGCCTATCCGCCCAGATATTGGACTATCCCACTCCAGTACTCATCAACTTCGGCCATCCAGAAGACCCAGATGGCTATGTCCAGCATCTAGCTAAACCACAAGGCATCCTAGACTACCTCGACTCTATCAGTGGTGCGGATGGTCAAGGTCTCGTGGATGAGGACTTGGTGCTGATAGTTGACGGCTATGATGTCTGGATGCAATTGCGTCGAGATGTGTTGATCTCGAGATATTATGAGATCAATAACGCTGCGGACGCGAGGACCAAGGCTCTATATGGCGACGAGACATTCCGTAGTCAAGATATGAGGCAGGCGATCATCTTCGGGCCGGATAAGATTTGCTGGCCCATTGACTTCAGTCGACCGGCCTGTTGGGCAGTACCGAGAGCAGGTGAGCATCCCCACAATGTCGCGCAGAGACGACATGCATGCGAGAGAATCGATCATGCTGATGTCCTGAGTAGCTCTGCCAGAGCATGCCTTTGGCCCTCGAACGGACCATGGCTCCGAAGAATTTAACCTCCCGCGCTGGCTGAACTCAGGAACTATCCTCGGGCCTGCTAGTGATCTCCGAAGACTGTTCCAAGCAACGATCGCCGAGATTCAAAGGAACCACACCACAGACTCGGATCAATTCTACCTTGCGGAGCTGTTTGGGCGGCAGGAATTTGCACGCCTACAGCATCGACCAGACTTATTGGACGAGATGAGGAAGATGCGTTACCCAGGCGAGGAAGATCTGTATGACGATGAGTTAGATAGGAAGACGTCCACTAGCTTCATCGCGGGCAGCGACTCTGAGGAGCGCACCACTGAATTCCACATAGGAATAGATTACGAGAGTCGAATCTTCCAAACCCTCGCCTTCTACAAACAATTTCTCACCTGGACTCGAGCATCATCTGCCTGGCGATCACGTACGACATCTCACCCAAGCCTTCAATACGATGTTCAGCTGGCGGGGGATATTCTTCGATCACCACCTCCGATGCTCACGACGAACCACACCGACGGAAACGGCGATCTTGCCCGTCCGTCAAATTTCGCCCCTATATCTTCCTCGCCATGGCAGGACGTCGACCTCCTCTACAACACCGCCACGGCCCAGCATCCAGTCCTCCTTCACATAGCTGGCGGACCTCGCGAAAAACCTTTCCGCGAATACTGGTGGTCCAAACTCTGGTTTCATGCTTCTGCTTCCCAGCTGCGACTGCAAGCCGTCGCTCGTCATGGTGGCAGGCAAATGGATGCGCCGACACTTTTGAGCGGAGGCTACCGTTGGCGCAATGCCGTCGGATCAGCTGAAGCTCAAGAGCTGCCGGCGAGAGGGTACGGTGGGGCGTGGGTAGACCATGCCGCGGGATGGCTGAGCTGGAAGGGTCTATGCGGCAGATTTGAGGAGGAAGTTTATCGGGCTCCTAGTGGCGGGCAGGATTTCTTCCACCCGCGCGAGGGCGACGCAAGTGGATAGAGCTGGCGTCTATTAAGCAATTACGAAAGCTATGGCCCGTGGTCGGAGTCTTAGAGGTGCCGTAAACAGGCATGTAGTCTCTAACAAGCCGACTATATTAAAGTTAAGTAATTTATTATCGCTATCGTTATTATTATTAGTATATTTATAGTCTAATAACTTAGGCTTATCCTTATAACCGTTCTTAGAGTCTAGTATAATAGAGGTTAGCGCGAAGCTTTTCTAATTATATATTATAACTAGTTATCTTAATTCTTCTTTATTATCGGATTCCTCTAGGCGTAAATACTATCGTCTCTATTCTACTATAGTTACTATTATCGACCTAGTACTAGTTTAAATATAGGGGGCTAATATATAGCGCTATTAGATCTCTATAATTCTATCGAATTAAACTCTCGATAAGGCTTACTTAGAAACTATTCTAAGTCTATCTTACTTAAGTAGTAAGTTATATAGAAGTTTATTATAATGTTCTATCTAGTATAGTTATTTATATTTATTATCTAAAGTTCTTTCTAATGCTTTTTCTAATCTTTATTATTATATTATAGATATCGTTAATAAAGACCGTTCTAAGTAGTTTAAGGAACTTATTCTTCTATTCGATAATATCGTCCTTATAATTAAGGTATCGCTTTTTTATTAGGCCTATTATATTAGTAATTTTAGATTATATTTATTATATAGCGTTACTATTAGCTAATTCCTTACTAATATATATTTTTAACTAAATAACGTTAATAGCTTTCTAAATATATTTAGTAAATAGATTACGTTATTCTATAACGTTAATCTCTATAGCGTTAACCTTTTTAATATTTACTCTATATTTCTACTATAGTTATATCTTATAGCTATAGTAGTCTTATATATAGTATTCTTCCTTTCTATATAAATAGTACTTTAGCTCTTACTTCTTACTTTAGGCGTAGTTCTTATTCTTAGTTTCTACTCTATTAGGTTTATTTTCTTTAAAGTTATATTAAGTAGCGTTAAGTTCTATAGCGTTAGGGTTATAATATTACTATTCTTTAGTCTAGCTATAGGGAGTATAGCTAGTTAATCTATAGTTCTAATTAGTTTTATATTTTTCTATATATTATTTATAGAGTATATTATCTACCTTAATTATAGCTTCTTATAAGTATTCTAAAGTATCTTAGCGTTCTCTATATCTTATAAGCTTATCCTTAATATTATTTTTAAGTTCTTAATAGTATATAGATCTTAATATAGTACTATTCTATCTAATATAAGTAAAAACTTTTTTAAACTTAATAGTATACTAAAATATAGAGGCCCTTTATATAACTTATTAAATATTCTAAATACCGACTTACTAGTTATTACTAAGTCTATAAATTCTTTTAATCTACTTAGTAAACTCTAAAAAATTAGTAAAGATTCTATTAAGGTCTTTATTTTTAAGTAGGACTATAGTTAACTTAAAATATATCTAGTTCTAAGCTTCGCCTTAAAGGTAGGATATTACGATATAGTAGCGTTATTATTCGCTAGTAATACCTTTAAGAGAGAAATATAATATAATCTAGTTTAACTAGTTATTAAGCTTATTATAGTTTCTATAGAAGAAGTCTAGTTTAGTAAAATACTTAGCCGTTCTAGTCTTATTCTTATTAGTAGAAGTACTAGCTTAAGTAGTTAAAGCTATACTAATATCTCTTTTATTATTAGAAGCTATTTATTTATTTAAGGTACTTACCTACTATAAGAGTATTTAAAACATTATATATCTATAGTATAAGAGGGTTAGAGCTTATTAGATAAGTAAGTTCTAAGTAATAGGTCGGATAAGTAACTACTCTAAGAGTTAACCTTTTAGTAGGTTAGTATTATATACCTGCGGTATAAGGGGGTTAGAGCTCGTTAGACGAGTAAGTTCTAAGCGATAGGTCGGGTAAGTAACTACTCTAAGGTTTAACCTTTCGGTAGGTTAGTAACTTAGGTTAAATACGAACTACCTACGTAGGAAACGTCTATTCTATATATATAGGAGATTCGTATAATAATCGCGATTACCCGTAGTAGTTATAACTAGATCGTAGTTACCGTAGGTATTCTTAATCCTAATTACTTAGTTACCTAGTAACGAAGCGATCCTCTATACGACCGGGGATTCCTACTAAGTTAGAGATAAGGCGTATAGCCGCTATTCTCGCCTTTATAGGATATAGGCTACTAGCGGCAAAACTACGCCCGATCCTATATACGTATTTATAATAGTTAGTAACTTAGGTTAAATACGAACTACCTATATAAGAAACGTCTATTCTATATATAGGAGATTTATATAATACTTACAATTACCTATAGTAGTTATAACTAGATTATAGTTACTAGAGGTATTTACGACCCTAATTACTTAGTTACCCAGTAATAAAGTAATCCTTTATACGATCGTAGATTCCTACTAAGTCGGGATAAGGCGTATAGCCGCTATTCCCGCCTTTATAGGATGTAGGCCGCTAGCGGCAAAACTATACCTAATCCTGCATACGTGTTTATAATACTATACTATCAATCCCGGCCGATCCGTAAAATCTTAGAACGGAATGTCTAGAGAAATTTAACGGAACAATCGTAGGGAAGTTATATTACATAAAACCACCGACACGGTTGGGAGTTTCGTGTCACGCTCCAATCTCAAAATGTCGAATCAGCTTATTGATCAATTTGGCAGTGGCGATGCGAAGCGATATCCCGGCGACACATTCCAGAAGGAATCAAAGGAACCATTTCACGAGAGTAGCAAGCCTCACGCTCATGAGGTTCTGGACTCTAGTACGCTCTCCTACATGATTCATTGCTAGCAGGTTGAAAGTGACTCGCTATACAGAGGATCAGAGGTCTTTGAAGAACAAGTTGGCCAGATATGAACATGTGTGTCCGCTCTGCCAACTGCGGTTACCTTGTTTACTGACCCTCGGATGTCTAGGACGAACACACTAGCCATGAACAGGCGGCACCGGTCCATTTCGTGAGTGAAGAAACGGCAATGCGCAATGAGATTCATCCTGATGAGAACAAACCACAGAAGGAGCACGAAAAGAAGGGTGCGATAATAGACAGGCAGCTAGCAGAGGAAGACACGGCCAAGTCGGCAGAAATGGATGCAAAGATTCAGGCAAAGAAATGCCACGAGCATAAACGTCACAAGGAGCATAGACAAAGTAAGCAGCTCTAGATCAGCACCGACTAGATGCAGAGCCATGCTAGATGATGAATGAGACCTTGTATACATTTCAACGTAAGATACAACGCCGGGTTCTACAACTCGTGTGCAAAACTTCCACCTTGCACCGCACTCTCCATTTCCTGCTCCGTCACTCTGCGTTTACTATCCGTACCAGGTGTCCATATCCAGCCTTCACGTAGCCACATCCAGCGCAAACATGCCTGCAGCTCTTTGTCTAGTGGGCGGACACGCTTCCACTCCGGAACGAATTCTGGTAGGGCATGTAATCCATTGTAGTCGTCTGCAACTCCGCGGAGTATGTCCCGGCAAAAGATCCTCCAGCTGTCCCATGCGTACGGCCCACAGCCCGCAAGATGGCCGATTTCGAGTGCTCCGGCACACTCTACGGCGTCTGTTTCGACTTGGACATCCAGCTCCTTTCCTTGACCCTGCAGAGGATAGTTACGGGTTCTGTAACGAACGCCCTTGCGTGGAGGCGAGCGAGTCCAGGTCGTGGCAAGTTTGATTATCCTGTTGGACCGCTGGGTCTGTAAGCCGAGCGTGCGGATCATTTGACTGAGCTCGTCTTGGTCTGCTGCTGCTAAGGAAGGCGGGTCTTGGTAGCGATCTTTGATCCTCCAGAATATTGGGCGTGCAGACTGGCCTGGTGTCTTGTTCAAAAGCGTGACAGCGACGAGAAGCCAAAACGGCTCGTAACATAGTAGACTTTGAATTATCCCGAAATGCTCGACGTGTATAGGCGGGAAAGGTCGAGTTGACAATCCCTTCCTGGATGCGATATGACTCCTTGCTGTAGAGTTTGACTTCCGCCTCACACCCGGATTGGCAGATCGAATGCCCATAGATACAGCTTTTTGCGAGATGCGTTCAGAGCGACGGGGCATTTTCGCGACCTCTGAACTGACCAAGTCGCCAGTCATTTTAGCGAGTCTCTGGATCGATAGACGTATGTACTTCTGTGGAGCATGCTGCAAACCATGGATACAGGTATGCTTGCGGACCCATCAGTACGCGGGCAGAGGAAGGCTGTACAAGGGTACATGAAATATGCCAAGAGTGAGCTTACATATGGTCAAATGGAGTTTGTCGGGGTGGGGACAATTATCGAGACAGGTCGGAAGTTAGACTCGTCTGGCCCATTTTGTAGAGACCCAGCGCCTGCCGATTGAACGTAGACACCGACTCTAGCAAGTGTCGACAAGACTAGAAACACTGAGTAGTATGCTCACCTAACGAGCTTGGAGTCGTTGGCTGTTTTACGAATTTTTAGGATCGGGCTGCAGGATACCACCCGGCGTTTTAGGTCCAGCTTCGCCGAGAGCGATGGGCGCACCGCAAGCGCGGCATACCGGATGTGGATGTTCGAGCTCGTTTTCAGTAGGTTGTAGTGGTGCGGCCTGCTCTCCAAGCCTGGACGATGTCCATGATATCGTGCGGCTTGGGATCGTTACAAGTCGTAGATAGGGTATAGCTGGGCGAGTCAAAGGCATGTAACGTACAAGGAAGGCAGTCACAACCTCTTAAGTTGGTTATTGCAGAATTCCGTTTTGGCACTATCACTGTGTAGATGCTACTCAAGCATATCTTCTACCTTTCAAGTCATATTTGTGACGAGTCGCCGATTGCCCTGCCTTCGGATGTAGCAGATCACGAACCTCGTCCGGTGCATGTCTACTCTCGGAACCACCGTATCATTGAGACAGTGCTGTGTAACAGGCTTTTGGTGCAAAGATATTCGTTGTCTCACGTCTCTATTGTGAGCGTCACGTTGCTTGCAGCAATCTGTAGAGGCCACATTTGTCATGTAGCAGAACGGCTCGTGATTGATGTCTCTCGGACAGCAGTGTAGAAGTTGGGCTTTCGCGTAGATGCATGTGGACTCGATGTTTGCAGTATGACACATAACTCATTTGTTGAAGCAAACTAGTTTCTAGCTCCCAATTCAGGTCATCCTTCCTTTCTGTTCTGAGGACCTCCTCTATGCATAAAATGCGACTCCATGTCCTGATCGGTAAGATCCTTCAAACAAGGCGCGACCAATATCTCGCCACTGTATGCACTCTTGAGCGTGCCACAGGTGACAACGATCCATAGCAGCGTCACGGCTACGCTAAAGGCTGTCCCGACCACCCGAAAAAATGCAGACGGAAGCTCTTTCGCGAGCTGTGTTGTGCAGACCGTGTAGACGCCTGTAAGCAACGCATGCAATCAGTATAGCTTCTCTTTCATTCTCGTAGCTGGATACCGATAGGACAGGTAGCACATACCAAGCGGAAACGTAAATCCCCACCAGCCCAAATTGAAGGGAAACTTTGGCGTGTGCCAGATGGTCGCCAGCGCAAAGAAGAACCAGACAAGTCCAAATGCCCACATGACCATTCCGATCATGAAGCCTACGATGTACAAGATATCGCCTGCGTAGACCATGCTAAGCGGCAACGTATCGGTCTCGCGGAACACCTGTCTGGCCACGCTCCCAAGATTCTGAATGCAAAACCCACCTTGGCCCAAGGGACCGAGAGGTAGGAATACCGACACAATGACCTCTTTGGGCGGGAGCCTTTGCGTAGTGAGGCGCAAGAAATAGCAGACCAGCACGACCATTGCAAGGGACACCCCCTTTCCCCAGAGGATGTACGAGGTTATGATCGTAATCAATTGCAGTTGAGGGTGCGGCATGATAGCAGCGACGATTGATCCAGTAGCAGCCGCAACAATGGTGCTGACGATTGGTAGTAGCCAGGCGGCGGTAACGTTTTCCAGCTTTGCGTCATGATAAAGCATGCTAGATCAGAATTGCGTCAGTGTACACGAACATGCGTTTTGACATAGGCTTGCGCTCGGTGACGGTGCAACATACATAACAAAGGGCAAATAGAGGCATGTTGATGTCGCAATCGCAGCATCAATCCACCATAGCGCCCAAGCAACTTTCCACCAACCGCCCCCCCAAGCAGGCACGCAGACAAAGCATGTCATGTTGATAATCGTCGCGAGGCCCATAGGAAAGCATCCGAGGAAAAGACTCTGCATAGGATGTTGGAGCATAGCTACCCAGATCTTCGGATAGAGAGTGTACCGCAGAATACTGATGAGCAAGAATAGCACAAAAAGTAGAACATTTAGAGCAAAGACCACATATGAGATGTAGCGTAGCCAGTGCGCATTGTAGGGCAGATTGTGCAGCAAAATCGAGACAATACCAGTACCCATGTTAACCGCGAACCAGGATGGAGTAAAGTTTTGCACGATACGTCGCCAGCCGTGCTGGTACTTGGATGTTTTGCAAGTCGAAGCGATGGCACAGCCCGTTTCAAGCTCCGAGGTATCCGGAGTTGCGCAGGATTGATTGTTACCAGATTGAAAGCTCGAGTCGTGATCATTACACGTTCCTGCGGCCGCGCTGAGATTGCTGTCGCCGCATACGCCATCCATCGCTGGATCCATCTCGGGTAGGAGTAAGTTGAAGTCGTAGTCGTAACATACAACAATTAGAGGTAAGAGGCGATCGTAATATATTTGTTACGAAGACGATGGCGCGCGGCAGAAAATCGCAATATATTCAGACAGATATATAGGTATACTCTACGTCATGGTCATCGGAACGGGCGGGTCCGATGACGTATACAACGAAGAAAACGTGCTAATGTTGTAGAATGATGTCGTAACGATCGGCGACTTCGGAAGCTCTATTTTAAACTAGTCGTCTATATAGCGAGCTACGGGGTATCTTAGTAGTGCATTTAATAGTATCTTAATTATATATAATAGCTTAAATATATTCTTCTAAGCTTCTTCCTTAGCTATAGATACTACTTAGTATTAATATTTTACTAAATAGAATCTCGTATAACTTAGATTATAAGTACTATAATTTAGTAGTATATATCAACGTATAGTATAATATAGGTTACTAGATTAGTACAAAGGAGAGTAACTAGATATATATTACGATCCTCGCGGGGGACTAGTAGTACGTAACTACCGGAACGCTTATAGCAGGCGCTCCCGTAAGCGTATACTTATAAGGTGCGATCTAGACGCTCTACGCGAGAGGTCGCACCGGGCGCGCGAGGCGCGCCCTAGTAGATATATATAAGTACGAAGGTATTAGTAGTTAGGAGCTTCGTACTTAACCTTAAGTATAGTAGTTAGCGATAGGTTTTACCTACTACTAATTAGCTACGCTTCTATCTACGCCTTAACCGTCTACGCCTAGTTACCTTCCTACCCTATTAGTAACCCCTTATAATATTTTAAGTACTACTTCTAGGGAAGTATTAGGGGATACTTAAGATTATTAATATTAGCGTATATCTAGTACTATATTAGGAAGTAGCGTTAAATTAGAGGTTTAGACGCTATTACCCGACAAAAACGATCGAACCGTCGACTTAGTTACTAGCTAGATCGAGTAGGTATATATAGCCGATATATCGACTTTAGGATCTACTACGGGAGCCGCCGGGGTAGCGGGACCTAAGTTTAATAAGCTATAGGAATTTACTAGTAACTAGCGATAGTTTAAAACGTTTAAAATATAGTACTTACTTATATTTAAGATATACTACGAATAGTTTAGTACTTAGATAAAGAGACTAATATTTATCTCTTCGTACCTTCGAGGGCTAGCTACCGAGTAGATCTAGCCTTATCTAGAAGATTACTTAGGTAACGACTAACCCTCGGACTATCGTATACCTACTAGGGAGATTTTCTCTATAGAGGTAACGATACTTACTAAAATTAAAGAGACCTTTAGTTAGGGTAATAATCGCTTCGAAGCCGAACGAGATCTACGATAGTATAGATAGAGAAACTCTACTACTAAGTATAAAGTAGAGTTTTAGACTCTTACGGTTAGGACCGAATAAAATAATACCGCCCTCGTAGACGCGTTCTATATAGGTTTAAAGAAAGAAGTTAAGGACGAGATCGTTCGATAGGGTCGACCTAATATATAGGTTACTATATTCGAACTCGCTATTAAGATCGATACCTATCTTTAGGAGAGATAATAGAAAAGGTCTAAAAGGATCGTAGTACGAACCGCTAACTCTAGATAGTAGAGGTAGCCCTAGAAGTAGCGAAACGACTACTATAGGCCTTAGCCTATAGAACTAGACGCTACTCGCGGATAACCTAAGAGGGGACGATAAGGAAAGCCTAAGTAGGGTCCGCGACAATACTATAAGGCTATAGAACGGAAGCCTTTTAATAAGTCTAATCTCGAGTACTATAACTATAGTAAGAAAGGACATTTTGCTCGCGAATACTAGGCGAGGAAGTAGATTTATAACCTACGACGACCTAAGTAGGTTCGCGCTATAAAGCCCGTACTATAGACGGTAGCGGCTACTAGAGTAAGGGACTACTCTAAGTTAATATAGACGTTATACTACGACGATAACTATTCTATTTACTTAAGCGATAAGGACGGATCGGGATAGTTTCTACGTAATAAGAAGGTATAATCCGTATACGTACTACGAGGAACCCTATCTACCGCTCTAACGACAACGCCGGTTCCGCGATATAAGGTTAAGGAGTCCGATAAAGACTATAAGATAGTCGAGAAGTTCTCCGAGGAGGAACTATACGACCCCCGTCCCGCAAATAACGTAATTCGCTAGGACCTCGCCGATAGAGATATCGGTATAAACTACCTACGGATAGTCCGCTCGTATTAGCCTAAGGCTTGCCCCTAGGTTAACGGAGTATAATACGTAGATTAGAAGCGGTACGACTCTATAATTACGTCTCTCCGCTAATAGATATAGGTTTTACCTATAGTTCGAGGACTAACTACCTATAGCCGAATAGTATAGGAAGTTATACCGTTCGGAAGCGAGTTTACGCCGCGCGAAGGATACTTTACCCTAGATAGGATTAACGTACCCTACGCGCTACGCTGCGACGTCGACGACCTAAAGGCTAGGTATACGCGTAACGTAGCCTAATAATAGGATAGAACTAGGGTTCTACCTCTATCGTTACTAGATAAAAGTTATTTCCCTCTAGTTCTAGTTCGAAGAGAAACCGGACGACGAGTAGGAAACGATAAGGTCCGCCGAAATTAGACCCTCGGATAGACTAAGGAGGGCTATAGCGATATACTACGACTAAGGCTAGGTACGTAGACAACCTTAGAGTATAGGTATATATTAATAACTAACTAGCCCGGGCGCTAGTAGATTTAGGGTATACTAGAATCTTTATAACGTTAAAGTTCGCTAGGTTAGTAAAGATCTACCTATACGCGAAGGAGAATACTTTCCTACTATACGTAATTAATAGAAAGCTAGTTACGTATAATAATAGGTTAGTTAACGAAGAGACCGAGATAGTACCTCTATAGATAGGACGCTATCGAGAGACGATTTAGTTCGATATTATAGAGTCGCTAGGCTTAGATATAGTATTAGGACTACTATAGCTAAAGAACGCTAACCCTTACGTCGACTAGAAAGCTAAGAGAATCTAGTTTTTAGAACTTCTAGAATCGATGCCTCTACCTATAGTACGGGACGTACTAGGCAAGATCGAAATATATACGGTAACTTTAGACGAGATACTAAAGAACATCTAGGATCTAGAATAAGACGTCTAGGTCCTTTAGGTAAAGGCTACCGGATCTAATATTATAATCGACTTCTAGGTTCTAGACGAATACCGAGAGTTCGCTACTCTCTTCGAAGAAGAACCTAACTAGGAAGCGTTACTAGAATATTAGGAGTAGGACTACGAGATACCCTTACTCCTAGGTAGGACGCCTATAAAATAATCGGTTCGACCGCTGTCCGCGGCTAAACTAGAAATACTACGGAAGTATTTAGAGGATAACCTCCGTAAAGGATTTATTCGCGAATTATAGTTACTAGTAGGGTACCCTATCCTATTCGTCCCTAAAGGCGAGGACGACTAGCGACTCTATATCGACTACCGTAGACTAAACGATATTACGGTAAAAAATAGTTATCTACTACTACTACTATTAGAATTATAAGATCGCTTATAAGGCGCGGTATAGTTCTCGAAGTTCGATATACCCGGAGCGTATAATCGAATTCGGATTAGGGTAGGCGAAGAATAGAAGACCGCGTTCCGAACTCGGTTCGGATACTACGAGTATATAGTTATACTATTCGGTTTAACGAACGCCCTAGCAAGCTAGTAAGCCTTTATTAATAACGTATTACGAGAATACCTCGACGTCTTCGTAGTAGTCTACTTAGATAATATCCTCGTTTACTCCCGAACGCTCGAAGAATATAAGGTATACGTATATAAAGTATTAAAAAAACTATAGGACTATAAGCTACGGGTTAAGCCGTAGAAGAGCGAGTTTTATAAGCACGAGGTATACTTCCTAGGCTACGTAGTAGCCTAGGATAGTATTAAAATAGATACTAAGAAGGTCTATATAGTAAAGGAGTAGCCGATACTAACTAACGTTAAGGAAGTATAGTCCTTCCTTAGGTTCGCTAACTTCTATTAGAGGTTTATCGTTAACTACTCCCGAATTACGGTACTACTTACTTTACTTACTATTAAAGATATACTATTCGTATAGGGGGAGCCCTAACGAAATATATTTAACGAACTTAAGCTTTAGTTTATAGAGTAACTAATATTACTAGTTTTCGACCCTAATAAACTAATTACCGTCGAAATAGATACCTCCGACGTAGTACTTAGGGTATACTTAAGTTAACTAGGACTAAGTAGACGACTATAACCCGTCGCCTACTACTTAAGGAAGCTATCTAGACCCGAGCTCCGCTACAATATCTATAATAAGGAGCTTCTAGCTATAGTAGACGCCTATAAAGCGTAGCGGGTCTATCTAGAAGGACCTAAGTACTAGGTTACGGTCTATACGGATTATAAGAACTTACGATACTTTACGACTAGTAAGGAGCTTGTTACGGACATATAACATAGGGTACAGAGAGGGAGAATAAGGACTAGTTATTTTAGCCTTAAAGGGAAGCGCTAAGGGCGCACCCGCGAATTACGTAACTAG